TTAATTAAATACAAAAAATGTCTTACTCTCGTAGCTGTTGTACTATCCCACCTGTCAAATCTGATTATGTTCCTCAAGGTACTATTGAACATTTAGGTGATCTTCCTGTATATACCGTTGGACCTAAAGACGCCACCAAAGCCGTCTTTGTCTTTTATGATATTTTCGGTTTCCAGTAAGTTCCAATCCATCCACACTTATCACACACTTTTTTAAACATAATATCTAGTGTGAATACAAAGCAATTCTGTGATATCTTAGCAAAGAATTGCGGATGGAAAGTCGTGTTACCCGATTTCTTTCGTGGCGATTATATAGTCCCCAGTGATTTGGGCAACCGAGAGAAAATCATGGGCTGGGTGGCAACCAAAGGAAATGCAGAGGCATTAACACCTGAAGTGGTGATTGTGCAAGATTATTTGAAAGCATCCGGTGTCACTGCTGCTGCATTTGTTGGTTTTTGTTGGGGTGCCAAGGTTAGATATAAAAAAAAACCCCCATTCTGTCTTAAATTTTAGGGTATTCATTTTTTTTTTCATTCTCAGATTGCGGTTCAATTGACTTCTACTTTACCTTTCTTTGTGGGTGCATCATGTATCCATCCTTCATTTGTGGATGTTTCTGATGCCGAAAAGGCCGGTGCTCCCATTTTAAATATTCCTTCCAAGGATGAACCTGATATGGTAAAGTGTATATAAAAAAAAAAAAGAAAAGGATAGTGAATTTGTTTTTTGTCTTTTTGCTGATGAATTAATGAAATATGTTAGACTGAGTATATGGCCGTGTTGGCAAAGAAACCTTTTGGAGACAAGTGTAAATTGGTTCGATTTGACGATATGGATCATGGATTCTGTGCCGCTCGTGGTGACTTTACCGACCCATTAAACGCCAAAAGAGCTAATGAAGCCATTCAATTAACTGTGGATTTTTTCACACAATGCTTCCAAAATAAATAAATAAAATTTTATTTTAAAGTTTAGAGGATCTTAATTCAGAGGGAGTGACCATTCGAACAGTTTGATTCTCATCGACTAGTAGTGGACGATCATAGAATCCTGCACGAGGTTCAACGGTACGCCATGCCCAGGCTCTTGTGTATTCATTATCAATGTTTTCAACGACTTGAGCAATACGTGTGCCAATCATGGGAAGAAATCTATGATAGGATGGCGGGATGAGTGGTTAATTTTTTTTTGTAGGGGTAGATTATACAAATAAACTTACTTCATGGCATGACCGGAATCACCGGTAGCAACAACGAGATTGTCATAATCCGGATGGGGAGCAATAATAAATTCGCCATCAATAGAGTCCGCATACCAGCATACTCTTGCATAGGTGATATCCAGCTCCTCGGTAACAGGTAAAAAAACTTTTAGGTATTCTCTAAAATCTTGCACAGCTCGCACAGGAATCGTATCGCCTTCATGCGTACTTTGTGTACGGGGTACGGAAACACGATCGCCCTTTCTTGGGTTCAAATAGCCTGTGGAGTGTTTCGCTACTTTCATAATACCATCCTTGTTGATTGGAAATCCATAAAAACCAGATCTTGAAAAGTCACCAAACCAAACGGGCATGTCCTTTAAAAAGGCCTTGATTTTTTCAGAGGGTCTGAAATGGATGACGACTTGACCGGTGGCAATGACTTGTTTCTTCATATCGATAACACTGGGAGTCCATGAGCCTGTTGCCATGATGACACGATCTGCTTGATGAGATACGCCATCTTTTGTCTTGATGCCAATCACGGATCTTTCCTTACAGAGGAGACTTTCAAAATGACCGGATTCTTTACCCAAGATAAATTGAACACCATTGTTTTTACACTTTTGATATACCAATTTGATTGCCTCTGCAGAATTACACCAACCTTTTCTTACGTAATCAGTACCCATTCATCGGTTTCTTTTTTTCAAAAAAAAAGTAGTGTATTACCTCCCACTTTGTTATAATAACCACTAGAGAGCCCACTGCGCACAGCATTTTCCAGATAGGGATAACGTTTTTGAATTTGGTCACCATTTAATTCCTCAATCCAATCGCCATGACCGGCATTTCTGATATGGAAGAGACTTTGTTGTTCATTTTCACATAGTGTGGCACCTCCCGAAAAGATCAACATGCCGGTATTATGATAGACGGGGATAGAACTCTCTTGGTTCCATTGGTTCCAGATGTCAATGGAGTCAATAGCTAACTGCATATTTAACTTACTACTACCATAATCCATTCTTACTACCTTGCTGATATCTATCATATAGAACAATGGATGATTTTTTTTTAAAAAAAAAAAGAAATGCGAGGGGAGTTTCATTTGTATTATTTTTACCATTGGATGCAGCATCACGTACAGGAATAGATTCTCGATCATAAACAGTGATACGATAGTTTTTATTAGCGGAGGAGAGAGCCAAAGCAGTGGATAGACCAAAACATCCTCCGCCTACAATAATAATTTTGGATCCGGGGGTAGGTGCTTGGTAAGTAGAATTCATGAGAGGAGAGTAGTTTTAGGTTTTTTCTTTTTTTACAGCAAGAGATGATATGCAGGAAGAAAAAAGGGGGAAAAGAAAAGAAAAGTTTATTTTATACAAAAAAGATCTACTGTAACACTTGTGAGAGAATAATTTTTAAAGACGAGGTCTAGAAGCTTTGAATTCATCTGGTGTTGCCATTCTAGCATGTTCAGTTTCATCTAATAATAATCTTTGTAATAGAGAATCAGCGCGTAAGCCGTCTAATTTTGTATCTTGGGTTGACATATCACGCCATGCCCATGCGCGACTGTATTCTGTCTCGATGCCTTCAATGATATCTCTAATCTTGAACCCCAAGATTGGAATGAATCTAAAAAAAAAGAAAAGAGGGCGTAGATAGATTATCAGTACAAGTCTTATCTCTATATAGATAAAATGCATCCAAAGATTTTACTTTAATCCATGGCCTGAATCGCCTGTAGCGACAATCAAATTCTTGTAGTCAGGATGTGGACTAATGACAAAATCACCATCAATAGAATCTGAGTACCTAAATATACGTTTTTTTTGGTTGTGTTTATATACAAGTTTCTTTTCCATTACATCTTGTATAAACTATGTAAATTACCAACAAACTCTGCCAAAGGAGACATCCAGTGATGAAGTTTCGGGTAAGAAGTTGCCCAAGAATTGTCGGAATTCACGTAAGGCACCAATAGGAAGCGTATCAGTGGTATGTGTCACTTGGGTGCGAGGTACGGAAACACCATCCACCTCACGAGGGTTAAGATATCTATAATGCGGATTTAAAATTTTAGCCATTTTTTTTTTCTTTTTTTCTCACATCATTGCTTCTATTTACCCACTGCTGTGCTTTCCAATCTTCATTTTTCCACCAGGGGTCATTGGGAATCCATAATAACCAGTATTAGAAAGATCGCCACACCAGACGGGTAACTTTTCCCATGAAGCGTTTAAAGTGGCATTCTGGGGGGAAGAAAAATGCACCACTTGTTGTCCACTGGCCACAACTTGATTATGCATATTGACTAAACCGGCAGTCCAGGAACCCGTTGTCAAGACAACACGATCTGCGTAATGAATGGTGTCATCTGCGGTTTGAATACCTACTACTGTATCAGGATTTTTGGGATCACAGTATACGTTTTTTAAACATCCTTCATCTCCAAGAACAAAGTGAACACCGTGATCGATACATTTTTGATACATGTGTTTGACCGCTTCTGACGAATTGCACCAACCTATTCTTACCCGGGTTACTTCTTGTTTTTTTTTTTTGGGATTGAACGAGGAGATGCCTTACCTCCTGCCTTGTTCAAATAAGCGGTATTAAAACCTTGTTTGACAGCATGATGAAACTGAGGGAAATCCTCCACGATTTCCTCTGGTGATTGATACTCCTTGATGAAATGACCATAACCTGCCTCTCTGATATTCTTCATACATGCCTTTTCAAAAGAAGAGAATTCATCCTTACCAGAAAGTAAAAGGACACCTGAGCGATGAAAGACAGGGTCGAGATTTTGTTGGGATCTTTCCTCGTTCCATTGATGCCACATACCCAGTGCTTCGATGGTTAGATGCATGTAAAGTGTATCATTAGCATAATCCATACGAACAATCTTGTTGATATCTGTGTGTATGTGTGTGGGAGTGAGTTTTATTATATTATTACTATCATTGGCCATGTGTGCGTACCTGAGGAGGCAGCATCGGGTGCTGGAATTTGTTGCCTATCAAAGACGTAAATGTCATATTGGTTTTTTAAAGCCAATGCATAAGCAGTGGAGAGACCAAAGCAACCACCGCCTACGATAATAATTTTGGAACCAGGAGGAGGAGGTGTGTAAGTCATGTTGTGTCTATGTGGAAAAAGGGGAAAAAAAAGAAGTGTAAAAATAAATAAAGATCTTTTTTAAAGCTTAAGAGATTATCTTAAAAGGTGTGGGTTTGCGGGGTAGACTCCGTTTGATCTCAGCTGATGCACCTTTTATGGACAATAACAGTCACTGAACCCAAGCATTTTTTGTTCATGCGGATTAAAACCTTTTTTTTTTATATCTCCCTTTTTTTTTTTTTTTCTTTCTTCTCTTTTCTTCTTTCTTATCATGGCATTTGCGCAACAACCACAACGACGTAGACAACAACATGTTGTAGAAAATGAGAATAGTTTAGCAGTGATATCTGATTCCGATACGGATTGGCATGTACTTAGTAGTAGTACATCTTCACCCATCTTATTTCCTTCAGAGTCTGAATCGTCATTTCGACCTTCTTCAGACACCGATGAGTCTGATTCAGCCGACGTCGCCTATTTACCTAGTCATGATGGTACGGGTACATTTTTAATGGATCATGAAGAAGAAAGTGTTCATGTGGTACTTCCTGCTTGTTTACCTACTTTAGCCGGAATCGAATTATCGGCTGATGATGAAGAAGAAAGTCATCATGACGCTCATGACGATATGAAATTTACCACAAAGCGACAACAAAATTTAGATAGGTAACAATCTTTTTTTAAAAAAAAAATTGCATACTTATCTATTATTATGGTTATCTGATTTTTTTTTTTTTTTGGGTGGGAAACGTAGTATTCCTGTACATCATCCAGGTATACCAGGTTCCTCCACATCGAACGCTATTTTATCGTTGGTATGGGCCAATTTAAAGAGACTGACCAATCATTTGATGGAGAATGATACAAATACGGTGGATACTTTATCTAATCTGATGTCAGAAGCTGTGATGGAAGGATGTATGCCATTTAGTTCTCATTTACATATGGACATTGAACCATCGTATCATCCTCGACTAGGTGGACCTATTTAAATTTGATTGGGCCAAAAAAAAAAAAAAAAAAAAGATGAAAAAAGTCACAGGGTTTCTCTCCTCCACACACATATAAAAATTAATTGCCCTTGCTGCTATTTCATTTTTTTTTTTTTCATTTTTTTTTTTTTTTTATTGAATCAATCAATTCTTTTAATTTTATTTATTTACATATGAGTGCACAGAAACGAAAGAATGAATTAGAAGAGGTAGATTAGATTAATTGAAATAAAACGAATTGTTTTTTAACTAGAAAAGAAAGGACAATGAGACAAAGCGTGTACAGACGACGTTGGTGACAAGCGGAGAAGAAGTAGACAGGATGCGACCATCGACGCCACCTTTGGGTATGACATTGTGCCATTATCATGCAGCAACAGGCAAGACGATTTCAACCCAATTAGGCATTCAAGATGAAATCCATAGTCCGATATGTTCTGGTATGACACCGGTTTATAAGCCTTCTTTTGAACGATGGGGATCCTGTACTCTCTAAAAGATAATTTTTATGAAACCCTCCAATTGTTTCAGGGCAAAATTTTTTTTTTCTTTTCTTTTTTCATATGAATAAATATCAAAACAAACAAAACAAAAAAAAGGAAAAAGACATTTATTTATAAAAACATTGGAATAGTATATGAAAAAAAAAAATAGGGAGGAAGAAGAAAAAAAAAAGGGTAAGGAAACACATGAAAAAAAAAAAGGTATAACAAAAGAAATTTTTTTTTTGTTTTTGTTTTTGTTTTGTTGTTGTTTTTTTTTTTTAAAAAAAAGGTGATATTTTTGCATAATAATAAACAAATGGTTTACTCCATCCAATCATATTCATTACCAACGCTACAAGGCTTTTTTATAGGAGTACGCTTGGTATCCGGTTGAGGTGGCGATGGAGAGGTAGAAGGCGCGTATTTTTCATTTATATGCGATGGATTATGATGAGGTGAAGTGGGAATTCTTCGATAATGAGGTTGAGGGGTGGAAAATGAATGAACAGGTTCCTTTTCATCCATATTGGTTGTAGGCGGCGCTTGTTGTGGACCTACTGCCCCTGCTGCTACTGCCGTTGATGGTGGTGGTTGTGGTTGTTGTGCTGCGTTAGGTGATGCTGTTGCTGATGATGTGGTTGCTGTGGGAGGATAGGTAGGATACCCGGGTGAATACATTTGTCCATAAGGACCTTGCTGTTGTTGTTGTTGTGGATGACTAGGATGATGATTTGGATGATGATTGCTAGGATGATTATTTTCATAGAGTGAATTTAAATTGGGTTGATGATGTAATCTACTATTATGATAATGTTGTTGTTGTTGTTGTTGTTGTTGCTGGGAATGAGACATGCTATTATGACTATGACCTCCACCACCACCACCGTCGGATGCAGATGTCGGATTTGTCGCTGAAGTACTTGTATACATGTCATACCCCATATATCCACTACTTCGAGAAAATTCAGCACTATGTCGATTATTTAAATTTGCTTGTTGTTGCTGTTGATGATGATGATGTCGATATCCAGCCGAATTAGCATAAGTGCTGTTATTATTAGGAGGGTAATAACTTGTGGGATGACCGTAATTTATGGTATTGACAGCCACTGCAGCCACGGCAGCAGCACCTGGAGTCATGGCCTTGTTGTTATGATTCATGTTGGAATCCAAGGACATGGAACGTGAATCACGGTTAAATCGTTGCATGGTGGTTGTACTGGCAGTAGAAAGCGAAGCCCAGGCTGTGTCTGGACGATAAGGGGCCCCCACAGGGTCACTACCGGATCGATTCACACGACCACGCACCGCCATCGTTGTTTTAGATCGTAACTCAGCCTCCGCTGCACGGTAATCGACCTGCCAATAAGAACCCTTGCCTGGTTCATTGATGGGGCGTGGAACACGAACAAAGCTCTTGTTCAACGACAGATTGTGTCGGATTGAATTCTTTTAATACGAAAAAAAAAACAGAACAAAGGTTAGGTCCGTTGTCATTGAAACATGATATTACATAAAAAAAGAGAGAGAAACTCACCTTCCAGCCGGTACCAGCAGACCCATAGTAAGGATAGTGGTCAATGACCCATTGGTAAATTTCGCTCAAGGTCAACTTCTTTCGGAGACTGTTTTCAATCGCGTATTTGATCAGAGTGGCGTAAGAATAAGGTGGTTTCCCTTCCGTGTTTTTCTCTACATGAATGTCTCTTGTGGAAGGTGTTCTGTGTTTCTTGGATCGACTACGTTCAGTGGAAGCGGATGGAGACGGGGTAGGTTGACCATGATGATGATGATAGTCATCACCATCGTATGACAAATCACAGGAATCTCTGGGAGAATAACCTGTAGTAGTTGTGATTGTTGTGGTAGCCGTTGGTGGATGATTAATCCATGAAGAAGATGAAGTAGTAGCAGAAGACGCGCCATAAGGAGTTGAAACGGATCGACGCGATTCCTCATCCATAATATGACTGTTGTTATGCGAAGGAAATCCATCGGTTGTGGTAGAAGGGGTAGGTACATTATTGGCAGCACTCATTTGATTAATTGGTGGTAACTGCTGTTGTCCTTGTCCTTGTTGTTGTTGGTGATGATGAAGACGGTGATCCTCTGTCGAATAATTAGGATTATTGTTACGTTCGAACCAATCAAAAGAGGTATTATTGGGGTTGTTATGGTGAAGTTCTGTCATTCTATCACTGCAACTGTTTTTTTTTTCTTTTTTTTTTTTTATATATATTTTTTTTTTGGGTAGTGAAAGAAGAAAGAAAAGAAAAAAGGGGGAGAGAGGGAGAAATAAGATTAAAAAAAAAAAAAAAAAAGTAAAAACGGGTTTAAAGAAAAGAAAAAAAAAAAAAAATAGTCATGTGTGTCATCCAAGTTTGAGCCCGTTGTTGACCCTATTATGTTTGAAAGTCTGCTTTCTTTTTTTAATCTCTATCGGCTGACAATAGTAAGCCATGTACCCAGGTTATATCATCATTGTCAGTATATAATCCCTTTTTTTATTTTTTTTACGCCTTTTGCTTATAACGCAACAGAAAAAAAAAAGATGGTCAGTTCCGACCGGTAAGTACGCATTTGGTAATCCATTAAAATAATAACAAGACCGTTTTATGCTTTTTTTTTTCTTTTCTGTAATGGCAAGAAAAGAAAAGGGAGAGAGAATATGGATTAACATCTTTTTTTTTTAAACATGTCACCAATGGTTGAATAAGTAAACATTTCACATATATATAAATAAGAGAAATTCAAAAAAAGAAGGGGTGGGTGGGGGGAGGGTTGTTATTATCGTCATGCTATAATCATCTAAACAATACGTTGCGCAAAAAAAAAAAAGAAAACAATAACAAACCTCATACGCTTTAGAAAAATGCGGTTTTTTTATAATGATATCAAACTCCCACTCACTCTTTCTTTATTAAGAAAAAAAGTTTATTTCATCGTTAGAAAAAGAGAGAGAGAAAAGACGGGTAGTACATGAATTAAGCCATATAGAATACTTGGCGTTTCAACCAAAAGGCTCACTCTTTCTTATTCGGAATCAATCCCGATACGCCTCTCAAAAAGAGAAAAAAAAAATCATAACAAAAGAAATGTACGACCGATTATCAATGATAGCTGTACAACTCCATATTCTATTTTCCTAAACACTAAGGGTGGTCAGTGCCTTTTTGTTGTTTCAAAACAATATAATAATATCTTATCTATATTTCTTTACAACACCCTCTCAACCAATCATTGCCCCAGATATCTGCCTTCTATCAGTTTTCCCACACAACATTTTATACTTTTTTATCTTTTTTTTCAGTAATGACCATTGGATTAACAACAGAGCAATTAGAAAAAGCAAGTACATTATATTTCTTCTTTTTGAGGTCTCAACTACTAACCACTTCTTTACTAGTTTGAGAGAGACGGGTAAAATATAAAATGATGAAAAAGGGCATAAAATAGCCGTTCTATTTTAACCCCCTACCAATAGTTGTCTCGTCATTCCTAACTTTTTTACCACCGAGAAAGCCGAGGAACTCAAGTATAGAGCCAAACAGTTACTAAGCGAGTTTTCTCTGGAAGGTCATCCCATGACTCAATTCAGTACAGGAACTCATTCACAAAAGCATGTAGGAGACGATTACTTTTTAACGTCGGGCGATAAAATCCGGTTCTTCTTTGAAGAAAAGGCATTTGACCAAGATGGGTTATTATTGATCCCTAAAGAACGCGCTATTAATAAGATTGGGCATGGATTGCATATACAGGATAAAGTATTTGCGGATTTCTCTCTAAATGACAAAATGAAGACAATGACACGTCAACTTGGATTTGAAAAACCTCTTTTACTACAATCCATGCTGATTTTCAAGGTTTTTTTTTTTATTATTATTATTATTTGTTTGTGTGTAAATGTTGACTCAATGTTTACTCTTGATATGTAGCAACCTTATATCGGTGGTCTTGTACCCGATCATCAAGATTCTTCTTTTTTGTATACAGATCCACTTTCGGCTGTGGGATTTTGGTTTGCCTTGGAAGAATGTACAGAGACGAATGGATGTCTTTGGTTTATCCCAGGATCACATAAAACCACACCCATCACGAAACGGTTTATTAGAGATCCAGAGGGTTCCGGTACCAAATTCACTAATGATGAGCCTTTAAAGTTTGATCCAGCTGAATATGTAAAGATACCGGTGGAGGCAGGTACATTGGTCTTAATCCATGGCAACGTGATTCATAAATCCGCACCCAATTATTCCAAACATTCGCGTTACATTTATACATTTCATGTGATTGAAGGAAATGCTCATTATCCCGCTGATAATTGGTTACAACCCCAAGGTGACACTCCATTTACATGTATTTAAAATAAACTGTATATCTGTGTATGTGTATGTGTATGTATATGTGTGTGTGTGTATTATTATTATTATTATTATTATGATTATTATGAATTAAGTTTTTGTGTGACTACAAATAAGATTAAAGGGGGGGGGGAAAGGGGGGAATAATAAAAAAAAAAAAACAAATCTAAACCATGTTATTTTGCACTTGAAGCTTTTTCTCAGCCATACTAGCAGGTTTTTGACTTTGCCAAATACCATGCTCATCAAAGACACGAATACCACGAAGTCTAATATCTAGTCCGTCTACATACATGATGACCCACATTAACCACTTTTTACCAAGCGGGTGAGGTTGCCAGTTCAGGTATTGATAAGTGCGTGTGGCATCTGCCAAAGGGAGCTGGCTTTGAAACAGATCAAAGGTAGAGTCGCGTGTAAAACCAAACATGTAGCGCATCGAAGCTTCTTGTACATAGTTTAAATATGTGTCCCATGCAGTATAGGTGATATCTAAGATTTTTATGTATTTAGATTGCCATTGTGTGTCATGACTATCCTATTTTGTAACTTACAGATGGCAAGAACAACATCGACGGTATAATGAAAACGAGTAAACAAGATCATGAGAATACCAGCCGTAGCAACGAGATAGATAATCCAACTAAAGACACGGCGTAATCTTGAATGTACTCTCCAGATCATACAGCAGGACATCATAAGAGAAGTGTGTCCTGAAAAGATGTTGTCAGTACAAGTTAAGGCGGTACCACCAATGACTTGGGTAATAAACCCGAATCGTTCTCCGACAGTGCCTGTTAATTCGATTTGAGGAGGTTTGCATTCATCAATGAGAGAAGAAGGTAAGGTAGTGACGAGTAAAGTGATGCCTCGAAAGATGTAAATGAAGCCCATGATAAATGCCCAACGCCTAAGGATGATGTAACGTGTTGTCCAGTCGGGAGATTGAAAAGCAAAACCAACCACCGTGTAGATCAAGACAATTGTCAATAAATAGTTTACAATTTGAGTGTCAGCTACTAGAGGAAATGCATCGTGCAATAGGTCTTTTAAGGGGTGCTTTTTTGTGTGGTTTTATTGAGAAAGGGTTAATAAGCTATTTTATTTTTTTATTTTTAAACCCTTTGTTGTCATTTTTTTCTTTTCTCTTTATTCATACTTACTTTACTAATAGGAGGACCGACATTGTATCTCATATCACTCAATTGAGCCATAAATGTCTCGACAAAACCAGCAAAGATCAACCAGAGCAAAATCATAAGGAATCGTAGAAACTCATGATTGAAAACGACATTGAATAAATCTCGTAAACTTCTGATTTGAGTGGGTGGAGATAATAAAAGAGGAATACAGCCAATCGTTTGTTTTTCATGCTTCGAAATGGCTACAATCGCAGGTGCATCTCTTGCTCCTACCTTTGATAAACTAGGTGATAAAAAAAAAGAAGAAAGTTGATCCATTTTCTTTTATATTTTAAAAAAAAAAAGAGAGAACAAAAAAAAAAAAAAAGAGAGAAAAAGAACGTGCGGGAAGGGGGAGATCAAGAAACATTGTCCTTTTTTCTTTAAATTATGAAATGTCACACAGGGAAAAGTGTCTTTTATTCAGGAGAGGTTGAATCAATTTAAAAAAGATTTAAATTTTTTTTTATTTTATTTTTATTTTCTCTCTTTCTATCTCTCTCTCTCTCTTTACAGTACCTTTTTTTTATATATATGCACAGGTTCCTTTTTCATTTGTAAGGTAAACTTGTGAAAGAGAATAAACTTCATTAGCAAATAAAAACTAAATCTTGATCCCACCAATGATCCACTCTTTTTGTGTTACCAAAACTTATTTTCTTTAAAGTCATCGAGTTTCATCCTCATCAAATAAAAAGAAGAGTCTCCTGCCCCCCCACACACACACATCTGATTTTAACCCTTACATGAGGAGTACATCCTCATCGGTAAGAACCGCCGCTAATCAATAAAACCTTGTTGCTTACTTGATCAGCGAGATATAAATAACATGAAACTCACTATAAATCATTAGACACCGAAAAAGAGATGTCATACAAACTTTATGTGTATCCAATGGGGACCTTTTTTATAATTATAAAGGGATGTTCAAAGGGTGATACTCTATTTTGACTTGTTGTGTGCATGGGAATTATAAATGTGCCACAAAATGGTAAAAAAGCCTTTATATGCATAAAAATAGGCATATAGCTCTTTATTACATCAGACGATTTTTCATGGGCCATCTAACATGTACATATAAAAAAAAAAAAAAAAGCCTTTTATGTCTGCAACCAATCATGCCATGGCAACCCACAGATTAAACGCGCGCATGATTAAAAGTGCACATGTAATAGGATCAAAAAACATCCCAAGCCGATCCCCCAACAACGTGTAACCCCGCTCTGAGTATAATATTTGATCCGATCAGGCAAGACACCCAGCCATTCCCTCATTTTGATTTCCCGTTTACATGTGTTTTTAATTGCTCATTCATCCCATTATATCACAGCCACTGGCGGAAAAGGTCTTTTATATTTAGATCAGACCCATATTTTTAATTACACTGAGCTTGTTTTTATATATAAAAGAAGCTATTTTTCACTAGTCCCTTTTCATTTTTTTAAACAATTACCCAGGTTACTATTTGACAACGCAAAATTGAGTTGGCTCATATTGACAATCTATCATTTCAATGGATCAGAAACTATAATTTTTTTTAATAAAGGGCTGTTTTACACACGGTACAATCATTATAAAGTTATGCGAGTTCTGTAAAGTCTTTTGATACATCCGTACAGATTAATGAATGATAACCGCAATCTAAAAATACACTTTTTTTTTCAAAAAATCTCTTGCAATCAGGCAAAAAGTATATCATTTTGTCTAGAATCTTTTTTGAATTTGGGTTTGAAAATAATTAAAAATGTATACCCTTTTGCAAATAGGAAATGAGGCTTACCAATGATGCATTTCTTTATTTTATGCGAAAATGTCTTGGCATATATGTTAAATCTCTATATTATCTATTTAAAAACTTGTAAATTATAGAATAGCATTCATACGTTTCACAGAAAAAAGATCGTAAATTTAATTTGAATTGCCCAAATATAGTCTTTTTCATTACTTGTTGCTTCTCTCCCATAGGCTTGAGCCCTTTTTTCTTGAAAACATAATAATTGGTCTTTCCATTGATTATCTCAAAAAGACAATTATTCCCTTTTAGTGCTTGATAGATGTTTACTTTGTGCTGAAGTTGCATGTATTATGGCACATGCATCCACACACTGTGCATCTCTTTCAAATTGATTATTCCTGTCTGTGCCCTTAAAAAGGTTGACTTATGGACGGAGATTGATGGCTTTCGGTTTATATTTGGTTTTAATTATAAACTACTAGGTATCCGCTCAACCCGAAAAATCGTGTCATACTTTGTCTTCTTGATTGTCATATTGATTGTTTAGTCTTCTAGTTGGCATCTACTGTCTTTGAGCTTGCTTTATATATTTATATTACTCCATTTATTCTCTGTGAACTCAGGGTCGTTATTTGGCAATAAGAAAAAAGAAAGGTGTATTGTGGTCAGCTAAATAAAAAGGCAAACCCAAAATTTAAAAAACACTCTCTATATGCTAAGTTTGTTTATTTATCAGATGTGTTAAAACCCAATTGTTTGTATGTATTTTTTATGAGTAACAATCAAAATATTTCTCTTTTTAAAGTTGTAATAAACAAAGAAAATCTCATTTTTAAAGCTTGTTTTATTTAAACAACTGGGTCTTGTGATGGATGAAAATCTCAACCATATTAATTGTATCTTTTTTTTTAATTTATGTAGATTTAAGGTGTCTTGGTAACTGAATTTTTTTAAATTCATAAATGCTTCCGTTGCAGCACGCAGTGGGAGTGCATGAGCTCATGTTTTTTTTTGATGGAAAGGAAAATCGTGTCTATAGAATCCATTGCTTCTAAACAGTAACTATTTAGTGCACACAACCTCTATAAATTCGATGTTCTGTGTGCTCAAAAAGCTATTAAAGAACGCACGTGCCCTGACGAGATTTTACTTTTATTGCAACCAGTAAATCAATGTGCTTTAAAAAAGAGTTCAGGTGCTGTAAAACTGTTGCTATACGTTATAGAGTTCTTTATCATGTAAAGTGATTCACTCATGGTTTGATTGTAGTACATACGCTTGTAATAAAACAAACAAAAACCAAAAAAACTGGGAAAGACAAAGAATTCGATGTTGAATTATAACGCAGTCCGGCGCGTCCCCGGCCTCTCTGCATTTTCATTTTTTTTTTTTAAAAAGCGCCATTTAACAAAAAAGAAAGACGCATTGCCACGTATATTCTCGAGAGCACCCAAAAAAGAAAAATAACTCTTTATTCTTTTTTTCTTCTTCTAAACAATGAATCAGGAACAACAAAGACCCATGATGAGTGGTGCTCGGCCTCCCTTGGCAGGTATGAGACCTCCTTTGGTTCAACCCCAAGGTGGTGCTGGTATTCGACCCATGAGTGGTAAGTGCTTCTTTGTTTTTTGTTGCATCAGATGAAAGCTTACCTGATATCAATAGGACCCATTCGACCTTTAATGCAACGACCCATGATGGGACAACCAGGTGTTCGTCCACCTATTCGACCCGCCATGTCTACACCTGCTCGACCCGTCATGTCGCCACCCATGGCTAGACCTGCCGCCGTTTCTCCTGCACAAGCCAATTTGGTCGCACCATTACAAAATATGCATATTCAAGCTTCTCAGGTATAACACATTAAAGAACCCTTCCTCCCCCTTTTATTTTCAAACTCATTGACAACACTGTCTAACCTGTAAACATTTTTTTTCTGTGAAGCAACCACCACCTGTAGCTACTAAACCAAGACGTGTTTATGCTGCAAACCCTGAGGTTGCTCCTGTAGGACAAGCTCCTTGGCCTAATAGTCTTCAACAACCTGGTCAACAACCCTATGCCGGACAGCCTCAACAACAACAACAACAACAACAACAACAACAGCAACAGCAACAGCAACCGATGCAGCCTTATCCTGGTCAACCTCAGCAGTTCCAATCACAGACACAGTTCCAACCTGCTCAAGCGCCCTTCCAAGCACCCGCAGGACAGTCATTCCAGACACCACCTGTTCAACAACAACAACAGCAGCAATCATTTCAACCTACTTCTCAGTACAGTTCGAACTCGAGTACACCGCGTCATCATCATGCGGGTATAGGTTATACCAACGCACCTTATTCCAATACGAGTCAACAATTACCACCTGAGCTTCGACCTCCTGTGCAACCCCGACCTAGAATTGATCCGGATCAAATGCCAGCACCAGTGCAAGTACGAGAGAACGATCAAGAATTATTCGCGGACAAGTTTTTTGGAACGATGGAGAGAGAACATGTTCCTTTAGCCACGACGGATTATATTGGATTAGACCAAGGTAATTGTAATCCCCGATTTATGCGATCTACCGTGGATCGTATGCCCTTCAATAAGGAATTGGCGGACAGATCCAAATTGACCTTGGGATTGATTGTGCAACCTTTGGCCAGAACACGAGCTGATGAAGTGGGTATTCAAGTGGTGAATCATGGTGAAGAAGGGCCGATTCGTTGTACAAGATGTCGAGCCTATATCAACCCTTGGTGTATTTTCACGCATGGCGGATCCAAATTTGAATGTAATGTATGTGCTCATTCTAACGACGTACCTGAATGGTATTTCTCAAATATCGATATGTCCGGTCGACGTGTGGATGTCAATGAACGACCTGAATTACGTTACGGATCAGTGGAATTTGAAGTACCCAAGGATTATTATTCCGCACGCACACCTGCTCCCTTGAGCTATGTGTTTGCTTTGGATGTATCGATCCAGGCTGTCCAAAGTGGTATGTTACAAGCCGTGTGTGAGGCTTTAAAATCTGCTTTGTATGATGCCAATGGTGACTCCAAGTTTGGAAATCGTATTGGTATCATCACTTTTGATAAGGGTGTTCACTTTTATAATTTAACCGTAAGTGACCCTCCTCTAAATGAAACTTTCTCATTTATAACATGACTTCTTTTTTTTTTCCTGTATAGCCTACTTTGTCAAGTGCACAAATGCTTGTTGTGTCTGATATTGATGATATGTTTGTACCTCTTCAAGATGGTTTCTTGGCGGATCCCAATGAATCAAAGTAAGTTGTTTTATAATTTTTATTTTTCGCATGAACTTCCAAACATTCGTTTTTTTTTAAAATGTATATCAATTTTCTGTCTTTTTGTTTTGTAGAAACATTATAATTGAGCTTTTAGAAACATTGCCTCAAATGTTTAGAGAAACAGCGAGAGCTGAATCTGTATATACATCTGCTGTTCGAGGTGGATTGCAGGCCTTAGTAAGTAACATTTTTAAAAGGTGATGCATATGACGGATGGACTGATCCTATATCTTTTTTTTTTTCTGTGTAGAAGGGAACAGGAGGACACGTCTTTGTTTTCCAAACCTGTCTTCCCAATTACGGACCCGACATGTTGAAATCGCGCGATGATAAATCCTTGTACGGTACCGATAAAGAGAAAAATTTGTTGGCGGCTCAGAATGATAAATACAAGGAATTGGGAGAGACCTGTGTGAAACATGGTGTATGTGTGAATACATGGGCTTTCCCATCGCAATACATGGATATTGCCACTGTCAATGTGGTGTCTCATTTGACCGGTGGTGATTTGCGTTATTTCCCCGGATTTAAGTTAGGGGACAAGTATCGTATTCTGTATCAGTTAAATCATGATTTACACCGAGAGACTGGATTTGATGGTATTTTCCGTATTCGATGTTCGGACGGGTTACAAGTTTTAGACCACTATGGTAATTGTCATATGAGTACCTACACTGATGTAGATACAGCTGGTATGGATGAAGACAAGGCCCTTGCAGCCGTGTTGAAGCATGATGGAAAATTAGATCCTAATCGTGGCGTGTCTTTCCAATGTGCCTTATTATATACCAACAGGGAAGGTCAACGTCGTGTGCGTGTGCATAATCTTCAATTATCGGTTACCACCCAGATTGCTGATGTGTTCCGATGTGGCGATGTGGATACGACCATTAGTATCATGTTAAGGAAAGCAATTTTTGATTTACATCACAAGAACCGAAAGGATCTCCATAAGACATTGACAGATGCATGCGTGGATGTCTTGACAGCTTATCGTGTGAACTGTGCTTCTTCTACTTCACCTGGTCAATTGATTTTGCCAGAGGCGTTCAAATTGTTACCAGTGTATGTGCATGGTGCTATTCGATCTACTATTTTACGAGGAGGTAAAAAAGACATGAAAAGGCAGAAAGACGTATAGGATTCTTAAATTTTTTTATATATATAGTGGGAGCTGATATGAATATTGATACAAGGGCAGCAGGCATGAGTTTGTTTAATACGCTTGGTGTTGCTGAATTGGTTTGGTCGTTATATCCTCGTATGTTTGGTTTACATGATTTAAGTGAAGAGGCAGGTGAACCTGATTTGAAGGGCCAAGTGAAATTACCACCCATGATTCGTACTTCGTATGATCGTTTGGACACCAAAGGAGCTTATCTTGTAGACACAGGTTCTGATTTATTCTTTTGGTTGGGAGCCAAAATTTCTCCCGCTTTCCTCAAGGATGTATTTTCTGTTGATACATTGGATGCTGTGGATCCCAACATGGTATGCAAGAAGAAGAAGAAGAGGAGGGAAACAGTTATTTAACCTTTTCATTATTTTTATTAGATTACATTGCCTACACTAGATACCAAGATTTCTCAAAAAATTCATCATATGATGAGACAATTACAGTCTCAAAGATCTCGATATCTTGCACTTCATATTGTGCGTCAAGAAAAGGATGCAATTGAATTCTTATTCTCTACCTTCATGTCAGAAGATCGCAACGCAGAGGTCCAAACCTATGTCGATTACATGTGCGTTTTACATCGTAAAATTCAAGAGGAAATGAAGAAATCTTCGAGTTAATAATATAAAATACAAATAAAAACATAATTCATATATAAATTTATTTATTATTATTATTGTTATCACGGCTGTTGATGATTCACAGGATGAAAGGTGACGGGTTTGTTCTTGTATTTGCTAAACGCTTGTCGACTGGATTCTGTCGTTTCGTCCCGTTTGGACATGGTGACAATATCGGGTGATTCCAAGATGGAATTAAACCCGAAATAAGTTCCTTGTGATATGGTTGTATATCCCGGTGGTCCTTGACCCCAACCTTCATCCTGCTGCGGATCGCTCGAGGATGGGTCCCACGGTTGATCGTGATGAGTGTCCCATGGATCTGTATTCCCTTTATTCCACGTTGCAGCGTCTTGTTGTTGATTCCAACGGGCTTCAGGCTGTTGTTTCTGTCGCGGTGACTGCTGCTGCTGCTGTAAAAAAGCTTGTTGCTGCGAAACATGGTATTGCTGTGAGGGTTGTTGGTGTGGACGTGAAGGGACTGTGAAAATGGAATGGGTAGATTCTAAATGTGTCTTATCAAGTTGTTGTGAAAGTTTTTCGTCGTTAGAAGAAATGGAAAAAGCATTCATGTATTTAGTCAAGTCAAAATCATCGGTTGATTGACTCATTGCGTAAGTGTGTGTGTGTGTGTGTGGGGGGGGGGGGTATATGTATGAAAAAGACAAAAAAAAAAAAAAAATTATGTGAATCGGTCAAGAATTGATTTGTTTTGGGTGGGTGTAGCCAATCAAAAAGGTATTTGTTTCAGAAAAAGTGTACTCCCGATGGTATAAGATGCTATTTTGACTGTTGGCAGAAGAAATAAGAGAAGGGAAAAAAGATACAACTAGGCAATCCTGATATACGAGGGGGAAATTGCTTTAGTTAATCATGCATGTCCAAGGTTAATTTAAACGTTAAAACCGAGCTACTCACTTGTATCAAATAAATAACAGTTGGTCATACCACGCTACGCTTTGTACTGACGCAAAAAAAAAAGCGACTTCATCTAATTATAGCCACATAGTAGGGTGCCAATTCAGTTTGCATCGTTTTTCATATATCTAACGACTCATTGATGTTTCTGCTTAATTGTATCAGAATAATTCCTTTCAGCATGGTATCCTGTCACTGATACATTGATTTTTTTTTTTGCTAGTATCTATCTTGTCCAAAAAATGAAAAGAATAAAAATTTAGGAGGATTACTATTAATACCGAAACTTATGCGGGTTTCCACTTCCGCATATATTCCATGTAAATTAAGATATTCTCAAATGTTTCTAGATATCTTGATAAAGACAAGCTGTCTGTTAGTACATTGATGAAGGGGAGCGAGAGAGGCGTTATCGTAGTTAGTCGTACAATTTATGGGTCATTCATAATTTTTTTTTGAAATTAAAAAGTGTTCAGTTTATTTTATAAATAAAATATGATTAGTTATGATTTGGGATATAATACATAGTAAAAGAGAAAGAAATAAAGATATTTGTATATATAATAATAATAATAATAATAATAATAATAGTAGTGGTAATATTTTTTGAATATGAAAGTTATGTTGACCCATTTACTCCAGCATGGCACTCAACTCGCGTATCTTGGCAGCGTCTAATACCTCCAAGTTTCGACATTTGTCCAGCAAAATTCCATCAGCGTCAAATGAATAACGGGTTGATAAATTTTGAAACGTCAAAACTCTTTTAATCACGGTAGCAATGACACGGTGCTTTCTAAAGTTGACCAGTGGCTGATCAAGACAAGCGGGCATATTTCTGGTATTGTTGGCACTGTAAATCTTTTGGCTTTCCAAGTTTGCTTTTAAAAAGCGAGGCTTTTCAGAATTAAATACAAGGTCAGACAAATAAATACCCAAGAATGGGATGCATCCGCCAAAAGGAATCTTGATTCTTGTAGTCTTCTTGAACTTTTGTCTGTTGGCGGTAGTACCAGGCATCTCTACCTGTACCTCAGCAGGTGAATTGCCGTATTCTTCGGCTACTTCCGTCATACTATCACGGATATTCTTCCAATTCTTCATGGGAGATGTAAACTCAGTAAGCTTGCTGAGTAGCTTTTGACATTTGGCACTGACTTTTGACCAGGTTCTTTCCAAACGAGCAACTGCTGGAGATTGGAGACCCAAAAGGATCTGTACGAGTGTAGCATAATTGGAATACATTTTGCATTTCTAAAATTTTAACGGTATTAGACACTGAATAATACACATGAGTTATAATTATTTTACCTTTGCTAATCGAATAAACTTCTCAATCAGTCTGACTCGTTCATTTATATTTCTTGTTCTGACAATTTCCGAAGATACCCATTGACATACTGTATTAAATCGCTGGATGACTTGCTCAATGCCTTGTTCCTCTGTTCGTCTCATTTCTGATTGGCGGGTATAATTGATCTTTTCATCGTCAATATCGTCTTCGAAGGTGCTCTGGTTGGCATAGTTAGGATTGATCTTTCCACTTGCATCCATTTTTGTCCATTTACAATGAATAAGCTCTTCCCAGCCTACTTTAACCAAAACGTCACGTTCAATGAAGCAGAGTTGACTTGCAATCATACTTGTTCTGTAAGACATGATGAAACAGCGACCACTTGGTTTAGGTGATACATTGTGGATGGGTCTTGGTATCGATGCAGTAGCTTCGTTATTATTTTGAAGATTTGTGTCAGGAATGTGTTGATGTGTTGGTAATACGGGTGGTATACCAAGTTCAATCAATTTCGATCGAGGTACTTGAGATGTAGCATCAGAGATAAACGACATTCTTGCGCGACTAGAGCTAGCCTGAGCTTCTGTTTGAATTGATCTCTCTGAAGGAGCAAAACTGGCTGTACTATTATCATCATCTGAAGATTCATGTACGGACTCGGTGTCTTCAGGTAAAGTATTGGACCCAATCACTGATCGTGCCTGTAAATGACCAAGATAAACAGGTCCACTCTTTAAATCTTTTCCGTTTTTCTGTTCTTGAGCTATAGCGCCAAGATGATTCACAAAGTCTTGTTGAGACATGTCAACACTTGCACCACGTCTACGTCTTAATTCGAAACTACGTCTACGTTCATCGTCAGGCATAAGCATTACGCTGAGTCGTCTACAGGTTGTCGTATTTTCTTTATTTCCTGAACACTTTGCACAGTCGCATGCGAGCTCTTCTGTTTCGCTATCGTCCACACTGTTCAATCTAAGACGTTGTGCAATAAGGCTAACTAAATGGCCACCTCCTTGTTTCTCTTCTTGTTTGGTTTCAACTTCAGCAGGTAATGGTAATTCGGGTTTCTGTTCAGTTGCTGTCGGTGTTTTGGGGATGTCACTTTCCTTGCTAGGCTTTTCTTCTTGGTTGGGTCTGAATACCTTGGAAATGGCTCTTGAAAGTCTACGCTTTGGTACTTTATTGGCTTGCGTATCTTCTTTTACCTCCTCTTGTGCCTTGGTACTCACTTTTGTAGATTCATAAGGAATGGAAGCAAACGCTTCCAAAGCACCCGACGTGTCAATCAATAAATCATCGGGATGCATGGATTTTTTCTTTGGTAGCAAGCTCTTTTTCTTAACAGCTTTACTACGACTTTTATAACTGCCACCGAGCATATCTGATGTTAATGGAGGAAGTTCAGGAACATCAGGGATATCATGATCAGAAACAGTACCAGTCAAATAAGGAGATGTAGTTGCAGATGAAGGAGCTGATGACCACGAGGGATCTTGGAAACTTCTCTCACTTTTTCTTCTTTCTATGCTCTTTTTAGATAGTTTTCGCGAAAGCCCTATAGGAGATTTATGTTGAGTTTCATCCCCGCTTAACTCCTTTAAAAGTTCATCTGGTAAGGTTTTCCCGTGATCCATATCTAACGGGTGTTTGTTTTGATAGTCGTCTGTTTTACACCATCTCTCGGATGGAATCCTACGTATTCCTTTCTGAGCGTTACTGTCCTTTTTGGCAGTTGCATGTGTTGGCGTTGTAGGTGTAGAGGGAGATGAATATTCACTGGTCAAATCGGCCTTATCTGTTTGGATAAACTCTGGCGGGATTTTGGTCGGATGGGTGAAGCAGCTGGCGCCAACTGAGTGGGTGAATTATTCAATACATTCCCTATCATCAGGTGATTATATGATGTATCCAGTTGCGTCAAACTACTACTTTGAGACATTCCGGGATTTTCGGATATGGGTTTATTGATGCTGAGGGATTTGAAGTACTCCAATGTTTCTTGTTGCTCTTGCATCCAATGACGTTCATGTTCATCGTATTCTACACAAGATTCTTGCTGAATATGAGAGTGATCATCATCATCATCTTCTGATTCCTCAGGAACAGTTTCGCCAGCACTTAATTCACTTTCAAGAGAATCATCAGAAGCAACACTTATAACAGAACTAGCCTCATTCACACCAGCACCAATATTGGTACCACCCTCGCCGTTAAAATCCGAAGCTTCGTGTACACTTTTATCATAGCGATGATGGATTGATGAACGAATTGTTTGATTATCTTCAAGGCCTGTTACGACTGTATTATCTATATCGTGTGATGTCTGTGCAGGAACTGAATGTTGTGATGGGTATCGTCGTAGTTGCACAAACGAAGATTTGTTGTTGTCTAAGCCTGAATCAATAAAGCTGCCCTTCATATTCAAACTACCCACTACTACTACAGGGGCATAGCGAGCGTCCTGCACAGCCATGTTTCCATTATGATGACTACTCATATCCACTCCAAGAGCTGTCTTTCTTCTGATTGCATTTTGAGATAATTTGGCACGAACAATTTCACCCATTTGTTCTTGTTCTGCAGTAGGCGGAGGCGGAGCAATTACTTTGACGCGAGAAGCACCGGAAGATCTGTTGTAGTATAGTTTTTTGAGCCGGCGTACGACACGCTTTAGTATTTTCACAATACGTTGGTCGCGTGGAGACTCCTTGACTAACGGATGGCGTGGGAGTTTATTGAGGAAATCGGTTAATATTCTTCTAAGAGGTCTGTTGCCGATGAAATCATGAACGAAATAATTGTTTAACCAGTGACGGAGCACGACAAACGTTCTAAGAAAACAATTGGTCAATATGATGTCCGTTTTGTGCTTTTTTTGTTTATGTGGCCTACCTTATTCTGACAATTCTTCGAGGCTCTTCATCATTTTTCAATGCCCAATAAAATCTTGATATTAATAATTGACACAAATCCTCAGGGTATAAAAAATCTCTATATGTCAAGAAGAAATCCGTCATAAAAGTATAATCTTTGTAAGAAGAAAAAAAAAAAAAAGAGATTAGTTGTATGGTTTCACAACACTTGAACACGTTTTTTACCTAGTGTATTGGTTAATTTTTCTACTAATTTATGAATAGTGGCAGCTTCGATGACTTTTGGTATATCGGGGAAAGCATTGGTATTAATTTCGCTGCTGATTGAATCGCGCTTGGCCTTTGTTTTTATTCCGAAAGCCTTTCTTAACAATAAGGAGCCATGTTTTGTGATTGCAGGTTTCTCATTATTGAGTGCATGCTTATTACCTAATTTAAGGCTTTCAGACCAAAGTTGTGCAGATAATCGTACTGAAGCGAAACTTGATCTTGTACTGCTATTGTTTTTCACAGAATGTATGGATTTGCTTCGGGCCAAAGTTGAAGTAGCATTTGAAGAGAAGCCCTTTAATTCTGGCCTCTTGTTCTGTTGGTTGTTATACAAAGTGGCATAAGAAGAAGGGCTTTCAGGGGTTGTTGTTGTTGCCATGGAAGAAGAAAGTACGATTGGATCGGGACCCCATATAATAAATCTTTCGTCGTCGTCAGATATTATTAAATCGAATGTCTCTGGTGATCCTATGGTTACAACTAATCTTGTAGTAGGGTGAATAGATTCTTCATCCTGATTGGATGAAATATGCTTAGCTGATTGTGATGAGAGTATAAAAGAGCTATTGATGGATGAAAGGGATTCTGATCTAATGATTGGTGTTGAAGAGTGTATCAGTATAGAAGAAGGATTTGCAGGAAACATAACGTCAAAACCATTCTCATCTTGATAAAGAATGTCTTGAAACTTGCTGACGGTTGGTATATGAGGTAATGAGAAACTTTTGGTGGCAGTTGGTGTAGGTGATGTAGCATTTCCTGCTGGAAAAGAAGGTTTGAGTAATTCACTAGATCCTACAGGATCAAGAACGGAGTCAACGTAGGACGAAATTACAAACTTGGACTGATATTCGTGGTCTTGTAACATGATTGTATCCCCTTCGTTGTTATGGGTTGCAGTTGATAGAGGTCTGCTCATCACAGATGTCCCATTCACTGATATATGACCGTATTTTTCCGTATTATTCGTCATGGTTGACCCATTTGTAGGTCTCGTATTATTAGCCTGCTTCTTTGGCAGTAACCCTTCGTGCTGATATTGCTGTCTTTCCCAAAATATTTTGGAGTCTATATATTCTGGTACACCAAAAACGGTAGCCAGAGCAGCACACTCTCTTCCTCCTTCTCCACTGTTATTCATCATGAGTTCAATGGGAATGAGCGAATTGTTTCTTTTTCTCGGTGTCGGGTTGGGATTTTCGTCTTGCAAGGGCATAATTCTTGTTCTTTTACTGTTGGACGTTTCCAAATGTGAGCTAATATATTCACCTGTTAAATATACTACTTGTTTTTAGGTATGTCTTACTAACCTGTTAATACTCTCGTTGTCTGGAGTCGGACTATGAATCCTGTTCATGGTCTGAGACCATTGGGAAAGGGGTCGATCAATCATCAATAAAAAAAAATTTGCAAAAGAAAAAGGGAGAAAAGAAAATTGACGTCCCCAGCTTTTTGGCTTAAAAAAATTTCTCTGTACAATCATGCCTTATTAATTACATCACATGCGCGATTGACTTTGATGGCACGGTGTCACTTATTCTAAATAATAATAACAAATACGTATATAAATCAACTATAGTCTGTATCCACTTTTTTTTTTATCATTCCCTCTCGCTAACCACTGTTAGCAGAAATAATCGGATGTTACTAACCAAAGTTATTAAAGAAAATTAAACGTGTCTTTTGTGTTACACGGAATAGATTGTTATTAAAGGCATCATCGGGGTTTTCCATAAGGACACCACTTTAAATACTTCTTTCAGATAACAATGCGTTTTTATGTATTTATGCAGCAGCTAAACTTTTAGATGTGATGCTATCTAAAATAATTCTGCGAAATAAAATACTCTCCCGGGTTGATGTGTCAGCAGACAACAACAAATTAACTTCCCATTTGAGCAACGCGTGCTTTTTTTTTTAGGATATTGTGCTTCGTTGGCACATTTGCTCCAAAAGCGAATGTCGTTCCACTAAAGTATAAATTGCTTGGCCCGAAACTTGCTATTCCCGCTTAAATACAACTTTTCATTAAAAGGCGTAAATGGTGACTGGCCTGTTATACAAACGGAACGATGGATAACGTCGGTTCACGAATACAATAGCCGCATTCTAGAAAGTAAGACCGATGAACTTTATCCTTTTAACACGTCTTATAAAGCAACCTAGTGAGCTAGCTAATTTTTAATGAGATAGCAACTAAAGCTGTACTAGTATGCGTTATAAGTTACTACATTACATTGACAAGTAAAGTTTGTGGGCCATTGTGGCTATGGCACTGCAAGAACCTGTCTTGGCAATAGAAAGCACCGCAAAGCTTCTCCATTACTGATATATTATGGATCGATATTTCCAATAAGCATTGGTCGCACCCGATAGAATCCTGTTTTCAATTTAAATCAATCCCATTATTTGTCAGTAAAAATACAACTTTGATATTAGCTGGCTTTAAAAGTTTTAGAGTTCATGAAATAAAGATCTAGTGACAAAACTCAAAAGCTTTTTTTTAAGATGACATTTATTTGTTATTTCAGGAACATTCATGTGTAAATATTTTTTAATCAAATGAAATTATATATTCTAGCTTTCACTCAATAAAGCCGCTGATTTTATTTAAGCACGCGTATCAAAACCGCACGGAGCAAGAATCAGCAGGAATGTAAGCTTTATGATGCCGATAATAATTGTGTACCAGGCTTCTATTTTGATGGTTGTTCCCTGATATAGGCTCTACTCTCAAGATCTGCAGCACGGATTGGCTCAGGTATGCGATATTTAGGACACGTTGCCAGAACAACTTTAACAGATGTTTGCAATGACACTCTATGTCCTTGACTCACAAAGACAGGATTAGGTGCACTATCGGACGTTCGAAGTGCGGTGCCATATATAATCTTGGACTTATTACCTATCAGATCCATTGCGTCCCCTTTTTTTAAAAGCTCTTTCTTGTACTTTGTTTTGACTTGTAAGAGATCGTCAAGATCATCAGGAATCATCAAAAATGTTTTGGCTATGCCAATCGTTGGTGTATTACTTAATACACCTAGATGCGACGCTATACCAAATTGACGTGGATGCAATAATCCATTTCCTGGTAGGATTATAAGCTGCTGATAAGTGTAATAGAAATAAAAACTTACCATCAACAAGAATCATCTGTGGATAGAGCTCTGGGTGCTCAATTTTCAGCTCGTCAAGCAGTTTCAACAAGGGACCAACTTCTCGAAATGCCAAATATCCTGATATGTACGGAAGGTAAAGTTTGGTCTCGAGGAACTTTTTATAGACAACCTAAAAATAAAAGTTATGCAACAAATAAAAAACCATTAAAATAGCTTATTTATTACCTTGAGTTCTGGCATCGACATTACGATCAAACAAGCAACAGCATTTTCATTATCACCAAGCGGAAAACTGAGATCTACACCAGCAATATAGTTTAAGCCATCCAATGTTTTGGGATCGAAGTCTAACATGTCGTACATTTCGTGTTGCTGGCGTAATTTATTTTGTTCACTATGTGAATAACTTTAGAAGGGTCGAGATTGAAATAACTTGAAGACCTTACTCTTGCCATTTGTTCCTTTGCTCGTTAGAAGGATCTGCATCATAAGTCGAGCCCATGTCAAGCATTATTACCAACAGATATTTTAGTAAAAAAAAAGGGGAAAGACCTGAATTCAGGTATCTGATTTCAAGATACGCGCGGCCAATTTGTGTTATTAGGGCAAATTTTACATATTTTGAAATCTTATAAATTATCATGCTCTAGAAATACGTTCATACTTAAATAATCTCTGCGAATCTCGTAAGAAGTTTATTATCGAATATATAAAAAGCAACATACCTTACTACTCCATACTACGCATTTTTATTATCTTATTTGGTATTATTACAATAAGAATGTAAATATTAATTCTTGCTATGCATTTTAAAATAATATATAAATTAAAGATTTAGAAAAACTTGTACATCATTTATTTCCGCAATACTTTTGCTGCAATGACTAAAATCACGCTGTCTATATTAATTGCATTTGCTTATGGAGTGACTCAATCATTAGCTGCTACATCACCTTCGATTCAGCTTCAGATTGGCAGTAGTCCAAGTGGATGTGCTGATATTGCTGCATGCAATTATGGTTGCGCTAGATTTTCTTCGGACAGCGTAAAGCATGCTTTGACTCCCATTTGCACATCGGACGAAATGTCTGACGACTATCCTCAACATATCACAATTAGAGGATCCACAGTCACGCCGTACATTGTCGACGAAGATACATCCGATGAATACGTTTGTAAGAAAACTTCAGGCAAAGGTCGCAACTATGTCTGTACTCTGGATACGGCTGATACATCCTCCAGCTCTAAACCCTCCAAAGGTAGTCCAAATTCAAGTGCTAGCTCCAGTGCTATTGCAAGTAAAAGTTCAAGTGCAACTGAAATGTCTAGTTCTGGGTCTCCTATCGTTTTCAGAGATGTCAAAGGTGTTGGTAAGGCAGTTCAGTGTAGTTTTTTCCCTCTTATTGCTGGAAAAGGTACCAGAAAAGGTAATGTCAATGATTGCTGTTTGAGCAGTATTGACTGTAGCGGATTATGTTTCCATGGTGCATGTGCTGATGTATCGGTCCTTGAGGGTTCCTTATCTTCTCCTTCTTCTCCTTCTTCTCCCTCTTCACCCTCATCTCCTTCTGCAGCTTCCGGCTCTTCTCCACCCAAGTCAAGCCCTATTCAAGCTGCGGCGCAGAGTAACTGTGCATATAATCCTACCATCTTTAGACAACATCAAGGTCAAGGAAACTTGGACGATTGCTGCTGGACTAACGATGATTGTCACGGAGCTTGTATTGAAGGCGCATGTAATAGCGAAAATAACGTACCAGTACCGGTTTGTAGTGGAAATGCACATAAAGGAAAAGGACTCGGACAAGGAAGAAAAGGAGCTTGTTGTATTTCTCAAGCCGATTGTCAAGAAAATTGTATCTATAATACATGCACTGCTCCATTAAATTATTAAAATTTCAATAAACTTTCTTTTTACTTATAATAGTATTTACTAACTGTCTTCTTTATTGTTGCTCTAATATGTATGCATTTTTATTAGTGATTACGATCAATATAATTGACGGTAAATTATAAAAATTCACATGAGTATAAATGAGTTAGAGTTTTCTTTTTCATTTAAAATAAAAAAAAAAAAAACTTAAAATAGGTTAAGTATTTAGGAATACAAGGAAAAATGATGACCAGAAAGTGGGCGAGACACATTTGCCGATATTTATTCTAATAGTTTTTACATACATTATAATGAGCATCTGTATTAGCCTAATCTTGCTGATCAGTTGTAAATTGCCATACCTTATTAAACAAGATCCTTAAATTGGTCACAATTATTATGGTAAATCATATGCTTGATTGATATCGCTTACAATATGAACAGGCGAAAAAGCGCGCCTTTGATACTCAATGACATCAATTAAGCTGACCCGTACGCCCTACCGCGACGACATATTGTTCATGCATCTGAATCTTCTGCCGCAATTTTTAATATATCCAATGTGTTATTGAGTATATAATTCAACAAGTAAGCTACAAACAATTCATATCATACAGTACATGATTAATTTATATGTTCCAACCAAAGAATATCATGTCCAAGCGAAAAAAAATACGTCCTCTCAGAAGATCCCCTTAGAAAAAGATATGTCCCAGCAAAAAAAAAGTAAGAGTTTTTCTAATTTCTTATAAAATAATAAGTCAGGATTTCTTCTCTTGGTGTTGTAGTCCTCGCTATGAGGTGTTTGTTATTTTCTAACCCTCCCTCATGTTCCCAATTGCGAGAAAAAGTCAAGAGTAGCACACGATAAAATTAGAACTTCTATTTTAAATATAACAAATTATTCCTCTTTAGTGGTTGAAACACAATATTACTTTTCTGTGGCAGGCAGTACTATATATGAATTCAAATCTGGACTTTGTGGACATCATTTGATCGAAGATAAGTCTACCTTTTTGAATAAATGTTTAGCCAGAGAAGTGATCGTCAACCATAGTATAATCATAGAGAATAAATGGCAATAATATAAACAAACCATATTAACACTGGAGCTTCTTGGGAGATCTTCATCAAAATAAATTTGTGAGTAATTCTTACTCTGTCTTTGTCTTGGAGACATGGTACAATGGTGAAACATAAACATGTCTTGATTAAAAATAAGTTTACATAGTAACACAACAGGCCCAAGGAAAAGGTTTCTTTTTAAATTTGGAAATAGCATGAGTTTTATTAATGAGTATATAAAGAAAAAAAGAACAAGTGGGATAATGTTATATGAGGAAGAAGAAAAAAAAGGGAGGCCAAGCCAGCTGATCAGTGGAATATGTATATGTTTATAATGGATGAGGATTTACATTGAGAGTTTGCTGCCGCTCTCTTTCTCTCTGTTTAACAGGGACAGAAATCAGTAGAATGAGGACCAGTGCAATTATTACAAGTCGTGGTGCCTGATCGTCTGCCAGTACCGTCATCTGTAGGTGATGGATACCCAAACAATGAAAAATTGAGGGTTGGCATCAAATTGGGTCTTGGAAAATTACTGAGAATTGAATTCTCTGTCACTACTTCAGGACCTGCTTTATAACTATTGCTTGCACCAGCAGTATTATCTTGCTTATATTGGTAGTATCCTGATGACTTAGGAAGAGCACGTTGATTTGTCGTAGAAAATGGTTGTCGCTTAAGTACACTTGAAATGGGACCAATACTCTTGCGGATACGATCTGGTTTAGATTGTGATGAGAAGAGACAGAAAAATGGCAGATTTCCAAGAATAGACATTGTGAGAGAGGAGAGAAGAAGATATGGAGATTTGAATAAAAGCGACAGAGGCCAGAATATTATATAGGAAAATGATAAAACGTGGTCGTAATGTTTATAAAGGGAAATTGGTCAAGCCTCAATTTTATCTTACCCCGCGTGTACATTATCCGTAGTATCCCGGATGATTCATAAAAAAACAAAAAAGACGGAAACTCAGCTTTAAAATGTAGTCATAGAATCTGATAGGAAAAAAAAAAAAGGGGTGTGAAGTAAAAAAAACGCAAAAGGGTAGAGTAAAATATTTTTTACTTTTACATTTCTTCTCGGTTTATATACATTTTTTTAAAAAAAAAGTAAGATGATTTTATTCAATCCAAAAAGTCATGTCATGGCCGTAAAAGTATATACGTATGATAGGCTTTAAAATACCGCAAAGATGGTTTATTAAAAAATTAAGTATATAACTCTTGGATATCATCTCCAATGAATGGAATAGATTCACCTTGAAGATCGATACCTTCCAAAAACTTGTAAGGGAATTCAACCAAATGGCCACGAATGTTACTCAATTGATCTCTGATATCTTCAACGGACATTTCGGGATCGTGGACGTGACCAATTTCAATTTGGCTGGGATCAGGATAAAAGGTTTTATATTCCTCCCAATTGGTTACTAAATTAAGTAACAAAATTAGCTCAGCATTTTCCCCTTTTTTTTTAATTATAGACTAACCGGTATCATCAGGAACACAATGGAAGACCTCACGGAATGCATCAGTATTTGTCTTTGCAGTTCCGTTCCATCTTTCAAGTGTTTCATCATCAAGAGGATCCATAACTTCCTTATCTTCTTCACTATATACAGTATCAATTTGAGGAGTAGGTAAAGGCAACATGGCATCGGTCACAGCATCTGGTTCAGTATGTGGAAGCAAACCTAAATGCTCCTTCCACAAGTTACGTCTTAAAGTAGCAGCAAAACGAGAGGCTTCATACTAACAACCAAAATTAATCATTGTTTATCCCTAACAATCTTCAAAGTACTTACGAATTTGCCGTTCATTTGAGAAGGAATCGTCTCTTGGTCTTCCACAAGCAAGGCGATTTCAGAATCACGGTCACCACATTGAGAACGATCGTTTAAATTACTGGAACCCATAATAACAACCTTGTCTGTAAATATAAGAGTCAGTAAATATGTTCTATGCGTGATATAGAATAATCTTACCATCAGCAATTAAAAGCTTAGCATGGATATAAAGTTCTTCAGTAACGTAATCGCTGGCTTCTTCTCTTTCAGCACGAGCATCACGAGGCTGACTGTCTTTTGTATCATTCACCCAGGGCTCACTTTCAATATCACCGTCTAACATGGCATCCTTGGCAATAGAATCAGCAGCAATACCTTCATCTTCTTCGCCATTCTCGAGACGTTCACGATAACGTTCAACATCTTCTTCATCGGCAACACGAGCGTATTCAACCTCTTCCTCAACACCGAACTCACCTTCAGTACCTTCCACAAATTCTGGGTCACCAGCGTGATGAATGATTTGAGCACGGTCACCTTCGTCACCACCAGCATTGTGAATTTGTTGTTCCGTACTGGTGTAACCAGCAGCTTGAAGAAGAAGCTCTTCAAGGTTACTACGATTGATACGATCATAACTTCTTAAACTGTAGAATCGAATATAGTTATCGGGATCAATACCGTTAGCCTTGAGCTTTTCAACAATACTGTCATTACCACGACAAATGGAAATGTATTGATAATGCATCACCAATCTTTTTAACAAAAGGAAAGTTAGCATACGTAATATTTGAATAATATTATAGTACAACTTACCTTGCAGTAGCAGCATCCTTAGTACTAAGATCGGCAGGGAAGGCAGGCATCAAAGGCATCAAAACAAAGACCTTGAATTTCTCCTGCTCTTCATGGGCACGAATAATACGCTTGACAATAGCGTTACCGATTTGATTCTTAATCATATTGTCCTCCTTGTTATCGGTTGCGGTAACTTAATTTTTGTTTAGTAAAACACGCTAGTCAAAAAAAAATGGTGTAACTTACTGAAAAATTGGTTTTCAATGTAGACATAATGCTCAGCGCGAAGAATAGTGGCGATGTAGGCATTTTGAATAGAGTGCTATTAAAATATATTAAGGTTTAGAATGACGAAATAACGCCAAGACGGAAATGTTACCTCCAACTCGATACCGGAACTCCATTTGGCACTGCTTCTAAGCACTTGAGCACGCATGGTACCTGTAACACCTTGAGTTCTGTGCTTGTGACGGTATTTCTTATAGTGATGCACTTCTTCAGTAGATTCTTCAATATAGCGTTGTTGAGTACCCATGCCACCGAGAGGGGGTTGCAAAAAGGGAACGTTATCTTTGTTGAGTGCCTTTTCGTGTTTGATGAAATTCCAACGTTCGCAAAAATGACGTGCAACATCAAGAACTGGAGCACCGATCTAAAAAAGGGCTTTAGTCTGAAAGGCATATGCTATTTGAGTTACGTGACACACTTACAACACATAAGGACATGTCGTGCCATGGCATTCTAGGAATAACAGTCTTATCAATGAGACGCATATCCCAATCCTTAACTATAAATAAAAAGGTTTAGTTCGCATCCTTAAAACAAATTTATTAAATCTTGTTACCATGCTCAAAATCTCTTACACGAGCATCACTATAATCTTGACCTAAGAAACAAAATAAAAATATAAAAAGGTTACAGGCTAGCAAATGTGGTGCTTTTTTTTTTTACTTACCTGGGAATAGTTCACTTTCGGGGTCGTTTCCGCTGAAATCAGCTAAAGGATGACCGTGGGTGTCCCAACGACTAAATAAATAGGATCAGTAAACAGAAAAACCCTTGCTAAAACAATCTTACCCAAAGCACAAATCAATACCACCAAGGAAGGCGATTTGATTATCAACAATGACAAACTTTTCGTGATGAGACCAAAAGAAAGTACCACCGAGGTCGTGATCAGGATGTCTTAAAACTATATGTACACGTTAGTTAGCAACATTCTTACTGCTTTTTTTTTCTGTGTCACTTGCCAATAATATTTTCACTGAGGGCTTGAAGACTGTCCTTTGTATGGCGACTGTCTAAAGTCAAAGCTAATTCAACTTCCTATAAAAATTTCCTTTTTGTCAACTAAATCCTTGAGGCAAGACATTTTTTTTTAAATTACCTTGTAGACAACGACGTAAATCTTTACACCTTCGTCGGCCTTTCTCTTTAATAAGGCATCAAGACGATATTCAGGATACTTGGAAGGAGGTCTACGCAAGTACTATTAAGAGTAATTTTAGCAATGTTTATTATCACGATTCCTTTCCGAAGATTTACCAATTCGGGAGTCTGTTAGGTCCGAAAAAAAAATTAGCTTTTCTGTTCATTTAATATATTATATTAACTTACCAGCCACCAATCCTCAATATAGATACACTCAGTTGCAGCTTCAATAGCTTCTGAAACAGCCCTATTATAAAAAACACGTTAAACCTTTTTTGATTTCCCACGCAGAATAAATAAATAAAACGTACCAGCAGTAGTTTTGACCGTCAATATAAAACTTGACTTGAGCTTCGTGTCTTACAGCAGCAAAAGAATCATAACGATGCTTTTCGTTAGCCAACTGCTGTTCAATGAAATCATCATCAGGGGCACCGTCCTTCTTCTCGTCACAAGAAGTCTCGAAAAGACTGTTTACTTTATCAGCAATATCAGAAAAAAATGTCATGATTTTTTCAAAAAGATGTTTTTTAAAGAGAAAAGAGGAGCCGTATACAAAAAATAAAAAACTCTTTTATTTGTTTAAAAAAAATTAGTGAACACAAGCAAGACTAACTTGGTGTAACTGAAAAAAAAAACTTAACGCCTCTATAAACACTTTCATCTCCGGAACAACCCAGACTATGGGTGCACTATTTATTATACACAACAAAAAAAAAAAACTTAAAAAATCTAAAGGTCTTCTTCACTCGATTCTTCAGAATCTGAAATATCTTGATCCTGCAATAATAAAATTATTAGTATGCATAAAAAAAAAACAGTTATCGGATGCTTACCATGTCTTCATCGGAGGACATATCTTCGTCATCTTCATCCATACTTAAATCTTCTTCTACATCAGCCTCATCATCTGAATCTAACTCAACGTAAACATTTTCAGGTAACTGAGCACGTTTTAACTGTTTATCATTAATATTTGAGTAAGATTTGACATTGACTTGACTTTGGACAATATCCAAACGACCTCTTAAAGCGAGTAATTTAGGGAATACACCAAGACGCGTATCAAGGGCTTGATAGAAATTAGAGAGCTTGCCCACTAAATCAGGCACGGTCATCAAATAAGCTGTATGGATTAAAAGAACGGACTTGATCCAAATCAAAAGTACAGGTGCACGACTAGGCTTTTCTTGAAACTTTGTAATTAAATCCATCATCAAAGGGATCAAGTATTCGGTAGGTAATCTTCTAACGGTGCTGTTGATCACATCGATCTTTGTGTGTTGCAAACATGCTTCTAATAAGGCAGCATCACCAGAATGCAAAGCTTGAACTAAAACTGTCTGTAATGATCCAGCAGAAGGTGTGTCGACTGTCTTCTTTTTGTTTTGCTTCTTTTTAGATTGTGTTGTATCAGCAACGTCCAAGCTTTGGAGCTTTTGTTCGATTGATAACTCAACATTTTCCTCTTCCTCGTCATCATCATCCTTGTAAGTGGCCATAGTAGGCCCCTTAGAGACGAAATCAGTATTTCCTACCACCGTCACAGCGGATTCATCATATGCCTTACGAGTTGTTTTCAAATTGGTAGCTGCAATGGAGGAAGTATCGATCAAGTAATTTGTGATGGGTTGTCTGCTTAAAGTAACATCATGTATAATAGCACCTTGTTCATCCACATATTTCACCACTTCAAAAGAAGGCTTAACACTGGATCCACGAGCAATCATGATGGATTTACCACTATTGTCGCTAACGAATTTTGCTGCCAAGATGGGAATGACAGTGTCTTCGGCTGCTGTAGAAATAATCTTTACGTTGGCGTCAGCTTCTTTTGTCATGGAACGCATCATCTTTCTTCTGTTACCAGCGGTGGCAGCAGTTGTAGTAGTGGTGAAGGATGCATTTTCCCAAATACCGACAAGGCCATCATCAGTTACTGCTAATACAGATGGCTCATTATTAGAAAAATCAATATGTGTTACGTTGGTTTCGAGGGTCAATGCAGTAAGGTTGTTGGAGTTGGTATTAGTTGTTTGAGCATCCCAAACATTGACATAACGATCATCTTCGGCGTTGGATACTAACACATCGTCTTGGCTAGAGAATGCAAGTTCTTTTACAGCACTAGCATGTCCTGTGAATTTCTAGATTAAAGCAGTTAATATCCAATTCACTCTTAATTAATATCAATTCTAACCTTCACCACACTGTGTGTACTCAAATCCCAAAGTGTGATAGTATGACCCGCAGTAGCTAATTTCTTTTCGTCATGACTCAATTTTAACTTGTGTACATTTTTGGCGTCTGTCTTCCACTTGCTAATAACCACACGGGAAAAAAGGTTAGTTTGTCTCGTTCCACTCATAACGATCCCTTTTCTTACAAAATTTCTTTTCCTTCCTCGATATCCCATTCGACAATAAGGTTGTCTTCTGCAACTGAATAACCTCTGGAGCCATCCTTGGTCATCACGAAATCTGTGATAGAAGATGTATGGCTACCAGTCAACTCCTTGATGATAGCACCATGAGAAAGAGAGTACATTGCAATAGATCCAGATTGCATACCAAGAGCAATTGCTTTGGATAAAGAGGCAATACCACTCTTCTTCTTCTTAAATGCTTGGACGGTATTTGCCTGAAAGAAAGTGAGATAATTTTAGTCAAGGTCCGCTTCATATAAGTATTAAGTAATCTAACCTGTAAATCACCAGTGTCTTTTAAATATCCCCATGACAGACATGTAATCTTTTCCTTTTCTTGGGCTGAATAATCGTTGCTGACGGTGCCCGAACGCACATTGAAAATACGAAGACGGTGACGATCAACGGCGTGAGTGATCAAGGCAAAGTGATCGGCAGTTGTGCTCTCGTCAAAGGCAGAGATAACAATACCTGCATTTTCAGAAGCATTGGCTGAGGTCTCCACAGTTGAAGTGTCGGTATTTCTTTTGTGTGTTACTTTTCCCATTTGAATGCTATAAAAGAAAGTATTGCTTGACACAAAAAAAAAATTATAGAAACGGTTAAAAAAAAATTAGTTCATGAAAGAACGTCACGTCTAAAAGTGACTGCTGGACTTGATTATGTATTGTTAAAGGGAAGCAAAACCTCTTTTTACGCTTTCTCCTTCCTTTTCCCATTTTTTTTTTCGTGTGAAAAATTTATAGCAATCAAGAGAATAATAACAAACTGATAGTTTAAACACATACAGAAAAGAAAATACTCATCCTTTTATCCACTAATGAATTTTATTTGCAAGTAAGTTATTTCTATTTGTTTATACATTTTGGGCGTTATCTAAGGTTGACTCATTGTTTATAATAGGTACAAATAACCCCCCTTTTTATATTGAAAAAAATATGAGTAGAAGAAAAGCCAATGGAAGAAGGGATGATGATTTTAATCGTAATAGTAGACTTTTAGTCACAAAAGAAAGCCCAAGTCATAATAGTGAACGTCAATTATTTGACCCTCGTTCCCATAACCCTATCGCTTTCAACAAATCGATTGACCAAGATACACCCGTAACAAGACCCACTCCCACAAGAAATCTATATGAGGAGAATGTCGAACCTGTTAAAGCCAAACCTAAAAAGAAGTCCCCACTCGAAAGAAAAATGGTTGACTCAAAAAACACTGTAGAAGAAAAACAAAAGCAAGACCAAAAAAAAGCATGGAAAGCACTGGTTGCTTCACTTCGTAATATTGAGACTCAACTAGAATCATTAACTAGCACGTCTCGTACATTATCTTGTTTTAACGACGATGACAGACAATTACCTGCTAATAGACGAAACGTAGATCAAGTAGTAAATACACAAGATATCGTCTTGGTCGAACAAGATGTTTTGGATGCTGAAAAAATCTGGAAAGAAAAGATTAGACTTCATGTGGTATTAGGTGAAAAATATCTAGAAATTTTGAACTGTGATTTAGAATATGCGGAAAAGAAGGGTTTGGAGAGTTTATGTTGGAAAAGAGCTGTCTATAGCCTCGTTGACCAATTCAGACGTGCCTTAAAGAAATCCGCCGCTAATACCGCTACAGCCACCAATACCAAACAGAGCGATTTAGCTGCTTTGTTGATGGAGGAAGACAATGATGCCATGATACCTGTAATTCATGAAGGAGGTGGTATGACTTTTATCAAGGCCGAGAAAAAGGATGACGGTCAGTTATTGATCAAACAAACAGCGATGATTTTATCTTTATTTTTGGAATATTTGGATTTAATGGATGCATTTTATCAGAAAATGACTTTGTTTTTGAAATCCGTAGATAATGATGATGATGAAAATATGGAAAATTATCTTAGTCAGTGGAGGCGTACAAGAAAGTACAAGTGGTACAGTTGTATTCCATTACGTGGTGATATTGCAAGATACAGATGGTCTTATATTTCAGATGATCAAGTTTCACACTGGACAAAAGAGGAAGCTTTTAAAGAAGCTTGGAGGAGATACTTTTTGGGGATATGGCTAATGCCAGCTAAAGGAAATCTTTATTTTAATCTATCTCTATTATTACAACACTCCAAAAATACACCTGGCCATGATTTTCATAAGCTTTATCTTAGTACACGTAGTTTAATGGTGCGTCGTAACGGCTTTTTAAACGCCAGAGAGGGTATGCTTGTCTTATTTGAAGGAAACCGTCGCTGGATACACAAACATTTCGAAATGAACGATCACCCAGCAAAGCAAAAAACTAAAAAATCAACTAAGCTGAGTAGACCCAACAATATATCCGATAAAGACTCTAAAATTCCTGCACTGTTTGTTCGACTTCACGGTATGCTCTTCACCAAAATAGGGCTCGATGAATTTCCCAAAATCAAACGTCTCTTTTTTGATGCCTTGTTCGAAAAAAGTCATAAGAGTCAAGACGGACCAGATAACATCATTTTAGGCGCCATTTCAAACTCGCCGGATCATAAGGAACTATCCGAATCCCACCTTTTTTGGTTTGAAACAGTCGTTACCTGCCTTTCATCGCTTTATACCTATGATTATGCCAATTCAAAGCTGACAAAGTTGATATCAAGTAATTCAACAAGTATATTTTATCCAGAAACGAACGATGAGCAATATGAAGCACTATTGGAAGAGCTAAGTGATAGTATTTTGTTCACTTACGAAATTGATTTAACTTGTCAAATCGCTGTAGAGTTGTTTCAAAGGTACTTGGACCCACTTTTGTCACTACCTAATATTCCAATTCTACCAAAGTTGCCTCACGTCTCTTTGAACTACAAGGATAACAAAGACTTTTTGTTTGGTCCCGTTGCGGATCATGCTGCAGAAGATGGTCCAGACACAACATCGGATATAGACAATCATGCTTGGCTTATTTATATCGAAATATTGCTTCATTGGATGGTGTTAAACGGTATTTGTATTCGATCGAAGAAAAAAGCCTCGCTTTGGGAATCTTTGGTTGGAGATATAGGATATGATCTTACTTCCCAGCAAGGCAAACGATTTTCCATGAATGATAACGAAACACACAATCGTGCAAGCAAGATATCTTCAGCCTTTTGGCCACTTTTGCTCTTGTTTTTAAATAAGCTCTTAACGGAACTCCCAGATGAAGATAAATATGACATGGTGAATAAGCATTTAATGGAAGAGGATGAAGATGTCAACATTACCAACGATAAATTCTCCAAATCTGAATATGCGTTCGCAAAGAATGTCTCAATGATTTTGGGTCAAGGGCCAGATCTTCCAGAGGAGGGCTATTTAAGAGGGCTTGGTTGGGTGGATGAAATTCATGGAAGATTTTTGAAATTGGATCAGGATGTAAAGGAAAATAAACCAAAAGGAACGTTGGATACAGTGATGCGTAGAAAGATCAAGATTTTGGATTATGGATTTACCTTGGTTAAGGTATAATCTCTGTCTTTTTGTCGACAACATAATAGTAATAAGGTTTATATGTAGCACTTGGATGATATACTTTATTATGATCCAGTTGAGGAAATATTTACAGTATCAAAAACTGTTGAAGAACGAGCATATGCTCTCGACCAAGAATTCAATCTTTCGCAATCCAAGGATCAACATACGGAAAATCTTTACGATGAAGAGCAGGTAGTGGCTACCATTGCCGAAATGGATGACGATGTATTATTGTCAAGCGAAACGGAATGTTTTGATGAAAAGAACGAAGGCGATGATATCATGACCCAACTGAAGAAACGACGTGAACAACTTCAATCCATAGTAGCATCTGCTGAAAAAGAAGAAAGGTTTGGCTATCGTCGTTTACCTGCCCGTGCCAAGGAACGAGAAGCCCGTTTAAATTATTTGCGGGAATGCATTATTCCTGGCAAGACAATTTTGGTATTAGACACAAATTGTTTCATTGGCCATATTGATCATGTTCAAAAATTATTGGAGTCCAAGAAATGGACCATCATTGTACCGCTTGTCGGTAAGGAAAAAATAGGATAAAAAAACGCGCCTGTATCAACTAAGCCCAATTTTATATCTTATAGTTGTTACTGAACTGGATGGTCTTCGTACCAATCCTCAGCGCTTGGGCCTTGTAGCTCAACAAGGTATCGAGTTATTGCAGAACACTTTGGCTGTAAAATCCAACAAGCAGATGCTTCGAATTCAAACCTCTCACAATAATTTCATGAATGATATTTCTATTCGCTCTGAACAGTTTGTATTTGGTGAAACGGACAAGAATTTAGATGATTTGATCCTTTCGTCCTGTTTATGGTGGATAGCCCAACAAGGACCGAAATCCACTGATGATAAAGTTGTGCCTGTCTGCCTAGTGACAGGTGATAGAAATCTTAGTGTAAAAGCACGAGCAAGAGACGTAGAAGTTGTTCCTGTCTCTGCCATTATTCAATTAACCCCCAAAGCATAAGAAAATAAAAATAATGCGGAAACTATTTAACCACATTGTTCCTGTTCTATATCAATTTTAGATTAATTATAGAGACCTTAAAAAACGAAGTACTCCACTGTGGGTCGTTCGGGTTTCTTGGCTTCTATATGTACCGTTCAAACTTTTAATAACGTTGCAACATTTCACAATCTGTCTGGGATGAATCAAGATGACTGGGTGTAGATAAGAGTGAGAAATTATAGATGTCTATCAACTCATTCAAATTGATGTATCCAAATTAAAATGTAGCCATACATCCACGGACTTAGTTTGTTGTTACCGTGAAGCACATTTAATGTTACTTTCAGGAGCTTGTGCCAATCGTATTCGCTTACGAAATAAATAATGATGTACCTGACAACGAAGTTAAGGATTCAGATGCGCTTGAAAATAATAGATTTTGTTTTGGTTATGGTGCCGGAGAAAGATTACATTTGTTAATAATATTCTCACACTGACTCAGGCGTCAGTTTTTTGTTATTCTCCGCTTTGCACTAGTGGGAAATACGAACAGATGTCTCACTTGACGACTATTTCCTTTTTAAAAGCCAAGAGAATCTATAAAGATTATTAAAAATCAGCCCCCTCCCCGCTCAGATGAAGTTCTCTTTCGTTTCTTTATTCTCAAAAGACAAAAGTAAGCTAAGGATGGAAAACTCAAATTTAAAAAAACTTCAAGTGTCAGACGAAGAACTTGAAAGCCTTCGGGAAGGTTAGTCTCGAAAAAAATCGTGTTTTTTTTTCTTATACATATTTGTTTACATGCCAATTACTTCACAGCTTTTGTTCTGTACGACACAGATAAAAACGGTGCCATCAATATCCAGGAGTTTGCGAGTATCGTTAAAAGCTTAGACATAGTAACTGACGATAAAAATATTCAAGAGCTTGTCAAGGAAGTCGACAGCAACAATGATGAGCACATTGATTTTGACGAATTCGTGGTTGCAATGACTAATCTTCTTGGGACCACGGCTGAACCCGACACCAAATTGAGAAAGTGGAGAACATACCCTAGCGAAAATAAGGGTACCGCCACAAACAAGGACAAGAAGTCAAAAGAAAAACACTATACTCGTAAAATGAGCACCCATGAAACAGACGAATTGCGATTATGCTTTGAAAAATTTGACAAGAATGGCGATGGTCAAATTTCATTAGAAGAATTGAAGGAAGTTATGAAGGGCTTGGGTGAAAAATTAACTGAAGGTGAACTTAAAGACATGATGAGTGATGCGGATACAAATAGAGATGGCCACATTGATTTTCAAGAATTTAAGGCCTTGATGCCAAACTTCAATTCTGATAAATAGAAGCCGCTATCGAATCAAGTTAGAGTATAAATGTAATAAATAATCTATTGTCATACAAAAAATTTAAAACAATTATAGCATGCAACTATTCTTTCTTTAGTTTTCTTTTTACTTTGTTCAGTTTCCTTTTCTTTCAAACGATTTGGTTATGGAAAAAACGTTTTTGACACAATTTATTTGTTTCTTTATACTATTATTAGCATGTTTAACATTAGGCTTTGGAAGTTGGCTAGAAACAAATAATTTATTATACCTATCATCGCCTACATCAAGTCAGCATTTATCAATATTTAAAGTTACTATGGAAAACGGCAGTGATATAGTATATTTAACATTTGGATTATGGCGTCAATGTGCATACAATGTTCGATATAAGACCCATACATGTTCGAATATCAAAATGAACTATGACATAGGTAAAGTTCCTTTTTCCTCTCCATACGGCTATCATTCATCTTATTAAACAAACACAATAGATGTCCTCACGGCAATGAATGACTTTTCAACAAGTAATTATCAATTACCATCATATTCATATGTCCGATCAATCCCCCTGCTAATAGCTACTTTTATCGCCGTTGTGTCCCTCGGTATATCATTATATTTACTACCCGGCAACCGTAAAAAATCCGTACAAAGAAGAGGCCTTTTATGGTTAATTAGTGCCCTGTCCCTCATAAACGCCGGCTTAGTTTCTATTTCATTTGGGGTTACGTTTCATCGATACTCAACAAATATAAAGACTGCATGTAATTCAGTCTCCAACCAGGATTTTGTCTGTCAAAGTTACACACCAAGTGATGAAATTACATTGCTCGGACTAGCAATAGTACTTTTCACTATCAGCACAATTTACTGTATCATTGTGTCTACTGATAATAAATTAACCGGGAGTTGCAAAACACAATTCACCACAAACAGCAATTTTTCATTTTATGCGTCCGAAGAAGATCAACGTCAGACTACACCCACTATAGACATTGATGAAATCCCGTCCGCTGAAGAAATGGTCTGGAATAGCAATAAAGAAAGGCTATCATTACGTCCTCCGCCGCCATTTATTAATTCCCAGAAGGTTGGGTGCCGATCCGCGACTGATCATTCGCCGCTAAAAGTGAATGATATAGGGGATTCGAATGCCGATAAATATGTGCCACCCCAAAATACTTCGTCCTTGTCGTCTACAGACATGCAGTTTACGTCATCGACGGAAGATGTATTGGTGCCTCCTACCTTACCTTTTGCCAATCACGGTGGCCGGTCCACCTATAATCACAATAATATCAGGCCTCTTAGCGATGGTTCAGGAAATACATTCGGTGCTTTTTGCCAAGAAGCAAGTAGCCCTTCCGCTGATGATGCATCTCAATCATCGTCTTATATCGATCATCACAGAAGTGACTCAAATATAAGCCAACCAATATATGCACACGGTACACAATCAAACCATACATTGGGCGCATTCCCATTATCAAAATCAAACTCCCATACCAATGCCTATTGTAACAGCTTTTCCTTTGAAAATGGAGACCTGGCAGAAAATGAAACTGGTAATCATCGATCAGTAAATATACCCGAACAAAGTTCAAAGCATGCAGTAAAAGCTTCTACAAGCAGTAGTGATATTTTGTTTAAAAGAATTAATAACTACTTGCGACCACAGTGAAAAGAAAAAGGAAATGCTGTGTCATATTCCTTTCCGCATCAATGTAAATTAAAAATTCCTGGATGTAGTCACATATTTGAACTACGTAATTCATAAATAAAATCGAAGAATGACCGTTGCTTCGTGGTATATTATTATGTCTCATAGGATTACCTTGTTTTTTAAAACGTGATTTGTCACCAAAAAGCTTATCATGGTCAAGAAATTGACCTAAATGGTGCAGACCATATACTTAAGATGGATCATTGGAATATCTGTCAATGATTACCTAGGTCATACCACTTCGATTTCCTAAGAGAGGGATATGTACCCAATTAAAACGGTTGCATTATTTACCACCTAATAAATACCAGACAACCGATTAGGTCTAATTCTTCTCCCATGAACAGACGCGCACGTACAGATCTTATGTTGATCTTTCTTTAATAATTGAAGTAGAGAGAATAGGATTGCATTAGCTCCAGAAGACATTTATAACTCGGACCAGAAACGGCAAATTTTTAAGACACCCGAAAGTGGATAGATCTTCTAATGATTTTGGATATTATATTTTACCGAGATTAATCGCTTTGCACAGTTTGTGAATTATAAAAAGACGCTAGGATAGACAAAATACAAAATCATATATATCTACCACAATTAAGTGCGCTTATCTAAAGGTGATCAACAAGACATTCTTTGATTGAATGGGTTGATCGTAAAAAGTCTTTAAATCAGAATTGTTATTTGCCATTATACCCGATTATGAAAGAAACACTCTTACGATGGTTGAACAATAAAGCTGAGGACAGTCTTTAGAAATATCAGTGACGCTTATAATAGTGCAATTTATAGTAGTTTACTAAATTTCTGTCGCCTATTAGCATTAAAGTGGCACATTTGTCTCTGTAAGAAGCTATTTTAATGAATATCATACAATATCAAATTGTATTGAGCCAAAACTAGCAAAACATTTTGTGACACTTTTTTTTAGACTTTTACTTGGGGATATTTTATTTTTGATAAACGAAGTACATATGAAACTAGCTTTAGCAAGAGCATTTATTTGAACATTCACAGCCTACACCAGACCCGAGGCCTAAAAAGAAGTTAGCATAAAAAGAAAAAAAATATTCACACGCACTTACAGCTGCATGTAGAGTTGTGAGAAAAGAAGACGCGGGATTGATCCCCATACACTGGTGATCCAACAGCATGAGAGTGATCCGTATTAACAGGAGCACCACCAGAAGTATAGTAGGTTGGAGAGATTCCCGTATCGGTTGTGGCGCTTTGACGTTGTGCTTGATGACCATGGTTATCAGTAACAATGGAACTCAACATCGAATGGCCATCTGGTGTGGTGGATGCCACTATGCGAGTTACTTTAGGAGGAATATCGATTGCAGATGATTGATTATTATTCATTTTAGATGAAAGAAATGTAAAGAACCAGAAATAAAAAAAAGTGTATTTAACTCATTATTTTGAAACAGGATGATTGGTAATTGGTAGGGTTTTGGCCCAAACTTTTTGTGGCAATTCATGCAAGTCTAACCAATTGAATTTAAACTCTATACACAAAGGCTTAGTACGCCTTGATTTCGTGGATACAAAGCTTCTATCTTACGCATTGATTCATGAATGCTGCCAATGGTGCCGTTTTTATAATATGTTGACCATTTCATCCTAGTCACTTACCATTGATAGCAAAAGCGAGACTTGGTTTTCAAAAATGAAGAATTATGTTAGTGCTTGATGCAGTTAAATAGTATGACGCATGTTTGTTTATCAAAAGTGATCCAATAGAATGCATGAAATGGATTTTCAGAGTGGCGCATATAGCTTTGTCACTATGAATTTGAAATAGTCTTACAGACCTTCAAGATCAAATCCAAAAGCAATCTAACGAGACGCCTCTGCATATTGTTCGGATGTATCGAAGTTAGCTATATCATAATGAGGACTTATTTATAAGGAAAAGAATTTTGACAATGGTTATTATAGGATACATATGTGTAAAATGTAGTTAAGTTGTTCGTCTTCAACAGAAGTAGATACACACTTGCAATATCATAAAAAAAGTGCTAGTAAGAATTATCTTTTCATTTGCTACAGTTAATTTTTAATGGTACAGATTTTGACAGTACCCATATCGTCAACTGGAAAGACATACAACCTTTTGTCCGAATTTCCAATTTTTTTTTTTTTTTTTGGAACATCCAAAGTGCACGTAGTCATAGCGCAAGGCAGGTATCTTGCCTGTCATTAATATCCAGAAAGAAGAATATACAATCAAAAACAATGTAATAAATTACGGTTGAATGTATTTTTACCGGTTTATGCTTCTTCTTGCAATTCAATCATTACTCATCCACGCTTGTGTTGGTTTGTTCTTCGCCTTGAGCAGAAATGTTAGGATAAATTCTAAATGAGACGTTGAAAGTAGGCTAGAACTCAAAGATAGAACTATCATACGTGTATGGCAGGGATATCGCATAAACGTAAGACAATAAAATATAGTGACCTCTTGGGGACAGCTAAAGTAATCAATCCTATTTACGACTACGCGCACTCTAGTGTTCCTTTATAAAATTGGCTTTCCTAAGAGACCAGTAAACATAATCAAGTTATTAATCTAATATCTCTATCTACTACAAATATATCCTTAGACGTTAACTTTTGATGAGTCCGGAGTCTTTTTCTATTTGTCTAAAGTAATACAAGCGTAATCGTTGTAACTTTTAAAAATAAATAAATTTGCAGTGATACAACATCTTGACCTTATCTATTTTTAAATTATTTTACAATTAAAGTTTTTGCAGAAATTACGCAGTAATACGCAGAAATAACACACCTATGATTTTATTTGTAGAAATAAACTACGTATGAGAAGGACAGGAGAAATAGTACCCCAGGGTCCGGCTCATAGTTTTAGATGCCAAAAAGCGTATACTTCTTACTAGTGACAAATATAAAAATAACATGTTTTACATTCGAAGTGAGAAAAAACACGCCCGAAAACACGTCATAGGATTCTTCGATTGACTATTTTGGTGAAAGATTGTATTCCCCATGACCAAAATCGAATGAATACCATCATTAGCAGTGTTATCGCCACATGCATGTTAGATATGATGTAGATTATTTTAATCTAATTCCTGAAAAGCGGGGCCTGGAAGAGATAAAATTTGCTGCAATATGTGCACGGACCATAGCATCAATAAGTATTGCACATATTAAAAAATTTAATTGTCGAGTTTACTGAATTATACCATAAGTATATCTAGAATACAATATTTAGTTTAAGTTTAGAGATTATCGTATGATTAAAATATACAGTAATCAGTGTATATAGCAATAAGGCTTAAATCCTAGCATACCAATTATTCATTACTCATAGATTAAGTTCTACTTCTGATTTTATTACAAGCACACTCAAGCCTAGGCATTTACAGAACAAATGACATTATTGTATAACCCAAGCACGTAACACAATATTGTGCAGTTCTACTCGAAACAGATTTACTTGTAGATAAGTCATTTGGACCTTACAAAGCAAGTGTAAAAAGCGCTAATTTCAAAAAAAGGACCAAACATGCCCCGTCCTGTATTCAATCATATGAAGATTAATTTCCAAATAGAGATTTTTGAAGCATTGCTTGCAAATGATAAACATATGGCACCACACTCAATTATATCATGATTTTTAGCAAATCTACTTTTTCAAAAATTTTTAGCCAAAAATGCTACTATAATGTGGTGTAGCACCTACTACAAAATAGATATAAATACCTTTTAATTCCAATTCGTTTTACTTGATTATTGTATATATTTTAACATGGAATTATATAAATTTGTCAAGGATTGTGGGCTAAGACCAAATTATAATATTACTTACCGTGCAGGTGAATCAAAGGAAACTACAAACACAGCAGAGATACATGGGGAAGTTGCCATTAAAATTAAGTCGATAGTCACTTTTGGAATTAAAGGAAGAAAGGAATACAGTAGCAAGAATGGTAGTAGAATTGAATTCGATCATGTTATTAAAGGCGACGATGTACCAAGAATGATTTACCAAGTTTATAAAATGGGTCAACCAAGATGCAAGCACAAAAGAGAAGAAACTTTACTAGGACTTTATAACGTAATTGAAAGTTTGCACGCACACAAGAAAAAGTATTCCAAGTTTTCCGGAAAATATGTTGATGAACATTTCATGTTTTTTGCATGCATCGAGGATACTGATGGTCTTTCATGGCCAGATACATTTTTGGTGAACGAAAACTCCCTCGACTTTCGTCATATGAACCAAAGTCTAGAAAAGTGGAATTGTATCAGCTCCAGTGATATACGTGTAGATAATTCAAATGCTTACATCAAGTTTGAAACACTACCCAAGCCTATCACATTGGAGAAGATCATGACATGTGTTTATTTACATTCTGTCAGAAAAATAAGCTGCAAAGGTTGCAGCCATGTATGGTCTCTTCAAGATCTTCTTGGGCTATTAGATTACAATCAAATTTACAAAGAAAAATGCCAGCACGCCAACAGCAAACTGGATGAAAAAATACCACATAATGAAGCTTATGAATTTCAAAATAGACACAATTTTTGCGAATTATGGGCTCAATTTATAAAAAAGGATGCTTTCGCTCAAGAAAATGATATATGCCTGATATCTTGATCACCATTTGTAGATATTTTGGCTAAAGTACTTTAGATCGCGCCACTTTACATTTATAATTATCTGAATATTAAACATCTGTATCATAAAACTTAATAAAATCAATTAGAATTACCCAGCATATTAAAAATAGTATGGTGACATTTTATGTAGCTTGGTTTATTACAATTCATATTTTGGCGTTATTTTTACTTCTCGACAAGTCACTTAGGTATCCATAAAATGTGCCTCACAAAGCATGTAGTCAATCGAACTACATTGTTGTCGTTCTCGTCTGGAAAAAAAATGACTAATAGAGCCAGTGAGATTCTATCAACATATGTTTTCATCAATCATAGACACGCTTATTAAAAACGATACAGTAAATGGGGTTTTATGATGTATATATTAATATGGTAAGCTTTCTTGCCGTACATAATTGGAAAGTTTATCTGAGCAGCTTCTGTTATCATTTGGTTTAAACACAAAAAACTTTGTACGGACTGAATTTTGTAGTCGTCTAAATATTTCAAAGCATATCAATAGATATACTATTACTTCTTACTTTTTTGGAATTCTTAAACAGAGTAAATGTTTTAGCAATCAGAGCGATAAGATTGAGTATTTGTTTAGCTTCTTAAGCAAAAGCGTATTGATTTAATTTCTAAAGTGTATTCAAAAACGATAAAAAAGTTTTTATATAACTAAATGTTTGGGAACTTTGCTTTTATTTAAAGATGTGCGTTAATGTGTATTTTGAAAAAGTATAAAACATAATAAGGCTTAGTTCTAAGTTCAGAATGTTTTTTGTCAGTTTAACTTCAAATTTAAAGACAATGAAATAAATAATGCGCTGAAACTTTAATTGTCAGTCGATAATAATAATACAATTGTTGTTACAGTGACTAAAGACCAAAACGTCTCTAGTACGATGCGGTATTAATTAAAGTTTTGTCAGGGACTTCCGACTGTTATGTGATTCATGTAGTGAAGACGCGAGAAAATTACTATCTGTAGACTCCAGATCATCGCATTTTTCTTTTCTTGTTACGTTAGAAGTTGTAGAGTATGAGTTATAGGGAGGTATATTACTACGGTTTGGATTAGAAAAGTTAAACGTGTCGTCGTTAACGTCGTGTAAATGGTGTTCAGGTGCATTATTGTTAACATTGTCATTACTGTGATGTACAATAAATTGTGGTTCGACGTCCTTTGTTTGGCTTCTCTGATAACCGGAATACTCGGGGTTTGATTCCCTTTGATTAGTAGAATAGTCCATATTATCTTTCATTCTTTTACCAGGAGTATGTGAAGTGACCTAAATAAGTAGCTTTGATGTTAGTCAAGTTAGTACAATTTGTGAATATCGTACTTACCCAATGAACCGTGGTAACGTTAATTGTTACATCTACCGTGCAACAAGTCAAGCAAACCAGACCCCTTTCTCTTCCGTCGAACATAACTAAGGTAAATATATTCGCAAAGGATGCTATCAGGCAAACAACGGATGCAACTAAAGTACGCAAAGCGACTTCGTTCAATCTAGATGCCTTCCAATTAATTTTTTTAGAGCCTGAGCCAAGTCTCAGTAGAGGTCGAACAAAGAATACAGTCATATATAAGTTAATCAGCTAAATATCGTATAAGAGATTAATGTGGTACAATTATAGGTCTCAAGATCTTACAAAATCATAAATCTAAAACAGGTATTAAATTTAGTAATTTAATCATGCAAAAGGTTGATGGCATAGAATACTAAAAAGCGGACTACTTACTAAAAGAGGCAATGATGCGATTGACTGCAGACCAATGATACAGATGCCGGATTCATCTATTTCCGAAATGTGAAAAATCAACTATTTAAAATCAAGAGAGAATATAGTGTTGGTAAGGAGTATCCAAGTTTGTAGATCAGTTATACCATTAATGTGAAAATCGCAATATATGGTGTCATTAAAACAACATGAAATCTATAAGCCATTGACTTCCATCTAGTCGTTCTAATAGAAGATACAACGTAAACCTTCTCAATCAGCCTATAGTGTATATTTTGTCAAAAAAATATGCGCATTTGATTATATGAAAAGTGTCATTCGCACATGACGAATTCGAGCGTGGTGATTTATAAACTTACCAACAGTATATGGTAATTTTAGTCCCGGAATAGAATATATCACACACCATAATTGATAAAAAGCAAGAGGTGAAATTACCTACAAAAAATGATTATTTAACGCCAGTGGGTTTCTAGTACATCCTACATACGGTTATTGGTGGTTACTAACAGCATACTGAAAGCTGAGAACGCCCAGGAGAACAAATATAAGGTTAAGACTAACCAACGCGAGTACGTGAGATATCGAAAATGTACGTTATACGTTTTTATTCCAAATAGCAACGAAAGTAAAGAAATCGAGAATAAAGAAACGAGTTTTGCTGCGATTTCCGGTCCATCTGGCTGGGATGACTGGCCAAAGAATTCATCCATCGAAGTAAAGATAAAATAAAAGAAAAAAAAGAAGAACAATACTTTCTCCCTTTTTTACCCAAAACATTGTCAAATAATAATCAATAGCCCCTTGTTTTGAATCGTGTTAAATACAAAAGCACGAAAAAATCATGAAAACAATCGCTTTTTGTCACACTCCTTACTGGTTGTTTTGATCGGTGTAATTACATCTGATTGTGTGTTCATAGTTAAGATTACCTCTTAGCATAACTTGTAAGATATGTACAACATTGTTTGCAGCTATCATGTAAGACCTCCATTTGTTTCCGTTGTAGTTAACAATTATGGTTTTGTTTGCCTCTTTTTTTCCTCCGGGTCTTACGGTGTCACAAACCTAGAATTGTTTATTCTCAGGAATACATAAAAATGAGCTGATAACGTCTACTATCAACCCCCTATTTCTCATAAAATAGGTTTAATATGCAGCAATAATAGGTTTTTTTAATCTCCCACATAATGTGAGACATCAATAATAGTGAACCAATACAATGGTGTTTCCACCGAATCACTCGGTGTAACACTTTCTATAGACACCGCGTTTACACATTATTTGTTTGTTTATTTTATTTACGATACAAAAGAGATTTAATGAATTGGCTTTGTAGACATATTGGAGATACCAGCCTTAGTAGCCATTTCAATAATATTAGCATGAGGCTTGATAAGAGATTCGGGTAAAGTCTTTTTAAATTCTTCAGTGTTCATCCAGCCAAGACCATGTTGAAGAATAACTGCAGCACGATGGTGACCACCTTCAATAGTTCCCATGGATGCGTGAAGAGTAGATCTCTTTTGAGTGCAGTCGTATGAAGCACGATGTAAAATATTGTTATCATAAAAAACTGTCTGACCGGCCTTTAAATCAACCCTCAATTGACCAGGCATCTTATGACTCAAAGGATCATTGATAGTAATATCTCTTTCAGTAGATGTTCTCACACGACGGTGAGAATTGGGAACAACAAAAAGACAAGCGTCGTCATAGAGAGCACTATTAAATACAATTTAGTAAATTGAAGAGATTAAAGATAAATGTGATTGATTTTACGTGTTCCACTGTGTACCGTAATGGGGAATAGTAAGTTTTTCTTTCTCCTCCTCTTCCGCAGCCTCGGCCTTGATGGCATCACGATGCCAGGTTAAGTCAAAGTTTGAATCTTGAGGGTTAATCAAAAGGTTGAATAATTCTGTAATATGACTCAGATATTAGAAACATAGTTTGTGAATAAACTTCAGATAAAAAAAAAAAGTTACCAAATTGAAGATCCTCATGACCAGTGTGTAATAATTGTTCAACAGCAGCTAATAAATCGGGAGAGCCATACCACTCAGCAAAGACAGGTTCATTGAGATCAGGATGCATCATGTGTTGAACACCCCAAACATCGGTGCCTTCATTCCAAGGAGGAAATTGAGTGCCAACAAGACGTCTACATTTAAGGTTGGCATTAGGTAAATTAAAATGATGTAACGTCAGATTACGTACCTGTAATTCCAGTCACCCTTTCTAGCTCTATCAACAACACGGTCGCAAGCTTCTCTAAGTCTGATGAACATTTCTGCAGGGATCAAGTTATCAACAATAACGAAACCATTTTCCTTGATAGCTTGGTCAATAGGGATGTTGTTAATGTCAGTAAGCATTTTTGAAGTTAGGAATAATAAAGAGAACAGGGTAATAAAGGAAAAGTTCAGGGTCTTTTTTTATATTTATTTTTTATTTTTTCACACGCTAAAAAGGAAAGGGTTGCTCTTTTGTAAGTGCGGAGAATGGTTAAAAGTAACTGCGAATGAATGCTGTACTCATCTTGTGTTACCGGGATGTTTACATAAGCGATTCTTTTCAACAGAGAGCACGGGAAGAGAAAAAAATATGTTCCCCGTATTTCAAATGACCCCGGATTCTAGAGATCCAATGATATGCATTCTTACTACAAGTGGAAGTATTTACGTTGTCAACCAATAAAAGTATTGTACTAATCAGCGAACAGCACAAAACTATAAAAAGCCCTTGTGCGATAAGGAACTTTATTCAGGAGCACAAGGGTGCGGATTAAAACCCTGATTTATAGTTTGGGCTAAGTCTGCTTGCAAAGACAAAGAAATGAATTGTTTACATAAACCGTATACTTTTAAATTATAAAAGGGTTCAGAGCGGACATGAAGTTTGCTTATAAGCTGGTTTTCGTACATTTATTGGTTGATTTTGGCTTTATATCTATTATATGTACTAGTATTTGGTTACTTACGGGACCCTTTCAGGCGACGGAAGTATCTACCTGTTAGTTCCAGGGATTTATATCTACACGCTAGTTTTCGGAATCGGCCTCACTTTCGTGTAACTACCGGACCCTACTATCAAACTGAACACGGGAAAGGTTCGGAGTACCAGACCCTTCCTTTGATAGAATTACATCTAAAGTGAATCATACGATAAGCCGCGCAACCTAGTTTTTATTTTACCTACGCAGTAATCAGCTTTTGTCGTCTACATTGGTACATAGTTAAAACACTAATAATAATAACTAAAACCTGGATTGTCGGGATTTAACAAGGGGAGTTAAACAACGCTTACATAATAAAAATCTAAAGGTGATATGTAAGAAAAGAAATTTATTAAAGAGTCCAATAAAAAATTTACAAAAAGGGACAAAATTACAGTTTTGAAATATGTATAAATAGTAGATGACAATAGATGGAAAAAAAAATAGGTATAAGAGAGGATATTTATGATTAACGGCAATGATATACACAGTGTAATCCCTTTGAAATTAGAAAAAGCTACTATCAGTTGCGCTCGAAGGTCGTTTTTGATCCAACTCCCATCTTCTTCGTAAATCATCTACACTTCCACTACTGTGACGATAATTCATCTTTGCTCTAGATGCACGAGTAGGTGTTTGTGCTAGACGATCAAAAACAGTTGGGGTGCTGGGTCGTTCAAAAGTAGAGGCACTAGGCATGATAGGGGGGAGTGGTCTTTTTATCAATCGTTGTTGTAAACATGAGTTGGTAAAAATAGGAGAGTTTTCTTCTCGTTGCTGGTCTGGGGTCTGATAGTTTTCATATGAATCCAGTTCTGTCTGGATGGTTTGGTTATTTTGGTTAATATGAGCCATTAATGGACTTATTCTAGTCACAGTGGCACGGGAAGGCTCAGGCAATAGAGGTGCTGCTGCTGTATGACTGCTGCTACCACGCATCATAGTTTTTTGGTTCCAGGATGATAATGAAGACATATCCGACTGGATAGAAGATCTCCTCAAATGGCTACTACGAATAGATGAGGTTGATGATTCATGATCGGTGACATAATGATTAAATTCAGGTGGTACAATACTACTGCTGGCCAGCACGTTGGAGTAACTTGGTGCTCCCAATTGATCATCATCCATGTATGTTGGTGTTTCATTTCCACCCACACAATTTTGCCAAGAAAGACGTTGTTGAGCTAGATTGTAAAATCTTTCAGGTGAAGGGGTAGAATCACGCGGTGTGATAATTGATTTGTTAAGATTGTCGATCATTTGAGTTGGGATTGGAGGGTTGGTATTGGTAACGGCATAGGCGTTATTTAAATAAGGAGGAGAGGCAACAGGTGAATTGGGTAAACTTATTTGTTGATGATAAGATGACGATGAAGGGGCCATAGCAGTAGATACTGGCAGTTCAGTAATAGCTGAAGGATCAGGGATAGCATCGCCTAGCAAACCTCGAACGCCATCTTCATAAATCTTGTCAAAAATAGTGTTTCCATTATTCATGAATTCTTCAATCAAGTTGTCATCATCATCATGAATCATCATATCCATCATATTTTCTTCGTTAATTTCTAAATGGCGAATTCTCTTTTCATTTTCAATCGTGTTGGAAATAGCTGTTTTTTTCATGATAATCAATGTTCGACGCAAATCGATTACTGTCTTTTCCAAATTTTGGACGGTTACTTGACGGTTACATTCACTCATTCGAAGATCCATGATATCGTCCACTAAATTTTCAACAATTCGTTTACATTCATCCGACTCCAACGATTTAATCAATTTTGATGTGATGTCATAAGCCATCTCGGGAGCTGCGTTGACAGGCACACTAAACTGTTCATCGAATGCATCTACATCATCCCATTCATCGTTAGAAACAGGTTCCGTTATAATTTCGTCAGCAAATGTAACATGTTTAGCAGGACGAGGGCTAGCCATTTTAACAATTGATGCACCGCTTTCTTCTGCTTGCAATGCTTCTTCAGCAGCTTCCGATTGCAGCGTTCGGATACGTGCTAGTAAATATGAGATCTCGGCTGAAATTAAGTCAATACGTTCATCCATTAATTCAATGGCAATTGTATCCATGGGTTCACCAGTGGCCTCTTCGTGCTCTTTTTCGACAAGGAACACCTGATCACGCTCATCTTCCAATTCAATCTTCTCTTCAACAAGGGTTTCACGACGGATCAAAAGTTGCTCCATCTCGACAACAGCTTGTTTTCCTTGGATGTACTGATACAGTGCTTTATCCAAAAGTTGCTTTTTACGAGTGACTCGAATACCTAATGGTATAGGATTCTTCTTTTTTGCCTTTCTAGGGAAACCGTGACCTCCACCACGAGCGATAACGGCAAAGCTACCACCCATGATAGGAGTGACTTTTGTAAGCATTTTCTCATCAAGGATACCGCCTTCACGTACAGCCTTTTTCATGATGGAAGTCATTTGTTTTAACTGACTTGCATTGATCAATACTTCCTCGTTTCTCTTTTTTAAGGTTGACTTTTGGATTTCATGCTCGTGCTCCAAACGCTTTTTAGCCTGATTTGATTTAGCATGTTGGCGTTGTAGTTGCTGAATCTTGCGCTCCTGACGAGAAATCTGTTCACGCACACGATCAGCTTCTATTTTCATACGGTGAACAAGGCGCTTCTTTTCCACCTTGAGTGTCTCTACATTCACTTTGAGAGATCTGAGAAGAGACTCGTTTTGGTTTCGAGTCGATTGCATTGTCATGGTTGCCTGAGAATACTTTCGTTTCAATTCTTGAATCTCAGACAGCAAGTTTTTCATTTTATTCTCATACGAATGACGAATTTCAGCCAAATTTTGCTTAGAATTGTCGACGGCGGTCAAGTTTCCTTTGGAAGTTTCGGATTTCAAAGCTACACCGGATTTTGTTTTTGTCATGACCATGTCCTTCTCCTTTTGTGTGTCTGCTAACTGACTTTGAAGGTGGTTGACCTTCTCGTCAAACTTCTTTCGCATAAAAGTAAACTCTGTTTCAGATTTTTCGAGATGCGAGACGAGCTCTTCTTTGACCTTGATATCAGACTGTATTTGCTGTAACATGCGTGTCAGCTGAGAATTGTATCCAGTGGAAGATCCATTGGAGTTGGCAGTATCTGTGCGCGAATGACCATTGGTTAATTCAATCGTTGTTTCATAAGACGAGCCCAATTTTGAATTGATTGTATTTTCGACTTCCTCATTGTTCCAGGCAGGCACAGACTAAACAGAAATTATGAGTTTTCCTTTCAATGCATTACATAAAAAGGGCCTAACATACCACACTGTTTTGAACATATTCCTCATCAATGGGTGACGCGGTAAGGGAAAATCTTCCTTCATCAGACGGGTCTCTTTGCATTTCTTTACCAGCATGCAAACGCTTTTCCTCTGCTTCGAAAGCCTGTACAAAAGCAAGTTAGTAAAAACAGAACAGTAAAAAGGGGGGTGGGATACAAGGGGGTTATTCAAGATAAATCTTACCTTCAATTCTTCTTCCCAAGAATTGGCGGTATCATCTAAAGGCTAACATAAAAATAAAATCAGAGGTGTATATCTAATATAAATATAGGAAGCCGTACCTTTACTAATTCTAGGACTTGTAGACTTTTTCGTATATCTGCACGAACTTTTGCAATGCTCTCCTTGACCTCCTCATGTCTCACATCGTCTTCTTGAAGATCATTGACATATCCTTCGTCTTCATATTCATCGTCATGCTGATAAACTTTTTGAGGGCTTTTAATACGGACATGCTTCTTTTGTTTGCTGCTACCTCTGTGGGTAGCGCTCGTGCTTTTAGTAATAATGGGACGTCTGTTAGCCATAACTTTTGTTGTAATTCTGGCTGCATAACCATTTGACGTAGCGGTACTTGAATTTGCACTAACTCTTCCACCCATTTTTCTTCTGCGGTTACTGTTGGTTTTTCTTGGTTGTTGACTTTGCGAAGAAAACTTTTGCAGTAAGCTGCTGTTGTTATTGTGTTGCATACTGACAGCTTTTGAAAGTGCAGCTTGTAATTTTGGTTGGGTTGATTCTAAAACGAGCAATTTATCTTTGGTGTCGTCTAATTGATGTGTTAACTCTTGAATGGTTCTTTGATACTTTTCAATGATCGGATGGGTTTTGATAGGCCTTGTCGTGGAGCTAATATTTTCTAAGAGAGAATCACCAGAGTCTATGTCGTCATTCTGCATAAATTCACCCAATTCGCGTTCCATTAAAAGTGTATCTCTTTCACTTGTGACTTGAATAATCTGACTTTGCATCTCTTGTAAGCGTTCACGTAAAAGAACTGATTCATGGCGTAAAGATTTATCCTCTATGGATATTGCTGCTGAAGTTGATGTATTTGTGGTTGTAGAAGCCGAGCCATCTGCACGAAGAGATGCAATTTCCATGCGGAGTCGAGAGACAAGTGATTTAAGCTGGTTGACTTCCATGGAAGACCCAGCAAAGTCTTGATTCACAGTGACACGATTCTTAATATTTCGTGCACGGTTAGCGTACTTTAAGGTATTTAAGGTTTCCATAAAATTTGTATCTGCTGGAGAAACACAAGCAAGCATCAGTGTTTGACTGTTACCACCTAATGAATCTTGTAGTAATCGAGTGAGTTTACTGTCTCGATAGGGTATATGCGTTGCTCTTCTTCCTTCATCGCCCAATGCTGAAATGACGTTGCCTAATGCTAGTAGACCGGAATTAATAGCTATGCCTTCTTTGGCTCGATCGCCTTGAGCATGTGTTCGTTTTAACTAGAGAGAGTAAATTTTTAACAAACAAAGAAGAAAAGAAGGAAAAAGAAACATACTCGTTCAGAACCAGCTAAATCGACAAAATGAAATTTACTATTCAGTGATTTAATAACAATTTTTCCATCCTCATTTTCTGATCTATGCTGTTTTAGTATCACAGAGAATATGGCATGCGATCGAGAAGATACGGAATTCATTTCAGTTGAACCTGTGGTGCGACCTAATGAACCTTGTGCGAGGAAACTATAATAATAGTTATTTTAACAAAAAAAAATGGGCCTGGTTGTTTTCCATATATTGTTCTTACCCCAAGAGTTCTTCAGGGCTATAACAAATTTCTTCCTTGACTCCACTCCAATATATATTTCCAGCGACATCTTCTCTAACGGAGACTTCGTTGGGGTTGTTGTAATTATTAGTGTTTGTATTAGCGTAACTAGTTGATCTACGTTTGGATTGTTGTGGGTTGTTCAAAAGATCGATAAATTCCTCATTGTAAAGTTCCAGGAAGGAAACATAAATTTCGGATTTAAATTCAGAATCTTGTGCTTCACGACTCTTTAAGACTTGAAATAATTCAATGATACAGCGGGGCACAATTCCTTTACAATAGTTAATATAAATAGAAATTAAAAAGGGGGAGGGGAGGGGAAGAATGCCAGAAAAAAAAAGTTTTACCTTCATTTTCAGCACTGACGCTATTATCTAAACTTGTACCCATACTAAAGGTTTTACCGGATCCAGTTTGACTAAATGTTTATAGAGAGTAAATAAAGAAGCAGTATATTATTTTTTTTCAGTTGATTCTAATACATTACCCGTATGCTAAAATTGTTGCATTAAAACTATTATATATAATGTTTAGAATAAAGGTATATAAAAAAGATGGGATTACATACCCGTCTACAAACTTGTGCAAGAGAGGAGAGGCAGCATCCAGATAAACCTGGGCTTGGTCTGCATTGCTATTAAAGACGTAGTCATATGTAAAAGATTTATCTGTTCCAATCAATATTTGAGGTTCGTTGGGTATAAATGTTAAACATTCTGTGCAATTATTGATTCGTTCTTTTTCTGTTAAAGGTCGAACACGTAGACCCACTCTATGATAAAGTATAAAAGGTCGGTTTATGTCATATTTTCAGAGTTACTTTGTTTGTACCTGACTGCTGTTGAAGTCATGTTTTTATATTTTCAAATAATTTTTATATGTAAAAAAATAGAGTATATACAGAAAAATAAATGGTTTTGAAAAAAGAGAGAAGAAAGGAAAAGAAAAAGAAAAAGAAGGGGAAAAATGTTAGTTTTAAGAAGCCCAAAAAAAAAAAAAAAAAAAAAAGCTGTGACACACTTGCGGTTTTGCTTCCGAATGGATGTAGCACTTTGTCATGCTTTTTATTTTTTTATTTCTTCATACCAAAACAATGGAATTTTATTATTGTGCTTATTTATAGAAATCAACAGTTGATTGACTAGTGAAAATATATCATTGTAATGACTCTTTATCAAAGCCAAAAGTGTATAGCGTCGATCATGTGTGCGACCCCTAATAGTCGGAGTCAACTAATAGGATAAAAAAGCAGGCCAATTTCTGTTTGAGCCATCCATATACAATGAAAATGTGAAAAAAACTATAATTTTTATTGTACAATATATCTATTCATCATCAGAAATATGATGTTCGACCTTCTTTCTTTTAACCTTCTTTCCCATCTTGAGTTTCTTGATCTCTAATTTTCTCTTTAAAGAACCCTTGATACTCTTTTCATTTTCTAAATCCATTACTTCTTTTCTAACAAACATGTATGTTTTTGGCTCTGCTGATAAAATTTCGGCATTGGCGCCTTTACTTAATCCTTCCTTGTAACCTAATGTACGACGATGTTCGTATCCAGGGAAATCATCCGCATAGAACGGTGTTGTACCTTTCACTGCCAAAACACCATTTGCCTTCACTAAACCCTTGACTGCCCATAAATTATAAGGCTTACAAGTCTTTAATGTCACATGGATTTCTCCATCAGGAACAATCTCCTCTTCTGCTTGTCGAGTATTTGATTTGGTTGCTGGGATTTCTCCTTTAGACGCTTTTGTTAACATTGGTGTTGCTGCATCAAAGAATCCATTTAACAACTTTTGATTGGCAACAACGTTACGATCTTGATCTTTGATACCAGAGCCTGCATGAGGAAAATTGAAAATAATCTTGTGGTATCTATTCTTTTTGACTTCCTTGGGAAAATCAGTTGCATCTACTTCAAACAATACGGTGGCACCATATTCACGAATTAACTCTACGTTATCTTTTGCTTCGTCACCATATTTTTCATACAGGACTTTTTCGGTATCATAACAAGTAGCAACCATGTTTTCGGAGCCTTCCTCAAGATAGTTCTCTGCTAAGGATCTAGCAAACGAAAAATTACCTTCGCCAATCAACAAGATCTTGTCCTTGGACTTGAATTGGGGTCGGACACGGATAGTTTCTGAATCGGCCTTCTTTGCCTTGATTTGGTTTCTTTTGGCCTTTTCGGCATTGTCGGCTAAAGCTTTTGCTTTACGTTCTTGTTCAGCTTTCCAGGCGTTCTTATCAAGCATACGATCAAGTGCATTGACCAACTTCTTTCTCTTCAATCTACCCATATTTATTTATGTATAAAAAGTAAAATTAAAATTACCCTCAAAATATTTTTTTAATGTGGCATGAAAATAAGCCACTCGATTTATTTTCTTTTGACAAGCACGGGCTTGGGTACTTTCAATAGTAAATATAGCTTATCTCTATCCTGCCTAATATCCTCTAAAGCGCCCGTCCTATATATTGAAAAAACAAAAAGATTTAGTTCATCTTTGCTTAGTACCGTCATTTTAACTCACCAATCTGTGCCAGTAATTATCTCGATGGCTTCCATCATATCCTCATCCTCTTCGGCTTCTTCGGACATCGAAAGCTGAGTAAAAAGCTGATCAGCAACTTCGACTCGGACCTATTCAATATTAGCTCTCTAAGTATGTGTGTGTGCATCGTAAGGTTAGGTCGTTGTCTTACTCTAGGAAAAGCGTGCACAAGGTAGGATAGCATTTGTTGAAGTGATTTAATTCTTACTTGTGAATCAGGAATCGAAATTAAACCAATGAATCTGTGAAAATGATCAATATCTCGTTTGCATGAACATATCAAATAAACTTACACTTTAATGGCAGACAAGAGTTTTCGAATATTTCTGCATTTAAATGTTTCTTTCTTTACAGCAGTAAACAGTTTCAAGTGTCTACAAGTACAAGGGATCAGTAGGGTCATGTTATTTGTCAAGAAAAAGAAACACTTACAATGAATGATTCGTGATTTTCGATAGTGTTCCAGATTCATACAATAAACCAACCACATCCAACAACGGTATAGTCACGCGGTCTTGACGTTCATACTTTGTAAATATTTGGAGCAGTGTAGCAAAAATTGCGTCCAATGAGGGATCCGCTGGCTCGTGAATAGGTAAACTATCCATATATTCTGTTAAACATGAACTAGAATGACGCACCTAGAATACTATCACATTAAATCACATGTCGTATTTCATCATTGTTCCAGTATTACCAATGATTCAGTAAGACCACCTGCACTAGCAATCAAGCCCGTCAAAAGCTCAAATCGGTATTCCGGAATTTTTAATAGATGAACCATGACAGGATACAAATCAGAAGGCGCAGCCCAAGATAGATCCCTATTCAAAAAAAAAAAAAAATTAGTTCTTATTGACATGCACTCCCCCCTCCCTTTATTTTCTTTTTGTACCTTGTAATGTACTGTCTCAAATAATCACGGCCAGGGAATTCCAATGTATCACTGGAAAGGACCAAATCGCACAATACCTTACCGGCGCTGGATCTCACCTTATCAATTCTCTCCACGCTCTGCTTCAACAAGGCCGCAATGAAATTTGACGTACTTGATATGGCCAAGTATGGATCACTGTCTTGAATAGAATCCAAGTGGGAGATACAAGGGAGTAAATAGTTTAACAACTCCATAGTAGCTATACGAACCCAAGATCCTACATCTCCTCTTTGATCTGTACTATAATCCGTAAGACACAGTTCTAAGCTGCCTAACACAAACTGGAAGTCGGGATAGAGAATCGCTATCCTATTTGCATCAGTACATCAATTGTTTTTTAAAAAGCATTATCCATCATTTATTACCTGTTTTTAAATCATCTTTCAAATTGAGCATGATGTTTGTTAAGCCAATCACTGCATTTCTTTTTGTTTTCGCGCTATTTTCCTGTGGGTCTACCTAAATAAAGAACTATGTGATTAATTACAAAAAAAGACGTTCCATATTTTAAAAATATAAAAAAAAACTTGCTTGGAATTGAGAAGCTTTGCATAACTGAGTCAACACAGCATGTAATGAAGAAGAATATTTCATATAATCTAATGTACCAAGTGCAAGAGTGTAGCCTCTTCTGGCATGCAACATGGGGTTACGAACTTCAATTTTTTCCAAAGCTTGATCGATTTCAGATGAAGATATACCAAAGTTTTTGGCAACAGCACCAAATGACAAGACTGCATATTCCTGTACATTCTCTTCCTTACGTTCCAAAGATGTGTGTATGATCTGTTTCCAGTCTGCAAGGGATTGGCCTGGATTTAATCCAGTTGTGGATAGACATGTAATTAAATGGCACGCTCCCTCTCGAACATGTTCTGACCCAAATGTTGTCAACGAACGAGCGGGTAAATTTGACACGACGGTTGTCAAAGATGCGATATCTTGGTGGTAAGCAGATAGGATATCTTTCTTTCCAGTATGGTATAACGCCAATGCAATTTCTGCAATGGCTAGCATGGCACCATGAGATACCTGCATATCTTTACTAGTAGCATGAGGTACCTAATCCAGTTATTTAGGGTTCCCTCTCCTTGTTGATTTATTGTTATACAAATACTTACTAAATAGGGCAGAGCTGTATCCAAGAAATATTGAGGATTAAGGGCCACTAAGTTGTATAATGCCTTGGAAGCAAGTACTCGCATAGACTTATCCCAATGTTTAGCTGTGACGGATATCAAATGTTGAATTAAATGGTATCTGTATTCTTCGAACCTAGTACATAACTTAGTATTATGCATACATTTTTTTTTTTTTTGCATTGTTTACTTACTTTGCAATATCAAGGGAAATATATAAAAATGCATTATTTCTATTTCCCAAAGAAAAGTAATCTGCATTCTGAATGATTTCTATACCATGAGGAAAGATGCCTTGTCTTCCCACGTTTTCTTGAAACGCAGCACTGCTTGCGCGACGAACATTGATTTCTCGGTCAAAAACAGAGACAACAACCAGATTTTGTGCGATTTCAGCAACAAACGGTTCAAGAATGTTGGGTGCATACGCTCTGGCAAAGGCCCAACAAACATAACAACATGCATCTCTGACGTGTGCGCCAATTGAATGTGATCCACGTTTCAAATCAAATTTTAAACCCTGTTGTAGGTTTGGGTTAAAATAAATTTCCCTTACATGTATTCACCTCCCTTTTTCTTTTTGTATACTCACTCGAAGGATCCAAGGGATTGTTTCCTCTAACCTGTTGGGTAAAAGTAATCCTCTTCGGGATAGTTCAGCCACAGCAAGAGAAGCACCATGCCAGGTATGATCCGATACCGCCGAAAGGTCCAGATGACCCGACTTATCTGTCAGAGTGTTTTCCTCAAATAGTTCAAGTAAAGAGCCTACTACATCCTCGCCTAATTCCTGGGGAAGTCTTTGCGTTATACGACCTATACCTTTTGCAGCAGACCAGCGCACGATGGTGTCTTTATCTCTTAATCCGTTTAGCAGAATTTCAATGATGGTTTCCAAGTTTTCAGAAATGTCTTCTTCCTCTTCTTCATCCACAGCAATGGGTTGAGCAGAAACTAATCCACCTGTAGAGACACCTTCCAAATTTTGCCTCAATGAACGATTACCACGTTGGTATCTCCAAGAAGCGATTTTGGGCTTCAGGTAACAAAGCCCAACACGTTGTGTCAATTTAGTTCTTAATTTGCGGACCACTGCATTATTGGCATATTCTTCAAAGAACGGCATGGTCAACAAGGGTAAAATCGATTCATCCAAGGTGGGTAAAAGCACAGATCGAGGCGATAACTGATAGGTGATACATAAACTTTGAAGGATACCTGTAGTCTATAAAAGAGTACCGCTGATTTAGAATTGCTGTTAGATAAATATGTCTTGGTGTAATAACCTTACTTCAAATACATCAGCACCCGAGCTTAATCTTTCCTTTGCCCAGTCAATAAACGGGACCAGATGTTCATGACATAGATCTTGTCGGGAGAGTAATCTTGCAATCAAAAGACTTGCACCGTCACGCTCTTTACCTGTGGTGCAGATATATCTTTTACAAAGGTTGAGCATTTTGACAATCAAGGAATCCTAGGTATGCGGGTTATTTTTATGTTGCTGTGGGGCGTGAGGGGAGGTTCTTACCTGGGATTGGATGCCACTATCGACCTTTTTCAAATCAAAAGGAATCATGCAAATTAAAGATAACCAAATAAAACAAATGTATCTTGCTTCCCATAACTCTGTTGCTGAAGAATCCATGGCTGATAGAAACTCAAACACAGGTTCCAAATCCGTCACTTCATGCGACATAAACTTGACTTTTTAAAATAAATTGAAAATGAGTTTCTTTTATATATCAGTGGTTCACTTGTCTTTTACCGATGGTTTTAAATCCACGAGTCTTTGTCAAGAAATACAAGAACCGAAACAAAATAAGCGTAGTTTCGGGCTTAACATCTTTATCCACAGCTTGTCGCAGTCGGGCCATGACAGGCTCAATCATGCTTTCTAAACTAGGGTCGAGCAAATGGGATTGTTCCTGATAGTAATCAAGCTGCAACCAATCTTGTTAATATTACAAGTGATTCCCTCCCCCTTTTTTTTTATCTCTTACAATTGTCGTTAACCGATCCAAAGCTTGTGTTGCTTCCTTGACATTGGGTTCCTCTTGAATAATAACTTTTAGGCATTGCATAAACTCATCCCTGTGCTCAAAATGAGATAACTGAGATGCACAGACATGGTCTTGATCATCCGTATCCATGGTTGCTTATGTGATAAAAAAGGGAAAAAGTTAGGCAAAAGCCTTTCTCTTTTATTTATTTATTCGGAGTTGTGTGCCTTTTTTTATTTTTCAACATGATGTTGAATACGCAACAAGAAAGAATTATACCCTACCATTCATTCTTTGACCTTCAAAGAGCCGCTATTATTAGAGACACGCCTGCCATCCGATTGAGAAAAGCTTCCAAAGGTAGGTTGAATACATCGTTTGATCCGTACTTAACATGCTGGAAAATAGAGGGTAATATTGCAGCAGTCAAACGATTATTGAAAAAGGTGTCGAATGTCCAAAACCCAGATCCAGAAACAGGATGGTAAGGACCTCTTTCTCAATGCAACTCTAAAATAAGACACATTTTTTTTCAATGTTTTTTTTCATATAACCAGTACGACCTTAATGTATGCGACACAGTATGGACACGTTGATTTGGTGGATTTATTATTAGATTTAGGCCACGAAGAGGAAGTTATCTCTGTTGTAAATATGAAAAAGGATGGGATATGGTCAGAAAAGAGCACTTATGACTCTATTAGGATAACGAAGGAATAACAGTCCTGATGATTGCTGCCATGTTCAACCATGAAGAGGTAAACAGAAGCAGGAAGAGTAAAAAAAAATGTCAACTAAGAATGGTTCTCCCAGATATTCTTTTTGTACGTAAGTAGATACCCAGAATGTATTCATGCAATCAGTAAAAACGGATGGACCGCATTGTTATATGCAGCTCAAAATGGAAATGCCAATCTTGTCAGCGTAAAGTGGGGAAAATGCAACGGATGAAGAAAATGGGATTAAAAACAGATTTTTATTTTAGTATTTATTGTCTATTTCTGCCGATTTCGATCATATAGACAATGAAGGGAATTCAGCTTTACACTACGCTTCTGCATGGGGACATATTACCGTGATGGATCTATTAGTTGTAAGACGGGTTGCATATTTGAATAAAAAATCAAGTGACATAATACTAAAAAAAACTCTTCTTTTCAAAGTCTGAAGGGTGTAACGTCGATCTTGAAAACAAAAGCCATTCAACAGCATATGATTATGCTTACAGTGTCGCAGTACAAGAGCATCTGAAAGGTAAAAAAAAAAAGAGGAGTAAACAAATAAATGCTTTTTAATTAAAACAAATTAAAACAAACTAATTAAAAATATATAGAAATATCACAAATTCCATTCAATGACGATTCTACATTATCTGTATCATCTTCACAGAGACAGCAAAGCTTGATTAACGCACCTTATTCCTCTTCTTATTCAAGTGGTATACATCTGGGTCTAAGTTCAATGAGTATTTCACGCGGGCAATCTCATGCTGGCCATGAATCACCTATACCCCGTGCTTCCACTTCGTCATCTTCCTTAATCATACCCTCTGCTACAACAAACGGGGTTAATTTTACCGCTTCTTCAAGTCCTAGGGGATCTCATTATCAACAAGTGAGTGGAAGTCCGTCCTCATTTTCAGAACTTGAAAGAAGAAGAGCTAGTAGTTTTAGTGATGCTAAACCAAAAGGGTATAGACCGACATAAAGAAATTTATTAAATAAGGGGAGTGAAGGGAAAATGTTACATTTGTGTATATTATAAGGAAAGGGATGGCGGGGCCCTTAGTTACTTTTTTTTTCAATTCTTACGGTTTCTAAATAAGGCCCGTATACGATTGATTTCTTGGAGTGTAATATCATGAGTGATACTTTGAGGAGAAAAAACAGACTATGAATATTAGTTATAGTTAGTAACAAGAATGATAATGATTTCTTTTTCTTTTTACCTTTATGAATTCATGGCAATCTATTAATCTTTTTGGTGACTTTTGTAAAAGTTGAATGATATCCACCGAATCCGCCACATTGCAAATGGAGCGCTCGTTAAGCTTCATAATGGTCAGTGCCACTTGATATAAAACTTTAAATCCTTCCCCACTAAAAAAAAAGAATTAGTTCATACAACCTCCCTAATAAATAATCTAATAATAAAAACTTACACAAAGAAACAATCCCAGATTCGCATGACTGTCTCCACTGGTAAAACATTTACAAACATGGTAGAAAACCAGTGATCTGTAACCAATGTAACGGAAGGCAGACTATCTGTCTGTTGACATTCCCAGAAACATTTCTTATTGGCAATTTTCGACCAAACGCCAGGCATTTTTTCATATACCATCATCATCAAGATGGTTTGTTCACTTGAAGATGAAGAAAACATATCTTTTGGGAAAAAATCTTTAATCGCTGTTACAAGTAGCCAGAAAGCTTCTTCTTCGTCTTGGAATACTAGTAAGAAACCAGCAATAAATATAAGTGATTGACGATAACCAATCTCTGGCACATATAAGCTAAAGGCACACAAAATACGTTGCAGCATTTTTAATTTGTTGGTTTCGGAATCTTGAGGAAAGAAAGAATTACCGGGAAATGAGCCATGCAGATCACGTTCAATAGTTTGAGCGTTTTCACAGTCTTGGGCGATCAATGATGTATACACTCCTGTGTTTGCCTTCATTCGATTATCCGCACCACTGTAATGCATCCATGCCTGTATTTAGGGTTGAGTAAAAGCAATAAACTAGTAATGCTTCTTATCTTACCTTTGTTCTAAAGGATTGGGGAATGCCCTTCCTTACATATCGTGTCACTAAATAAAACAGGTTATCAAAGAGTTCCAAAAAAAAAAAAAAAAAAAAAAAAAAAAAATCTATTTTGGGAATATACTTTACATTCTGGGCACAGTGTTGGCCACTGTTGATCATTGTTTGCAAACAGCTTATTCCAGTGCTTTGCTTGTTTTAGAAGCATTGGTTTATATTTGATATCAAACTCGTATAGCTGCTTTGGGCTTACCCATTGTATAGGTCTTTTGAACCCATATTGATCTCTGAAATAATATATAAAGAAAAAAAGTTGAGCTAAAACAATGAATTTAAGTGCGTGTCCTTCTTTTGTTACCTTTCGGTAGTTTCGTAGTTAAGGTCTTTCTCGCTTTCATTTTCGGAAACAAGGGAAGAATTAGCAGAGCTCATAGAGGGTGTTCGTTGTCTGGATAATATAGAGCTTGCTATTGAAGTAGTGGCATATGACACACTGTATGGCGAATAAGGTCTACATTCTGGCGCTATATCCGGTGCACCTTGATACCAGGTATCCAATCGGTGATGCGTGCTGTGCTGTTCCTGAAGTTTGGTGGAGACTGAAAGTTCTTGCAAGGCTTTCAGCATTTTCTTTTGTTGTTCTTTTAAGCGTATTTGCTCAGAGGAGCTATTCACGTAGTGCATTTCGTACATGCTCATTTTATATTGATTGTAGATTGGAAAAAGGGATGTAAACCAAAAAGAAAATAGAAACAAATATAGCTTATATATTGCTGTGAAAATCAAGGAGCAGACAGCTTAATGATGGGTTAAGGAGATGGTAGAAATCTCCTCTTTGTACAACACTGTCTATTTTACCCCTCTCTCCTTTTTTGAATAATTGAATTAGACTCCTAATACATATATATAAAAAAAAATAGAGAGAATTCTATTTGAATTGAATTTATGTCTGTTTTGTATAAATTGTTTTCAATTATGTGCAAATTGAATTAAAAGCTGAAATTACATGTGTTTGGGAAGTAAATTATGCAATTTTTGACAAGACGGGGACTTAAAATAGCGGACAGGCAAAGGGTACCTGGTAAAATCCGGGCAAAGATTTCCTTTCATCTTGACAGGGCGGTCTACCAAACTGCTTGCATTATATTTAGCGAAATAAATGGGCTATTATTAAACAAGCGCGTTATTAAAAAAGAAGGTGTCTGATTTTTGACATGTCATGATCGTATCCACGTGTTGTCTCTAAATATCGCCTGATAACGCAAAAAAAAAAAAGGTTGGGAAATAATATTTATAAAAAAAAAATAGGTTATCATCACTAAGATGTATATATATCCCCATCTCGGAACAAGGGCCGTGTCTATCTTTTAAGAAAAATAGACTATTGTTTTTCTTATCCGCTTATCCCCCTACCCCTATAGCACGTTATTATTTAGGAACACTCCGATCGAATTTGACACATTTTTAAACAATAGCACTAGAAAATGATGTAATTTTAGACTAAATCATCGCAACTCGCCTCCGCTCACATAAAATTTTTCTATTTTGATCTTTAAGAAATTTTTTATTTTGGCGTAATAACGTGGAAAATTAGATTTCAGACATGTTAAAAAATATTAAGGGTGTTAAAAAGATGAAATTAATGAAGGGCATATAAAAACATAAAAAAAAAGGCGGGGGAAATAAATATATACAGTAAATAAGCAAAAAATAAGAAAAAAGTGTGGGGAAATATATAATGGTATTATCTCATGGAAGAGATGGAGGATTCACGTCTGGGACGACAGGAGGATTCGGAAGAAACCGAGCTTGCGGAACTGGTAGTATTACTTTTGGGAGCACACATTAATGGGAGGCGCTTACGAGGCAATTCAACCACGATTCTCTTACGACGGGTATTTTCACAACAGCTTGCATCACAAAACCATGATTCTTTAGAGTTTACAAATTCATCACTTAGTTCGCCGCTGGTAGGACAACAGTTTTGATGGAATGCCTTAGGGCAACCTTCACATCGCACCAAGACATTTCCTTGCCATGAATCCTTACGTTGGCATCCGGAACAATATAATTGAAGAACAGGTCTTTCTCTTTCATCAATCGTCTCTCTAGTGAAACCTGTAAGGTCGAGACGAGGAAGCTTACATGCAAAACCATAACCTTTATAATCACATCCATGCTTACTGTAAAGAAAAGAACATTAGTAAAAATAAACTAAATCATGCCTATTTGAAAAAAACTTACTTGCAAAGAGTGCGCTTTCCCCAAGGTCCAGGACGCCAATTGACACCTTCTGTTGTACCACAATAACGACACCAATCAATATTGGCTTTTGTTAATTTTTGATAGATGGTGGGTGTGGATGTAGGACGAGGCGAAGCCTTTGGTAAAAGACTATCGGTGTTATCGAGAAAAAGGCTATTTGTGGTGGTGTTGCTGAGGGGAGCTAAGCTTTCACATGATGATTTTTTACTGAGAGGATGAATGGTGGGATGCATGGATTTTTTATATTTCTTGGGAGTGTATTTAACAGGTGCTTTAAACTCTTCATCTTCTTCACTGGCAGACTCTTCCTCGATCTCGGAGGCGACTTCTTCTTCCCAAGAGGTTGTGGAGAATGAATCATCATCATCCGTAACTGTCTGCGTTTGAAATTCAGCGGGAAGATGGTTACCAAATCGGTTGTATTCCAGGGAGGATCTTGATAAAAGGGTAAAGGGTAAATAAACAAACTCACACGCACACACACTAGTTCTTATTACCTTTGCTCATCGTCTGAAGACTCTTCACCGGATGCATCCTCAAAATAATCACAATTAGATTCAAAGATGGCTTCGTTCTTTAATGTGGATGATAACGGAGAAGGGGGAGGGGTAGTATCAAAAGGTCTTGCAGAATGACGTTGCTTTTTCTTGATGCGGTCCTGTAAAACTGAATCTGAACAGCGACGCTTATTTTGTTGTTGTTGAGGATACAAGTTATATTCCAAGGCTGGAGGTGTAGGTAAGAACTCGTATTGAGAATGATTGAAGTCAAACTTTTTCAACGTCAAGGTGAAGGCAGGCTTGTTCTTTTTGGCCATCATCATGACTTCTTCATATGAGCTTGTGGTTGTTTGGTTTGAGTTGGTGCTTGTGGTGGCAAGATCAAGACCAAAATCAAAAAGATGAACATTATCGTCGAGAGATAAAAGATCACTTGGAGTTTCATGAGGTGAGAAGGTTTCAGATGGGGAAAAGTCGGACTCATTGTCACTTTGAGCACACGTGGAAGATGCAGAAGAAGCAGAATCATTTGAAGGAGACATTTCTCTGCCGTGAATCATGGCAGGAGAAAAGAATACATCCTTGACCAGATCTTTTTGGAAATCTTGCTCCACTGTATCATAGGTGATGGTTGCATTTTCTAGCGTATGATGAATAGGGATATGCATATTATGATACTATATAAAAAGCGGACATTAGATATATAAATATAATAATAAAAAAAGGGCAGACTCTTTTTACATACGTTGGAGCTTTGGACGACTGGTCTATTATAATAATAATAGCTGGATTGATAAAAGTCTAAAGAGGCGGCTGACATGGATGGTACTACAATAGGAGAAACCTCGGGAGACATGGAAGATGACCAAGCATCCTTGCCAGACGATTGGCGAGGAGCAATAGCCGGTGTAGATGGGATTCTATGATATGCAGGACGATAAACAGAATAATGTTGATTGTGACGTTGATATGACATATCAAATGTATTTTCTTGATGAGGATAAGGTTTGATGTTGGGATAACTCATTTTTGTATGGAAAGGAAAGGGGGTAGTTAAAGAAAGTACAAGAGGATGATTTTATTTTTTAATAAAAAAAAGAAGGAAATACAAAATAAAGAAGAGGTAAAATGGAGTTTGGGAATTTTATACGAGAGTGGGGATACACAAATAAAATTTGGGGGGTGGAGCAACACTCTTTTGGTAAGGGAAGATCCTTAATTTGGGGGGTTGCTAGGTAAGGGACAAATGTGTCACTGCGCGTGAACAGAATTTTATAGTACTAGAACTTTAAAATTCATTAGCTAAAAAGACCAATTTCTTTTTTACTGGGAAAGAACGTGCCATTTGGTCCCACTCATTTAATTTGTCAGTGCTCACACTCCGATTCAAATATTCTTTACTCATGTCCTAAAATGTTTCCCCCAATGCAAAATAACCCTAAATGCAAGGAGCCATCTTTTTCTGTTACAAAACCATTACCCAGCTCCATTCTATCCCCTTAATATCCTAGTCGGCAGATCCCCCATCAAGAAAATAAAGAAACAAAAAACAGAGCACATTGCAGCACTTTTAGGTTGTACACCTCGTGCTCAGACTCTATTTTTTTTTGTTTTTACATAAACAAAAAAGACTCTCCATTGTCTTTATTTGGCATAACACTTTCTCATAAAAGTCATTGCTGTCAGAGATACATCCACGTTGTATTCAGTTTCTACTCTATACTCGTGCCTTCCCATGTATGAAAATCACAAAAGAAAATAGAATAAAAAGAATCTCGTGACCCTAAATAGTCGCAAAGACCTGTTACACGTTATATTTTTGTAACCCGCCTATACGAAATCGTATCCGTTTTTGATTGTTATTTCCCAATCTGTGATCACTCAGCAGATCCCTTTTTTTTATATAATCGGCAGTATAAGGTGCCATTTTGATTTGTTGTGTGCATGCTGTTAAAATAAAGACAGCTTCTTTTTTTGTATGCGATAAGTTGTATGTGTAACGACTATATCTTGCTAGAGGATAAGGGGAGAGGGGCTATCTATTATAGATTCGATCTGGTAGTTATGCTCTTTTTTGGGTTTTGGCTGTCGGACATTGTGCCAGGAACAAATCAGTTACTTTATTTGCAAGGGTATATCATTGGTTAAAACTTTATTTGCCTCATAGTGTCAAAATATTCGATGCTTGTTATCACTACTTTTTAAGGACTTGATTTCTTGTTTTATCTGTACTAATGATAGGAAACTCAATTTTTATCTTGTGCTCTTATTTTTTATAATCCGTACATTCAGCTATATACTGCTGGTAATCAGTGAGGAAACATATGGACCAATCTTGTTTATAAAAAAGTTTCTTTTGTTTATTTTAATCACGTCCCTTTTACCAAACTCAGGCGTGGATTGAATCCGTGCTCAATCCGTGCTACAGGAAAACTGGAATTCTGAATGAAAAAGATGGAGACTTTTCGTTGGACGCATCTACACTTTTTGGGAGATAACATGATCTCTGCCAAAATAGTAATTTTTACTCTTCTGAATCGCACACAGTTGGAAAAAAAAAAAGAGTGATTTTGGCTGAACGATTTTTTTTTCGTGTACAACATAATTTAGAATATAATCTTGAGATTAAACTGCCACTGAAACAAGTCATGTGTAAACTTTACTGGCTGCCACTGTCTTAGTGGCCTGACTGAGATTCTGTGTGTGCAGTTTCCATGTGTTACAGGGCGGTATCAAGATCAAACTTCCCTCTAAAATCTTTTTTTTTTGAAGCCATGAGAAAAAGCACACTTGGACCTTTTTGTGTGGGAATTTCAGCAGAAAAGTTACAATAGGGTTAGTGCCCAATAATTCGAAGATCCTATTTTCTTTATTATTTCCGTCATACAAATTTACGGGCAATCTATAAATAAATTATCTGTCATACTTTGATGTAAATTAAACTTTGTCTGTTCCTGGGAGAAAATCAAGCTTATTGTTGCTTGCGGTGGCCCTACACCACCACTCAGGTCGGCAGGGACCGCCTGTCATTCCTCTTTTTTCTCTTTAAAAAGAATCAAATTTATTCCCGCCAGGCTTATAATCGTTTCTTTTCCTCTTTCTAAATATACACTTTTCGCCAAGCGCGCTTATATTTTTTTTTTATAGCGCCATGGAAACGAAAAGAATATCAAAAATATGTTTGGAACACCGTCGGCTGTCAATTTTCAGGGTAATTAGGTCTATTTTCAGCAGATTAATGTTTGTTTTGAAACTGGTTGAAAACCGGTTTATATTTCCTTGTCGGAATGCCATGTGTACCCGCCAACGCATAATGCTGTTTGATTAAAAGAACGTGGCAATTTTAGCTATGCAAGAAACATATGTTTGGACACCTTGATAGGACTTTAGAAAAAAAAAATTGGCGTGCATTTTTTTTTAGCCGCTATTTATATAGTACCAAAAAAAAAAAAAAAAAAAAAAAAAAAAAAAAAAAAAAAAAAAAAAAGATCGCACCATAAGCAAATAAGCAATTCGAACAAGAATAGACCTTTTTGACTAAAAGTTACGTAATAAGTTCAAGAAATACGGTCTGAGATTAAAATAAAAATGATTAGCGTGCATCTCCAAAAAATACTACTGACATAATCTCCTGTTGGATATAGAGTATCACTGCAGTTAATAGCGTTTTTGTTTAAAAAACACAAATACACATATGGATGTATCCCACAGTGCCCGAAGACCTTGACCGGGAATAACATAGTTAAGGGTTACTCAGACCTAAGGATAATTTTAATTTCAAAGACTGTAGTTAAAATTCTGAAGTTGCATTTTATTTATTCGTTACCTTTTTTTTTTTGCTTTAATGTATCATTTCAAGTATGTGTTTACCATTAGCTGACATAGACCCAAATTATGAAATGCGTGGTATCCAATCTTAATAAGTCTCGTGTATACTATTTGTATAGTAGGTGACCAATAACAATTTATGATAACCCATAAATAGTAAACTATAGAAGAAACTTGGTATAAGGCTAATGCCCAATATAAAGCCTCCTTCTCTTCACCAATAAAGCTTAATTTTACTTATGGTTAAAGAATTCGATAAAAGCAAACTTGACAAAAATAAAAGGAGGTCTGCCGACAGACAAGTGTAACATTTCGGCTTCTACAAGCTCCGGTCATTCTGAACAAAAAGAGACCGACTATAATAAGAGAAATACTTACGTCCTATAATTAAATAATGTTTTGAATTAACAAACTGAATTTCTTGTACCTGCTGCAACTAATTTACTCGAGATATCCACTCCTGAAAGCAGTAACTCTTTACAGAAAGGCCAAATTTTCGTGAAGAGAGTGATCTCAAAAAGACGATGTTACTCATGCTGATTTAGTGAACAAGTAATTTTTAAAAAGCTTAAGAGATTATAGTGTTCAGTTCAATTATTTTGAGAAAATGCTGTCTGATTTTTGACAATGGCAGCTTTTACACCCCGATGTTAGATATGCTTATTGTATTATAAGGTCGATTGAATAATGGTAACATTGGTATCATTTTATTTTTTAATGAAATATTAACACACATACACACTCTCTCTCTTTCTACCAAGGTTTCTCTATGTCATGTGATACACAGAAATTGACGTACTATATAAATAACTATAATAGTCTGGCTATGACCTTGAGTTGAAGTAGTAGGTACTTATTTTAGAGTATTGTATTATTATCTGTGGTCAAATCGGCTTTTTTCCTTATTTTCCCTAATTTTAATAAAAATAAAAAGTAAATCACAAGTTAATGATGAAGAAATTATGCACACATAATGTTTTATACATTTGTCAAGTAGTAAACATAGATAGATGCAACAATATTAAGAGACAAACGGCGGGAGCATAGATCTTTCTATTTAAAATCTAGAACTAGCACAAGTGTTAATACAGAAAATACAATAACAATGCTAACATTTGCCCCATTGCATATTACAAAATATCAACATATTCACTGCATGCAAGCGTCTTAGATGACGAATTGCATTTGCTTGAACCGCAGCAAACATCTTTTACGCCTGATATTGTCGACAACGATATATTTCAGGAAACGTTGGAAATTCCCAAAATAAACTTTAAAGTATTTTGCAACGATAGTATGAGTAAAATATCTTTGAAGCTACTTATTCTCATCATTAAAACAAAATCGCTTTTACTGTTACTCTGCTTGATTTCAATGAGGTTGAACCTACAGTTCAACAGGTAGTAAAACATATTGAACAATGGTGTTCACAATTCGTTCATAGACAAATCAAAAAGTCACACAGATAAAATAGTTCATTGAGAAAACTTTTTATTATTTGCTTGTACATAGTAGAATTTATTATTGCCTCATATAATTATTTTCAACAAGAGCAAAGCTCATGGTCATTCATCGTTCATCAAATAGCCTATCAGTTAAAATAAATGTCTCCAATATTGCCGTATTCAATTACTGTGGTTCATATACCACAGAACGGCTCGTGTTGGAGATGAACGTAAAACTTAGTGCATATATCAGAAAGACCGGTAATGTTATTAGCCATACTTCCTCGCCCGCAGCAAGGAGAATTTGATGAAAAAAAAAAAAAAAAAAAAAAAAAAAAAAAAAAAAAAAAAAAAAAAAAAAAAAAAAAAAAACCAAAGTAGGCTCGTTTAAGTAAATTTTAGTCGTCATTAACAAAAATCTCATTGCATTGGTAGGAAAGAAAATAAAAATGCGGTATAATCATTTTTAAGAAACTTGTCCGGCGTTACAGTGTTAATAAAGGGCCATACTAGCGGTTTGCCTTAATAGAAACTACTCAAGACTTATTTATAATTAATCAATTAGGTCGAATCGAGACCAAATCGGTGCGTTAAACGTTGCTGTGGTTTTTTTTTAGCTTTACCTTCAAATGATGGTCTAACTCATCTTCTTCGTTTCCGAAGTCTGGTTTAAAAATAAGACAGGCTAGCTACTAAATTTACTCAATCAAATATACTTTGGCCTAGCAAAATGTGTTCAAAGTTCGACTTATCCAATAATCTTATGCAAGTCAGATTTATTATACAAGAATTTCCGAGAGGGCCGGTAACTAATTTTTTTCTGTGACAAATGTCACTAGAACCAAAATTTTCGGGGGGCAAAAAAAAGGGCCAGATCCACAAGTCGATTAAAAAAAAACAGCAAGTGCGAATAAAAAAAAAAAAAAAAAAGAAAGAAAAAAACTTTTATTTGATTTATATGTTTATATAAATATGCACAGGCTTATTATGTGTGGAACTACAAACTTAAATGCAAAGTTGATCCACGGTAGTATGCATACATGATATTGTTAGGTCTAATTTTCAAATAGGATAATCTTACCAATTACCGAGTTGTAGAATATTTCACGTCGTACTCAATCCATTTGAGGCAATCCTTCACATTTCCTGAGAGCCATTTTTAAACTTACGTTGATTCTTTTATTTCTTTCCAATTGCTGCGGAAACAATTCGTTGGGTTTTTCTTGTCAAGAAATGGCTCGAAGGTATGGAGTATGTGGCATTACGTTTGAGTGTGAGTGTAATAATATGTTTAGTAATCTCTTTCTAAAATGTCGGTTTTTCTTTCAGTGTTAAAAAGTCTCCATTTAAAATATAATAAAAAAAGGGTTATACTACCAATAATGGTTATAAAGACCTATAAATAATCCATTTTTGTTTGAAAGCGTACGGTGTAACCACTTTTAATGATATATATTACCTTCACTGTCCTCTACTTCTCTTTGTACTTTAATCGCTCTTTCCTTTTCCTTACAACCTCCAATCCCATTCCTTATGCTTTTTACCAGCTCATTATTCCTTATCGCTGGTGCTGCTCAAGCTTATGCTGCTACTACCACTAGTAGCAGTTTCGCTCCTCAATTTTCTCCTATCTTTCCCAACATGAAGAAGGCTACTGGCGTTGTCACCTCTTACAATCCCAATCAGTATAAGCCTACTGATACTTTGGACACCTCAGGATTAAGTGGTTATCCTAATCCCTGGGAAGCTCCTAGCACCACCTCTGCTGAAGTCAAGGCTGCCTACAACTTGATTAATTGGTCTAAGGTCCCCAAAGCCCCCGTCAGAAAGCAAAAATCTAACGGTGACTGGGTATCTGATTCTGATGGTGATTCTGATCCTTATTGTTGGTGGTCTTCCACTAATTGTCTCTCCCCCAAGGCTTCTTATTTACCTGATGATATTTACACATGTCCCAAGAAGGGTGACTGGGGTTTAAATTACGATGATGGACCTTTCAACAGATACACTGACGAAAACGCGAAGAAGGAAAATCCTTACGCCGAGCCTGCTCTCTACAATTTCTTGCAAAAGACTGAGCAAAAGTCCACTCTTTTCGTAAGTGAGCAAAAAATGTATTTATCGCATGATTTTCATATTAATCATCCTTTTTTTTTTTTTTTTTTTTTTTTTTGTAGTACATTGGTTCCAATGTTGCTACTTACCCTGCTGCTGCTAAGCGTGGTTTAAATGATGGTCATCAACTCTGTTCTCATACTTGGTCTCATCCTGTTATGACTACTCAAACTAACATCCAAATTGTTGCTGAACTTTACTGGACCCTTAAGGCTATCAAGGAAGCTACTGGTGTTACCGTCAAGTGCTGGCGTCCTCCTCAAGGTGATGTTGATGATCGTGTTCGTTCCATTGCCTGGCAAATGGGTATGAGAACCATTCTTTGGGATGAAGATACCAACGATTGGGCTATGCCTGCTCCTGGTGGAGGTGATCTTGCCCCCAAGAAGGTCGATGCTTACTTTGCAGGTTTGATCAAGAACGAAAAGGCCGGAAAATACAAGACTGGTCACATTGTTCTTGAACACGAACTTAACAGTGCCACCGTAAACATGTCTATGTTTTGGATGCCCAAGATTCAAGCTGTCTTCAATGTTGTCCCTGCTTTAACCTGTAACAACATTCTTCAACCTTATTGGGAAGAAAACTTTGTTTACCCCGCCGGTAACTCTGGTCCTTCTCCCCCTGCTTCTACTACCACTGCTTCTCCTGCTCCTGTTCCCACTGGCTCTCCTTCTACATGTACTCCCGGCTCATTTGGTTTAGGTCAAGGTGATGGTTACAACGGTGCTTGTTGTAACGACCAATCTGACTGTTTGGATGATTGTCTTAGTGGGTCTTGTAACGGTGAGGCTAACCCTAATGCACCCGTCACAACCGCTCCTCCTGCTACTGCTACCACTGCTTCTCCCGCTCCTGTTCCTACCGGTTCTCCTTCCACATGTACCGCCGGTTCATTTGGTTTAGGTCAAGGTGATGGCTACAATGGTGCTTGTTGTAAGGACCAATCTGATTGTTTAGATGACTGTCTTAGCGGATCTTGTAACGGTTTAGTTAACCCTAACAAGCCTGTTACTACCACCACCAAGAAGACTACTACTACTACCAAGAAGACTACCACTACTACTAAGAAGGCTACCACTACTACCAAGAAGGCTACCACTACTACCAAGAAAGCTACCACCACCACCAAGAAGGCTACCACCACCACCAAGAAACCCACTGCTACTGCCAGCTGTATTGCTGGTGCCAGAGGAAAGAAGAAGGGAAACGGTAAGACCGGTTACTGTTGTTCCTCTAGCGACGATTGTCTTGAAACCTGTCGTAGCGGTACCTGTGGTTTATAAATTTCCACTCCTCACTGATAGTTAGAAACTTTACCACATTTAATATGATCCCTTTATAATACTTTTTTTGTTACAGAGATGTAAATAAAATTACATAATTCTTCTTAATTCATTCTATATTTCCTTTGCCTTTAATGCAATTGTATAAATGTATACATACTTTGTAACAACAAATACGTTAAGCAATGTGATACAAACTGGCAGAGATTGTTACAAATGCCAAATAATTGCGCTGCTAAAAGAAGATCTCAGTTGTCCCATGCCATTATTTCAATCATCTCTGTCAAATCTTTTGACAGATTCAATCTAACCATTGTAGGTAAAGTTTAAAAATATTTATACAAGAAATCAGGTAGGTTCTGCTTTAATAAAAAAAATTAAATAATACATTGATTCTAACAACAACAACAAAAAACTACAAGCCTATACGTCACACGCGGTACCTCGACAGACATCAAGGCAATCATCGCTTGTGGTGCAACAATAACCAATTTTACCATCGCCTAGCTTTTTACCGCTGGAGCCGGCAATACATGAACCAGCAGAAGGAGTAGGTTTAATCGTGGTAGCCTTTGTAGTTGTAGTTTTTTTAGTGGTAGTTTTTGTAGAAATGGTACGAGTAGTTGTACCAGGTTTGGCTGTGGTAATTGTACTGGTTCTAATTGTATTTACTGGGGTATTAGTAGCAACGGGGTTGGTAGGGCCGGTACAAGCTCCCCCAAGACAGTTGTCAAGACAGTCTTGTTCAGTCTTACAACAATACCCGCCATAACCGTCTCCAAAGCCATAACCAAACGATCCTGGTAAACAGTTTGCATTTGAAGGTACTGAGGAATCTGCCGATGTTGTTGTTTCCGCCTTTGTAGTTGTTGCAGTTACAGTATACGTGGCAGGGGGATTTACGGGATTTGTGATGGGGTATACAAAATTTGTCTCCCAATAAGGCTGGGTAATACCATTACATGCCAAAGCAGGAACCACATTAAAAACATTCTGAATTTTTGGTAACCAAAACATGGACATATTTACAGTGGCACTATTCAATTCATGCTGAAGGACAATATGCCCAGCTGTATCTTTACCAGAATTGTAAGCATTGATCCAACCTTGAAAATAAGAGTCCACTACTTTGGGAGAAAGGCTTCCTCCACCAGGTGCAGGCCTAAATGAGTTAAAAAGGTGATTAGAAAGGGTTTAATTGTTTTAATAAAACACAAGTCAGCTTACATGGCCCAATCGTTAGTATCTGCGTCCCAAAGAATATTTCGCATGCCCATCTGCCAAGCAATAGCACGTACACGATCATCAACATCACCTTGAGGAGGACGGAAACATTTAGAGGTGACACCCGTAGCCGCCTTAATTGCTTTCAGCGTCCAATAGAATTCAGCAACAATTTGAGAATTTGTCTGGGTAGTAAGAGGAGGATGAGACCAAGTGTGCACGCAAAGATGATGTCCATCATTTAAACCACGTTTTGCTGCAGCGGGGTAATTGACGACATTAGAACCAATATACTACACAAAGAAAAGAAAAGATTTAGAAAAGACATTATTTTTCTTTCTGACAGGATACTTACAAAAAGTGAAGAGTGTGCATTATGAGTAGCTAAAAAATTATAAAGAACAGGTTCAGCGTACGGATTTTCTATAGCAGCGTTAGAATCCGTGTATCTATTGAACGGTCCATCGTCATGGTTAAGACCCCAATCTCCCTTATTGGGACAGGTGTAAATATCAGGAGGTAAATAAGATGCCTTAGGAGTACGGCAATTAGTGGAAGACCACCAGCAGTAAGGATCAGTTGCACCGTCAGACTTAACTACCCAAGTACCATCCGGATTTTGTTTTCTAACAGGCGCATTGGGTACTTTGCTCCAGTCAATTGAATTATATGCAGCCAAGACCTCCGCAGAATTCGTAGGAGGTGCCGCCCATGGCTCAGGAAATCCAGTAAGAGGTTCAGTGGATAATGTGGCAGAAATATCATAAGGTCCGGGATTATACGATGTAACCACACCGGTGGGTGTCTTGAGATTAGGAAAGATCGGAGAGAATTGAGGAGCATACCCGCTACTAGTGATTGTTGCTGAGTTAACTTGTTGCCAAACAATGGCACTGAAAAAGACGACTGAATAAGAAATCAACATTAAATATTGTCACTACGAAAATAAATAATAGAAAAAAAAAAGGACAAAGAAAGAAAAAAAAAGAAAAGAAAAGATGAACAAAATAAAAAGGGAGACCGATGAGATTAAACACAGCTTTTATTCATTTTTTAAATCATTGATAATCAACACTATGTTGAAAACCTATAACTGTAAGAGAAACAGCTTAAAATACCCCATTTTGAATTTTCTTTATAAAAATAATTGATCGTCATACAGCACAATTTGGGAATCACACACAAAAGATTTAAAATAGATTTCTCCTGTTGCTGTATAAACTTTTTAAAACGAAAAATACTCCTATTATTAATTTTTAATATACAACGTTTTCATGATATGAATTTTATTTAAGTCCAAAATAAAGAGAATCGTTAAATAGGTAGGCCCATCGGGAAAGAAGTATAAAGAAGGGATACTCACATTTTTTCTTCTCTCGCAAAGACTGTCCCCGGGTGAAATACTTAATCACCCTTACTAAATTTAATATTACTTACTGCACTCCTTTTATAATCTCTGAATGAAAATGTAGAAAGAAAGAATACAAGTCTATTTAGTAAAATTATAATAAACTGGAAATTCGAGTTGAGCTGTTCCAACATGGCATTTTTTAGACCCCACCCCTCTCAATTTAGGAGGATCTTTTGGCCAATTACCATCTATTTGTGTCTATCTATTTATGTCGTAATTATCAATTGGCGCGCCACAAACATGGTTATTTATGTGTAACAAACAATACCTATCTCTAATCTTGCATAGATGTTCATGTCTAAAGTTTCAAACTCATAAAGTTGTTCAAGAAAATAAAAACCACCCATAGGCATTGCAACTACTGTATGCGACATCTTTTTTTTTATGAAGCACAACACTCTTTTCTTGAATTGTGCGACACTGTTTTCTAAAAACATATGACACTCTTTTTTTACGAATTCATTTTGGGCAAAAGGTGTATTCTTTAAGCTGACCAATTGAACTTCAGAAAAGTGACCAATTGACGGTGGGGTTGAAGAGCGCCCAAATGACTCGGGTGTCAAGACAGATTTTTTTTCTTGTCGTATGCTCATAACATTTTCTTAGTGGCTATGATCATCAGTTAATACTTGATTTACGAATGCAATTTATCTGTGCTACCTTGAGGAGGCATACACAAAGTGAGAACGAGGGCAGACGTGCACTTCTAAAATAAAGTGATTTCCCATTCTTAGTCATCGCTTTTGCACTGTTTTCTTTTTTTGTGAACAACGACAAATATGGGGTTTCGCCTTTTTAGTTAAGAATGAAATACGGTGTCTACTCATTTTTTTACTCCCGTTGTTTAGGTAATAGTTAAACAGTTGTCTCAAATGACGGGAATCTATCATTTTTAAAAATTGTTTCAGTGCTTCTTGAGACGAGAGATTAATTTCAAACAATCGTGCTAGTGCTACCAGCGACTCGGAGCCAAAAGTCGCATTTTTCAAATGTTAATTCTTACGACCTCCCATATATTGATATTGAGAAATATCGTATCAAACCATTGTCACACTACTTCCAAATAGAGACCAGAAAGGGAGCAGACGTATTCTTATGCCTCGTCAATAGTATATCGATCTTTCGTGTCGTTTTTTGGGTTGACGGATTGATTGATTATCCAACTGAAATAAACATTCAACCTGCACCAATAAATTGGAATGTCCAACCATAGTTGTCGTATGAGCTGATGTTTTTGTCCGTTAATTCTTCATTGTTCTGAATATCAATCCTTACTCGAAATTACTCCTGATTATAAATATACACATATCCATAATGGGGAATAAAGAATAATACACTTTTTAGATAATCAACTTTTAGGGCTATTAAAAGCTCCTTTTACCTTTTCCACACCTCATTGACCCTTTAAGGACATACATTAAAGACAGTAGGCGATTTTTATATGATGATTAGGTTAATTTATATACACATTCTAAGTGGAGATTTTTTAAATGGTTCTAGTTTTAAATTGTTTCCACATAATTAAAGGCAATTTCCAATCCTTCTTCTGTAACTTGATATCAAATACATTGAAGTTCGCCTTTTCAAGATTTTCCAAGTACTTGACATGAGGGACCTACAAATGCTCATGAATATCACTTTAGTATTTTTTTTTAATAAGACAAACTTACAGCTGATAGTAAAGCTGGGAAAGCAGCATCGGGGATTTGATCAAGTAAAGATCTTGCCGTGAGCAGTTGATCATATGCGGCAGTTGCGACATCATAGACGGCATCTTCCATACCATCAATTTCTCCACGGAAGACATTTTCTTGGGAGATATCATGCTAAATAGTTTTTAGATACATTGACTCCAGTCCTTCTATTTTTTTATTTCAATACCTTTGCTGTGATTTCTGCAGGCAAAACAAGACGCTTTTGACTAACATGGAACGGCAATGAACGTAAAAAGGTAGAAATACCAATCATTTTTCCAATGTGACTGATAGCGTGATCTGCATTAACATCCTTGACACCCAGTGATTCTAATTGAAGATATAATAAACTGGATTGGGTATTTTCAGAATAGGTTTCCATATCCTTAATGGTCATAAATTGGTGGTCATCCAAATTACTCGTCTAGAATTATTATCAGTTTCTTGAACATATTTTGTAAAACAACTGCTATTTCCTCACTCTTTCTGTAATGATACGCTTCATCCACATGGCTGACATATTTGATGTTTTTAATGCTTCTGATAAAGCTAAAGCAATAGGCTGTTCTGGTGGATTTCCCTATTGATTGTGGTAAATAAAATGGTAATCGCTCTCCAAAATAATCTCACTTACGGCATAGATTTTATCGATGGTGTCTTTCCAAAAGCTCATTCTCATTTTGCCAATTTCAGGCTTTGACACATTTTCACGAATTGAAGCTAATTCCACATTAAAGGCTCTGATAGCATACTGGGTATCTCTTAACTCGGCTGGAAAAAAAGGTATACAAAGATAACCTTCGTAATCTCGTTGTCTACAATAAATGAGTCATACTTGTACTTTCTACAGTCTTCAAGTTTGTGGTTTACCTGACAGAATCTTTGCAATATTTCAAAGCATTTTTCATGCGCTCAGGGCTTACTGTGGTCGAGTAATTTCTTGAAGAAGCATTTTTTAAATGAACAGAGAGACGGGCTCTTGACTGAAGTACTAAGCTCATGTGTAATAATGTAAGGTAAGTTAAGGCTCAACGTCTTTCTAGCCGCCAGGGTTTAAATATAAAAAGCCACCACGTTTAAACTCAGGGTTGTCTAAAGAACGAATCAAGGTTCGTTATCAAAACAGCATTAGGTATTACCTTTGTCTATAATGCTCAAATGCAAGGTACTCCGTGATATGTCGAGTGGCTCATTGTATTATCCTACCTTCCAATGATTAAGATACGGTTCGTAAGCGGTAACAAACCCATATTTTTTTACAGCGATAGGCCAAATCTAAGTTTATAGGCAAGGAAAAAATGATCCCCCGGAGACTCACATTGGGTTAGTTTACTAATATATGTTAATCTAAAGGTAGTAAAATACTACTAGAACGTTAAGATAAATAAAGACTCTCTGGTTATGAAAAAAATGGTAAAATTGCAAAAGGTTTAATTTATTTTGACAAGTGTCTCAAGGTTAAATATCAAATAGTACATCGAATACGAGGGATTCGAAAAAAAAAGTAGTGGGCATAAAAATAATTAGTATGTATAAAAAAAAGGGCGGTAGTGAAGAATGAAAACTATACAAAGAAGATAAGAAAAAGAGATTAGAAGCACATGAATTTACTCTTCTTGTTCATGATTTCATCCATGCGATCTTCAAGAATACGTCTAGCCTTTTCAGCCTTTTCTTTCAAGATCTTTTGTGCTTCCAATTTTTCTAACAATTCCTTACGTTCCTGTTCCGATTCATCCGTTGTACTTTGTTGCTGTGTTTGGATTTGGTTCACTTGGGTTCTCAAGTTTTCAATCTCGATACTACAGGCTTGCTTTTCACGGTTAAGTAAATCCAATTGTTTTTTCACTTCGCGCATCGATGATTCAGAGTGGGATAGTTGTGATTCCAACTTGGTAATAACATCTTGATGAGCTTTCACGTCATTTTCAGCATACTGAGCCTTTCTTTGTAATGAGCGAATTAGTTTATCATACTGTTCAGAAGTAAAATTACCAGAGGAGGTAGAGTTCATGATCTCGCTAAAGCTAGTAGATGTAGTGGAATCATGGCGATGTAACGAAGACTGGCTTGATGCATTGATACTGATAGGATGCATAGGAGGTGACCCAGGTTCGCTTCCAGCGGATGAATCCATTGTAGGCGAGCTAGGCAATGCAGGTAAAGGCGAAGGAATAGGTGGGAGAGGATTAGAAGGTGGTGCGGTGGGAGGAGGTAAATTATTAGAATTGATAGCATTACGACTAGCTCTGAGTGAAGAAGTAGGGCGGTTGTTCGACTCTGATTTCATAGATATACTGGATAATCTCTTGTAGTTATCTTCTTCAAGTTGATTATCTTGAAGCATGGCAGAAACCGATCTGTAGGAGCCAGATTTTGATAGCTTAGCAATGCTTGAAGTTGAAATATCACGTTGCATTTTATAATGAATTAAACTTCCAGTACTGACACTTGTGCTTGGAGGAGGAGGAGAAGAGACACGGGGTGTTTGAGGAGGTGAAGTATACTGCATTGAGTCTCTATTATGCACCAAAAAGTTACTGCTGTTGTTTCTAGGAATTACTTGTTCCATTTCCTTTTCAAGACGATCATTTGCGGCAGTCAACTTCATCAGTTCCAATTCCAGATTTTTGGTTTCGAGAGTGAGTTGCCCACGTTGTAAGATGAGCTGTGATTCGAGATTATCATTATGCTTTAATAGCTGCGAGTTATCTTCTTGTAACTGCAAAATCTTCTCAATTAAATCTTGATGAGATGAATCCATAGAGTTACATACCAGATCATCTTCAAGATCTGATTCACTGTTTTCACTATCAGAAGCAGGTAAGACTCTTGGTTCGTCAAGATTCAAGCGTCGGCTTTGTACAAGCTGTTGTTTTAAATCATCTAAAGAAGCCTCCAATATCTTGATTTTGAGAGAGTATTCGTGACTCTCTTTACGTGAAAGAAGTAATTCTTCCTCTACGGATTCCATTTGGGCTTTCCAAAGCTCATCCTCATGCTTTTTAGTCTGCTGCAAAGACTCAAGTTTGCTTTCAAGCTCAGAAATCATGCCTGTCGAATCCTGGGACGAAGCAAGCGCACGTTCTTCTTTGATGGTGGTTTCTAATTCTGATATAGTTTTGACTAAACCTTGATTTTGGACTAACTGATTTTGAACGGCATGTTCAAGTTCAATCCACTCTTGCTCTTTAGCCAATTTCTCTTTACGCTGAAGATCAAGTTCTTGATCTAGACTTTGTACACGATCTTCAAGAGCACGAACACGTTGTATTCCGACATCAGCTTCAGCCTGCTTGTGCTTGAGTTCCTTAACAAGGCCCGCTTGTTCTGTAAGAGAATGTCGAGCTTCATCTAATTCAACAGTCAGATTCTTCACCATTGTATCGCCCTGAGATGCACGTTGTGAAGCTTGCTGAAGCGATTCAAACAATACTTGTTTTTCTGCAGATAATAAATCGACAGTCTTTCTCTTCTCTTCAATTTCTTCCTGGCGAACTTTATCATGAAACTGGATGTCTTGTAAAGTTTCTATCGATATATCTGATTTAACTTCTTGTAACCTGAGTGTCCCTTCCATAACCTGCATCACCTGCTCGAGTTGTTTTTTCTCAACACTCATACCGCACACATCCTTCAAAACATCATCCAATTGTTCCTTCATCTTGACTGCAATTTCTGTCTTGGCAGCATTTTCCGTTTCCAAATGATGAATGGTCTGGTCACGCGCTTCTAATTGAGAACGAAGTGAGAATAGAAGGTGATCCATTTCCTCCAATTTTAGTTCAAGGCCTTGTATTATAGCATCTTGTTTCTCTTCCACAAGGTGTAAAGCATTCATATCCATTTTAAATTTCTCAAGTTGATCCAGGCCGTGCTGTAAAGTTATTTGTGTTTGTGATTCTTGATTGCGCATTTGTTGTAAGAGGTCTGCATAATCTGCTTTGGCTTGATCTATATCTCCCTGGCGAGAATCGGAAGATTTTTCCAATGTATCTATTTTATCTTGCAATGATTGACTTCGTAACTTTTCATTGGATAACTGAGATTGGTATTCGACACACTGTTCCTTTAAACCTGACATACTGGCTTCAAGGCGTCGGATTTCTTCTAGATGCGTATCTCGTAATTGAGAAAGCTCGAACTTCATTTGCTCAATTTCTTTTAAACGTGCGTCAAGCTCAGAAACATGAGATTCCTTTTCGGATATCATTCGAGCCATTTCTGAGGTCGATAAATTGCCATTTTGCTCCTTCGTCATCTTCAACTCCTTTTCAAGCTCCTCACATCGCGTTTGACATTGATCAAGCTCCTTCCTCAATAAATCCTTTTCAAGTAAATCTGTTGTCTCCTCTGTGGTAATTAATTTTCGGTCGGATAGTACTGCAATTCTTTCGGTCAACTCTAATCGTTCAGTTTCTGCAGTTGATAAACGAGCTTCTAAATCACTAATGTATTGTTCAGTGTGGTCGTCCATATCTCTAAACTTCATGATCTTTTCCCTTAATTCTGAAAGAATTTGCTGGTCACGTTGTCCGTCACTCACAGCTTTTTCTAATTGACCTTCTAACTCTAAACAGTAGCTTTCGGATACCTGCTCACGGTCAAGTGCCGTTTTCAGACGATCCTGGAGATCCTTGAGTGCGCAGACTTCAGTGCTTTGTAAATTTTGATACTCTTCAATTTTAGCTTGTTGCTCTACCAAAGCTTCATCCGAGTGTGTCAATGCAGCGCGTGCCATAGCTAATTGGGACTCGAGCCCGGATATCGATTTTTCATATTCTTCAATCACAGGTTCGACTAAATGTTGGAAGGCTGAACCACCCATATCGGGCTTTTGCTGACGAAGTTCTTTTTCAACCAGTTGGTTCCGTTCTCGAGTGACAGTAACTTGGTTTTGTAGTTCCTCGATTTGACGTCGAAGATCCATAACTGTTGGATGGTGGTTGTTTGTTAGAGTGTCGAATAACTCTAATGATGATGAGCTATTAGGAGTGATTGTTGTAGTGTTTGAGATTGATGTTTGTGGATCATTGTCTGACATGGAAGATGAAGGTGATACAATGCCATGTACAAAAGTGTGCGACTTTGGCGATCCATTAGATGACATTGGTGATGGTGTGCCACGACTATTTCCCTTTAGTGATTTGACCTCGCTTTTTAATTTCGAAATAATCTGTCGTAAATGATCCAAATTATCGCTAGTCATCCATTCTTCAGTTTCATTGCGTTCTGATTTATTGCGAATGTTTCGTGCACGATATGCATATTTGATAGTGTTGATAGTTTCAGTTAAATTAATTTCAGCAGGACTAACGCAAGCAATCATTAAAGTTGTTGAATTGCCGCCCAATGAATCTTGCAACAGCCGTGTGAGTTTTGAATCTCTGTAAGGTACATGTGTTGATTTCTTAGAAGATGGATCTGAAAGCGCAGAAATAACATTACCAAGCGCTAACAAACCAGCATTGATATTAATGCCTTCTTTACGACGATCTCCTTCTGCAGCGGTTCTTTTTAATCTTTCAGAGCCAGCAAGATCTACAAAGTGAAACTTGGAATTGACAATCATCCATTCACCTTGCTCACTATCGGGTGGGGTGACAGTTCCTTGTTGTTTTTCCATTTGTCCAATTAAGGCTTTAACATTTAATGTGCTATGTCGAGGTGTGACGGTTTTGGTGGCTGGTTTGTTGGACGGCACCCATTTCTCTTGTTTCAGTGTTACAGAGAAAATAGCGTGTGATCTAGATGACACAGCATTCATGTCTGTGGAACCTGTTGCGCGATTTTTTGTACCCATTTCAAGGTGTCTGATTGATAAAAAAAGGGAGAATGTCAGGTTAGTACTGTTTTTTTCTTTTTTTGTTGTTGTTGGAGTGTCTGTTTATATATAATGCAATGCATTGCATCATTACCTAAGAACATCTTCAGTATTTCCAACAGGTACCTCCCTTAAGCCTGTCCATATAATATGTCCTTTTGTATCTTCTCGTATGGTGACAGGTGCTCTCTCATGAGGAGGAGCTGGATTTAATAAATCGATTAATTCCTCATTATAAATCTCGATAAAGGAAACATGGACAGTGTAACGAGTTGCTTTATCATTGGTTGTAGTTGGTATAGTATTAGGTATAGTTGTGGCATTGGATCCACGTCGAGGGGGTGTCATCATTGATACAGGTCTTAATTTTACAGTGGATGTTGATTTCCTTGGAGCTCTTAAACCCGACGTAGGGGGGAATGTGTTTAGTACAGACGGTGCTCGCTTTAATTGTGGTGATGGCGACGATTCCTTTTGAATATCGTCTAATCTATGGAATAATGCGGACATTGCACGAGGAATAATACCTATAAGCCATGGTTAGTTAATATTTCAATTTTTTTTTTCTAATTATTTATCTGTACATACCTTCTTGATCTGGGTTTGCACCGATGTGATCATCTATGGCGGTACCCATAGTGTATGTTTTACCAGATGATGTTTGGCCCTATATGTAATCAATTAGTTAAGGTCGATCAAAATACAAGTTTTTCAGATCTTACATAAGCTAAAATAGTAACATTATAGCCTACATCAAGGGTTAATCATCTGTACTATTTTATTTATATCTTTCTTTACCATCTATAAATCTGTCAACAAAATTAGAGGCTACCGAAGTAAATACTTGTTCTTGTGTGCTACTAGCATCAAAGACATGATCAAATTGAAATGTTTTTTGGTGAGGAACGATGGCTATTGATTTTTCGTAAGTTTTTATAACGTCGGAATTAGTGGAATGCGAGAACCGTGGTTGGGATCGGTCGGATTGTGTTAAAGGTCTTACTCGAAGTGCTAAAAAGAAAATGATTTAATTTCTGAAATTATAAGTTGTATTTGTGTGTGTGTGTGTGTGTGTGTGTGTGTGATTTTTACCAACTTGGACAGCTGTTGTGATTGGTTGATTTTGTGTCATGATTATTTAAGCACCATAAAAAATTTTATATCAAAAAAAAAAGTATAAAGAATGTGAAAGAGAAAAGAATTAGGAGATAGTAAGTGAGTGAGAATAACAATGTTTGTTGTGTAAGAGGAGGTTTTTTTTCTTTAATAAATCAAGGGATGGGGTGGGTTGTTAGGGTTTAAAGGAGGTTTATTTTTTTGCAGACTGTCAAAAAAAAAAAAAAAATCCAAGTTTGTATATGAAATAATTGTTTAATGAATGTGTGGGCAAATAAATAAATAATAATAAAAGGAATGAAATTATTTATATGTACATTCAGCAAAGGATAAAGAGAAAAAGAGAAATAGATGGGATATTTGTAAATTATATATTGTTGTAACTGGTTACACTATTTTGCTTGGTTGAGAATACGTTCAGCATCCTTGGAATAAATATAACTTGCTCCCGACCATATAGTTGTACTACCAGCAATCCATCTTTAGAAGTACAGATAATTAATTTCTTATTCCCGATAGGTTTATAAATATCTTATTGTGAAGCATTTAACTTTCATTGTTAAATTATCCAGATGTAGCCGTGGCCAAAGTAACACTCATCAACACTAACTGTAATAAAGTATCAACGTTACTATTGATGGTTGGTCTACCTTCCAAAGAAGTTTTCGAGGAATCAAATTAACGAACTAATGATTTCTTGTGTAATATTTAATTTAGAATCTACAACCATTGATCACGTTCATATGAATTGCCTTACTGGTTTAGGCAGAAGAATACATCTACAATAAAAGGCTGCAATGACAACTTCTGCAACACGTCCAAGAATAACATATGCCAATGATACTACACCCACATTAAATACCTCGTTCGATTTTTTCCTTTTTCATTTTTATTCTAATTTCTCACAAGGGATGAAAGTTTGCGTAGTCAATACTATTAACAATACAGTGACCAGTGACATAGAACCCCCATGCTGCCAATAATGAATTCCAACTTCGTCGGACAATAAACATATTCTGCTGTTATTTAAAAACATGAGTTGTACAGAAAAGGATGAACGTGGATTTGCCACAAACTATGTATGTCAAACCTGTAAAAATAAAAATCTAGATGCCAGATAAGAAACTGCAATTAGTTTACACACCACAAACATACTGAACATATTAAATATAGTTTGAGCAAAAGCATACAAACACTTGTAAAATATATTCATGAAACTGAGGCTTATCTTTTATTATCTGTTTCTTATCTTTTTTTTTTTTTTTTCGGTCAAAATAGGTGTAGTCAAAACAGATCTTGCGAAGGTACAGATTTTGGCATTGCAAGACATGCACCTATAAGGTCTTGTTTAAAAGAAAGTGTTTGAAGTCCTTGAAAATTATTACGAGTGTATATACCAACATATTCTTTGGTCCAACATTTTACATTAGGAAAGCATGAGTCTTTACATTAGAAATGTTGCTGTTGTTTGTTAGAGTCATGTAAACGTAAATGGTAATGATAAAACTAACAATTCCTGGGTAGGCACAGCTTTCATTAAAACTTTATTCTTACACGCTGTTGCTACGCTAACCAATAACAATAAAGCCTTTTTTTTTTCTGTCGGTACGGGGTTTCTTGTTTCTAAAAGTAACAGCAGGGTGATTACAAAAATGATTATGCACTTAGTTTTATCTTTGTGTAGTCTCCTTGGTAGTAGCAAGGGACCATTTGTAGGGGAAGGGGAAAAGATGACAAAATGATAACTTATGTTTTTACAGTGCAATAATCGACAATAAAGCAGCTGAAGATAAATTTGGAAAGGGGTCAAAATAGAAAACTTGTTGAAAGAAGTATGCCTTTAGAAATGGATGTTTAACAGTAACGAGTCCCATTAATTCTGCTTCTTAAAACCACAAATTATAGTGAACTATAATACCTGACTAAGCTTAATCAATATGTGTATACAAAATTATGTAAATTGGTTGTCCAGATCGTTCGATCCCGAACTGTTCATGCAAGCACATTAAATCAGAGATACATTTTTTTTTCACACTTCATTTAGTCAATTCCTTTTTTTTTCTATCAGACCAGATAAAATCCATTCTTCCAATCGATTTTTGTTTTCTTTTGTATGTTAACCCGTTCTTTATCATAGATAAACACGGAATATATTTGTTTCTCCATACAGGTTTATTAAAAGGATCTAAAAATTTAAACTCATTTAAAGTTTCTTGCCCGGATTGGCCAAAGAAGTATTTTGAAACAAAACTGGGTGAAGGCGTTCATGAGATAGATAAAAAAAAAATTATCGTGGGAGTAAAAAAAAAAGAATAAAAGAACCTAATTTTTTTATATTTTTTCGCGCTCTTTCTTTCTGTTTTTCATTATTTTATTTCAGAAAGCACACAGATGCCAGACGTCAAATTGAATAACCGAAGCGACAGACGCGTCGCACAACGACTTGACGCCAAAAGACAAAGCAAGCGGGAAAAGGAACTGATGAAATCATCTCCCAACGCAAGTAAGTATAACGCAAAAAAGAGTCGCAAGAAAGCAGCAAAAAAATCCCAAATCACCGCTACGACCCCCATTGCTTCTGTGAAGCCCCATCCAATCACTCTTTCTGGGGATACGTTCAGTATGGCTATGGAGTCACTCGTTCACCACCACTCAGCAAAAAAATCAAGCGACCCGGAAAACGACAGCAGCTCTGCAACTGAGGAGGATTCATCAGTAAATACAGCCACAAAAGAGGAGCCTGTCGTCGAGTCATTGATTATTACAGCCCCTAAAGAAGAGCTTGCCATGGAAACCATTTCAAGCATAACAACTGAAGAAGAAGATGCAGTCATAGGAGAAGAACCTTTTGTCAAGACATCAGAAGATGAAAAGCTTGTCAACAAATCATTGATTTTCTCGTCCCCCAAAGAAGACCTTGTCGCCGAGTCATTAGTCACTACAGCTCCCAAAAAAGAGCCTGTTATGAAAAGCATTTCAAGCCTGGGAATTGAAAAAGAAATTACCGCAGTTGACGATAATATCAATCATCAGCAAGATGATAGTTCTCAAGACGAAAATATCACTGCGAAACAAGAAAAAACCCAATTGAATGAATCAGTTAGTTCTATCATTCAAAAAGCGGCCCATGCCAGCGAGAAAGACACCATCCAAAATAATGAAGTGGACAAGGAGTTACCATCTACACAGCAGTTCGTGTTTCCTCCGACAACTGTTACAAACAACCCTGTCCCATTAAGCGGTCCTACGCCGGTGCCTTCCACAAAAAAGAAAAATATCATTTCACGCCTTTATAAAAAATCAGTTAAAGCGTGCGATGAATTCATTACTGAAAAAATTCAATCAATTGGCAAAGTCAATCGTATTGGCATCGTTTTAAACGAAAGTACTAAGCCCAATGGATCCTGGAAGAAACTTTTAAAAAAATAATTGCCTTCCTTAAATCATACCACCCAATATATATGTATAACACCTATCCTATTCCCCTAGCTTTAATAAATAAATAAAATAGTTTTTCAATACCAAAAGCGACTTGTCCTTTGTCACTAGCATCGTATTTGTGATTTTAGAAACATATATAGAAAGCTTTTGTATATCTATGTATGCAGTATTGTTGCTTTGAAAGAGTAAAAAGCTTGTAATAGATTGAGTAATTTTATTGTGCTTTCTGGTATTGTGACATGTACTACTCGCAGGCAAGTTTAGCATCAAATGATGTAAGGGCAATTGAAAAGGCTTGCAATAAGCACATCGGGTATTTGTAGTCCATGGTAAATGAATCTCTTTCTACACGGCCAAATTGCATTACGATATAATCCACTATTTAAATATGTCAGCGTATGTCGGAGTCAAAAACATTCACACTTACAATCATTATCATGCACAATTTGAAAGTTTTTGACAGATGCTTGTGTTACTCTTCCATTGAAATTGAGAACAAATGATTGTGTTTCTAAGCAAGTATTAGGATTATTCTACTATGACTATAGTTTCATCCTACCTTCATTCCACTGAGGACTTTTGTTGTGAAGCACTAAAAGATCTCTGGCACCCCCATCACGATACTTACTCAAAAGCATCTCAGATTCTTTGGCTGGTCGATATTCAGGCCTTTTACCGTCTCTTGTTAGCGTATGCATCAGTATCGTCATTTTACGAGGTCCTTTAAAACCGAGAATATTGGGATCCTATATTCCAATTGATAAATAAACAAGACAGATCAAGGTAGAAACACCTACGTATAAAACTGCACCCAGTTCCTCTCTAATTGGCAGATCTTTTTTCGTGGCAATCTCTCTCTTCAATGGGCTCTTTCCATGCGAATATATAACAAATGTTGTGCCCAAAAAATTGGATCTAATAGATTCAATGAGCCACATTATTGAGCTTGAGATCTATAATCTTACCTGACTTTGCCCAATTCAACGTACCCTTCTGGTACACTTTGATTTTCACGATAAATACCCGTAATTGTGTAATAACTCGTGTTACTTTTTCTCTTTTTTCGAGCTGTCATGACATGATGAATCTCTCCCGTTTCTAAATGCTCAATAAATAAATGGTATTGCGGGTACAATTTATCTAGACCATCTCGGCAACGGTGTATACGACATGTTACACGGGTATTTAATGCAGCAGGTCTATACAAGTTAAGCTGAGCCCTTGGATTTCTCTCTTGTTTTACTTTATTTTATTTACCTGAAGGCAATGTCCAGCAACTCTTTCTCGGTCGTTAGTGGTCTTTGTAAAACAAAGTCGATTGGTGGTACGGGTCTTGTTACTCGCACAGTTTGTGAACTAGTGTCTAAATCTGTAGGAACAATCGGTACTTCGGTCAATTCCTCTTCTTCGTCTTCATCCAGAGATGTAGGGTTACTAAAAGACTCCGTCGACAGCTGTGGATGAACAATCTGGTGAGCGTCGGGTTGAGTCATGTCGTTCATAAACAAAGAATAAAAAGAAACAGAGTAAAAAAGAAAAAATCCAAAGCAGAACACTGGACTTGCAATTCCTCGGAAATGACGTCCATGTCTATATTCAATTTTGATTCGTCTACACTCCTAAAGAAAATTATTACAAAAAAGGAAACTATTTTAAAGTCGTATTCACTGAACCAACTTGCAATGAAACTTGTAACTTGATATATTTCTCTTGCAAAATCCACGATTTACGAGATATTTCTTGAAGCAGCGCTTTCCCCTCGCTGTAGAATGTTACAGAGGAATGATTCAAGCATTACACTCCAGTGAACAAAAAAACATCCGTTGGTTTTTTAGAATGGTTACTTAAATGAACAAAATCATGGGCCAAGGTTTCTTCGGACGAAGGTTCTTACCAACCCTTCAATGGCCAGACGAAGGAAATAAAAAAGCAGTACAAAGCAGTCAGCATTTTATTGAAATTCAGCAGTGTAAATCCAAGTCACGCCTCCCTGAGCGAAAAAAAAAAAAAAAGTTAAAAACTGTCGAAAACTCTTTTCAAACAATTGTAATTCAACATGGCTCGCCCACAAAAGAAAGGAGGACCTAAGCCCTCTATTACCAAAAAGAAGGGTGGATTTGGAAAAAAGACAGCCCAAGATGATTTTGTCAGTAAGGCTCTTAGCCGCGATGTTTTTGAAGCAGCTGAAGAATCCGATCGTCGTAAGGGTCACGATCTCGACGAAGTAGATAATTTAGAGTATGACGCCGGTGAAATCGATGAGGAAGACGATGAGGAAATTGACTCCGATGAAGCCTTTGATGAATCCGACGAAGAGCGTTTCGACGGTTATAAGTTTTTAGGTTCAACAAAGGTAAAACAAAAAACAAAAAAAAAAAAAACGAAAATAGCTCATACCATGATATCCCAACATTTTTTTTTATCCTTAGTCTTCAGAAAAGAAGAAGGCCCTTAAGCCTAGCACTGGAGAAATTGATTTGAATGAGGACTCCGACGAGGAAGAAGATTCTGAGGACGAGAACGGTGAAGGATACATGGATCTTTCTCAAATGCTCGGTGGAGATCAAGATAAAGATGAAGCTAGTGATGAAGAGGAAGAGGAATTCCGAGGATTTGATGATATTGAGGATGATGAATCTGACGAAGATGAAGACATGGAATTAGATAACCAAGTTGCTGATTTGATCGACAGTATCGAATCAAAGAAGCGTAGACGTGCCGGCGAGGAGGAAGGCAGCATTAAAAAGCGTCAATTGAAAGAAAGAAATGAATCCTACAAGGAAAGTGAATTCAACTTGGCCACCCGTGAAGAAGATGATGCCTCAAAGAAACTGAGTCTTAATGATCTTATGGGTACTGTGGATGATGAGGCTGCTTTTGGTACCTTAAAATCCAGTCTTGAAGTATTAGCTGGTAAAGGCAAGAATCTTAGTCGTCGTGCTTTGGATGCTCCTCTCCCTAAGCGTGTCCAAGATCGTATGGAACGTACTGCCGCTTCTGCCACTGTCAATGAAGAAATCACTAAATGGCAACCCACTATCAAAATGAACCGTGAAGCTGAGCATCTTTCTTTTCCCTTGCGCGATAATAACCTTGCTCCCAGAGAAAATAAAACTAGTGCTGGTATGGCTGAAAAGTTTAAAGCCGAAACCCCTCTTGAACAACAAATTGCTCAAGCTCTTGCTGATGCCGGCATGAAGGATCAGGAATTAGAAGCCTTTGAGGCTCTCAAGTTAAACAAACTTACGGTGGAAGAAGTTGCCGAAAAGCGTAAGGAACTTCGCTTGATGCGTGAATTAATGTTCCGTCATGAAATCAAGAACAAGCGTCTCAAGAAGATTAAGAGTAAGAGTTACAGAAAGTTGCAACGTAAAGAAAAGGATAAGTTGACCTCTCAAATCGCTGACGTGGCTGAAATTGATCATGAAATGGAGGGTGATGATAAGATGGATGCTGCTGCTAACAGAGCTGAAGAGCGTATGTCTTTGAAGCATAAGAACACCAGTAAATGGGCTAAACGTGCTTTGGCTCGTGGTACACAAGATGAAGGTACCCGTGATGCTATTATGGAACAATTGCGCCGTGGTGAAGAACTTCGTCGCAGAATCGATGGTGATCAATCTGAAGATAGTGACGAAGCTGAAGAGAATGACGAAACTTACGTCAACAATCAATTGTCCAAGTTAAACGACGAGATCGCCGAAGATACCCAACCCCAAAAGGGTTTACTCTCCATGAAATTCATGCAAGACGCTGCTAAGCGTCAATTAGAAGCCACCAAGAAGGATGTGGCTGATTTCGAAAAGGAATGGCTTGCTGCCGACAGTGATGAGGACGAGGAACAAAAGGAGGAAGCGAACCACTCTGTTGTCGAAAATAATCCCGGCCGTATGGCTTATGGTGCCAAAGCTAAGCAAATCAAGAAAGCCAAGGCTACCGAAGAAGAGAGTGATGATGAAACTGGCATGGTTACTATTAACCAAGCTGGACAAATAAAAAAGATTTCGCATTCAGCTGTTCACAAAACTAGTACATCTACACCCATCAACTTAAAGAACCAAAGTCCTTTGGCTGATTTAAATAACGATGATTCCGCTAATCCTTGGCTCCAGGCTGATACATCTCGTCTTTCCAAGAAAGCTTCCAAGAGCAACAAGGCTATCTCTGGTCAAACAGAGACTCGCGCTGAGCACAGTATATCCAAGATGAATAAGACCAAGAGTGAAAAGTCTGCAGCTAACGATACAACAGAGGATGTGGAACTTGATTTAACAAAGATTATGTCCATAAAATCTCAAGAAAAGCCTAAAGAAACTAAGAAGGCTGCTAAAAAAGAAAAGAAATCACCAGCTAAATCTACACCAGCCAAGCCCACATCTAATATTGCCAAGTCAAAGCTCGCCAAGGGCGATTCAGACTCTGAAGCAGACGATGGAAGCGACGACGAGGACGATCAAATGGTGCACAATGACAAGGTTTCTTTCAGTCAGCGCGAACTTGTTGCCAGAGCATTTGCCAACGATGATGTTGTTGCCGATTTTGAAGACGAAAAGATGGCCGAAATTGAGAGAGACGGTGATCAAGTGGAGGATTTAACTTTGCCTGGTTGGGGTGCTTGGGGTGGATCAGGTGTCAAGAAGTCTAAGAAGAAGAAGATTCTTAAAGTCACTAAAGGTATTGATGCTCAAAACAGAAAGGATGCCAAACTTGCACATGTCATTATCAATGAGAAACTTAACAAGAAGGTAAATACAAATTACGGGTATTTAACAGAGCTGTTTATTAAATCATGTATAATTTTTTTTAGGCCGAAAAATACCGTGTTACTTCTGTACCTTTCCCCTTTAAAACTATGGAACAATATGAAAGATCTATTAGCCAGCCTGTTGGTAATGAATGGAACACACGTCAAACTTTCATGAAGATGACCAAGCCTAGAATTATCACTAAGCTTGGTAAGGTCATTGATCCTCTCAACGCTCCCTTCGCATAGAAGTTATAATATTTCTTCTCTCACCTTTACTCCCATTAAACATTATAAATAAGACTTATAAAAAAGTACATAATAAAATCAAAGAAGTCGATTATTCATTGCATGCAAACCGTGCTTTTGCCTGTTTTTAGGATTAATGCAAAATGATAAACAAGAAAACCCGTCCGGGTACTCTTTCTAAGCCTCATCCTGGGATTATTAAAGATGCACAAATGAGGAAATGAGTGGTTTCTTTTTCTTTTTTAATTAATTATGGCCGAATCGATTTCAGTTGAAGAAACAAAGTAACGCAGAGATAAACGATTATCACTTTATTGAAAACTTGTAATTTACTAATGCTTTTTTCTTTTTCTTTTTTAATTTCTTTTAGTGCCTTACGTGAGAAGTTGGGACTTCCCCCTTTAGCCATTGCAGGGAGCGCAGAAGATGCTGCGGATCCTGATAAAGATGCGTATGACAACTATCAAAGAATGAAACAGGAAAAAGATAAAGCAGCAAAAGATGAGGAAATTAAGAAGAACATTGAAAAGTATGTTTATTAATAATTATGATTTAGTAACATGAATCACACGAATACTTACGGCTCTCAAAAATAGATCTAAAAACCGCAAAAGAAACTTAGCCAAGCTTCAAGGTAAAGGACTTGGTGAAGCAAGTGACGAAGAGGATAGCGCTTTAAATTGGATCAAAAAAAGCAGAAAGCGTGAAAGAGATTTAGCAGCACGCCGAGAGCAAGAGCTTGAAGAAATGGATGATTCATACCAAACTTATGATGCCACTCATTTAAAAGGTCTCAAAGTAAGCCATGCCATGTCTGAATTTGAAGAAGGTGGGGAAACCATCTTAACACTGAAAGACCGCAATATCTTGGGCGAAGAGGATGAGGATGTAGATGAATTGACGAACGTGAATATCGAAGATCGTGAACGATTAAAGAAAAACCTCGATGCTAAGAAACAAAAGCCAGGCTACAACCCTTACGACGATGATCAATTCAATGGCAGTAAACCTAGTATCCTTCCCCAATATGAAGATGAAGAAGAAGAGGGTGGGTTTGTGATTGGAAGAGCGGGTACAATTAAACCTGTCATTGAAGCTGTAGATGAAAAAACTGTATCACAAAAATTAAAGGAACAATCATTGTCATACGAAAAGATGCAGGAAATCAAAGATTACTATACCCAAGAAGAAGTCAATGCTACATTCAAAAAACCAAAGAATAAGAAAAAGAAGAAGACTAGAAGAAAGGCAAACGATGAAGATGATATAAATGTATCGACAACAGTTGATGATAGCACGCCTGCTGCGGCACCAAGATCTCGCACCATCGATCCGGATGCCAATTTTGTAGATGATGATGATCTTCAAGAAGCCCTTGCCCGTGCTAGAAGAGTTGCGAATAAAGAAAAGAACAAGTTGTTCAAAAAAATGACGCCCGAAGAAATCGCCAAACAAATTAGAGAAGAAGAAAGCTCGAAGATGGACGAAGATGAAGAAGAAGGCGGTCTTGTTTTGTCAGAAACCACTGAATTCATCAACGCTGTAGGTAGTAACATTCCTACTTTTGCTCCCAAAGAAACCGTCGCTCCTACTCCTGTAAAACCTGTCGCTGTGGAAGCTAAGGAAGATGTCACAAGGCACGTCAAAATCGAAGATGTTCCTGAAGATACACCTATGGAGGATCCCGTGGAGGAGAAGGATGTAATTATGGAAGACATTGAAGAAGAGAAGGTAAAGGAGGCAGCTGAAGTACCCATGGTCGAAGAACCCTTAGTTAGCTCCGGCCTTGCAGCTACACTTTCTTTACTTAATCAAAAAGGTATTATTGCAAAACCTACTGAAGATCAAATTAAACGCGATAAGATTGCAGCGGAACAAATCAGATGGCAAAACGAACAAAGAAAGAGAGAGCATCAACGTGAACTGGAGGAAAAGAGAGAAAAGGAGCGTCGTAAAGGTGGAGACAGAGGCAAAGATCGTAATTCAGATAGAGTCAGAGAAGCTGAACGCGAAAGAGAAAGAGAGAAAGAAAGAGAAGATGCACAACGTATGCGCGAATATGAGTTGGCTATGCAAAACTATAAACCTGAGGTCAATTTGGAATATACAGATGATAACGGTCGAATCATGAAGACAAGTGAAGCGTTTAGATACATGTCACATAAGTTCCATGGTAAAACTTCTGGAAAGACAAAGACTGAGAAGCGTATGCAAAAGATTGAAGAAGAGCGTAAATTAAATATGATGAGTAGCACAGATACACCACATAATTTGGCAAGCGCTTTATTGGAAAGACAGCAACGTACAGGTGCGGCTCATGTTGTATTAAGTGTTGGTAAAAGAGGTGTTGTGCCTCCTACTATGCCTTTAGAAAACTCAAAGCCCTCAAAGCCCTCAAAGTCCTCAAAGAAATAGAAAAATTTAAACCAATAAAAACATGTTATCTTTCGAGTCACAATTCACCCAAAGTAGTTTGCATCTCGGCTTTATTTTAACCATGAGTCAAAATATTTAAAGTTTATTTTTCACACTCTTACATTTTGTAATTAATGCTCGCGAGATCAATCAAGAGATCATTTACTGTCGCCAACACTTGGAAACAAGCCAGTACCCTCGGTGCTATACGTACCTTTATACCTTCCACAGCAAGAAATTTAGAAACCGTGATAACACCTTCTCCAGGTTTGTCATAGATTATTTTATAAAAACAGTAGAGAGGACATGATATTAATAGGTTATACGAAAGACTCGCTTGGATTTGATGCAACTGCTGTCAAAAGTCAAAAAAACGATAGACCCGTCTATCTTGATATGCAAGCTACAAGTCCTTTAGATCCTCGTGTTTTAGACGCCATGATGCCATATATGATGGATTTATATGGAAATCCTCATTCTAGAACACATACTTATGGATGGGAGTCGGAAAAGGCTGTTGACAAAGCAAGAGAAGTGAGTTTTTTTTTTGAGGGGTGGGGAATTGCGGCATGGCGGGGATGTTCGGGATACTACACACCCATAGAGTTTTTCGGACGTTCAAAGCTCAATTTTTTTGGTTAATCTTAATATGGACATTGTCGGGTTATAGAATTTTTTGTATTTCGGTGGAACCGTTTTTGCCAAAATAAAAATGGTTCAAATTGTTTAAAAATAATTATTTTGATTGGATAGAATTATAGGCTTAAAATGTAGATTTTATTTAAAAAAAAATAATGGATGGCTTGGATGCCATACAGCCTTGCCAGCCATTGGAAATCCCTTCAGGATGGTGTAAAAAATGCATAAATTTAATCCACTACTCCCAGAAGACTGTAAGACAGTATGCATTGTTCTATAGAGCATGTATAGCCAGATGCGTACAACAAACCTATAAAAAAATAGTTAGTAAATGATACTGGAATAGTTGAATAAAAATCACTTTACCTTATTTCTTGTGCCGTTCAGAGTAATCCGTATTTGACTAAAGAAGTATGAACGTTAATGCATGTTGTTTGTACACGAAAAGCAATAGACTTACCTCACTTCATTACGCGTTAAATCTGTTATAAAAAATTTTTTTAGTCTTCATTTGAACAAAAAAAAAAGTGCTAGCAATATACCTTCCACATAGATGGGTCAGTTATGAGTGTACTATTGAGCATAAAAGTGAAAAACTATAAGATAGATAGCTTTAGCGTTTATAAAGGGAATAAGAGAAAATAACTTACCAAGTTAAAAAGTTAAAGAAACGGAAAGAAAGACATGAAGAAAAAAAAAGAAGCTAAAAGAAAAAGAACCTGCTGGAAATAGCTGTAGTTCAAAATTCTGGTCTAAACCTTTGCATATAAAAAACCTCTAAGTCAAAAAAAAAAAAAACTATATCTCTATCTCTTTTACTTCCTGAATTATGAATACTCAACCTGAACAAACCAACGAAACCGAAAACCCCTATCGTTGCGATTTCAATGAATGTGGCAAGCGCTTCCGGCATCCAAGCGCCCTTACACGTCATAAAAAATCACATAAAATTACCGAAGCCTTCACTTTTAAGGCACCCATTACCCCAAGCAACACGGCCTTCAGGCGAGTGAATGGACCAGAAGTTACTGCATTACCTGAGTCGATTAGATCTACTCGCATCAGTCTGGATCGTATGGTGTTTCATCAAGAGGACGAATCTGAATGCCAAGATTACAGTGACGAGGAAGACGACGAGGACGAAGATGAACCTTTTGATGAAGACATTGAATTCACTGAATCCATTGTTGATGAACCGGAAGCTGTAGTCGACGAAATCGAGGATCAAACACCCATAGTTGTCAACGGCGAGTTTTTTCCTTTCAGGGATAAGATACATCAATTGATGTATCAATTCTATTATCGGTCTGGGGGTGACATATCTCAAAGTTTGATGAAAGATATTGTGAAGCTTGTCAAGGACGTCACTGAAGCCAAGGTTGCCTATCCCGAAGCCAAAGTACCTGCAGCTGATCTCATATTCAACTTTGATGATTCAAGAAGAACAAGAAACCAGATTCCCTTGCTCAGACAGACGAAGCACTACGTCAAGGTTCAGAAAAAGGTGAATGGTCAAGAAGTCGAAGAAGATCTCCCGTTCTATATGAATCCTCCCTCCGAAGTCTTGAAGTTGTTGGTTGCAAACCCTTCTGTCACTGATCATTTATCAAAACTTCCTGATCATACAGAGGGCGAGCTTGTCGATAGTTACCAGTCGAACAAATGGCGTACCCACAAGATGTTTCAACATCCAATGGTCTCTGTCATAATCAACAACATCCCAAAGGATATCTGGGTTGGTGATCTGATCAAAACAGGTCAAACTTTTGTGATTGTGGAGAGGTTTTATACCTTGAATCATTCAATCGTTATGGCTGAAGGTTACCAAGTTCTTCCCGTTGATGGTAGGTTATACCTCCACAACATGCCCAGGAAAGTTTCTGTCGAAGTGAATCTCATTTCAAGCATTTTGTGTGATCGCCCGGAAACTTTGTCATTGGATTTCGAACGTAATGTGCTGGATGACTCTAATCTCCTTAGAGCTTCTAGTACCATTATTAGTAGATTGAAAATGCCAAATCCTTTGAAGCGCCCCTCTCCTTCTTCTGCTCGTAAATTCAAGCCCGTTAAGGTTATTCCCCTGAATTTCTTTACTGATGATATGAGTGGAAATCGAACCAAGAAACACAACAAGTTTGATAGTTGGATTATGGTACCCGCCGCTTTGCCTCTTGCTGAACGACATGCACTTGAGAATACAGCCTTCATCTGTACAGATCATTTGCTGTCAGCAATGCAAATGCTTCCTGCTATTGTTGAAGATCTTTTGTTGTTGGAGAAAGGTGTGGAGATGTTTTTGCCTGGTGGTGAGGCTGTCGTTGTCGTTGCTCCGTTGCAATTTATCACTGCTGATAATGCGCGTCATTCGGAGCTTGCCTCTAGTCGCGGTGCCATTTCAAAGATGCCATGCCGAAAGTGTGTTTGGGAATTAAAAACCCCAGCTCGACTTGATGGCAGTGATTATCGTTGTGACCCTCGCTCTGAAAAAGTGGTTGCAGATATGTACGCGCGATATTTGGCTTCTGGCGGTGACAAGACTTTGTTGGTAAATGTCGATACTGGTTACAAACTTGTTGGTGGTCAGGCTCTGGTAGACCTTCAATCGTTCGATACGATGTTGGATTGTCCAATCGAGCTCCTTCATACGATAATGCTTGGTGTCGGCAAAGCCTTGGTAAAAACATTGTTGCAAGACCATCTGAATCCAACTGAGAAAAGTATCCTCGAAACAAGATTGCATGGTTACGTTAGCAAAGGGTTTACCCGAAAGCTGCGTTCATCATTGCGTCTTCATGGATCTTTCTTAGGTAGGGATTACAAAATCCTCGTTCAGCAAGTACCAATTCTGTTGAATCAATTGATCTGTTCTGGTGAAATTCGACGTGATGACGGTGTTCTCTTGATCAAGACCTGCTTTGAAAATTTGGGCAAGTTAGCTTCGCTTTCTTATATCAGCAAAATCAAGCATAAGTCTGATTCGTACCTGAAGTATGTGGAGTTCACTTACAATGATCTTCGTGTCTCGGTGATGGAGCATGATGCTTACATGAAGCGAAAGTATCCTAACAGAAGGGGTGGCTCCGTTTATAACTCCAGTAAAATGCACATCATGCATCATCTTGTTGATGATATTTATCGATTTGGATCCCCAATCTTTTATGAAACTGAGAAGGGTGAGCAATTTAATAAATTCATTCGAGAGTGTCTGTTTCGTACCAACAGACATAATCCTTCAAGAGATGCCGCTGTTGCTTTTGCAAAGAGGTTGATGGCTCGACATGTATTGACTGGTGGTTCTTGGTTGGTGGCAGGCCAGGATTATCCAGTTAAAGCTTCAAACAAAGTCCTCGAGGTTGCTGTGTCCTTCAAGTCTACTATTAGAGACTTTGTTGATAATGACGATGATGACAAGACCATGAAAGTTGGCTCAACCGGAATTTTTCAAAACGGAAACAACCTCTTTATCGGTGAAGTCGTCAAAATCGATGCGTTGACTGGTGCTCCCACCATCGTTGAATACGCTCTTTGGTGTGAACGTGGACCTGTGACAAGATTTGAACTTCTAAGCCAGTCCGACGGTTTAAACTCCTGCGTTTATTACGTTTGTAACAAAGACAATGGAGGAAATCTTGTTGTTGAAAAGCTGTTGCGGACGAAGTCGACATACAGAGAAACAGAGTGTCAGTTCGTGGAGATGCTTGATTTTTCAAGAAAGATGAACCCTCGTTTCAACTTAATCAACACCAGCAAGTTTGGCACCTTCTGGTGGGCATTGTCTCATAAAGTTAAAAATTTATAAAATTTGTCTTAATAAAAAATCATGTTCATGTACATGTTAATTTCGCCATGTTAATTTTTACTTAGAAGTTTTTTTTTTTTTTTTTTTTTTTTTCGTTATTTCATTGGATGAAATGATTTTAAAAGCATAATTGTTTCCCAGAAGAGACTATCTACAAATTGAGCTAAGAAGATTTGGTGGGCTGGCTATTTTATTGGACGAAAGATTTTAAAAATAAAGTTTACATTCAGATGAGGGCACCTTACTATATAAGTTGAGGAGACTCAGTTGGTGTGTAACTTTGTTTTTCAATTAATATTAGGAAGTCGCACGGTTAATTGGTGCTGACCCAAAAGAAATTATTTTTACATCGGGCGCAACCGAATCAAACAACCTGAGTATCAAGGGCGTTGCTAGGTTCTATAAGAACAAGAAAAAACATATTATAACCACACAGATTGTATGTAATTTGTAACCAACATTTAACCCGATTTTTAACGCTCTTGTTTTTTTTCTTAATAGGAACATAAATGCGTCTTGGATTCTTGTCGTATTCTTCAAGAAGAAGGTTTCGAAGTTACTTATCTTCCCGTACAAACCAATGGTATAGTTGATATGAAGGTACTTGAAGCCGCTATTCGTCCCGATACTTCCATTATATCTATCATGACTGTCAATAATGAAATTGGTGTTATTCAACCTGTCGCAGAAATCGGTAAATTATGTAAGTCTAAGAAGATATTCTTCCATACAGATGCTGCTCAAGCGGTAGGAAAGATTCCCTTAGACGTTAATGCTATGAATGTGGATCTTATGAGTATATCCGGTCACAAGCTTTATGGCCCTAAAGGCATTGGTGCTCTTTATGTTCGTCGTCGACCTCGTGTAAGACTTGAACCTGTTCAAAGTGGTGGAGGTCAAGAAAGAGGTCTTCGTAGTGGTACTGTTCCTGCTAATTTATGCGTTGGATTGGGAGAAGCCTGTAAAATTGCCAATGAGGAAATGGAGGTAAAATTAAATACAATCCACGTGTTACGTAATCCAATATTCACTTCGAATTTATAGTATGATCACCAAAGAATCTCTAAGCTTTCCCAAAGATTAATCGAAGGAATCCAATCCCAAATTGAGCAAGTGAACCGTAATGGTGATGTTGAGAAATCCTACCCTGGGTGTGTTAACCTCTCATTTTCATATGTTGAGGGAGAATCACTTTTGATGGCATTGAAAGATATCGCTTTATCATCAGGATCCGCCTGTACTTCAGCTTCGCTTGAACCCTCTTATGTTCTCCGTGCTCTTGGCTCTGATGATGAACAAGCCCATAGTTCTATTCGTTTCGGTATTGGAAGATTCACCACGGATGAGGAAATTGACTTTGTTATCAAGAGAGTCGTTGAACATGTTCACCGTTTGAGAGAAATGTCTCCTCTTTGGGAAATGGTTCAAGAGGGTATCGATATCAAATCTATCCAATGGGCTCAACATTAAAAATTATTTCATGCATCACATAACAATATTGGCTTAAATGTAATATACCTTTTGTATGTTATTGACTTGAAAATAAATAATGGACTTTCAATGCAGCATAAATATCTTGATTGCATCGAAGTTAAACAGAAAATCTTTAATTTACATAGTACCTAGTGTTTAGAATGAAGGTCGAAACACTCGAGCGAGCTTCGATCGTGTTCCAGTCGAAACTCGTTCGAATGCTTTTTTACCTTTTTATGTTTACATCTTATTTTGACCTTAATTTAATTGTATTCTCATAAACTTTAGACCTTATGTTAAATTTCATAACAGTCATCTGCATTTGATCGAGATACTTAATCACTTAACAACCCCCCAGCCTTTAATCGCATAAATGAAAAGGTTGTGATCAATCACAATTTTTGATTGGGTTAAAAGGGTGGGGGAGTTTTCTTTTTAAATTTTTTATTCGCCGGTAAAACCATATGACAAAGACTCTTTAATTGAGCCTTACATATTCTAAAAGCTTAATTTTCACACGCAAAAAAAAAGAGAAAGACAGAAAAAAAAAAGGGCAAGGTAAAACTCACTTGTACTTAAATAACTTCCTGTTGTTTTTATATACTAATAGAACTCTATACTCTGTTTGCTCGTGTCGTGTCAAAGAAGGATGTCATAAGTGACGCTTAATGTGCGGGGGGAGCGGTGTTTATGTTTTCTCGCCCAACCAAGAATTTTGCTGACAATGTGGAAATACCCAAAAAAAAAAAGTATAAATATTCTTTTTATTTCTTTCGATTTTCCTTTTCCCCCACACTTTTTTTTAAAAAAAACAATAATATATAAATTATGTCAGCCAACGATCGTTTGAACACTATCAAAGGACATTTGTCCGGTAACTTTCCTCAAGGTTTATTAGCTGGCGAAGTTGCCATCATCACAGGTTCAGGGTAAACAAAAAAAAGATGGAAGCGTGAGTGAAATTAAACAGATAAATTGACATGTATACAATTTAGTCAAGGTATTGGTAAGAGTTGTGCTGAATACTTTGCTCGTGAAGGAGCTCTTGTTGTTGTAACCGATATTGATGCTGCCAAATCCGATCAAGTTGCTGCCGATATCAACGCCGCCGGCCTTAAGGCTATTTCCATTCCTGGCGATATCTTGGACCCCACCTTCCCCGAACGTTTGATTGAAGGTACTGTTCAACAATTCGGAAAGATCAACCATATTGTCAACAATGCTGGTTTCACTTTTGACGGTATGATCCACAAGATGACTGATAAGCAATGGGATCTCATGATTGCCGTCCACAACACTGCTCCCTTCAAGATTGTTCGTGCTGCCGCCAAGTATCTTCGTAAGAAGGACGGACAAAACAAGTCCATTGTCAATATCTCTTCTACCTCTGGTCTCCATGGTAATGTAGGTCAAGCCAATTATGCTACCGCTAAGGCTGGTATTGTTGGTTTAACAAAGACCATCGCAAAGGAATGGGGTGTCTTTGGTGTCCGTTGTAATACTGTTGCCTTTGGTTGGGTTGATACTCGTCTTACTCGTGCCAAGGAGTCCGGTGCTTCTATTGAGGTTGATGGTCAAAAGGTTGCTCTTGGTATCCCCACTGGTGGTAAGGCTCCTCCTGCCAGTGTCAACTTGTATGCTGATATTCCTCTTGGTCGTGCCGGTACTGCTGATGAAGTTGCTGGTTCTGTTTTGTCTCTTTGTACTCCCTTAACCAGCTATGTCACTGGTCATACCCTTGAAGTCACTGGTGGTCGTGGTATCTAATTCTTTGTTCCCGCACTATTCTCCATATCCCCCCACCCTTCTTTGTATAATAAACAGAAAGTTTTTTTATTCTTTGAAAGGTAATAAATAAGATGCCCAAATTCCATTGGCAGGCGGTGTAGGTGTCACAAATGTGGGTGGCACTTTATGATCAACATGATCATCCACGTCTCTGATATACTGATCCCAAAGTTTTCTGTTGCTTAATAGTGCATCAAGGGATTGATCAGAGGCACACCAATAAGCATAAGCAGGTTTATCAATGCGCATCCTATTCCAAGTATCCGCTTTATCCACATGTAATTTTTTAATGGGTTTACGCTCAACAGTTTCATACTCTTCTTTGACATCATTTGCTTCATGCCATGCCTTCACCTTATTAAAGAATTGATTGCCATCGTCTGCAAAGAAATGTCCTTTTGTCTCTAATTTCCTTCTGCGTAGTGAACGTAACAGCGTTAATTTTGACAGGATACGCGAATATTCTTTTATTTTCGACTTCAACTTGTCTTTTTTCGCCACCGTAATAGCGGGCTTGCTTGTAGGTGCCATCGTGACCTGCCATTCTGTCTGCTTTATCCATTTCTCGTTTCGTTTCGCTAATTGTTTTTGATGAAGACTTACACGTTTTCGGTGGCGCTTCTTCCAAAGGCTGTGCCGATGGAGCTTTTTTTGTTTGCTTTTTAAAACTCGAATCAGCTGTGGAACGTCTAGTATTCGACCTGTATGCATCAGTGTTGCCTACATTTTTAAACTTGATGAACAAAGAGATTTATGCGAATATTGTATAAAAAAAAACTTACGGTTTCTAAACCCAAGTTACGTAAACGAGCTTGCCATTCTTCCTCTGTGTAAGAATCGAGGTTTTGTGTTTGATTAAGCTCTAATTTTAAATGCTCGTAAAGACCGATGGCTTCTGCAAGCTGGGTTTTCGTTTGAATAATAGACATAAAAGAATTCTTTTTTATTTTTATGATTTTTGATATTTTTATTTCAGTTATTCCTCAGCGGGTTAGAGTTTGGGTTTAATATATTGGTAAGGGCCGAGCTCTTCAGCTGTGGTTTTTCCTTGTCTTTCCAATTTCCTCAATTCATTTCTTGCTTTATCTTTGATAGCTACGGGATCACGTCGAGCGAGTTCTTCAGGATAAGCACTTTTGATGGCAGCCCAGGAAGGATGTCTTATGGAAGATAAACCAGCTTCCAATGCATCCACCTCCTTTTGTTCCCAAGGAACAGCTACTTTTCTTTTAAATAATTTTACCATTCTGTACCCTTCTGGTGGTGGCGTAAATTCTTCTTTTCTCTTTGGTGCTGCTTCTGGTATTGGGGAAGTCTTGACTGCAATATAGCGTGATTGTATATTTTTTTCTTTTACGTTTTTTTGGTCTCCTCCGGCAGCAGTGTTTCTTTCGGCAGCAGAGCTTTCTCCAGGCGAATCACCCCCTTCGTAAACATCGCTGTCTTCGTCAGGAGCGTTTTCTTCATCAGCACTGGAATGAATTTCATCAATGTCAGCATCTTCTTCATTGGTAGGGCTCTCCTCTTCTTCGTTGGTAGGGCTCTCCTCTTCTTCGTTGGTAGGGCTCGCCTCTTCTTCATCGGCAACGTTTTCGGCTTCAGAGACAACGCTTTTTTCGTGAACATGATCTTCGTCACTATTTTGTACTTGAGAATCCTCTTCTTCCTGGGCAACTTCATCGTTAGGATCGGTATCTTCATCCATGGGAGTGGATTGACTATCATTGGTGCCTTCAACTGAAGCTTCCTTCTCACTTGGCGTACTTCCATCTAAAGCATCGGCAAATTCATTTTCTGAATCACTATCTGAATCCTCAGATGCAGGATGACTTGGTGCCGTTGCGTTAATTTCTGTCTCTGTTGTATTTTCGGTTGTAACTGTAGTGTGTTCAGGCTCGCTATTTGCATTCGTGTTGTCGGTTACCTTTGATCTTTTAACTGGTTGTCCTGAATCATCTTCAGCACTGTGTATATCGTTGAGTGAATAGCAAATATCTTGTATGGGATGACAACAAATATTTACCTTCGTTTTGAAAACACTTTTTTTTTTCTTAAGAGGAGTGCCACCTACGTTTTTGGTTCGCGTGAGTAAGAAATAAATAAAGAAAAATGCAAATGAAATCAACATACAAATCTGCGTCGAGTGAAATCGAATACTTCCTTTTGAAAGTCTACTAAATAAATAGGTTCAGAAGCCATGATTTCCTCCTTGCTTTGTTTCAAAAGCTAGATAATAAGTCAGTCAATAAGTTTACAAAGAATAAGGCTTATTTACACTGTTCCGTTCATCTGAAAGAGCGGCAAAAAGATCATTATCATTTTCTCCTGGCTTAAAAAAGTATTTGTCCAAGTCAAAGGGAAGGCATTTGTCCACTGCTGTTTCCAAGTTATTTCCTTTCTTCAGTTCTTGGATTAACCACAATATTCTAGCTTTAACATAAATCAAAGTATCGTCCTTTACATCGCGTTCTTGAGCTTTGTGGGACGACGGTACGACATTCTGAAAGAAATTATAGAAGCTCGTTTCATGTTCCTTGTTGTGGTATAAATTGTAGAAAAACGTGGCCAAGTTGATCATTTCTATCTCCAAACCGAGTTTTTGTTTTTCCAAATCACTCATTTGCTCACCCATCAATTCTTTATCCTCATCAATAATGTTAATGGTGTCCTCGATATTGAAATACAAAGACTGGGTCAATTTCTTTCTTTCTTCGTCTAATTGATTGTACAGCTGATCAGCCCCCTTCTCGTCCCCCTTCTCACTCTGCAATAGCTTCTCGGCCGATGCATGGCACGCTTTTAAGCATTCGAGTTTTGCAGACATGAATATATTTTGGATAAGGATAAAAGAGAAAAAAGAGTCACTTTTATGATTTTTTAAAAAAAAAAAAAAATTGATAAAATGGTATAATTAAATAGCCCAACTTGATGCTACATCCATCTCTTCATCTCCAATAAATGGTTGATCAATGGATTTAATCATGATATCGCCACATAAGACACATTCACTAGCTACGATATCATCTAATTCCTCTCGCAATTGCTCCACTTTACCCATTACCAAATCGTGTTCTACTTTGGTCTCTGAAATTACCGCGTCTGACGGGAAAATCACGTTCTTGGCCGTGTTCATAAACTTTGTCGTTGGGTTTACGGGTGTTGTTCGAGGAGAGGGCGCGGCGGTTTCTTTAGTGATTTGGTCTTGAATCGCTCGGACGCGTTTCATGTATCGCGAAGGTAAAACCTTGTACATCTATTGTATGAAAAAGTAGAATGAGTATAAAAGGTCCGCGTATTTCTCGGTGTTAATTTACTTTTTCGGTGAGACAGTCATGATGAAATCCATGTTGACAAGGAAACATGTAGAACCCACGAATATACAGTGGGTAATTACAACAATAACATCTATCCGCTGCATTGACCAGCGCAAATCTAGAATGGTCACAGGTAAGAAAAAATAACAGGGAATCAGGGGTTTTACTCACCTGCTTCGTAACTCTCGAATATCAAGTCGAATGCTATCCCCACTTTTCGTTGCCTCATCCATTTCCAGCTTTATATCATCAATCGTGTCATTATATTTTTCCAATGCTGTACAGATTTCCTCCTATAATTTTTTTTTTTTAGACACAGTCTCGTGCACTCATAGTCAGATATCTACCTTGAAATCATTGATCAATACAAAGTCAGGAAAGAAGGGAAGAATATCTTCAATCTTTAACAAGTTACTTTGCTTCAGAAATTCAAGTGCCGTCTTGATATCCTTGTTGTCTTGCACAACATGTTTGGCAATGGTTAACCAAAGCTTTTTACGCAATACATCGTCGTCTTCTGGCTTATCAGCATTGATACGTGCCAATTCTACATCGTGATTCTATTTACGATATGAGTTTCATATAAAGTGTTTCGCCAACTATTTATACCTTGAGTGCGAGGTTAACAGCTTCTTCATAAAGTCCCATTTGACTATAAATATGAACACAACTTTGTGTACGGCCGTTTTGTGTACATAACCGTAATGCATAATCCAAGTTATAATGCATTTCACGGCCCTGTTCAAAAAAAAAGAAATTGAGTTAGTTTTGTCTTCTTGCCCGGAGCCACACTTTTCTACTTACTTCGTTCTTCAAAAAGGTCAATAATGCAGTTTCATCTGCGGTTTTTTGTGTGGCATATAATGTCAACAAGAAGTTATGAATAGCAGGGTCGGTATTATTAAGAGATGTTACAACATGAGATAAGTAACGTATTGCTTGATTCTATACATAGGGTTAAGAATAAACAGGCCAGTGTAAGTTGAGTATACTTTACCTGAGTAGATTTTTCCATCAGCTTTTTATGATCATATCTTAATAAAGCAGGAATCAACTGTCGAGGATTTAAATTACTCTGTCTCATCCAAACATTGACTGTCTCATAAGGATCATTTTCCATCAAGACGGGTGAAAATTTGTAAAACACGTCTGGGTCTGCCTACAAAAGATATGTTACTACAAATGCGCTCCCCGTGATCAATACAGGATGTTACCTCTTTACTCAAGACGGTCAGTGCTTTGCTCCAATTCTTCTCTGTAATCCAATGACTAATGACTTTATCATAGTCTCCAATTAAGGAAGCGAAGAATAAAAATTCATCGTTCCGTCCTTGACTGGCAATCAATTTATAGGTAGTGGGGCGGTGCAAGTTACCATTGTAGGATTCCAAAAATGATTTAAATTCGTCACGTACATCGTCCAATTGTTCCAAGAAATAAGCTTCTGTATTGGGTATCAAACTCGTGGCTTCGTTGGGTGTAGGAGAACAATGGGCAGACGAAGCCAGATCTTCTAATTCGTTTAATTTAGACAGATAGATCTCGACTAACCATGTCGCCACAATTGTTTTTTGTGTTTGATCCTACAATAAATGTGTCGGTGTCCTTATCTTTTCTCTTGCTTTATTGTCAGTACTTACATTCTTTCGTAACCGATTAAGTTTATTAGTTAAGTAGACACGTAACGCATCCACTTCACCTTTTTCAACAAACATTAATGTAACTTCTTCAAAAGGTACGGTACTATCAGCAAAAATCTCTGCACTCATCTTGTAGCGTCTTTGACTAAAATAATCCTTGGCCTGTGCTGTAAAAACCTTATCCTTTTGTGCAGGATCCTTACAATATCTTAATGCAGAATTATATCGTTTCTTTTCCAAATAAAGTTTCCATACATCGCGTTCTTCGTTATTGATACTGAGTTCGTACATGGCCAAAGTGGTGTATACCCAAAATGTCTTTTTAATATCGTCTACTGCCATACTGATTACGGTTTCTCCTTGTCCCTAAAACAGTAAAAGTATGAATATGGCATCCGCCCTGCTATGATATTGTGTATACTCTACCACAGGGATCATTTCTTCGTAGACGATTTGATCGTTTAATTGACAAATGGCTCGTACGCGATCTTTATACAACAAGACAAAATGAAATTCGGTCAGGGCAACTGAAATGGGAATTTCTGTTACTAATTTTCCAGAGTCATCGTCGGAAGGTGTAGCAGGGTATCTATATGTTCAGGTTAAAATATTAGAAAAACAATGTAATATGTACTTATACAGAAACTCACTGTAACAGCTGAACGTCATCCACCACACTATCACCTACGTTTTGAGATCCATAAACAAGGGCACCATGATAGATCCCGGGACCTGTCAGCCAAGCAAAAGATTCAGCAATACCTTGTTGTTGCAACTCATGAAATCGACTAAAGAAATGCAGTTCACTGTGAGGTAATTCACCCGGTAATTCCTGATAGCCGGGATTCACATCGTAATTGGAAAAGAGGTTTTCAAACATGGCTCTTTCACCACGATCCTCCTCACCGCCACCTGCACCTGCAGCACCAAAACCACCTCCGGTAGCAGCAGGTGAATGCGTGCCACTGTTGGGGCCGATGAAGCCAATAAATTGATAGATTCTAGTGGTGGTGGTAGCCATTACAAAATACTTTCGGTTGTTGACGGGGAATTGTTCGAAATAAAGACCTGTGACGGGCATGGTAGATTCATGAATAGAATAGACTTGCTTAAAGTATTTTTCTTCTCTGCGAAAGTATTCGTCGGTGGGTTCTAAGCATGTCTCGTAAATAAGACCATTTTTGGTACCGATAAGGATTTCTCGGGTGGATGGGTCTGTTAGTGTGGATTGTTTATTCCATGCGATGGAAGTGATCGTCACGCCCTAAAAAAGGTGTATGTGTGAGTGTTTACGCAATGTGTGATAAGTTTTTGCTTTTTATTACCTTAAATTTAGGCAGTTGTTTGGTTCTTCTCCATTTCTCATAAAGATAATAATTTTCGCCATGGTCGGTGGTGATGATTAAATGTCGACCTGTGGGATCAAAAAAGATTTGCTTGACTTTTCCATCACTGGGTTTACGTGATATTTCAATCTCTACACATGTATGCATGATTTTTTTAATTTTTTTTTGGTTTTTTCTTATGGCGCGACTGGGGAAACTTACCTTCGACTTCGAGAGGGTTATCTAAATCAATTCTTAATAAACGAAAGGTATCTAAGGCAACAATCAAGATATTATTGGAAACAGCCATATCCACTAGCTTGGCAGGCATTTGAAATTGAACATAGTCGATGCCAAAAATAGGTTCCTCAATTTGACCGAATCCTGTCGACACATAGCCTGTTTCCAACTTTTTTTTTTTTTTTTTTTTAGTCATTAGTTTTTTGTTTTAAAGTGGAGTGTTCCATCCTTACTCGAACATTATCTAGACCATCAAAACCGTTGGTGGGAATGTAAGTATCTGCGCCATATTGTACAGTTGAGGTGCCATGAGCCGCCTCTGACGACTCCATGTAATCATCTAATAGAGACATTTTTCTTTTTTTTAAAAAAAAACTCGAGACAAAAAGGGGTTTACAAGTTTTATCTTGTCTCTCTCACACTTTAAAAATTACACAAGAAAAAAATAACCCAGATTTATAAATGCTGTAATCGTGCGTTGTTTCATGCACGTCACAGTTGTCTCTGTAAAAAAACGCGAGTGCGGCCGATAGAGCCATTGAGCCACGCGTGCGCGTGTTGAATAAGAAAAAAAAAATCTTTCTAATTTTTAATTTTTTTATTTATTTATATACACCCATATAATTTTTTTTTTATATATAATTTAATCAGTACCGAAGTATCTAATCGTGAAAATGAAAAGGTTAGTCAGTGTATCTGTTTCCATGGCGACTACATCTTTCAATATTTACCTGCAACCGAAATCACCACAACCGGGAATGATATACTTCTCTTCGTTAAGACAGGCATCGAGCTCACCAATGACGATCTTAACCTTGGGGAAACGTTGAACGAAAGCGTCAATACCTTCGGGGGAACCAATCAAGTTTAAGAAAATGATGTGGTCTTCCTTAACATTGTTATCGAGCAAAACTTGAGTAGCTTGCATGGCAGATCCACCAGTAGCTATTAAAGAAAAGTGTTATTACACGCGCGTGCAAATACGTGTATTTTATAAACTTACCAAGCATGGGATCTAACAAAAAGACATAACGAGAAGCAATATCCTTGGGAAGCTTGGAGTAGTAGAGCTATTATAAATAGGGTTAGATACACAGAAAAAAAGATCAGCAGATAATATACATATTAAAAATTTTTCTTTACCTTGGGTTGATGGGTTTCTTCATCACGTTGAATCAAAATCTTACCGATTCTCACGCTTCTGCAGCACTCACGCAAACCTTGTTCCATAGCCTCACCAGCACGCATGATGGAAACACCACAGATACGACCTTCGAAGGCAATACCGTTGTATTCAGCAAGAGTGGGAGTCAAGACGTTCTTCTCGACAACGGGCAAGTGGTTCAAACCTATTTATATTTTGAATAAGCGACGAATTACGTATATTAAAATATACCATGTATATCAGAAATAAACCTACCTTCTTCGACCAAGAGACGGATGATACGATCAGCATAGAAAATGAAATCGGAACGGGGTGTTTCCTTGGAACGAATGATAGTCATCAAACCCTTTAATTGGGTAGTTTGAGGCAAAAGTTGAACTTGCTTAGGTAATTGGTAGTTCTCAGTTCCAGACATTTTTCCTTGTTAAAAATATAAAGGGTGTGTATAAACAAAGAAAAAGAAAAAAGAAGAGGAAACGATATAAGAAAAAAGAAAAAAACTTTATACACTCAAACTAAGCGATCCGCTAATTCGCAGTCACTGGTTTTTTTTTTTTTCTTTTTTTCCACCCAGACTATACCCAAATAAACCAGAAAAGATAAGAGAGGAATTACTCACGCTTATCTCACAGTGTACTAATGCGAGGGGTATATTTCTTCGCATAGAATACGAAGTATTTTTATACACTACTTCTTTCGGCCCTCTACTTTGCCACAAACAACAACAAAAATTTCTTTTTTGTAACGGATATACTTTTAACGCACCCAGTGTAACCTGTATCTGTCAGCAAAACCAAAAAGAAGAAACAAAAATTACCTGTTTTTCAAACACCCTCCTACCCAGCCATGCTTGTCAATAATTTATCCGAGAAAGACCAACAAGCTATCAGAGTAAGAAAAGTGAGAAATGTTGAGGCACTCTTTTCGCTTACAAACATATAGGTCCTTCAAAAAGAAATAAGCTCACTTTATGCTGCTGTCTCTACAGACTACATGGTCGAATGGGACCAAGAGTGCAAAAAACAAAGGTACACAGAATGCCCTGATTCCGTCAAGCAGGTAGAAAAAAAAAAGAAAAAAAAAAAGAACTAGAATGCCTTCTTATTATTAAACAAACAAACAACAAAGGTCGAACAAGGTGCTCGTGATTTAGGCATTCTTGAAAAGTGTCAAATTATTCCTGTCGAATCCGATTACTATGACTGGGAACTTCAACAACGAGCGTAATAGAAAAAAAATACCAGTGTTAATACCCACTGTCGCGCCATAACTAAATATTGCGTTTTCCATTAGTTTCAGAGTCAATGCTCCTTCCAAGGAACACATGTGCAAGAGTGTAGTGTTGGAAAACACACGTTGCACACACGAGGATATTTCAGGTACGTAAGCTGGCAAGTCTAACGAGTAAGTTGAAAAAACTGATATAGAGATCATTAGACCCATTGTACTCCAGATACTACTGTGTGATTACTCAGGTATAACACTGATTGAAAAAAGGAAAAATAGGGTTTAATCCAGTTTAGAATAGTATGTTAAGCCTGTGAACACTCAGAAATTATTGAATTTCTGTCGTGGATTAAAGAACAAGGAAATCAGCAAAAAGTTTTACAATTACCGTCTTGCTGATTCAGAGGTATTCTTATTTGGACAATGGCATGATTTTTTTATCTAATTTCATTATTTAGGTCTCGTTTGAATTGACAGGCTATAAATCCGGTGGCGTATGTCCTGTGGGTATGAAGCAGCCCATCCCCATCATTCTTGCTGAATCCATCACCAAACTTGAGGTAATCAAACAAACAAAAAATAGTGCGTATAAAAAAAAATATTAAAAAGATTGATTTATTAGCCCGCTGTGATTTATTTGGGTGCTGGACATATCGATTGGAAATTAGGTGTTCCTGTCTCTTCCTTGATTCACTCCACCAACTGCTTTGTCACTGATTTGGATTAAAATTCCGAAAACTTTTTTTAGAATAAATTACAATAGACATGTTTTTAAACAGGTCATGTGTGTGCGCGTGTGTGTGTGTTTCCTAAAACAATCTCAGTGCATGAAAAAAAAAGGGTGACAATCCCACGGGTGTTACATTAAACCTACTGTAAATGTAAAATCATGCAAAAAAGAACCATGTATGTTACAAACTCTAAACCTTACACAAAAATAAACTTTATTGTTCTTGTGAAAAAATATGCTATGCATTTTTTTTTTAAAAAAAAATATTCTAATGTCTCTTATGAAGTGTCTTCTTGATAATATCGGCAGCCTTTTCAGCAACACCATAAGTAGGTTGCATCAAATGAGATGAGACTTCTAAAGGCATAATAGAAGCATCCACTACTCTCAAATTGGCAGTACCATAGACCAATAAGTTAGGATCGACGACGCCACCGAGATTACGAGGAAGCATTGCACAGGTACCAATTACATGCCAGTCAGAACGTACATTATCTACCAACCATTGCTTGACGTCTTCGTCACTAGAGCGTTCAGTTCCAGGCTCCACTTCTTCGATAGTGACAGCAGCAAGTCCAGGTGCGGCTAAAAGTTGACGAGCGAGCTTGGTTGATGCAACATGAACCTCGACGTCCATAGGATGAGAATAATATTGAGGATCAATGATGGAAGGAACTTCAATATCAGAGGAGTTGATATGGACAAAACCACGAGATAAGGGAGCCACAAGTACTTGATTGATCGTTTGATACTTGTTATGAATAATATCTGACTTTCCCATACCTGCGTAACCAGGTGTGAAATTAATTTCAATAGGTGACAAGTAATTTTCTTCATATCGACTGGCAACAATTTCATATTGTTTCTTGATTAAATCAACATGAGAAGCATTGATAGAAGCGTAATGTTGAGCCCATTCATCGGTTGATTTACGAATACGATCAGCGAAAGTCTTGGGAGAAACAAAGGTCGTGTTTTCAAAAAGTTGTTGAGGGCTGGGGTAACCCAAGTTGTTGGGTGTTGTAGTCCACATACCTGTCTTAGACTTGGTGTAGATTTCCTTTTGTTCAGCATACAATGTCTCGTTAGAAAACAAACTATTGGTGGTGTAACCCGTAATGTTGGTGGTAGAAACAGCGACAGCATGAACGTGATCTTGCAAGTTGGTTCCGACACCGGGTAAATCAAGCAAAGATTCAATACCAAAGGCCGTTACAATGTCCTTGTTACCGATACCAGAGATTTCCAAAAGCTTGGGACTACCAATAGTACCAGAAGATAAGATAACTTCACGACGTGCCTTGATAGTTTGCTTGTGGGTACTGTTGCCGGTAGTAAACCATTCAACACCAACAGCTTGTAAAGGCTTGTTACCAGACTTGGGAGCAAATTGAATACGGGAAGCGGTATGGTTGGCCAAGACAAAGAGATTCTTACGGCTAAGATAAGGCTTTATGTAACCAGTGTAAGCACTACTACGACGAGCAGAAACAGGGTCCAACGTATTGGGTGTAATGGAATAACCATGAAGGCTACCGTCCATTAAATCTTGACGGTGAGTGAAATCTAAATGTTCGAGAGAAGAATTCCAACTGGCAGATTGAGAGAACTCATATACTGGGTAACCGATATCGATACGTCCTTTTTTACCATGGACATTTTTCTTATAGGTGGCACCGTAATGAGCTTGTTGCGACGTAGGAGGATGAAAATCTTCGACCTTTTTAAAATACTTGAACATATCAGCACCGTTCCACCCAGGGTTACCAAGTTCTTCCCAAGCATCATAATCTTTCAGGGCACCGCGAGTCTATGTAGGTATAGTTTAGCCATATGTTACTTTTTTTTATTATGTTGATTTTTTGATAACGTACCCAAACTAAACCGTTGATAGAACTACCACCACCTAATAATTTACCAGTGGCAACAGAGAGACTTCTGTTATTCATACCTTTTTGGGGAACAGTTGGAATCATAGGACAAAGTTCAGATCCAACAGCTTGACCATACCTAAGATTAAGTTGAGTGGTTAATATGTGTGTGAATATATATAGGTCGATTTGTCAATATTTACATGCCCGGGGCGTAGATCACAAACTCTTCGCTAGCATCAGGACCTGCTTCCAAGACGGCGACAGTGATACGTTTGTCATCGGAAAGACGACTTGCTAATGCAAGACCTACAATGAAGAAATAACAGTGAGTTTGTGTGTTATCGCAATAAATGTAGATTTGGTAATACCAGCTACACCACCACCAACAATGACATAATCATAAGTATCGGTGGTAGACTTTGATGAATGGGCGTTTGTGAAAGAAGCAAAAGCTGCAACTACAGTAATAACAGCGGTAGAAATCTTCATTAAATAAAAAGTGATTGGAATTAAGTATTTCTGTTCCGAAAATCCTTAGCTTTATATATAGTCAGTAACCTGATTAAGTCGGGGCCAGTAAAACAAAAAGTTTGACAGCTCGCGCAATCTAAAATGAAAAGTGACTGGGAAGATTTAATTTGTAATGATTATTCATGCTTATTTTTCTGACATTCGCAGGTCCCAATTCTACACAATCAGATCTTTGTTTTTATTTTCGTTATCTGTGTTTGAAAAATGATGGAAAGATAAAGTAGATGCATAGTGTCAAAAAAACATGGAACACTACATTGTTTGTACGATGTCAATGTATGTTGTGTAAATTATTCCATTGCATAAAAAGCTTATCGGTTGGTATATCACAGAAAAAGGGAACTTCCATCGACCCTCCCTTCGTGACAAAACGCAAATGTCGGATGTCAATTAAGTTGCAGCAATCAGTTTGCAAAACGGTATGAGTGTAATACACCGCCTAGTTCTTTTCGTAATCGTCATATGCGCACGAACTTACGTATTCTTTCCAAAATAAGGGTCGATTACTAAATTCATAGGTACTGTGAATCGACCCTGCCCCTCTTTTTTATTTTTTTAAAAAGAATATAAAAATTTTCATTGGATGATCGGCAACATTACTTTTATCCGTGCCGTTTCGGCAAAGTCCACATGTGTTATTTAACGACCCTGTCGAATATAATTCGAGTCCAGCGCCAGCGTTATCTTTATAGTCTAGAAATTCGTACTCGTGCTTCAGGGACAATTGACTTTTGGGCCACGTAAGCCAACCTGCTGTTATTAATGGCTGTCCCAGTAATAGCAGGCAGTTTCAATGCTGTTCGGCAAAAAGGGGTTTCAATTGTAAAGACAAAAGCAGATAAGGCAAGCTTTTAGCAAGCACTTTTTGATTGACACAAATTTTAACTTTCCAATGTAACACAGTTTTATTGATAAGCATTATTGAATGAAACAGAGCACTTCTCTTACATATCGGCTAATATATGTCGATATATGCTTGACCAGGGGGTATATGGAATCAAGAAGTTGAGCAATGGGCTAGAACTAGATGTTCATTTCAGCACACGTATAGAAAAATGAAATAAAAATAACAGACTTAATTTGTCATCCAAACATTTTAATGAAATATACAATGAGTTAATTAATACTCAAACGCAATGCATTTGTTTTGTAAATTTGATAAATTCATTTTTATTTTTATTATAAGACTTGTACATCACGAATGTTTATATATTTAATCCTGTATTTCCTAGTACTTCGAATTTATTAAAATCTGATATTTATTAGCAGACCCTGTATCATAAATTCAATGCTTAGATAGTTTGTTTTTGCGATCGGAAACAATCACTACCATCAATGACAATCCTTTTATATCTTTCAAAAGCAGCTTTAAATATATTGGTACTATATGAACAAAGTTAACTACAAAAAAAAATCTTTTGTTGGTGCTCTTAAAAACTATAAAAATACTCAGTCCAATCGATAACTATTGTTGGTTACTAAAAAAGTAATTGTCGACTTCTAACAAGCATTGTTTCCACTTTACTATTCTGGAGATTTTGTCCTCAACTGCCTGGAAAATTTCAAGTTCATTAGAATGGATTTCACTACGTTCTTTTGATATTATATTCTTACGCCTTAAAACAAAAATATCTGAATACGCTATTAAAACATAGTTAACTGGAATCCTGAAAAAAAAAAGGGGGGGGGGGATGTTTCACTAATTTCTTTAGTGAATATATTATTATTTCCGCGTAAAGTAGCAAAACTATAAGTTCCCATTAATATATCACTGAATACAAAAACGTCTTCTTTACCATTTTCTCAAAATTTTCAGTCAATCCGTATTTTAGAGGTTTAACACACTTTTAGATTTGTTGGCCTTACAGTGATTGTTTATGCAAAAAACGGGAGTCTTTTCCCCACGCGACTGAATAACATCTTTTTTATATTCTGGTCATCTTTTGGGTCTATGTCCTAACTTTCCCTTTTGACAACCTAATCTCAAAATATTAACCACTTTTGATTATGGAAAATTAGATTGCTTTCGAACGCAACATCTTTTAAAAAAACGATATTCATAAATTTTCCAGTTCCGCTACTTATGAACGTCGTCTTATAGAATTGCCCAGAAACTTTAAGGATAAGCATGCCATATAGTTCTGCAAGGCCGAGGTAAGCATTTCATATTTAAATAATATTGGTGTATCTGTCCTGTCTAAACGAGGTGCTGATCCCATTTGTATTTACTTCAGTTCCTTTCTCTTCTACCAAGAAGAAGATTGAGAAACACCAATCTGCCATTGTTTCTTTTTCTTTAACAATGCAATAATATTGAAAAAAAAAAGACTAAAGTACATTTCGGCTGTTCCTTTGGAAGCTTTAAATATCAGTTTTTCTGAGGAATGTAATGAGAAGGTATGTCAGACTTAGAATCTGTACTGGTCTTGGCTTTTGTATAAAGGTTGATTTGAGTCTGGCTGTCAAGTAATGTCTTGCTCAAGTCCAAAAAGGTCCTTACCATACTCAAAAAAAACGAGATACAAGGGTCTTTTTAGGACTCATGTTTATTGGATTGATATACTCTATGTTATATATATGTCTTTTTTATACGGAGATCTATCCAGAGGATAAATATAAATTGTGTTTGCGCATTGACTTCCACTGGTGACTATTTATTCGGGGTTGATATGAACAACGACATTTTACTCCTGCTGATGCATGCTTTTTACTCTTAGCAAAAAAATCAGAGGACGCCAAGCAGTTTTATCATCCTATTAAATAATTGTTTCATTCATAAGGATGTAAAATAAGGTTGAGGTGAATACTGGTACCAATAGAAATGTTAATGTAAATGATGTACAATAAGAATGGCCAATGCTCTGTAATTCTGTAATTACGTATCTCCATTTTTGATGTTTCAAGTCTGATGAACAATATAATTATGTCAAGACACATTCAATATAATTATCCCACCAAGTATCATGTAACGTCTTGTTACGTCTCTTATCCAAATGTTATCCGCCGACTTCTTTGTTCCTTGATCTATTTTATATTCATGCACCACTCTCTATTTTATTAATTCTATAGAACCTGTAATTTAGACCAGCATCAAACTAATAGCCCTCAAATAATTGTCAGACAAACAAAACAAATCAGTTATGCTAACCACATCCACGCAGTAACCTTTGCTTTTTAGCTGCTTGATTTCCCATCTAATATGTCGGATTGGAGCAATCTGATTGGCCTAAAAAGTGCTTGCGTCAGCGGTGTATGAACCTGGGTATAAAGTTTCCCCAGATTTTTTTTTTCTCTTTTTCTCCTTAATAGTGATTCTATGGGTAGTCTTCCGTACTGATTAAATTAATAAAGAATTGCAATGCCTCACTTCGGTAAGGTTATTGTACATTCTTACACTACGAACCCACCAGTAACACGATTTCTTTCTTTTTATTTATAAAAAAAAGTCTTCGTGGATTGAGGGGAATGAGGGAAGATGGACGACGTATACTGTGAAGGTTCCCGAAGCCCCTTAGTAGTTTAAGTCAACGACTTTTCCTTTCCTTGTGTTGGGTAACAGGTACTGGTGCCTCACTTGCTTTTACCGTGAAAGGAGGGGTTCGTTTGACTGCCTGTTATGAACGGGTTCTGCCCACTAGATTTTCTACGGACAAGAACGTGTATTTTTGTCAATAATAAAGAGTGCAAACAAGAAAGCACAAGATCTTGTTTATAAGTCGCTATTATTAACGTCAACTTTACTGTTCTTAAAAGGTGCGTGCAAACACCTCATATTTTTTTGGGACCAGACGTGCTTTCACCTTCTCGTGGTTGTTTGTCCTGTTAATCATTGTAGCTTTTACCAAAAAGTTACCTTGAGAACTAAGAGAAGCACACCTTTCTTTTTTTAAATAAATACGTAAAGCTGTTCAAATAAAGTATAAAGTAATAGGCTCCAAGTTATAATAGAATGCTTGATTCACCCGTCAAATTCCGTTACAGACATTCATTGCTCAAGAAGCTGGTTCTAAAAAGAAGTGCCTTTTTCTTTTGAAGAGAAGCATGATTACAATGTGCTCTCTAAACACACAATCTGTTTATTTATAAAGTTTTTTTATTTCTTTTGTTCTTCGTTCCAAAAGTCTTCATTAGGATGATTCCCGAAGATGTCAAGTTTCGTAGCTTTTGTTGGGATACTGGAAGCTGACAATTAGTTCTGGGTAACATCACCTTCCCCACTTGGTATATGGAGCTAACGGTCTGGGGGATACTTGACGAGCAGCTGAAGGTGAATTCAACGTCGCTTTTACAGTAAGGAGCATATGTCAGATGCCCTAGCTTAAGAGCTGGGGTTGCCACTTACCGGTTGCGCACTCCTGAGTTTGGAAGAAACGGGTCCGTCGTCGGTTTAGTCGGTCATTGGTTTGAAAATAAGTAAAGCTCTGGGGATAGAACGTTCATAAATTGAGAACATGATGTTTCGACCTCCTCTTAGTGATTTACAAGAATCTTTTTTAAGAACCAGAGACTAAATTCGTCGCAATTGCACTTGAGCAGAAACTGGTTAGCGAGTCTCCACCTTTTTTTAACAATAAAAACCCTAATGTCTTTTTTATTTTTATCCTTATATATGTCCCAATGTAAATGTCTCGTATTTCGTGTGAAGAAGTAGATAGTTTCATTGGCTTCAAACTTTTTTGAGAGATGGGCTTTATCTATGAATTGAATATGTTGTGAACATAAATATCTATCATGCTGCGTAAAATGATAGACCCTGGAGTCAACGGCCTGTTAATACGATCAAAACAATCCTAATAAGGTTGTGGGAGAGTTATAATTTTTCTTCTTTCATTTTCCCCTAAATGTTATAAACTATGAGGATTTAGTGTTGGAAACATAACTTTAAAAGACTTTCATTCATTCCACGGCGAAGTTCAAGAGGAATTTACCAGCTTCGTTTCCGGGTGTTCAGCGTGGCTAGGAGTTTAGTTGATATGGCTGAGCACTCATATCTTGTCTCCAAATTGTCAACAGAATTCTTAGCTTCAATTTGATAGCTGCCAATTATATTTCTGTGCAATGGACTGCTTCATTTGCTTGTGGCCGTTAATTACTTCTTTTGTAAAAAATGCTCAGCACGGTGTGTACAAATAGTCTTAACTTTCTTTTTTTTGTAGTTTTATAGACAAAACTACTTTCTTCTTTAGGCATAATGATAGTAAATCTTCAATCGGATAGGGATAACATTTAACCAAATCAATTTAACACCGATAATTTTGTAGACAGAACAGACATCACAAGTAGTCTCTTTAGTCATTTTACATATGTTTTTATTTGATATAAAATGCAGCCTTTGATTAACTTAAAATGTAATCGACAAGAATAAAATTGAAAACTTTGATATCATCTTTGTTGGCATAATCTGATATTTCTATGTCGTCTTGTTGCTCGAATCCGCTGTGATCCTCTTTGCCTGTGCCAAGTTTCTTTTCAACTTTGTTATTTGGTCCCTCGCTTAGATAATAAAAAAACGACATTGAACACAGTAAAAGATCAAGCATCCTCTACCTTGTCAAAAACATTGCTGGTCGTAGGACCTCTGTCTTCTCACTATTGTGGATTCTTTGTTACGGGAGGTTATTTTGTTCAGAGTCTTGTGCATGCTTGGTCAGACCCATCTCGGAAAAATATTCAGCCACTTTTTCGTGGCTCTTCATGTTCTAGCGCTTATGATCACTGTTTTTACATCTAGGAAAAATACGCAAGATATATTATGGCTTTTCGGGTGGATGTTAGCCATTATTAGCATAGCTGAAAATATATCTCAATGGGTAGATGATGTATGCGTTTATTTTAAGCTCGTTGTAACAAAAGTGCTCTTTTAAAACTGTAACATACGAGAGCAAAATACGAAAAAGGAGGGTGTACTAATAAGTTGCGGTTTAATTAAATAAAAATTTACAAAATGAAAAGAAAAACATATACAATAAGGAAAAGTGGGGTTAGGAAAGAGAAGAAAATAGTAATATAGATTATTATGAAGGAGGCTGTTGCTGCTGCTGCTGCTGTTGTTGCTGTTGCTGTTGTTGTTGTTGTTGTTGCTGCTGTTGTTGTTGTTGTTGCTGTTGCTGTTGTTGTTGCTGCTGTTGTTGCTGTTGCTGTTGTTGCTGTTGTTGCTGTTGTTGTTGTTGTTGTTGTTGTTGCATTTGAAGAGCTTGCTGAGCTTGTTGAACTTGTTGCAACCGTTGTAACTGTTGTTGAGCAAGTAACGCTGCTTGTAAATTCACGTTGTTCGATCCCTGTTGCACAGGACTACCCCCCTCTGTATTCACCCCATTGCCATTATTATTAGCCGCCGCCGCTGCTGCTGCTGTCGCAGCTGCCACAGCTGCATTTCTCATTTGAAGTTGAGCAAGATAACGTTGCAATTGAAGTTGCTGATTGGCAGGTAATTGTGAAATGGGGTATCCCATCTGTGCTAATTGTGCTGCAAACATCAGTGGATTCGATTGTGCTGCATGTAATTGTGCTGCAATCGCTGCTTGTTGCTGCTGTTGATTTTGTGGTTGTGGGGAGGACTGAGGGGTCGTTTGAGAACGTTGAGGGCTTTGTTGTGGCACTACAGCTGGCGACGCCATTTGAGACACTTGTTGTGCAACGGTTTCTGCACTAGGAGCCGGAGTATGTGTAGCTACAATTGTATGAAGAAAAAAAAATTAAATTTTAGAACAATCAAAAGAGAAAGGGTTAATGCTTACGTTGCTGCTGTTGCTGTTGCTGCTGCTGCTGCTGCTGCTGCTGTTGCTGCTGCTGCTGCTGTTGTTGTTGCTGCTGTTGCTGCTGTTGTTGTTGCTGCTGTTGCTGCTGTTGCTGCTGTTGTTGTTGAGCTAACTGTTGAGCAGCTAAAATTTGAGCTTGCTGTTGAGCTTGTTGTAATTGTAATTGTTGCTGCAACTGTTGCTGTTGTTGAGCCTGTTGCTGCTGTGATGCTTGGATTGCATTTGCAAAACGTTGAATTGAGGCGGGCGTAGGAGGACGGCCTTGTTGTCCATTTACAGCTTGTTGCTGTTGGGCCTGTTGTTGGGCAGCTTGCTGTTGGGCCTGTTGTTGAGCAGCCGCCATTAAAACCATTTGTTGCTGTCTCAATAATTGAAGTTGAGCAGCAGGGTATCGATTCAGTGGCAGACCTGCAGCCACATTATTGTTTTGTTGATTCATCGGAAGCTGAGGTGGTCGGACAGCGTTTTGTGAAACGGGAGATGAGACATTAGCGGTAGTGGCGGTGATAGCAGGAGTAGCAGAAGAGGTAGCGGTCGCCATAGGTGTAGCTCGTGCCTGTGCCTGTGCTTGAGCTTGCGCTTGAGCTTGCGCTTGCGCAGCAACAGCGGCCGCGGTAGTAGCGACTGACATCGGAGGTCGCACCTGTTGAGCAGCAGCCTGTGATTGAGGTACAGCAGCTGAGCGAGGTGTACCGTTCGGTGTTTGAGATCCTAAACTAATGGCAGCAGATAACTGACGTTGTTCCAATACAGCTTGAGCCATTTGTCTTTCTCGTTGAGCTTTATGCATACTCATTTCCATGGCAGAAGGTAAACGTTGGCCTGAACTATTCGTACCATGAATTTCGATAGTAGGGCGAGGTAATGGAGCCATGGCGGTGCTCGCATGCTTTTCAGATTCTTCACGTTTCTTTTGTGTCTTTTTAATAGCTTCAAAGACATTGTACTGTCGTTGACGTTTACTAGGCGAATCGAATCGAATGGTGGTTGGACGACGGTTAAGTTCACGCTTTAATTTGGACGTATATGCACTGCTGACTTGTCCAGACAAGGAAGTCAAGTTATTACGCTTCCAACGATCGTGACATTCCCAGGGAGTGCGTTTTAATCCGGTGATGGGAAGTCGAACAGAGTTGAGAGCGTCACAAATCAAATCCCAATTGAAAGAGTATTGGATAATAAATGAAATTAAACAAACATCGTCGTCTTCAGACCAGTGCGTGGTATTGCTTTGTGCATTGGCTGGTGCTTGTGGTGTAGTCGGTTGTTGAGCAGGAGAATCTTTGATTCTTTTAGGTGCAAATAAAGCTATAACATAAAGTAAAAACAAAATAACAAGGTCAATACACAAAAGAGAAAGGATGTTTCAATACTTACGAGATATTAAAGGTGTAGAATCATAACGTTCATGTCGTGGCAACATTTTGATTTCTGAATTGTAATCCTTTGAATCATCATTGTACATAATGGGATTACCATCAATGGTTCGTTTACGACTGTAACGTCGAGGGGTTTTAAGTGTAACACGTTGACAGGATAGTTTCGAAATTGGTGTAATCTTTCCATACTCTACTTCGTTAAAATAAGCGTCATCGAAATCGGGATTGGGAGGTTCGTAAGTAAGCATATCTGGAAATAAGGCACTAGCATTGAATTCACCGAAATCTTCAATTGACAGTGACAAAATCGGCATATTGGGATCGAATTCTTTAATAATGTTGCGATATTCTTGAATGATATCAGTTGATAGCGAAGCAGTTGTGAAATTAGGTGTGGTGGGCATGGAGGATTCATCCGCTGTATCCATCGCAAAAGTATTTAGATCCACAGGATGTTCAGTTTCCAACTTTAAATCTGCAGTGTCGGTACCCATCATAGCATCATTTTTAATGGGATCTTCGGTCGTGGCTTCTTCAGGTGCTGTTTCAACAAGTAGTTGAGGTTCTATTATTTCTTCCATTGACACAACAGTATCATTACTGTTAACTGTATGTTCCAATGGTGTAGGAGATGCAGGAGGAGTGATAGGACTGGGAATACGAGATTTTACACATACGGTGGATTTATCCTCTGCATGGTGCCATGCCATGACATCCCTTGCTGTTTGATAAGCTAAAGCTATTTTCCATTTCCTCTCCTGTTTAAAATCTGTTTGCATCCACTTCATCTCATCCACTAAAGAATCCCAATGTGTTTTTGAGCGAGGTGGTGCACGATGTCGTTTCAATTGCCTTAATCCCCACATGTTTTTCTTTTTTAAAGCTTCGATCTTTCCAATTGTCTTTACGGATTTCAGCTCATCTCTGGCCAGCATCCAGTCGTGTGTGGTTAGAGTCTTTCGAGCAGTCTGTAGTTGTTTGTAAAGTGGGAAATGATTTGCACGTAATTGCCAAGCGTATAAATCTACATTATTTGTTTCCGGTTTAGAAGAGTGTGATAATTCGATGCCGTTATAATAAGAGTGGGTGGATTTAGATGGATCTAGTGATGGTCTAGCGGAATTTACAGTGGTGATGATGCGGGGTGGTTGTTGATGATGGTGATAAGTAGAGCGTCGATAAGGTGGCGAAGAACTCTTTTCTCCAGAGGAGGATAAGGTGTCTTTTTGCTATATAGAATAAAGACGAGCATTAATATAATGGGATTTAATACGTAAAAATGTAGAATTACATACATCCAGACTAGATAGTATTTCATCTACGCTTTTGGGTCTTACGGCTCCACTTACACCCCTTGTGACCATTCGAACAGGCGGAGGAGGGCGACGAAATAGCTTTCTTGAAGGGTCTGAGGGATCGAATGTGGGAGAAAAGTCGCCCTTATTCATATTTAATTTGACATTACTTTGTTATGTTAATTTAGTAAAGGTAAAGAGGGAGAGAAAGGGAATGTACACATTACCTGATTTTGTGTTTGTCGAGGTATGCACCCCATTTATCCTGATCTACTTGGGTCACATCACCGCCTTTCAAGAATGAGATAACAGGGTCATTTTCATTGATGTTACCTTCACCCGTCATTGTGAACAATTCCTTTAATAACAGCTCTCTGTGTGTAACAATCATTCTAATACGCGTAAAATTTTAAGATTAAATATTTGGGAGAACGCGTTTTGTGTTTTTGTTTTGTTTTTCGGAAGAAAACATACTTTATCCTCTTTTTCCTGTCTTCTTCAGCATTATTACGCAATTTTTGAAGTGATTTCTATAATTGTGTGTCAGTAGAATATAATTTAAGTACTGTATATTCATAATTACTTGTTGTTGTATTTCAGGGGTTTCCATGTTTTGATATATTTAAAAAGTTGGAATAGATAAAATGGAACACGTAACTCTTTTTTCCCTTTTTTTTTTTTCGAAGATAGAAAAAAAGGGTTGCTTTTTGTCAGTTAAGAAAAAAGACGCGCTTCCAAAAAAAAATATAAAAAAAAAATAACTAAAATAGAACAATATTAGTTTTCAAGGAAAAAAAAACGCTGGTCTCCAAAGAGTGAAAAATGCTTGGTACGACATGAAAAATCATAAGCCACTGTTATTGTTTAAAAATATAGTGGGAGAAGGGGAGGTGCAACTGGCTGGAATTTTTTTTTTTTTTTTTTTTTTTTTCAACTGAGCCCACCAAAGGAAAAAAATGTTTTTTAGTGCCAATTTTTATTTTTGCAGGATATTGAGGGTTTGTTTTCATGTGATTTAACAATGACGATTAGCCAAGCATGTGTTCAGCTCTTTGGATCATAAGCGATCTTGCAAAAATATAAAAGCAAATGAAACTCCCAATCGAAAATAATAACTTACATCAAATGACTTGGTTTTTCTGACGAATGTAGCCTTGTTTTTTCAACTTTTTTTTTTTTTTTTTTTTTTTTTTCCATAACCACGATCATACTTTTTTTTTAGCCAGTCACATTTACTCGACCAATAGCATTTTGAAATGTGATTGGCTCAGCTGTTTTATGGTGCCTTTTCTTTGCATTCATGTTCCACAACCCGCGCCTTTATTGCAAGCTATCATTGTGTATCGTCTACATGTTGTGCTATATTACTAAGTTTGAATACACCTACTATAAAAAAGCAAGTAGCCACTTTAGTGTGTTACTCCATGATTTCTGGCGGTAGTGGCTGATAACATGTGCAAATAACCGGAGTCTGAGTCTGCAAATGATAATTACTTGTTACAGGGGAGAAGTGCTTCTCCTGTCTTCTTTATGTACATTCAACAAGGAATGCCAATGCATATTTATCAACAAGGGATGCTGCATGAGGCGTTGCCTTTCCCCTGAACCAAACTACAACTCCGCACCGAAAATATTCGACACTTTTCACAAAAATTTGAGTTCCTTTAGTCATGCATTTTTTTAAAACCAAAAACTTGTTAATAAAAGGTATCTCAAATTCTACCAAACTTGACAAAATAGCAATATATATATATATTTTGTAAAAAGAAACTTTTTTATTTACGTTAATAAGTGGTATTTGAGCCACGAGCTTTTTTTACTGCCCGGCATCTATCGGGCATACTTTCTACAAGCTTATGACACACTTCATCCCCCAACAACTTCCATTCCTGATGAAGTGCAACCTCCAATTCATTAAGATTTTGAAGCTGGGCTCTTCTTTTAGCAATCCTTTGTCCCAGGAGGCGCCAAAGGTTCTCAATCGGATTCAAATCGGGACTTTGAGCGGGCCATCGCTCAAAGCCTGCAATCCCAGCCTTCTCTTTCCACCACCTCGTATATCCTCCTGTATGGCATGGGGCACCGTCTTCTTGGAAAATAAAGTCATGACCATATTTCTCTGTCAATTGTTCAAGCCAAGGGAGAAAGTTTTGACTTAAACAATTGACATATTTTTCTTGATCGACAGACCCTTTTAGTGTCACCAAAGGGCCCAAACCGCCTGCCCAAAAACATCCCCATACCATCACTGATCCCTTACCAAATTTAAATGTTGGTAAAACAAATCTATCCATATACCTTTCACCCTTCTTTCTAATAACTCTCACACCACCGTCGTTGTGCCTGAGTGCGAATCGCGACTCATCGGACCAGATTACCTTCTTCCAGTCATCTAATGTCCAATTCATCTTGTCGTCGACCCATTCTCTTCGCGTTTTTTTATGTCTAAGACTCAAAAACGGTTTTTTGGAAGGTCTGCAAGAATAAAAACCGTTTTTGCGAAGTGCATTCCTCAATGTCGTCAGGCTGATTGGATCGGTAGCCTTCGCAAGATTTTGCATATGAACACTTAAAGGTTCAAAGGAGTCCCTTCGAACTAAAAGCGTCAGGTGATGCTCAGCTCTTGCTGTCAGCTTTGCTGGTCTTCCTGGACGAGGTTGGACAGTCGTGATCCCTTCAGTTCGATACTTTTTTATAATCGTAACAACGGTTGTTCTAGGAACGCCCAATTCTTTGCTGATTTGGGTACCTGTCCATTTGGCATGCTCTGCCAAACCGCAAATGACTCCACGATCGAAATCTGAAAGTTCCTTGCTTTTTCTAGAGACTTTGTTAGTAATGTCAGTAAGTGGCATGATAAATTGTGTAATAAAATATGAAAGAATCGTTGAACGAAGAAAGAGTAGGTTTATTTATTTTTTTGGCTCAAAACGGAAGTGTCGAATATTTTATGTGCGGAGTTGTATAGGTAAATCAGAAATGTTTGTTTGTACAACTCCTCTGCGATTGTTTGACTTCTTTTGTTTGCATGCCAACCCACCTTTTACACACAGATATATGAGTAAGTAAGATTGACAACAAAACTAGTTACATCGTACTATACTCCAAAAACGTATACATAACGGAAACATTGCATTAGCATTCGGATTGTCAAAAGTTCTACGCCGACAATTTATGAGATCATATTCCCCGATTTAGAAACTTGATATGGACCGAGTTAATTTTTTTCTTTGTAAATTTTTTATTTATTAAAGAAAAGATATATGCAATTGATTTTTTTTGGATTTAATAATAATTTCTATACAGGGGGGGGGGATGGAGTGAGTTGATTAGTTTAAAGATAAGATGCCTAAAGAAAGAAAGCGAATATTAGAAATCGGGTTTTTGTTACAATGATCATGGATGAGAAAACACTTACACGTCTGCTAGCTTCTTCGAGATCGCTATCAGTAAGCTTGTTCTTATCATCGTCATTGGGGATTTCATAAACACCACCCAAGATAACGAAAGGATGATAAGCGAAAAGGTTAAGATCACTCATTTCAGTGACACCGGAAAGAACAAGAACGGGATCAATTTCAGAACTGATACCGGCAACGATACTATAAAAAAAAAAATGCATGTTAAAATCTAACATGTAAACCAGAATCACATTTTATAAACTTACTCGGTATCCATACGATCACCAATAATACATGTTTCCAGACGACTTAAACCGAGAACACGTTGAGCATAACGCATGATTAAAGCAGAAGGCTTACCACAGAAGAAAGCCTTGGTCTTGGTAACTAATTCGACACAAGCGGTGAAAGCACCGGTAGCGGGAATCTTACGGCCTTGAGAATCAAGAGTCTCGACATCCAAGTTGGTAGAGATCAACTTTGCACCTTGTTGGACGAGTTGAACAGCCTTGGTCAACTTTTCGAAGTTATAAACAGCAGATTCACCTAAAACGACGTAATCAGGGTTGTGATCGTTCATGAAGAAACCCTTGTCATAAAGAGCATAAGCAAGACCGGGTTCACCAATAACGTAACAGGTTCCACCCTACAATAAATGAGAATGTTAACACATACTGTGAACAATGCTCGCACATTCCTTAATAAAACTTACCTCGGGCATTTGAGAGTGAAGGAAGTAGGCAGTGGCTTGACCAGAAGTGAAGAAATGATCTTCAGTAACATCAATACCAAGACGTTGTAATTTTTGTTGTAATTCACGAGGAGTGGGGGCAGAGTTATTGGTCAAGAAGAGATACTTCTTGTTGTTCTTTTCTAAAAAGTTAACCAAGTCCTTGGCACCAGGCAACAAGTTGGAACCCTAATAACATTTGTTTTTTGTTTAGTTTTCTAGGTTGCACACACCCAATGTCAAAATGCTTAATCAACTTACGTGGTAAATAACACCATCCATATCAATAATGAAACCCTTCTTTTGACGAATGGCTTCAAGACGTTCATTGTGGAGAACGGGATCACGGAATAAGGCCCAATCTCTGGCAGAAATACCATCTTCGTTTTGATGAGGAGTGAAGCTACCAGATTGTGTTTGACCAGCAGCGGCACCCTTTTGTTGACCGAGAGAGGCGGCGAAAGAGGCAGCCAAGTCGCGGGTCTCGTCAGTAGAGGCAAAGTCAGAAGAGGGAGTCAAGTTAGTAGGAGTAGACATTTTTATGTAGTGTTTTAAAAAAAAAATTAAAGAATACAAAGAGAAAAAATGCAAAATATTTCTTTTGGTTTTATAACTGAACTCCAAAACGTGTTTCTCATATGCTGGGGTTTTTTTTTCTTCTTTCTTTATTCGGTTTAGTAGTTATTAAAATGCCCTTTCTGATGTCATTCCTTTTTAGGCACGTCAAAAAGTAGAGAGTGCTCACCCATCGGCACCAATTTTGGCGTGATTTCAAAATGAATTCGAAAGTGTGTGACAATTACGTCGTCGAGATAATGAAATTTGTTAGTGCATATTTGACCGCTTTGATAAGCGCGGGGACTCGAGTTCAAGGGTTCATCAGTTGTGATTGCATGTGTTTATATTGCCCAAGTTATTTTTGATTGCAATCGCATCCAAAACAGTTTATGAAGAAAAAAAACTTGGTTGAAACGATATCAAGGGGACATATATAAACACAAGCCTTTTTTAAGAAACATGCAAACAAGTATACTTTCTCTATTCTCTCTCTCTCCCTCATTGTCGCTGGTCATGGTACATTATCCGTCGGCCTTTTTATGTACAGAATGCAGAAATTAAAGTTATATAAACTCGGGTTGTGTAATCTTTGATTGATCTTTGTCCCCCTTGTAAATCTCCGATGAAGTTATGACAAAGTCATAGGGCCCCAAGATTAGCTCCTGATTTATGCGATTAGTTTACCTTTACGGGCACCAGTTTGTTTGCGCCATTTTAAAAAATGTCTTCGCTCTGTTTGTGTCAATTTAATTGGCCATTTATTCGCGTCAATATAAAAATACGGCCAGATAAATCATATCGCGCCTCTTCATATTCGCGTTATTTCACTACAGTTCGTAATACCACAAATCTGGCATAGTTTATTATGTAAAAAAGTACACTTTTTTACTTATCTTCATTGTTATCTCTCATATCACCAGCCTGACCATCAGAGACTTCGTCATTTTCCTCATTATCTTGTTGAGTTGTGCAATTGGTTTTTTAAACTGTGTAAACTTTTAAACAGTGAGAAGTGTCGTCTCATCCAAAAACTTTAAAAGCCCTTTACATTATATCATTGGAAGTTTTATAGATCAGACTTAGCTCCTTCAGTAGATCTTTTTTTTTTTTTTTTTTTTTTTTTTTTTTTTTTTTTTTTTTTGAGAGTATGTAATGTACCTCCACTAAATCAACAAAATTTCATAATGATCTCATGTTACTCGTGAAAGAAAAGTTAGTCACACAATTTGCAATGTACACGCCACATGGTAGTCCCATATGGAAGCATGAACATTTTGACCCAAGATATGAATGGAGTCTTTTGTTTTGTTTCGCTGTGATAAATCGGACAGAAACCAATAAGTTGTTTACATATCATTTTTCAGCCAAAACAGACTCCCACATTTTTATCATTTGAAACGGCGATGTGTAAATCCAGCTTAAAGTGGGTCTCTTAGGGACAGCTAGGGTGCCCTTAGTCGTAATGTTGGATTATAATACTTTAAAAGACACCAAGAGGTCAATATAACTTATTATCTTGAACCAAATACAATTTATTACAATCAGCATATGGTAAATCAGTATGTGTGTGTTATAGTTTACTTCCAGCTTCTCATTTGGCCTTTACATTAATAATTCTGCGTAAGATTAAGATCAAACGAGCTTACAGGCGAAAAAAGTGATGATAGAATTGTCGAAACAAGTATAAATCATTCAATATATATTTATTCGTAATTATCACATTGTTCTTGACAATATATTCTTGTTTCCAGGTTTAAAGGACAGCCAAATCACATATCTTACGTTGTGACTATGTTCATTTTGGCTGTCTCTAAGGAAAAATTGGCTGTTCCTAAGAAAAGCAAAATTCTAATTGAGCTGATTTGTTAAAAATTCGCGTGCATCGAGAGACTACGTCTATTTCGATATGAATAAAGATATGCTTTTGTAGACTATGTTCTTTGAAATAAGATATCACTACTTAACAGAAAGATTTCTTTTTAACTTTTTTTGTAAACAAGGCTTACATCAGGTTATTATCACTGCTTCTTGATTATATAGTCGATTTTTTTTTAAAAAATATGATTGTATATCATATTGCACTCATCCAGTATATTGTAGAAATCAAATATACTATTGTATAATAAAGACTGTAAAATATGTAATAGCTACAACATATATTTAGCTTATAAAGATGACGGTCTTTGTGCGAGCATTGCTAGTATGTGTCTATCACTGTAAGCATTTTAAGCCTATCACTGTCTTATTTATTCCACACCTCTGTCTCGCTGAAATGTCAAATGACTTTAAAAACTTCTTTATTGTTCTGTCCGATGACGGTTTGATCTTTAGTGATTTAGCTAGGACTACATGAAGCGATTATATTTTTGTATTACTTTTTCAAACAAATTATAAAAATTGGGCCACGGTAAAACTTTAATCTGACAGAATGTGAATTTTTAATCTAATAAATCAACAGCAGCTACATGAATGGGAAATGTTAATACGTTTAGAATAATTCCCAAAAATACATCAAACTTACATTGGAATAATAAACAAGCCATCATGACTGATACCATAGCAAGGCCATCCATGTGGGCATAAGTGGTCACAGAAAGTGCAAAAAATACAATAGCATTAATGATTCGAGATACACAAATGATGTGAGATTTATAATGAGCTATAAATATCGTGTGAGAAAATGAGGAAGATTTGTAAATGACGAAAGGAAAAGTTACTTACCTCCTTTGACAGGTGTATTGACCCATTTAATAAATGCATTAAAGCACAGAATTAAGCCAGCTGTAATCCAAAATGCCTTGATTGTAAATAAGGGGTCACAGTTAAGTGCACTGTCATGACCAGCCTCTACACTAAACATGGTATAATGAGAGGTGATTACAGATGTAGTATTAGTGGCAGCAGCAGCAGCGTGTTCTGTGGTCCCATGTTCAGCTGCAGTTGCTTCAGCGGTATGACCCAGAGAAGAGGCAGCAGCAGCGCATTGCTCAAATGTTTCGGATAGGAAGCTTGCCGTATCTTCCTTGGCACCATGATTTGTAATAACATCTGTTAATGCAATACCAAATGCGACCTGGAATAAGTGTAAAGGGAAATGGAGATACATCCAGAGTTGACTGAGTTTTGTTGTAGCCATACATTCACCGCTGAAATCGTCAAAATACATAAAGAAGTAACAGAAAATGATGGTGACACCAAACACATTACAGGCAATGACACTTGGAGTGGGATCAGCCTCCGACACCATTTGAATAAATCCCATACAATTTTCACCCAAGATGATTAGAGTAAATAAACCGAAACGCTCGCCTAAATGACTAGCAGCCAAAGAAACACGACTGTTGCTTTGTTGCATGATGTGTATCACCAACTCCATACCGATACTCAAGTACCATAATGCATATCGCTTCGACATATCTTCTCTCGATACATATAAGAGCGACACTCCCCACATGGCAATTGAAATCATACTGGCAGCGACGTAAAGCCCAAGGGGCCGACGCGACGATTTAAAGTGCGCTCCGAGGGATACTGAAAACACAACAAGGTACTCGAATGCGATAACCGATTTCATGACTGTAGAATTCGCAATTAATATTTACACGTGTAGATTAGCACGGATGATAAACACTTACTGATGTAGCCGATAATAAACATTCTGGGACTCTCTTCAAAATTTACTTTGCCGCTTGAACCTGCCATGATGACTGATAAGGACAAATAATGGTTAGCCGTATGCCTACACGCACAGAATAAGAAAAAACTTACTCAGACCACACAATTCAATAATTTTGTAGATATGATGTGCAACATCTGTAACAAGGTGAGCATATTATAGAATGAGAGGAAACGATGAATTTTATAAATGTATACCTCCATGATCGTATCTTGATGAATATAAAGCGCTTGAACACCAAGTCCACCACATGATAACAAACCAAGCTGCATAAGTTCCTAAACTTGAAAGACTCGAGATATGGATTGAATGTGTAAAATTTCTATGTACAGAAATACGATTAAAAACACGGACAAAAATTTTTCTTTCTCGGTTAAACTTACGTAATCCAACCAACGTAAAATACATCGCCCAACAGTTCTACCCAAGTAGCGGAGGTTTCTTCGCCAATTTCATCGGACAAATCTGGATCAGGCACCAAAAAGAAGGCACGTCTTTGTTTGTCGCCCTCATGCTCTCTCTTGATCTCAATAAATTGTATTTGTATGTAAACATTCTCGTTTAAATCAAGAATAACATCGCTGGGGGAGTGGTTTTTATGAGGACGTGGTCTGACAGTGAGGTTTCCGGAATCGGACTTTTGAATCGGTTGTTTGTCTGTTGAGGATTTATGGGTAGAACCTGAACTAGATGACTTGTCACCCAAATCAAAAGAGTTGACTAATTAAAAAAGAAGTGTTAAACAAAACGGACAAACGAGAAAGGCTTTATAGTTACAAGAGTCTTCAAATTCACATCTTTTTTGGGCTAATTCAGCTCGAAAGGCAACTGTTTTATGAACCTTGACGGAATAATCTCTTTTGGTGTGTTCTAAAAAGTCAATTAAATCATCTGTATCGTGAAACTTTTTCATTCTCTCCAGCTCTTCAGGAGTCAGATCAAGCTAAAAGGGGTAGACCGTTAAAAATCAATTAATTCGTGTTACACAATAGTCTGTGTTATTTTTTTGGTCTTTACAGGCTCAGTTATCACAGCAAGCATCTCATCCGTGAAATGAAAATCTTGTTCACCCACCAAATGTCTAAAATGCATAGCTAATAATCAATAAATTTAGCGACTCTTTGTTTGTAGAAATATGAACTGTGTCTTACTCAGTCTTTTCCTGACTTCACTGTATTCGAGAAAGAGAATAAAGTCGTCATGTTAGTTGCTGTCTAAAAGAAAAAAAAGGATCTTCTATTTACATGATTGGTTCTTCCAGATTGACAATGTCATGTTTAGATGCGATGGATTCAGGATGTTTTTCGTTCCATTGGTTTTTTTCAGCTTCATAAGCATCAACTCTTTTTTGGTGCAATTGTAACTCCTTTAATGGATGCAACAATAAATCACCAATGGTTTCCGTACCATGTCTACGAAGAGGTTTTCCAGCCGGATCATGATATGGGGTAATATGTGCACCGTGTTCACCATGAAGTTGGCCTCTTACAGAGGCGGATCTTATTGATGATGCGTTGTTATTGCTCATGTAACTGTCGTTCGCCATATTGCGTTGAGAGGTTTCGGATATCCGGCTATCTACAGCACTAAGGTTAGATCGGTTATGAAAAAGTCCACTGTGATTCTCAGCATCATAGTGAGAGATTTCATGAGTTGCAGCAGAGGATCGTCTACGACCGTTACGGCCACCAAAGACGGGACCCTGATATCTATTATGCGCCATTATTTATGTATATTGATATTATTACTATAATAGTAACAATAAATGGTATAAAAGGGATGTGTGTATAAAAAACAAGCTAAAAAAGCGGTTTCTTTTTTTAAGGATATTACAGGTTGGTAAAGAGAGTGAAGTAAAAAAAAAAAAGAAGAAAAAGAAAAGGGGAAAAATAAACAAAATGTTTTCTTCGGTTTCTATAATTTTCACTTGGCCGTTGTTGGGTAACACACACAATATTATAACGGAGTAAAGTACATAGGCATGTCTAAAATAGTTAAAACGATGGTCCAATTTTCTTGAGTAAATATCATCTTTCTATATAGTATGCAATGCTACTAGGCTTTTTCGGCATGGTCCCAATTTAGTATAAAAAAAGCAGACAACGGGCCTTTGTTTATTGGGAATTTGATGATGTATATATATCATCGTAGCACTTGAAGTGACACAATGGACGGAGAAAAAAAAAGATCTTCATTGGATTTTTTAAACACAATAGACTGACGAGGATGAACAGTAAACAACTAACATTTCTATGCACAAAGATAGAAACATTTGTATCTTTGTTGACATTTCTTTTTGAACATTAATTGTATACACTCATGTTTCATGGGTGGCTGAGTTTTCATCTCTTTTTCATGTAAATTTGAATGTGGCACTCAAAGCACTCTTTACCATCATCTGATTTTATTCTGAATGTTCTAAAAGTATGCACATCATTTGGTGGGTAATGTTGTAGTTTAAAAACACATATTGAAGAGAGCAATATTTTGTAACAGCTTTTATATTTTAAAGCGATAATGACATAATAATGACTCAGCATGTTTAATTTTTAACCTTTTGTTGATCCAATTGTGTCATTAATTTCTTATAGGTTACCTATAAACATCCCCCGGTTTCCAGCATCAAAACTGACCACGCGTGGTCAAAATACTCCCGATTTAGCTTCCAAGGACGGGAAGTTTTTTTTTATGTGTATCAGCTAAATGGTTATGACTTGCTCTTTTATCGTTCACTTTTGTACCTGATCCCTGAATTAGAAACAATAATCAGAACATAGTCCATGTATTTAAGCGAATTTGTATAAGGTCTGGTGACCATTGACGGGATACTTCCAGATAATATCTTTGACAGATCTGCAACTCAATCTAAACGCGACTACAAAAGTAATAGACTCACAAAAAAGAAAAATATCACACGAGCTTCCAGCTAAAGCTTAAATATGCTAAAATCAAAAAATAATAGATTGCGTTTTTGCCCTTTCAAACACAAGCATGTATTTATACAATAAAAAATTCCAACGTCCTGCTTATTTTGATTGAATTGATAAAAGCTACTGAATATGCTATAATTAACAAAAAAGATAGACATATTGTCACTGATATAGGTATGCAAGCATTTACAACAAGCCGTTATAATATACGACAAAAAAGATACAAATTATTTGATATAGATTAGGTCAAATTGTACATCCAGTGCGTTAAACTGCTTGTAAAGACTTGATTCTTTAAGCATGTAAAAAAGCACTAACTAATAAACACTATTCTCTATCTAAAGTGTCCTTGTTAAAAGATAGGATTAAAACACTAACCAGTAGTATCGGCTGTCGTCTTATGGTTTATAATGCTATTTATAACTCTAATAGTGTTGTTGACTCTATCACTAAACTCCTCTCTAAACTGACTACCTGCCCAATCCTTGTTCTCTAAATTTTTGACTTCTTTTTTTATAAGAAAAAGAAACATTAATAAACAATCCATATTTGAATCTAACAGTCTTTAATTGTCTGAGGTAGTAGTTATATTAACAAATCTAGCAAATTTATTCGGATCATGGGAGAAGAGCAGTGTGTGACCTCAATAATGGTGTCCAGCCCAATATAAATTGTCCAAAATAAAAATACAACAAAGGCATAAAAAACAACATATATTTTGAACATGACATTGGGCTGTATGATCATAAAACGATGCCCAAATTATTGTCAATATCTTAGTAAGTGGAAACTTAAAGTATAAATATAAAAGAAGAAACAAAGCAAAAGGAAGGAAGACCGATCTCAGTTCAACACAGTTGTTAATTCAATACTTCAAAAGTCTATGGTAGTTATCTCGATTATGTTTGAAGGCAGTTAGTCATTTATTTGTAACAAAAGTATTCTGGAATATACATCCCCAAAAAAAAAAAAAAAAAAAAAAAAAAAAAAAAAACTACAGCGACAAGACATTAGTCCAAGTAAAAATATAATAGATCATATAATAATGCTCCTCCCCATACATATGTTTTAAACATCTTGCCTCTCTAAAGACATTTCCCATCCTTAAGCAATAAAGTATTATATCATTGGTACAGTAATCATATCTATCTTGATACACTCAAATATGTATTTATTTACACTTAACGTCCTGAAATAAAAGCATTTAAACCATCTCTCCCTTTTCTCCTGCTTGCGCCGTGCGACCTAAAAATTCCTTTTTGATACGCTTCCATTGCCCATTTTTATAAACTAACTCAGTACCACTACTCAAGTCACCTTCTTCTCCATTTCCACGTTTCTTGACTTTATCATTCATCCAATAAAGCCATAGAAGATTACCAGGTTCGCCTAAGTCTTCCTCTTCGGCTTTTTCTTCTTGCGCCTTTTCTTCCAGCGTAGGAGCAACATAGGTCAGATATGGTACAGCCAGTGATGGATCTGGGTATTTTTGAGCTTGCTGTGGGGGTTGATTGAACCGGTTATATTGTCGATTGTTATTGACGGGAAGGGGATTTGATGGTAGCGTTCCTCTGCGAGATTTAAAATTAGGATTGATTCTAGTAGCATTTGGATTAGCAGCAGCAAAATTTGCCTTGGGTGGTAGTTGACCTGAAAAAGCTTTATGATCTTCTTGTTTGAAATCCGGCAAATAGCCTAGAGCAGCATCCTCCTTTTCTCTCAACGACATGTTTTCATAACGGTTGACTTGACCCCAAGCAGCATCAATACCTGTATCTTCTTCGTGTTTAACACCGACCTCCTCCATCTCTTGTTTAACTACTGTCTCTGAATTTCTATCTATAGTATCAAGCATGTAACAACATAACTGGAAAAATGAAATAAAACAAAACCATAAACAACGTTTCATCGTTACATGTGTTTACTTTCTCTCCTTACCTGCCTGTGTATATCCGAATAGTTCATAAATCTTTTTCCAACAAGATACAGGCCAACCATTAATTTTTTCGACAAAAGCCTTGCTTCAATTTTGTTGATGCCCTTGATAAACATTTTCTGAGAGGTTCCGGTGATTCCATTTGTGAGTTGTGAAACGATTAGACTAATCAGTTTTTCGGTTGTGCTGATATCTTTGGGTTGTATAGTATCTTTCAATATTACATCCTGTAACTGTTCCAGCAAGTCATGAATTAAGCCATACCCAACACCAAACCCGGAGCTGATGGGAATCCCATTCAAAACGTCCGTGGCAAGGTCCGCAATTGCGCGGTCAGCTTCTTGTGTGATTGGAAATCTATCTGTACCTTCACAATCACGGAAACAAGTGCGCCATCGAGTTGCTTTTTCAATCCAACGTGATGTACACAAACCTTTTTCATTCAATGTCATGATGGGCAGGTGATGTGAGAATCTAAAGGGGTTTAATGATACTGTTTTACACAACGGGTCCGTTGCACTTAAGAATTCATTGACGTTTTCGAACAAGATAGGACTTATCAACGTATCCATCATTTCCTTTGTTTTAGGCTCATACACAATGCTAGTACCTACAAGGCCTATCGATGCATTCTCCGATTCTGCAAATTGCGCTTGAAGCTGGCTATTAAGACAATGTAAGAAAATACCACCTAGATCGTGGAAACAAATCAGTATTAGACTTATTTTCACGTTTTTTTCTTCCTTTTGGTTTACCATTTTGAGCCATTAAAATGTGTGTGTAAGACGATGGTGTTTCAGGTGTCACAAGATAAGAAATGCTCCCTATTGTTGTAGAAAAAAAGTTTGTTTTTAATAAATGATGTAAACGGTACATCTAAAATTTCCCATATACCTTTAAATGTCATGCCCAAATAAACTTCGGTTGCTAAATCATGTAACTACAGACAAAAAACAATGTAAATACAAACAAAAAATAAAGTTGGAAATAAGAAAGAATAAAAAAGACTACTCACTCTTATTGGTGATATGCTATGCATACATGTACACCATTCAGACTCTATACAAAGCTGTTAGAAAGAAAAAAAATTAAGCTTTTTTAGTTGGGAAAAAGCAAACAAACTTCCTTACCTGGAAGTGCACGTTTACTACGTTTCGAATAGATCAACTTGAGTTCTCTATATTTCAGATACTTTGGATCATGAATAAATGAATTTCGCAAAGGCTCTTGTTGATTAATCAAATGTTTCCCGTTCGCCTGATAGTATAATGTGACTGTACACGACTGTGCATTCCCAGAGGATTTCATCGGTATATTTGAAATGTGCAGTACATTGATGTTATAATACAGTTGGGATAGATTGCGCATTGCAAACTTTAAATCCTCCTGTCCATTAGGGATGCTGTAAACGGACATTGTAATTTGTGATGATATTTGTTTATTGGTAATTTTGGGTGGAATGGTATGGTCATTGGATGCTGAGTAAGGTAATAAGCGTAAAACATCCACTTGAACATGACTGATTTTCTTGTCGCCTTGTTTATTGATATTAGCAAGTGCATCGTACACCATGGAGCGAATATCTCGACTAGGATCTTCTGGATTATTTCGAAACCTAATATAATCAGAGGTTACAAAAATAATCTAAAAAGGGCGTGTGTGTGCATTGTGAAATTTTACTCGAATGATTTTTCATTAGGCTGTTTAGCAATAGTAACAAGAACAATGCGACACCGTTGTAACACATCTATTTCGATCTTTTCCAGATATTTGGATAAGGCAATTTCTATAGCAGGTTGTAGCCTGTCTTGGGGATATGCATGTCGAGGTTGCACGGGTGGAAATTGTTGTTGCAATGTTTGAATATTTTGTTGTGTCGAATCGTTTAATATCACAGGTGAGCTCCCAGCAACTATAACATTTATCTGGAAAAGAAATATATGAAGGATCATTAGTATCAAAGTCTTTTGTATAGAAAAAAAAGATATCAAAAACGTTACAAGGTTTTGTTTTGATTGTTCAATGTCCCAAGCAACTCTGCAAAATTCAATTGATCCTTGGACCATACATGCCCATAATGGTAATGGTGGAAGTCGGTCTAAACAAAAAGTTAGGATTGAATAATTTATTCACGTGTGAATTTTGGTGTTTACGTGTAGGTGGTACTGAATTGTCTATTCTAAGTGTTGGAATGAAGGCGTTTGGATGTCCATCGAGTATAATGAAAGTATGGGGCATTTTTTGTAGGTGACAAAAAATGAAAATAAGAAAATGCTTTACATCCAGTGACTTGAAAAAAAAGTTCAAATTCAGCTTTCAAAGCTTTTTACAATAGTATAGGGGCGTACGTGTCACAAGAGATGTCTCGTTTTCTTTCCTGTTTCAATCGCATCTCCTTGAATCGGACCACAAAAGAGGTACGCTACCTGTTGGATGGAACTATTTTTATTTTCTTGCCTAATTGTATGTGATACAATATCGGTTATCTCGCTCTAATGGAATCATCTATTTTTGGTAAATGAAAATTAGCTACCCGGCGTACTTCTCCCTAAGGAAATTATTGTACAAATGCTTTATTGGCGGAAACTTTAAACCACAAACAATCCAGCACATCAGAACATGCTCATCATGAGGAAAAAAAAAAGAAAACGGCCAATTTTGGACATATATAAATAAGAAGCATAATTCGTGCTTCTTTTGCTTTTCTTTCTTCATTATTAAAACATTTTAAAATATGCTCGTCAAGGCTTTCTCTGAAGACTACCAACTCAAGTTCAGACCTCACCAAATTGAAGGTCCTGCTTCTCCTCGTGATTACTTGGACTGGAACACACGTTTAAGAAAGTGGCGTCTTGAGCAACATAACAGTGCAAAGGAAACTCATACCACCACTGGTTATGATATTCCTGGTCTTCAGGTTTGTTATTTTTTTTTTACATAATTTTGTTGTCAAACAAACATTTACTTACTTATATTATCTTAGTGGGCACAAACTACTTATGTCCAGCCACACGTTATGGCTAATGATTTGTTTCTTTTCGATCCTGAAACCAACAAATATACTGTTGATAGATATTTAAAAGGTAAAGTTGTACATGTTTATTATGTTGGGTTGTGATATTTACATATATTATAAACAATAGACGCTGAGGAACGTTACGGAACCATCGACTCCATTGTTGTAAGTATATTTGTTTTTTTTTTCTACATAAAATAAACATCACAAAAAAAAATATTAACAATGCATCCCATTTGTGTTACAAATCTATAGATTTGGCCAACTTTTCCCAATCTTGGTTGTGATAGTCGTAATTCAGAGGATTTTTTTAGATGTCTTCCTGGAGGTAAATTATACTAGCCTCACCCACAAAATTGATGCAATTCTTAACTGACCATTGTTACCTTTTTTTTTTTTTACAGGAACCCTCGGTATTCGTTCTTTGGTTGATGAATTTCATAGCAATAAGGTGAAGGTCTTGTTCCCTGTTCTTAGTTGGGATAACGGAACTGTAAGTTGCTACCAGCGATTGGTTTCTGACAAGAGCTGACTTTATTTTTTCTTTGTGTTACATAGCGTGATCCTCAAGCTCAATGGAGTTATATCTTGCCTAGATTGTTTAGTAAGTTTTTTTTTCTCATGTGTAGATATTCATTATACTTAATATGCGTTTATAGAGGAGTACAATATCGATGGTATGTCTAGTGATGTTTCTTACTTCACCCAAGATTATTGGATGAACTCTCTTGCCATTGGTCACCCTTTGGTTTACCACTCTCAGGCAAACAAAGAAAATGCAGTTGGTGCAGCCCCCGCCATGGATGACACTTATGTAAGATTTATTTATAATGGTTTGTCAGACATAAACTTTAACACTTATTTTAGGCCATGCAGTGGAACACCATGGATATGGCAAAATATGAGACAAATTTGTAAGTAGAATGTTATGCATTTGTACTGCAGGCAATTGATTATTCCTTATTATTATCTAGACGTGTTCCCACTGTTGCAGCAAGAAAGTTTATTGAGCCTAGACATATGACACATACATCAGACAAATGGTCTAGAAACAAGACTAGCATGATTCAACACGCATTTTTCAATGGTAAACTATTGCTGTCTCTTCCCCGTCCCAGAAACAATGTGATGCTCATATTTTTTTTTAACAGGCTTGGGAATTGAAATGTGGGAAAACATCTTTGGTACTTGGAATCAACTTGCTCCCCGTGATGCCGAGGCTTTACGCAGAACAAGCAGTATTCTCCGTACTTTTGGTCCTGATTTTCTCTCTTCCAGCGAATGGGAACCTCATTGCCCCTGTGTTCGTTGGGAAACTGTCTTCTCTAGTAAGTTCCCTAGTCGTTCTACCAAGGAGCAGATTTTGTGGACTTTTGTCAATCGTGGTCCTGCTGTTGTCACTGGTCATCAAATTGTTGTCAATTATCACATCGGTATCCAATATTATGATGTCTGGCACGGTCAGGAGATTACCCCTACTAACATTGTAGATGGTCTTGCTACTTTGAGTTTTGATATTGAACCTCATGGTTATGGTTGTATTTTTGCTACTTCGGATGTTTCCGAATTGCCTACCGGTTTTGATGTGCTTCTCAAGACCATGCATTATCGTTCAAGAACCCCTCTTCACAAGTATCCCATTAGTAGTGCCATTTTGTGGCAAGAGTTGGATGAAATCACTGTCACTAAATGCCATGTTGAAAACCTTTGCGGTATGGTTCGAATTGAAGGTGATACTTATGATTTCCGTGTCAGAGGTTTATCCGCTCATCCTACAGGTTCATCAGAATATCCTGGGTAAATATTGATAAATCCAGAACTCGTGTAAATTCGTTTAGACTTAACCGTTTTTTTTAGTACTGATATTAAATATCCTTGGGAATTCCAACCTACACGCTCGCATGCCACTTATACTATGAAGATCAATACCTTTTATATCGATGCTTACAATGTCACAGAAAGTCAGTTCAAAAAGTTCATTGACGAGACCAATTATAAACCTGCGGACCCAACCAACTTTTTAAAGCATTGGGTTGGTGGATGTTATCCTTCCTCTCGTGCTAATAAGCCTGTTACACACGTTTCGATCGAAGATGCAAGAGCCTATGCCAAATGGGCTGGTAAACGGTAAATATTCTGATCGCCGCTTATTTTCATTATGCTAATTATTCTTTTTTAATTTTAGTCTTCCTCATGAATGGGAATGGCAATATGTAGCACAGGCTGGTACTGAATACCGTAATTACCCCTGGGGTAACGAATGGGATGAGAGTAAAGTACCTGAGGTCTATAACGGTCGTGAAAGACTTTATCCCGAGCATCCTCCTGCTGATGTTGATGCTAATCCTACTGGTCGCTCTCCTCTCGGTGTTTACGATCTTGTCGGTAATGTCTGGCAATGGACTGATGTATACAGAGATGAGCATACCAGAGCTGCTATTATTCGTGGTGGTTCTTATTACCAAGCTAAAAATAGCGAACAATATTTCCCTCAAGCCTATCGTAATGATCAACACGGTAAATATTTACTCATGTCTCCTTCAGTTGATCGTAGTGGTACCATTGGTTTCCGTTGTGTCAGAGATACTGAAGAAAGTTCCGCTGCCATGGGTAACTGCTCATTTGTTGACGACGAATGCTAAAATAATGTAAAAAAAAATTTAAAAAAAAAAACTATATCTATCAATACCATCTTCATTCCCATAAATAAATTTGTTTCAATATTTTCAACATACATCTTAAAGTTTTGTTTTTGTACCACAAACACTAGTTTTTTGTTTTTGTTTATTTACGTTAGTAGATATATGGTTTTACGCCCTTTGATAAATAGTGTCTCTCGATTATAAGTTCTCCCTGATGAAGACACAAATAATATGTATAAATGATGCTGCAATATCAGCATTCTAAAATTTAAAAAGCGGCATCAATTGTAAATATAAACAGAGAATTTGGAAATTATCCACCATATAAAGTTTAGAGATTCTCCTTGTGTAAATATTATTGTAAATACTTTTTTTTTTGTAGTTAGACAAAACGTCAATGATTTTGTGAAACTATTTTGTTGATCAATAGGGCGGAACGTATTAACGCTACCGCTAATTTTTAATCACATTTCTTGTGTGCTTGTTTGTCGAACACAAAAAAAAAAAAAAAATGATCTGCCAAATATTTGAAAGAATTCTAATCTTAAGGTTGGGATTTATAAGAAAGTGCTATTTTACACAAATTATAATAAATTAAAATTGGTGGACAAGGAATTTCTAGGCATAAAATAAAATCGTATCATTATGCAAGAAGATGGTGCACAAGATCCGGATGACAACTTTAATAAATCTATCTTATCATATGTACAGCAAAACAAATAAATCTAAATTCTAGAATATGTCCGACTAGCTAAGTATTAAGTTACTTAGTAAGATAGAAGAGGAAGTAAATCATGATTGATATCGGAAGCTTCTGAGCTAATTTTAACTTTTGTAAAAGGCAATTGAATTCAGCTTGCGTCTGGTGACATTATATCGAAATATGAATATAATTTCAGTCTGTCTACTGCTGGAACCTCACATAATTAAATTAGATAGTCATGCTGTAATTGGTAATTTTCTGGGATAACATTCTACTCGGTCATTTCAAAAAGTTAGAGCCCCATTTCGAAAATTGGTGTCATGCAAAAACACCTGTTTAGAATATATCAGTGTTATTTGATTTTGAGATGTCGAATTTCACTTTAATTGATCCCACTTGTTATGAGTACTCTCGACAGACATCTGAAATAACTGAACAGGTATAAAGGATGAATTACAGTTAGTTTTGTTGAATCGCAAATTTGTATAGTACAGTTCCTATATAATCAGTCATAGATAAGCCGTACTTGTGCGTATCAAGACCTATCTAATATAATTTATCATTCTTTCCATCAAATATATATGCTTGAATTCGGTCGATATCCCGATTCAAAGATATTAAAGATTTGGCTATAGACTTTATAAACGCTTGGTGACCATTTACTATCCCCATAAATTGTCAATAAAAAGGGATTGTTCTTGATCCGAAAAATAGAACGCTAGAGTATATATAGTGTGCGTTGGCTTCTGAATCAATCAACACTTTGTAAGAATGACTATTTACCAAAGTGCAATACATAGGTAATTTATATTAGACATAATTTGAATTTACTAAAAACTATATATTATATTTAATCGAGTGAAATCCCCAAGAAGACCGATTTAATAAAAGACAACAAAGGTGGCATTAGGGTATATTATACCGAAGGCGGAATTGTATATGATGATCATGTTTTTGATTGAAATTTATTAGATTGTTCATTTGATTTACTATAATGATTTTTTGATCTATTGTTACTGGGGTAGGTTAAGGTTGGCAATCATATTTTTATAGCTATCATCGTTATTTAGTCATTGTAATTTGAAATATATCTACTATTACACTATATACTGTCGAGCACGGATCAGTGCCGATGGCAGTTTTGGTAACATTAAGCATTTCTTTGAATATTATGGAGCTCGTTCCTGACAATTTTATGTTCAATATAATCAACATATACGCCATTTTTAATGATTTAAATATTGCTGCAAAGTTTCAAAGGAAGGGCAGACTCAACCAAAGCCACGGACCTTCAAAACTTCGATATATATCACAAAATAGTGACTTTATATGGATCAAAAACTTAATAAATAAGACAAAGTGATACTGAAAAAATTTGTCATATCACTTTATTCTGACGGGAAGAACCAGACAGTTCAAGGAAGAATAAATGTAACGTGTTATAGGAGTCTGATGTGGTATTAATTAATAAACATGTCGTGAATTCATTTCTTTTATACAGAAAATATTAAGTGCATCAAATGAAAAGAGTAACATTCTATATCAAGTTGCATATTCTCAAATATGTTTTGCATGATTCACCATCGGTTAATATGATGCGAGGATTATTTAAACAGGCACTGGAGATTTAAGCAGTCCTCGCACACGGTGTAAAAAGCATAGATTGCCGGTCTTTTTCTTTCTCACCTTTTTTTTTTGTCAAAATGGAAGATCCTGTTAAACAAGACTTGAATGCATTGATCAAAAAATATGACGAGTTCATTGCTCATACGTTAAAGCCTTCTTTAAAGCAAGAACTAGACGAGCGAGACTTAATTTTTAACAGCATTTCGGAATAGTAAGACGGGAGCCCTCCCGAATGGCATGAAACTGTCACTAATTCTTTTTGTAGTCAAAAGTTAAACCTGCAAATTGAAACAATTGAAGAAAACGACTTGAAAGAATTGAAAACCATGGTAGATCTGGGCTCTCAATTCTATGTTCAAGCACACATGTAAAGAAATGCACAGAGACAAAAAAAAAAAAAAAAGAGACGTGTGATACTAAAAGTTCCTCTTCAAAAAAATAAAAAAAATAGACCCGATACCAGATACATCTATGTGAATGTAGGATTTGGTTTTCACGTACAGTTTACATTGGATGAAGCAAAGGAATACATTGTTAAAAAGGAGGCACACTTACAAAGGTAATGAGCTCAAAGTAGAATGTGATCGCTTGGATTATACTTATCAATTCCATTAGATTGGCTGATAAGCATACGGTGGAGGCTGACAAAATTAGAGCACATATTAAGATGGTAGCGATCAATTACTCGAGTAACATGAAAAAGACATTAACACCTTTATTTATAGGCGTTAGAAGCCATGTCTGAAATAATAATGAGTAGATAGAAGCAACACATACATCACACTTTGGAACCACGCTGATTATCGCTTGGATAGTTTCCACAAAATAAGCAAGTCCAGCTATTTTTTATCTTTTTTCTTTTTTCTTCGAGAATAAATTCTTTATAAATTAAACGGGGAAATGGACGCATTTTTGGATAAAGTGGAAGTTGTACTTGATTACGGTAACAAAGCGTACAAGAAGGTAGAGCCAGCAGTACAAGTCGTTTCACCTTATCTCGATTCGTTTTCGAATGAGATGCAACCCATCCTTAATCGACCTGTCGACTGGATCCTCTTTCTCTACTTTCTGACACACATTCCTATTACAATCTTTTTCGATCTTCAATGTCTTTACCCTAAATCAATTATCCCCACATTCCTTGCACAGCTGAACGGCACTTATATGGCACTTACCAACGACCCCTTTATGGATACGAACAGACCTACCATGTATTGGTTCAAGAGCTTTGCCTTATGTGAAGCTTTTTTGCAACTTCCCTTCTTCTTCTTTGCTACCTATGGTGTATTTAAAGGTATGTTAGACTAAGAGTGACTATTTACAAAAAAATAACTAAATACATCCATTATAGATAAATCGTGGGTTCGTTTGCCTCTTGTCAGTAAGTTATAATGATTAAACGTCAAAAAGAAAACGGGACTAAACGTTTTATGCTAGTCTATGGTGCTCATGTAATGACAACCGTATTACCTTGTCTTGCAGAGATAATTTTCAATCAGGAACTCTACGGCATTGATGATTTCCAGCGTAAGGTCATCTTATTTCTTTACACACCTTACTTCCTTATTCCTCTGATTGGTCTTGCGGATGCCTCTATTCGTATTACCAAAAGACTTGCATTCATTGATGCTCACTTAGCCATCAAGAAAGACACCTGAATAGATTAAAATTTGTACAAATAAAGAAAAAGAGTATAATTTATAAGGGCCACGAGTAATCAGGGTAATCGACTATGCTACTCCTGCTCGCATCATCATCCATATACATCTGCGTGATGCGGATTATATGCTACAAATTAGTTGCGCTAAGGGACTGACCGACAAATTTAGGTAATAAAGATTTTTCTTAATAAACAACATTGATGTGGTATAAATCTCTAGTAGATCTCATAATTCTTATTCTGAAGGAAAGGGCCACTCTTTCTAAAAGAATCAATGATAATCTTTACTGTCGTGTTTAATATAATGACAGGATTTTAAGATTTGGACTGATATGTGCGCGCGGTGACCAAAAAAAAAGCACGTCATAAGGTTTTTTAGGCCGACCCTGGGGGGCCTTATATAAAATTTCATTTTGGGGAAAAAAGACACCTACACCCACACTTTTTCTTTTATTTTTGTTTGCTGAAAGTAACAGCATGTATAAGGAATGGTACTTCGTTCCTGTCTATGCTATAAAAAATGTCCAGCTTTCGTCTCTCACCGCATTATACAACAGCCAAGAGCTATTTTAACTGCTAAAACTCAATACCCTGTTACACTTTATTCTCGCCAACCCCAGCAGCGAATGTTTATTACGACACCCATTAGAACGACCAAACCATCAGCACCATTAGCACCTCCACCATCACTACAAAAACCAATAACTAATACCTTAGACGACACGCTTCGAAGGGCTTTGAACAACGAGTTAACCAAAAAACAAACGAAATCCTTTTACCAACAATTAGCAACATCAAAGGATACTTATCGTCTCATTTCACCATACCTGGAGGGATATGACAGTGTTCGTAAAGCGCTTTTGGAGGCTTCTGGGTACTGGTCGGTGAAGAAGATCCAGGAGATCATGAGCTTGTGCGACGTCCAACATGTCAAATGGAGATTGGATTTATTAGGCCAATTATTATCTGCCTACGTATTCAATCGAAAATTAGACACCCTACTGGTAACTTTACCTACCTCTGGTTCACTTACAAGTATCTTGCCATTTTACAACGCAGTTATCAGTAAATGTGCGAAACAAAAGGAATACGAGCATGTACAACAAGTGTTAGACTTAATGAAACAGAGATCGGTTGGACCTGATATAGCTACGTTCAATATTTTGACACGTATGAAAATATCCAAGGAGCCTTTGACACCGGAGCAAACATTGGATATTTATAAAGACATGGTTTCGCTCGGTATCCAGCCTAACCAAGCGACATTTAATACGTTTCTCAAGAACGCCTGTAATCGTCAACATTGGGATAGTTTAAAGAATTGGCTCGATTTAATGGAAAAAGACGGCGTAGAAGCTAATCCTATCACCTCACGCATCCTTTTTAAAAGCTATGTCGAATTCCCCTCCAATGTGCAGATAAGTGAAGCTTTTGACCGTGTCTCGAAAGCCGTACCCATTAATGGAAGAGAACGATTTTTGAATACGGGTGTGACGAGCTTGTTAAAGATAAAGGAAACAGGAGCGGCCATGGATCTACTAGACAAGGCATTTGCTTTAGAAGAGCCAGTTTCAGTGTACACGTACAATTTACTGATGCAAACGTTATGCATGGATGGCAAATTCGAGACTGCACACGGTGTATTGGATTCGATGATACAAGACAAAGACAACATACCCCAACCTGATATTGTAAGTTTTACTACGGTCATGCAGGGTCTTGTTCGAAGTAGTCAGCACACGGAACTCGGCCAGTTGAATCGACTTTATCAAAAATTATTGGATCAAGGATTACGTACCAACCATGTCTTGGATTCAGTTGTCTTGTACGGTCTTGTTCGATCAGATGGCAACAAGAATCTCGTTAAAGTAAAGAGCATGTTTGACATGATCATGGCGAATCGACAATCTGATAAGTTACCACGACAACGTACAGATACGAGACTAGACGAGATCAGGATTTATAATATGATGATGGATTTTTACTTTTTACATTATCACCACTCAGACACACATCGACATCAGACACCCACCGAACCATTTGCTTTATTGCGCGACGCAGTTGAACACAAAAAGCTGAAGCCGACTGTAACCACTTTGAATATATTGGTGAGGGGATTAGCGATACTAAACAAGGATCTGAATGGAGCGGAAAATATGGTGACGATCTTAAAAGAAAAGGGTGTAGAGATGGATGAAAAGACAGTGTGGTATTTGACTAAAACTGCTTATGATCAAGGACAGATGGCTCGAGCTCGACAATGGATCGAAACCTATGAGTTGAATAGTCACCAACCGATAAAAGGGTCCGGTTTGATTCATTTAAAATCAATCTTGACCAAATGGGACAAGAAAGAAGCATAGAAAAAAATTATCATCTAGATCGCTCACAATACTCGACACACACCCACAACACATAAAACACAACTGTACATTCCCCCCCCCCCCTTCTCTTTCCTCCGCACCCGCGACACACACACACACACGCCTTACAATAAAGCATAGAAAGAACTCCCCCACTTGTATTTTTATTTATATGGTCTTCTAACTTTTACTTCTGTACTTTGAGAACTTGCATACTTTGCTTTTCTTTGTTCCTGTATTTCTTCTATTGTACATTCACGAATCTTATTAATAATAAAAATTAAACATTAATACCTTTTTCAAAATACTGCACGCTCTAGATCCTTCTTACCTTTTGTGTCTCTCTTAAAAATTTGTATGGAATCACGCCTAATGTACCATCATATCGGTTCTTTTTGATATCTAATGAACGTGAATCTATTTTACCATGCGATTTTTGGATGATGACCACATTATCTGCTTCCTGTGTCACTTTAGCGCTGCCAAAAATCGAGTTGATATCCAGCTCTTCACCCATGTCCTTTCTAGGATGCACCACCAAAGTGATGTGCACATCTTGCTCCGTAGCAAATTGTCGGATCTCGGCAATGGCGTTGTCTTGAAGGTCCCATTTATCCAGACTTGATCTACCTTGTTGTGATAACATGAATTGAAGATTGTCAAGTACAATGTGGCGAACATCGTAAGCATATACTGCGTGATGACATGCTTTTAGCACATCCTTGATTGCTGTACTACTAAAAAACTTTAAAAAATACAGTGGGAGCTATAAAACAAACAAACAATAAAGTTAATCATTGTAAACCATAATTTATGTCTAATGTCTATTACCTCTTGGAACCTATCTGCAATCTCTTCAAACTCTGAGGGCACAAGACTGATATCTTTTCCAGCAAATTGGAACAGCATTTTCTTAGCTAGTCTCTTGTTCAAAATCTCAAAGGATCCCCAAAGTGTAGGCACACCTGACTGGCAGTAATCCAAACTCAATTGACTGATAATTGTGGTTTTACCAGCACCGGTGGGACCAGTTAAGATGGTCAATTCACCCGGACGATGACCCTTCATAATTTTGTTTAATGCAGGTAAATCCGACGATTGTACACCACGCGATTGATCGGGGTGAATAATTTCGTTATAGACTTCCTCACGCAAATCACGGAAATCCACAATTTGATCATGCTTAATTCTTCGAGCGGACGCCACAATCTGGAGCATATCTTTCTTTGCCTGCAGTGCATCATAGGCATTGATAGGGCCCATTTTGTCGCCTAAACGAGTGTTGACAATCAAACATTTGGAATCTCCAATCTTGTGAGCGAATCTTTCGGAAGCTAACTGTCCATCCATATCATCATCCATCCAGATATAGACACGTGTGAAGCGTTGTAACAAAGGTAAAACGGACTCTTGAAGCTGATAATTTGAGGTAGGTATGGCAACGGAAGGAATACCTGTGGCTTGATAGGCAGCCATTGCATCCATTTCACGTCGTGTCAAGATCAGTGTGTCTGAATCCGCACAAGCAGTTTGATAGCCAAATAAACCTGCTGAAGATTCTTTACTGTGCAATGGTGGGTCATGTTGGATGATGTGTGTAGGGTCATCTAATTCACATACTTTTAACCGAACCGTATCCAATTTAAAAGATTCTTTTTCCAAGTCATAAGTCAAGTCAGTTTGAGGAAATGTCAAGCAGGATACGCCATCGACATCTGTTATCCCTACTTTATACAATTCCCAAGTACTCTTGTCCATGCCATGTTTCAGTTCCAAATGCTCTAATTTATCAGTGTCTTCGGCAAGGGCTTGAGGGTAACGATTGATTTCTTCCATCGGTCTCGAAAACTGAGCATACTTTGTGCCTGTATGTAACATATCGGATGTGGATAAGATGGGATACTCCTCTGGCTGTGACACTTTCTTTAATAGATTTCTGGAGAACTCTTGAAAGGTGCCCTTAGATTTACAGGTGGTACATTTATAAGTACCCTTTTGAATATTGAGGTACGCAGCAAAACTATTTTTGCGGATATTGATACAATGAGGGCAATTGGTCAGAACGATGTTGCTTTCGGTTGTGGGTACAGGTCGTTGCTTATGTGTGTAGAGAAACTTCATAACGTCGGATTGCAGTCCTGTCGATTCCTTAGTCTGTGTACTCATGTGAGCTTTAAATGCATAAGGTAGGACCAAAGGTTGTAAGAGGGTATATTTGGGTCGAATCGCCTTAATGAGAGAAGGAAAGCTTTTGTTAATTAACTTTGACATTTTGTTTATTAATTGAAAAGAATAAAGAAAGTGTTTTCAAGTTTTACAAGAAGGGGTGTTTGCAATAAAAAAAAGTAGAAGTGACGGTCAAAAAAAAAAAAAAATTGACAGGTCCCGGGACGCGAACTCAATTATTAAAAGTCGCGTAAAATCATTGACATTTCATCCAATCGACCTTTTGAGACTTCAATTCTTTCAATCACTTTCTCCATCTTGGCCAATTCTGCTTTGTCAATTTCACCTAATAGTTCTATATTTGCAATGACATCTTCTCGACTCAATTTATCGATTAAACGTTTACGTCTCAAGAGCTCTTCGGTTTTGCGTTGTTGTAGGTTGGCAGTGGTGCGATACACATCTACCAGTAACTCTTGAAAGCATTTTTCAAGGGGTACATACCATAAATGAAATGAACGCCCAGGTGCACGATCTGTTGAACGTGGCACTTCTTGAATCTCTACTAGTCCCGATAAGAGCAACGTATCCAATTTTTGACGCACATCTTTGGGTGGTAGCATGGCATATTTTTGAATTTGTGATTCGTCTAGCTTACCTTTATCATTAAGGATACGAACAATACGGCAACATGCAACACCGAATTTATCCGTTACTAGACCTTCCAATAGTTCCTTCTTCATGGCTTGCCTTAATCGAGCAAAATTTACAGAGAATTGGTTACTTCCGAGTTCATCACGTCGTTTTATAAAGCCTGATGGATCGGTTCGAAGTAAATCTACGTAGCCTTGTACAACCTCGTTTACGGATGGTTTTTCTTTTTTGTCCATGGGATTTGTTGGAAGAACAATATCACCGCGTGTAAACACATCGGGTTCCAACATGTTTGCGATGTGTGTAACTGTAGCAGCGGCTATAACAAGTTTAGCTTATTGAAAATCAAGTCCTGTAAAGGTTTAACTTACGAGATGTGTCTTCCTTGACAGCCTTCATTTTTTCTTTTCCACTTCGGAAGAAGGTCTTCATTACAATACCTGCCGTTCGGTTAATTCGACTAGTAGCAAAATCAGCAACCATCTAAGGGTAAAACAATGTTAAAATTAAATGGTATCTTGTGGATGACCTTTAGAAGAAAACTTGCATGATTCCGGAAGTATAAATTATATTTCTCATAATTTAAAGTGAAAAAAACTTCTGGGTCAACATCGAATGCCAATTCTGTACTTCGCTACGAGTGAATATATGTATTGAGTAATTTTCAAATACTTTTATGTGCTGGCCTAAACTTACTTTAGGCTCTTCGTTTTCGAGCATATATCCTTCATTTTGCATACGCTGAGATAAAACGGTGATTAAGTTTCACTTTGCTTTACAATAACTCCTCTTTTTTTTACCTTGGCCTCGCTTTGTAAATCATCTACAGCTTTTCTTTTCTACATAAAACCTTGTATGAGTCACGCTATCGAACAATAATTGAGAGATCTTACCATGCCAATATGCTCGATATTTTTAAAGATGGCATTTACGGTTGCTTGAGCAGCAGATTTAATGGTCCTGATTTCTTGCGCAGAAGAAACAATGGTATATTTTTCCAACTCCTTTTCTTCGGCGTCCAGAAAGCGGTCGTACACGGAACGACTGTGCTGAGGTAATACGGCTGTGACAAATTGTTCGATTGCCATCTTCGTGAACGTTCTGGTATATGCCGCCTCTATGCATATTATGAGTAACTGTTATATTATATATAAAAAGGAAGTATTACCATCTTTTTCCTTTTCTGCTGCCCATTTTGCGACTTGACTTAATTTGACTCTTCCATTCAGAAACAATAACTGACAGATAGACGATCCCTGGTTCTATATTTCAGATAATGTGTTGCTTAAAGGAGTAGCTACACTTACTGATTTTCCGTAATGCTCTTCTGTCACTCTCATAATACGTGCCATGCGTAGCCTCATCAAGACCTTATTGGTGTCAATTTCGTAAAAGGTTGCTTCCTTTTTATCATCTGTTCCCTCATTGAAATATACAATGCCGTGGTGAATTAACGTCACAAGTGTTTCTCTTATACACTTTAAGCTATAACCACTAAAACGTGTAAGGTCGGGTATCGTTAAACGACCTTTGGTGATAAGTAAGTAGCCAATTCGCTATTTTCAAATTCAATTAGTTTTTTCTTTGTTTGTACTGTTGGCTCGGATTCTTTGTTAGACGTACAGCTGTGTAAATACCAAAATCTTCAAGTAGAATTCTTTTACAAAGACGTGCCTCAGTAGACATGGCGAAAGGTTAGAGGAAGAACGAATGGAGACAAAAGTTTCGCGAAATGGAAATTAAGGGGAAGGGGGTAGGAGTATCAATCGGAGATACATGTATGATTTGTACAATGCAACCACTCGAACGTCTCTCGAATTCACCATTGTGTGTGGTAATAATTTTTGCTGTTGTATTAACAATATCTATCGAATCCACATAGAATAATGTTCACTCTTCGCTATTTATAGACTTATTAGGGTTTCTGAGTAGTGAATAATAATTTTAAAAGACAACTAGAACTATCATTGTATTAAAATAACGCTTTATTGGATTATACGAAATTATGCACAGCATCAATTTCGATTGCAAGTAATGTAAATTAAGCGTTGGTAGTTGGGAGTCTGTCATCACTGGTCGGGCAGTATAACTAATAAAAACGCGGTGTTTAACAACTAATCATATGAAACTTGGGAAGGCAAGGTACTTACATCAAGATTCTCTTCGAAGGAGATTACTGGAGGCTTAAGACTTTTTGTCTTGAACAATTGATTCCAAAAAGTCTACAAAAGTCAAGTTAGTAGCAGTTTTTATATAAAGTATAATTATTATTATACCTTTGCAAACCATTGATGGCCTTTTTTGCTAGGATGGAAACAATCTACATTGCTAAGAGCATTGATAGGGAAGGATCCGAGATCAATTGGTGCGGGACTATACATGACTGCAAATGTGGCTCCAGCAACACCTTTATATTTGTTAGCGAGTGCAGCTAATTTGGCATTATAAGCGTCCGAAAGATTATCCATCTTTGTCAAGTCAGCAGCAGATCCGGAGCATGAGCATTCCTTAGAGTTTTCTAGAATTCCGTTCTTGATACAATAATCTGCGTTGTTTGCAGACAATGGGAAAACTCCAGATACTTTGAATGTACCAACTACATACAAGGATGAGTATTTTTGGGAAAAAAAGTATGCATGTTAACTTACGTAAGTTGATTACAACTTTAGGAATTTCAGCTTTGATACGAAGAATAGCATCTTCGACATATTTTCCATATGCGTCAGCAGTTGTGTAAGATTGCATATCTGGGTTACAGCTAGCACATTGGTCATTACCTAATTGGCGTCAAGTTAATCAAATGGTCAGGAAAGGTTTATTTATCTAGTGCTCCTTACTTCCGATCTGAATAGTAACCATCTTCCAATCATTTTTATAACTGGTGGAGAGAATATATGCCTTCATACCTGTTTTGGTGATGGATGTTCAGAATATTTGTACATAATATCCCACTTTCTTCTATTATGTTTACTTACGAGGAATAAGATAATCAAGCTCATAATCCAAGTTCATGGCAGTGGCACCACTTTGCCCAGCATTCAAGTTATCTTTCAGGGGGCGATCTATGAATATATGTAATTAATAGAATGTTTTAAATTTAATAGAGTCATACAAGACTTACATAAACTGAGTGGTGCTTTACAGTTGTTTCCACCACAATAAGAGACAATATGCGAAAGAACAGAAGCTCCTTTGACGTTAGGATTGTACTTTTTGACAAAGTTTGCAAGTGTAATAGCACCTGTATCTCCACCAATGGCATAACTATTACCACGGTATTCGGAAATCAAACTCAAATTAAGAATACCGCTTCCTTCATAATCAAGACCGTTCATGGCAAACCCGGCCATAATACTATACAGGCACAATCATTAGATATTCTATTTTTTTAAAGACACAGCTGGTTTTATTATTTTACCTGTCACCTAATGCACCAATAATATTAATGTCATCAATACGAAGATCAGTGACATCTTTTGCGGGGGTTGCACGAGCTGGGAGAGCAGGACAATTGGCAATGTTTGCAACATTGACTGCAAGTACACCCGCAATTGAGATAGAGATAGCAATAATTGATTTAACAGATACCATTTATAAAAAGTACTGTTTCAATGTTTGACAGAAATAAAAATGGCGACAGAGGAAAGTGTTTAATGTGCTTCTTTATATACTGTTCCTTCAAGTCTGTTACACTTATCGAACACATTATTCAATATGATTTTACAAATCGTATTTCCATAATAAAAAATGCGTAAATACGTGAGTAATATTTAATATCAATTTTAAAAGATAGAATAAGTAAATTCATGCTAATCAGGGAACTCTTGGTATTTCTTGTATATTGGACACAGTTTACTTGTGCTCCATACTGACACTTTCCTTAAAAGCGTCACTATATCCCATAGAATAAAGTAATATCAAATAGTCTAATTAAGAATATGTGTACTTTCCGAGCTAATAATTAAAGCAACAATTTGAGGTTTCTTTATCTAATCTGATGGAAATAAAAGTGTTTCTTCAAGCCTTAGTAAAATAAGCAGGTAAACACATTTGGTATCAACATTTCATACCTTTGCTTACTTTTTTTTTCTTTTTTTAGAAGTGCTTCTCAATGAACTACTTGTAGCATGTCTCAGAGTACAGACACGCCCTTGCCGCATTGAACACTTAACAGGCAGCTATATTTCCACGAAACACATGACTAGACCTTTAATTAAAGTACTCACATATATACACACTATTATGCAAGGTGTTCCTCTTTTGTAATAACCCGGGTGTCTGGGCCCTAGTATATTCAGAAATAATTTATACACTTTCTCGATTGCGACCTTATTAAAACATTTTTAAGGCGTCATTTAAAAAGGATAATAATTTTGAAAGTTAGTACTGGAGATCTTTGCATAAAAACAAGTAAGCAATGTGTATCATCTAAGTTCGTGTAGCATTGAAATTATTTCACACTTTCTTTTAACAGGATTTGGATTTTGGCTGATGACCTGGTGCAAAAGTTGGTGCCAGTATACTAGTCCTTTACAAGAGTTACTTTCCAATTATATGTTTATGTGTATACAAAGGTCTTGTTTATATAATGACTATTTCATAGAACCTATCACGTTGATATTGCTAAAGAATATAGTAAATAATTCTGTCCCCTGTATTTGAGTAACGTCGAATATACGAAAATAAATGCCATGACAAAAGCACCTATACAAAGTGTGGACATTCAGAAGAAACCGTATGGGTTATATCGGCTTTTAATTTCCCGGGTCAAATGACAGGTAATTTTATTCCCAAGAACCAGAGAATCAGTTATATCTCTCCTGTGTGACCTTAAGTAAACTGAACATTCTGGATTATATCAGGCCAGTTAGGGGAGATTAAGGATTATTTTTATTTAGGCTCTATAGGGAGTCGAGTATAGAAAAAAAAAAGTTGTATATTTATAACCTTTTTTTTTTGATAAAAAAAGTTGTATTAATTTAACGTTACCATGTCGAAAATTTTAGGTTCTCTTTAGAGAGGGTGTACAGATCGATCACATCTTTCAATGTACCTCTCTCATTTTGTTCACAAGATCATATTTTAATACATTTGTGCACCGCTTATAATACTAAGCTCGTAGACGTAATTTGTGTCCAGGTATTACCATGGAACGATCAGTCACACACTATTCGCTCGACACAAGAAAAAAGCTGTATAATCAATAACCCACGCTTTTTAAGTATAATTTGTTCGTAACAACATTTGACCCGTTGTAACAGATGGCTGTTGGTTACGGTATCAATACATCAGTATTCCTGTTTAATTGTGAATAATTAAAGGCCACGATGTAAAACTTTTTTATGAGCATAAATACTTAGTGTTAAATAATAATTAATAAAGTAATCGAGAAGGTGCTTTTAGAAAATACAAGCTTTTATCAAATTCTGTAGCGTGTTCGATATTTAACAACTTCAGTATAAGATTAAATTGAAATTAGATCAAATGCTTTATTAGAAAACGTATTAAATATCACTATATGCATAAGCAAAGATCGAGTAAACGTGTTTAAATTAGATTATTCGTTTTTGGTAGGGAGTCTGTCACTTTCAGTTGGGCAATAGATCTATTAATAATTTAAGTTAAACACCACTGGAATGTAAATAAGATTTTATAATACTAACATCGGCATCAGTTTCCCATGTGTAAAGCTTGGGCTTCTCACTTCTAGTAGTAAATAATTGATTCCAGAAAGACTACATATGGACCTGTTAATTTACGTTTTTTTTTTTTTTTTTTTTTTTTTTTTTTTCAATTTGCAAACGGATATTTGTGTTTTACCTTGGCAAAATAACTATGTCCTTTTTGACTGGGATGGAAACAGTCAACATTACTGAATGCTGTAATGGGAAAGGACTCAATGTCGACTGATGCGGGGGTATACATAACACCAAAAGTAGCATTGGGAACACCCTTGTACTTTTCAGCAATATCGCTCAACTTTTCAGCATATCCTTCTTGGACACGATCCATAGCTTCCAACTTTTCTGAGGATCCAGAACATACACACTCTTTCTCGTTGTCCAAGATACCGTTCTTAACACAGTAGTCAGTATTTTTACCAGACAATGGGAATACACCAGATACTTTGAATGAGCCCACTATACAAAATGAATGTTAAGGTCCATAAGAGCTTTAATTACCATTTGTTTTATAAATTTCTTACTTAAATTAACTACAACTTTTGGAATTTCTTTCTTGATACGAATAAGGGCTTCTTCAACATATCTGCCAAAAGCCTCTGGAGTTGTGTGCTCGGCTAAGAAAGGATCACAGATACTACACTGGTCATTACCTAACAAAAAAGACCATTAAAAAATAGCATTCCTTTTTTTTTTGAGTACAACGTCCGAGTCCACTTACTTCCGATCTGGAGATTAATCATTTTCCAATCATTCTCGTAACTTTCAGGTGTAAGCTCGAGCTTCATGCCTTTTTTTTTTAGAACATTTAATACTACAATATCTCAAAGAACTCTCTGCGAAATACACTTACGAGGAATGAGGTATTCGAGCTCATAATCTAAATTCATAGCAACGGCACCACTTTGAGCAGCATTCAAACTATCTCTCAAAGGATAATCTACAAACATGCTCAGTAATTATTGATATACAATGTAGAATGTTTGAACTTACAAAGCGAAATGGGCAATGTACATAACGGACCTCTACACACAGATGCAAATCGAGATTCTGACGAAGAACCCTTCAAATCAGGATTGTAATTCTTCACAAAATTGGCCAAAGTAAAAGCCCCTTCATCACTACCCATAGCATAACTTTTACCGCGATATTCCATAACAGTAGATGTGTTAAATACACCAGTACCATCTTCATGGTTAACGCCGTTCATAACAAAACCAGCCATGATACTATAAAAATAAAGTTAGACAAATTACATTCGTCAATTTTAAAGATAAGATCATTTTTTTACCTGTCACCTAAACCAGCAATCACGCTGATATCATCGATACGAAGATCAGTAACATCTTTGGCGGGATTTTTACGGGCTTTAAGTGCAGGACATTTGGCAATTTCAGTCACATTTAATGCCATAACACTGGCTACCGAGAGAGAGATTGCAATTAGAGACCGAACGAAGACCATTTAGATGGGTAAGATTGTGAGTATATAATAATGTATTCTAACGAAAAAGTTTATTTCATTTATATATGAAAAAAAAAAAAAAAAAAAAAAACTATTCCAACAAACACATCGCCAGTAAAATACATTTTTAGAATAGCTGAATTTCTGTTTGTTTGAAAACAGACATTCTCAATTCACAATTCCAACGCTATTTATTGATACTATTTAGGCGCATTTCAGGGACAAAAAATTGCTCGAACCATGAGTTTTCTGTATGTTTTGGTGTTATAAAGGATAATTTGACATATAACAGTATTGGTGTGAAAACATAACTATTGATTCCATTTTTTTTTTTTTTTTTTTTTTTTTTTTTGGATGTGAATCTGCTAAAGAAATTGTACACATTATATGTGGCCTGGTTAGCAGTCATCAAATAAATTTTGCTAGCTATCACAAAACCAGCAAAAATAAATAAACAAATGCAAGGGACATTGCTGATTGTTTAGCAAACATGTAATTTTTATATCCAAGTTTTTAAAGTTTCTGGAGTTCTTTTAAGTTTTTTAAGATTATTTAAGCTTCTTTTGTTGCCACCTTTAATACAGTTACTATATGTTTATCCATTTGATAGGTAGCCCCTCTGGAAACACAAAAAATTAAATCTTATTCAAAAGATTTGTTTACATAATATAAAGCAAATACATTGTCATTTAGTCGTGCATCAATCATTGGGTATGGCGAACATGACGCATTGCTTAATGTGATATTCCCAGTGCCTAAAATTTATTTCCCTCATTCTATTTATGATTGACCTCTTCTCAGTGTAAAATTCTACCGAGGTGGCATTCCTATCAATTATGGAATGTACTTTAAGTTTGCCAAATAGACTTTTGTGGTATATTCTATTAGGATTCTTTTAAAAATCATTGAATTTACAAGGAAGATATGCAGGTATTGTTCATAGATATGGTGTGTAACCTGCAACCTATACAAAACACTAAACTGCGATTTGATTATTACGTAATCGAAAAATCTTGGTCTACCCACTAAAAGTAAGGCATCGCTTGCGCCAAAGAGGTAAATGTGACTTCGGATCACTACTCTAATATAGCTACATGTAGCTACCTACCAAAGTATATGCCAGATATATATTATATTACATTTATATTGCAACGTCTACTTAATAATAAAAACTAAGATAAAAATTGACAGAACCTTTTCAAACTGCTCACGTATCACCAGTCAGTTAAAAGAGCGAGACGGCATAGTGGCACTCCTGCACCAAATCTTTTTTATTTTTTGTATCTTTTTATCTGTTTTATAGAGCCGAAATCTTTAATGGCAACTGTCGTAGAAATCATATTCTTAGGAACGGGTACTTCCAGTTCAGTTCCCACTATTGCATGTCTTACAAATCCCGAGAAGTCCTGCCCAGTATGTTTATCCACCCAAACGCCTGAGGGAATAAAAAATAACAGAAGAAATACATCCATGGTGGTTCGTTATCGTAAACATGACGATCCCGTCGGATTCAGACTAAGGTACATTGAGCCCAGATTAAAAAAATAACGTAACTGACATGATGTCTATAGAAATGTTCTTATAGATTGTGGAAAAACCTTTTATAGTAAGTCTAATTTTAAGTCACGGCGAGGTCGAAACTAAAATAAACCATGTAGCAAGTGCTGTGGAAATCCTCCCTCGTTATGGTGTTCGTGAGCTAGACGGTGTTATCATTACTCATGGCCATGCCGATGCTTGTTATGGTATGGACGACTTACGAGGATGGACCTTAGGTGGTGCAATCCAACAACGTATCAATGTTTATTTAGCTCCAGAAACAATGGAAGTTGTTGCAAGAACATTCCCCTTCTTGGTGGATTCATCGTTGGCAACTGGTAAAATAAGGCTTTAATAAGTATATTTGTAAAGAGAAATCTAACAAATCTGAATAGGTGGCGGAGAGGTAGCGGATTTTAAGTACCATGTCTTTGATCCCAAGAAAGATTTTACAATTGAAGGCCTTGATTTCACACCTTTAGCCGGTAAATACTAACAAACGAATTTTAATTGGATCTAATAAAGCCTTCATTCTATTGTAGTGCACCATGGTATATACATGACGACCAAAGAGCCTTATATTTGTTACGGATTCAAATTTGATGGCGTCAGCTATATATCTGACACCAATTTTATTCCTGCCGACACAATGCAACTCATTCAGGGCAAGTCAAGAATTTTTGTTGTGGACTGTTTAAGATGTAAGTAGCATGGAAAAATGGATGGCTAAGAAATCAAGAAATATTAATCGGTTATACCAGTAACTGTCCCTCACGCCTCACATTTCGATTTGGGGCAATCCAATGATGCAGCAAGACAAGTGAAAGCAGCTAAAACATATTACGTCGGTTTTGCTCACCGCGTTGATCATTACGAACTTGAAAAATCTCTTAAAGAACTGGAGACATTAGAAGGATTGAAGGTTGCTCCTGCTTACGATGGTTTAAGAGTTTCATTAGAGAAAAAAGGGGAACTTGTGGAATCTTCCTATCTTGAGCCCGCCCTGATCGTTGTCAAGGAATAACGTGATAATAAAACTTAGACTTTTCTTTGGGGCACATGAAGAACGAACACCCCCAGTAATCAATGATAGACACGATTATATCTTGGCTCGTTGAAGCTTCTGTAGTGCCTCATTTGCAAATATATTGTCTCGTAATATAAATTGTGACCTTGTTTCCCCACGTACCAAAAGCGCGGTTATTGTCCCTTTTGAGTTTAACAGCACTCTTTTTGTTTGGAAACGTAAAGATTCTAATAAAAATGCTACCACGCGAGGGTTTGCTGGTGATCGGTGTGATATTTCACATCGTTTATCTTTTCAGTATATTCGACATTTACTTCACATCACCCCTCGTTCATGGCATGAAACCTCACAAGAGTCCATTGGCTGCACCTGCCGATAGACTAGTGTTATTTGTTGGTAGACGCTACATGTTTGGACACCACTTGTAAATAAGACTAAATCTCGATTGTTTTAGGTGATGGATTGAGAGCAGATAAAATATTCGAATTAGATGAATTTGGAAAGACAAGGGCACCATTTTTACGCAACGTGATTAATTCGCATGGCAGTTGGGGTGTATCTCATACTCGTGTACCAACTGAATCCAGACCCGGACATGTCGCCATTATCGCTGGCTTCTATGAAGATGTCAGTGCAGTTACAACAGGTAATAGTTTCACATAACCATTATTTTGGGAAGTATAAGTTTGAATGTTTGTGTTACACGTTAGGCTGGTCCATGAATCCTGTCAATTTCGATTCTGTTTTTAATCAATCCGAGCATACTTGGTCATTTGGATCCCCCGATATTTTACCAATGTTCCAACACGGTGCAAGTGATCCAAGCAGAGTTGAGACTTTTATGTATCCACCCGAGTATGAGGATTTTTCTGGAGGTAAAGAAATATATGATAGGACGATAGAAAAGGAAACTTAAACCCAATGTAGAGGCATCAAAGTTGGACATTTGGGTGTTTGATCATGTCAAAGACTTATTCAAAAATGCTACTACTGATCCAGTATTGTACAGAAAATTACACGAAAAGAAAATTGTCTTTTTCCTTCATCTTTTAGGACTGGATACAAACGGTCACGGATTTAGACCAATGTCAGAGGAATATTTAAACAACATCAAATTGGTAGACGAAGGTGTTAAGGAGATGGTTGCTTTAATCGAGGATTTTTATCAAAATGATGGGCGTACCAGTTATATTTTTACTGCAGATCATGGTATGAACAACAGAGGTGGGCATGGAGACGGACATCCTGATTGCACACGTACACCCATCATTGCTTGGGGTGCTGGTGTTCGTGAGCCTATTAAATCTGGTCTTGGACACGATGATTTCTCAGCTCCTTGGGGATTATCTGAACAACAGCGTGATGATATTCGTCAAGCTGATATCGCTCCATTAATGGCCCATTTAGTCGGTATCAACCTTCCTGTTAATTCGGTGGGTGAGCTCCCCTTGAACTATTTAAAGGCTGATGAAAAAAGTAAGGCTGAGGCTGCATTTTCCAATGCGCGTCAAATTTTAGAGCAATACGTGGTCAAGCATAGTAAGTAAAGAAATAAGTGCTAAAGGATAAGGACTGAAAAAATACGATTGTAGATGAAAAGAAGAGAGATGAATTATTCTTCAGACCCTTCAATGGATTATCAGGAGCAAATCATCCTGACATAGTCTTAAGAGAAATCTTGAAATTGATTGACGAGGAGAAGTTTACACTTGCAGAACAAAGATCAAAAGAATTGATGGCGCTTTCGCTTGAAGGTCTTCGTTATTTTCAAACTTACGATTGGTTATTCTTAAGAAGCATCGTTACCGCAGGATATGTTGGCTGGTGTATCTTTTGTCTCCAATTCGTTATCCGTAATTTTGTTTTGTCTGCTCGTTCTCGCTCTCAAATTGAAATCTCTCGTTCGTCGGGTATCATCGTAAGTTTTATATATATATATATATATAAACTATGTCCAAACACATATCTAACTATTTTATTAGATTAATGTTTTATCTTTTGCGATACTCGGTGGTCTTTCAACTATGCTCTGGATTCAAAAAATGCCTAGTATGTATTATGCCTATGTCTTCTTCCCTGTCTTTTTTTGGAACCGTATCGTCCACAACTATCGCTCCTTAAAACAAGCCTTAAATTTGTGTCTTCGTGGAGGCGTTGGTAGATTTATGGTTATTCTTATATCTTCATTGTTGTTTTTGGAAGCACTTGTAAGCATGAAGATTCAACTTCTCTGTTTTTTGTTTTTGCTGATTTATTATGGCTGTAGGTGTGTAGTTTCTTTTACCGTGAAGTACTCAGCGTTATATTCTTGGTATTGGCTGCCTGGCCTATGATTATGCCTGCCAAGATCCACAGAAAGCACAAGTCTCTCTTAGTGGGTTGGACCATTTCCTGCATTTGCACCAGCGTATTTACATTATTGCCTGTTGAAAAAGGAGAGAACATTTCTATTGTGTAAGTATTACAGAGGGCCGGGCCAAATGCAAAATACTTAATATCTCTTCACTAGTGTTTGTGGTGGTATTATTGGTGTGATTGCTGGTGGCTTTGTTTTAAATAAGCTTGTGAAGGCGAATCGTGTTAGCAAGGGAATGGAAGCAATCATGTATACTCAACTGGCTGTTGTCATTGCTAGTGTAGGATTAGTCTACTCGACTTCATCTAGTCTCCAAAGACGTGATGGTCTTCCAGTATTTAACCAAATTGTTAGTTGGATTATTATCTGTAAGTACATTTACTCTTGTTTATATTCAACCTGATTTAACAATTTTTAATCTATAGCCGCTTCAAGTGTCTTCCCATTTATCTATCGTGGACCTTCAAACGAGAATTATTTGACAAGACTATTATCGATCTGCTTTGCTTTTGCCCCTCTCATGACATTACTGAGTATCTCTTACGAACTCCTGTTTTATGTATTCTTCTGCAGTACCGTATTGATGTGGCTCGAAGTCGAACGCAAGCTCTACAGCGATATACGTCAACCTGTTACTCGACCTCTCAAAGCAAGTGATGGACGTGCAGTATTGATATTTTTATTCTTTATCGATGTTGCCTTTTTTGGTACCGGTAATGTTGCATCTATGAGTAGTTTCTCTTTAGAGAGCGTATACAGATTCACTACCATCTTCGATCCTTTCTTAATGGGAACTCTTCTTATTCTCAAGGTCCTCATCCCCTTCTTTGTTGCTTCGTCTGTACTGGGTATTCTTAGTTCAAGTATTGACCTTCAACCTTTCACATTATTCCTAACTGTGATGAGTATCTGTGATATTCAAACGATCAACTTCTTTTTCTTTGTGACGGATTATGGAAGCTGGCTCGAAATCGGTACATCCATCAGCCATTTCTGTATCGCAGAACTTTTTATTATCTTTACAATGGTCCTGTTCCTTTTATCTAGACTTCTAGTTGGACATCTCGTTCTTCCTAAGATTAATAGAATTGTGGATCAGATGAGACCAAAACATGCTTAAAAAGCCGTTTCTTTAAAATTAATAATAAAGTATTGTATTCAGACGTTTATTGATGGTTGTGAAAACAATACTGGCCTAATAATGATGTTCACAGTCGACAGAATCTGCAATTTATCTTTTGAAATATGCAAGCCAGCTAGTCCACTTTATAAGGAAAAAGGCTGGTAACATTTGAATATTTTATATCGACCAATTTTTTTACTTTTTGTACATGTCGAATTCATTTAGCTTGTGCATTGCAGTTTCTTAGATCCAATTAGATAGAAAATATACCATGTTATCCATACCTCATTTTATTTAGGATTGGTACGCTCTCAAAAATAACAGAATTGTGGATAAATTAAGGTTACAAATAAAAACATGCTCAGCATTGAAATCCTTGTACTGTAATTAATGGTTTATTGATGATTGTGAATCAATGACGATAGCCTAATGCTATATACGGAATCAAACCCTAGTTTCAAATTCGTAGATAATCAACAATACGCCTTTTGTCAGACTCTTCGTCAAGCCATTCAATCCACTTTGTAAGAAATTGTCTGTCGATGGGAGAGGTAGATTTTGCATCACGACCTGAGAGAGTCCTGATATCACCTATGACAACTAAGTGTCGCTTCGCTCTAGTCATGGCAACTTGAAATAAAGTATGAGCATACGTATTGTATTTATAAATTATAAATATAAATTACCATTCAATCTACGTTTTTCAGCCAAAAATCCCACTTCACCTCTTTTGTTGGAACGCACCATAGAAATAATTATTGCTTCCTTTTCCCTTCCTTGAAAGCCATCTACCGAACTAATTTCAATGCCCTTATAAGCCTCCCCGAGCTCATCATTCAATTTGGCCACTTGTGCTGCATAAGGCGTAATGATACCGATTTGATCCAGTTGTAATCCACCATAAGTGATTAACTTTTGGATATGAGCAGCAACAATAAGCACTTCGAGCTCGTTGGCTGTACTCCTTTCTTCGCCCCTACTATCCTTGATTTCATAGTATTTCACTGAGTCGCTAGTATCGATAAACACCACAGGTTGACTTGTATCACCAGAATTACGAGTGTTTTTTAGATCAGATAGCAGATGGCTGGCTACGGAATAATGAGCATCGAGTTGTGATTCATAAAGTTCTTGCGAGCTGAATCGCATAATTTTTTCATGCATGCGATATTGGACAGACAACATAACCTTGATTTTATCCCCATACATATCGAGGAGACGATCAAATAAAGTATATGATAGATCGCTGTAGGTGGACATACCTTTGACTTTAGGTCCATTGGATCCAGAAAGAGATTTAACAGTCGGAGGTAACTGTAAATGATCACCAGCCTACGCATCACGTTGACGCATTGTTTTATTAGTGAGTGAACAAGCTTAGGCTTCAGTATACTATTTACCAAAATTAGCTTACGGCCTTTTTTGGCCGCGATCCAACAGTCAGGTTCAGTTGCTTGTGCTGCCTCATCAACAATCACGACGTCGAATTTTCTTAGAAGCATTGGTACACTACCAGCCCTAATAAAGTGTAGATGATAATATTTAGTAGTTAGTTTTTTTTAAAAAAAAATTATATGTTTTATTGCGACTTACGCATTTAAAGTACAGAATACGACATCTGCGTCAGACATAACATCGTTTGTACAGTTACGTGCTTCCAGGCTTGATGTTCTTCTAAAAAGCCTCTTAATTGCATTTTCAGTGGCAGCAATTTCTTTCCCTTGTGTGTATACCAAACTTTTGAGCCTTGCGTTGAGTTCATCCACTTGCTTTCGAACGATATTCACTATTCTGATGGGATCATCAGCCCCAAATGCCAACACTTCTAATGTTCGTTCGATGACGGGGGGTGAGACTCGAGCAATATTGCCAACTCTGACAGTATGGATGGTTTCGTATTTCATGACACGTTCAAGTAAATTATCTAAAAAATATGTGGTCAATGCTTTTTTAAAAGAAAAAAAAAGAAAAAGGCTTTTTAGGCATACCAACAGCAACATTAGACGGACCACACACCAGGACTTTCATGCATTGGTTCTCCACCAATTGTCTGATAATTTCAATTAGGGTATGTGTCTTTCCAGTCTAAACAAGCTTAAGTTTTATACAAATGAAAAAGTCAAATAAATCTTGATGAGCTTACCCCTAATAAAAAAATGTTGTTAATTAATTGAAAGCTATTTGATAAAATTTTAATTGTGTCAATTGTACCTGGTGGTCCATGAATCAAAGCTACTTCTTCGGAGCCGATACAAAATTGAACCGCCTCTTGCTGAGATGCATTCAAAGTTCTATCGAAGAAGTCCATACCATACGAGCTTTCTGGATCATATTGGGAAGGTTTGGATCGCCCTAACAACACATTGTACAATGGCGAACCGCAAAGATAACCATTTCTTAACTCCGTTAATGCTTCTAACATTCTATAGATTGTTTGTTTTGTTTAGTGGTTATTTTCTGTTATATATAATAGAACCAAACATCAGATACCTTTTGAAGGTTATATCATTAGGAAGTTTTACACTTGAAGTTTGATACAGGTTAATTAATGCTATGATGTGTAATATTTGTTGTGGCGGAGGTAAATAAAATGCTTACATGTGGCACAATTGCATCATTGAATCCGGAAAGTCGATTTCGATGGGCTTTCCGTAGTGACTTCGACCCTGAACATCGACTTGAATGAACCTCCTTTCCGTTTTAGATACAATGCCAGACAGTTCACTCATACTATCACGAGAAAAGTCTTCTTTAAACTCTACCATATCACCAACGGTTAATTTGTGTCTAGGTATGACAGGAGGGTAACTCTCAGGATAAGCCGGAACTAATATAATTGTCCTTTTTTGTTTAATAAAAAAGTTGTTAATACTATTAGTGATATAAATTATATATGATACATACATTTTATTCACCCTATCATCCATAGAAATTTCTAAAAATAGGGTCATTAGTGTGATTTTAAGTACAAACAAACTTATAGCATACCCCCTTCTACCCGAAGGTTCAAGATGGCGACACCCTTTTCCTGTAACTCCTCTGGACTACCATCCAATAGTTTGTTGGTCAGCCTTTCTTCTTCATCTCTTTCTTTGATAACAAGACTAATCAAATGATTTATAAAGATATCGGCCATTTGTTTGTATTTTTTGTCAGCAAAATCAAGTGAAGAAATGAGATTGAAAAAAAAAAAAAAAAAAAAAAAGAAAAGAAAAAAGATCTCTTTTTATACGAAACACAAAACTTCTCAAGCCATCATGTATAGTTTTCATGCATATTACGTAATAAGCATGTGAGAAATAACTTTATCATAGTTCAAAAAAATTGGCTGGCTCTATGATTGAAGACACGGATTACATTCACATATCGAAAATCTAAAGCACGTAGGTTTTATTTATTGTTTAAAATAGGCTTATTTAATTTAAAAGTGATAGAATTGCATTTATTTAAACAGAAAGAGAAAAATCAAGTGTATATTTCAACAAATGCTTTGATTTTGGGCGAAAATTACCTAATGATGCAGTTTTTACTAGCTCTTACAACAGTTTTCTTCAATAGCCAAACCATCCATTTCTCGATGAAAGATCTATCAATTGCATAGACACCTTTTTTATTTTCCTGGAACTTTGATCCATTCAACGTATCTGTATTGCATACGACAATCAATTGACGTCTGGCTCTTGTCATTGCCACTTAAACACAAATATTAGTTTCATGTTTCTTTTTTCTGACTTTGAACTCACATACCATTTAATCTTCTTTGATCGGCTAAAAACCCGACTTCGCCATTTCTGTTTGATCTCACCAAAGACAAAATAATCACTTCTTTTTCTTGTCCTTGGAACCCATCCACCGTGCCAATCTCTATATCCATCCATTTAGTTCCGATTTCAGCTTTCAATTTGGTTACTTGTGCCTTATAGGGGGTGATAACCGCGATTTGATCTGGGCGTACGCCATTACTCAGGAGTTTTCTGATTTGGCTAATGACTACTTTAACCTCATAATGATTTGCTGTACTTGTCTTGTCTAAGGATCCGCCTTTGACTTCATAGCTCTGCGGAGTATCGCTTGTGTCAATGATAATGACTGGAACTGTGGTGTGAATCGATGAATTGACATTTTTGAGATGGTGTAATAGATGTTTGGCTACTGACTTATCAGCAGTCAGTTTGTTTTCATAAAGCTCACGAGAGCTAAAACTCATAATATCTTCATGCATACGATATTGAACAGATAGGAGTGCTTTGATTTTGTTGCCATACATATCAAGCATGCGGTCGAACAAGGTATACGATAAGTCGTTCATTAAAGACATACCTTTGTATTTCTGTCCATTGGCCGCCTTATTATTTTTGGGTGGTGACTTTACTGTGGGTGGAAGCTGTAAGTGATCACCAGCCTAAACAGAGATAATCAGTTTTTTGTAGTAAAAGAAATAAGGGTATATTTATATATAGCTTACCAAAATGGCTTTCCTGGCTTTAGTTAATGCAACCCAGCAATCAGGTTCTGTTGCCTGTGCTGCTTCATCGATAATTACCACATCAAATTTACGGTACATCATAGCTGAACTTCCAGAACTTTAATGATAAAACTGTGTTAAAAAAATAAAACGATAATGACTACATATTTTTTCTTTAGTTTCTTACCCGCTTAATGTGGAAAAGATGACGTTTGCATCTTGTATTTTTTCAGCCTGTGCTTTTCGGGTGACTTTTGTCTTAAGAAGAGAAGCCAGGTATTTCAGAGTAGCGTCCATTGACCTTTTTTCAGATTTGGGTGCGGTTCGTAATTTAGCAGAAAGTGCCCGCATTTCTTTGTGAATTTTTGTTGTCAAATCCTTTGGGTTTTTATTGGAACAAAGCACATCGAGTGTATATTCCACTGATTTCAAACCTACACGAGCAGGGTGACCAATACGAACAATGTTTTGATCATACTTTTTGTATCGTTCCAGAATATTATCTAGAATTATGATTTGTTTAATTAACTAAAGGAAAAATTGATATCCCTCTTTATAACTTGACATTACCAACAGCGACATTGGATGGGCCACAGACCAGAACTTTCTTTTTTTGCTCGACTAGTTGTCGGATAATTTCAATGATGGTATGTGTCTTACCTGTCTATATGTTGTTAAAAAAACTATTAGTGAAGATCTATTTACATGTGTTATGTAATGACTTACGCCTAATGCATGTGTAAATATTTGTATATGTACAGGTTATTTAAAGCTGATATGTACGAGTTTTACTGTCTACTCCTTACCTGGAGGCCCATGAATCAATGCAAGATGAGGGGAACCCAAAGTAAACCTGACTGCTTGTTGTTGGCAAGCGTTTAAAGATTCATCTTTTATTACAAGGCTACTCATATCTTTTGATTCGGCCAACCTTCTTTGGCCAAACACAAGTTTAATTAACTCTGGTACAATTTTGGCGCCCTTTGTGAGATCATTTTGTAAACGAATCAGGTTTTTCAAAATTCTACATCAGAAATGAAGCAACAGTTTAAGCACATAAGTCTGGACAATTAATTAAAAACTATTTCTATTGTTTTACCTTTCGTGAGTTATGTCATTGGGTAATTTGACTCTAGATGTACATTTTTAGGAAATTTGCAAGAGGTAATAAAGGATTAAAATGAAATGACTTACACTTTGCAAATACCCATGATATTTGGTAGATTGGTCTGTCTTTCGGGGCTACTGTCCTCACTGACAGAGAGGGTGACTCTTGTCTTGGACAATTGCACAACAAAGCCTGACCAGAATATCTCATCATCATCAAGACGAGAAGAGTATAAGTCATACTCTTTCAATGCTACAATATCACCAACAGTCAATTTATGCTGAGGGATAAACATTGGTCTTCCTTTTTTTGATAGTATCTCCAATACAATATTGCTTAATTTTAAATGTGAGCTAATTTTTCTTTATGATTCTGTGTATATTATTCAGCATACCAACTACCGCCAACACCGGGTTTAACCTCTATCATTTTAAAAAGAAAAGTAAGTTACAAAAATGCCCCCAAAAACAACAACAACAACAACAACAACTCGAAAAATGTACCTGTAACTTGTAGATTTAATATCGCGACACCTTTTCGTTCAAGGACGTCTGCTGGACCACTCAACAACTTTTCTGTGGCAGATTTATCAACCTCCATCTCCTTGTTTACCAAAGAAATGAGGTGTTGAACGAATTTAAGGACTCCTGGTTTCATGGTTGAGAGAAATTAAAAGAGAAGAAACGAAAAGAAAAGAAACAAACAAAAAAAAATCAAATCATGCATCTCATTGACATTTTCGTGCTACTAACTTTGATATATCAACAAAGAGTGTTATGTTGTCCAATATACTCCCCAATTATTTTCGTATATTTAAAGTCCTCTAAATGACATAATGAGGTAAACAGATGACAGATTCATTCATAGAGATAGAAAATATAATAACATTATGTAAAGCGGCCCCTTTGTTTATCTTGTAGCATTGTGTTTATTTTAATAGCATCAGCATCACGAAAGTAAAAACGTCATTTTCTACAGTGCGGTTTGATTGATCTTGAGTGGAGCTGAAAAAAAGAAACGCCAAAAATGTAACAGTATGTACGTGTTTTTGTCAAAAAAAGTTTTCATTAAGCATATTGCTTGAAGTAACAGAGTTACCCTATAATGGAGCACGTATTTTCATTGGATGCTTTTGTTTACAAGCTCCTCAACCACCCCGTAAAAAAATTTTATGTCAGAACTTTAAAATCTTCTTTTTTTGATCCAACACACAAGACTTTTATCTCGCATATGTAGATAAAAATGGGGGATATAACCATCAAATTGAAAATCTATCCTATTGGTATATGTGACCAATTGAAATAGCATATGTGCCAGCTTTTGCAACTATGAATCTAGTCCAGGTTTTCTTAAGATATCAATATTGTTCATAATTCATCATGGCATGGCGTAATATTTAAGGTGTGGGTTTAAATGACTAAAACTCTATTTACGGAAATAGTGCACGTTTGTTATGTACTAAAATGACGTTTTTATTTTATTTTGGCGTTGCTGATCGATACTTCTCTCACGGGCCCCCCTTAAAAATGTTGATAGGGGATTTATGGGTATCATATGAAATCATCTATTTGTTTCATTGGAACTTATCAGTGTAGGCTATCAGATCTATAACAGAATGCTCCCTTATACTTTCAGCTTTAAAAATTCCTCCATAGTCGTGCTTTAGACTTTGACAGCTCCTTATTCATTCCAAATGACTAATAAGCTTTTACTGCTTTCACTCATTTTTTTTTTATGATCCTCGTGTGACCGCCTGGGGATTTCCCGATTGAGTGGAAATAAAGGGTGCATTTACCGAAAAAAAAAAGTAAAACGGCTGTTTACTTGGAACATGAGTGATGCATCAGTAAAAGTCGATATTCGGCAAAGATCAAGTCCATTAGTAGTGACCGATGGAGCATCAACAAGTACTCTCCAGGATAAGAACGAAGAGAAAAAATTGTTGAAGAAGATTGATTGGCGCATTGTTCCTTGGATTTTTTGTCTGTATTTCTTGTCAGTGGAAGATCGATCGAATGTGGGATTTGCCATGACGATGAATAAGGATGTGAATCACACATTGGCAGATACTGCGGGATTAACACCACAAGAGAATAACATTGGCTTGGGGTTATTCTACGTAGCTTACATCGTATGTGCAATGTCGACATTTCACAATATGATTGTCCCGCGATGACTTAATTTTTTCTTTCCTGTTGTTAGATTTTCGAAGTGCCTTCCAACTTGATGATGGCACATGTTAATCCAGCTCACTGGATTGCACGTATCATGATCACATGGAGTATTGTTGTTTGTTGTATGGTGGCTATTTCAAAAGCATGGCATTTCTATTTGTTACGTTTTTTGTTGGTAAGCCCGAAATAATAGGAGGAGATGAAAGTGTGTTTCTTAAAAAAAAAGAACCTTAATAAATTAGGGATTGTTTGAAGCTGGATTTTGGCCAGGTATGCATAAACATTTAAAATAAAGTTTATTGATCTGACATTTTTTTATTCAACGATAGGCATCAGTAAGTAAAAATCAAAAATCGATGTATATATATATATATATAAAAGGGCGATATTAATCATTGGTATAAAGCTTATTATTACACGTTATGGTACACACCGGAAGAGATTTCAGCTCGTCTCGGCGTAGTATATCTAGCGGGACCTACATCAGGTGCGTTTGGAGGATTGATCTCTGCCGCAGTGCAATTAATTGATACGCGTGGTAATTTATACGGTTGGCAATGGTTATTTTTATTCTCGGGATTGATTTCCATCATCTTTGGTGTCATTACCATTTTTTATTTACCTTCCACACCTGAGAAATCCACCAAGTTCTTGACCGAGGATGAACGTGTGCGCATCAAAAAAAGATTGGAAGCATCTACTCAAGAAAGAGCTGTGTTGGACACTGTTGAGGAACGTAACATGAAGCGTAATTTGAAGCAAGTATTAAGTGAATTCAAGGACTTTAAAATTTGGTTGTTTTGTGTCTTATATTTCACACCTGTGATGGCAGCAACTTCCTTGGGTTATTTTATTCCCAAGATTGTGCAACAGATGGGTACATTTACTTCCATTCAAGTCAGTTTAATGAGTATTCCTCCCTTTGTCTTTGGTTGTATCATGGTCTATATCCTCACTCGACTCAGTGATCATTGCAATAATCGTGGCTTCTTTATTATTGGTGCATCGTGTGCTGCTTTCGTAGGATTCTGTATTTTAAGTTTTGCAGAACCGATCGGTGCCCGTTATTTTGGACTTATGGTCTTGGCTGGTGGCACATACCCTACTGTTCCTTTAGTAAGGCTTATAGAACTAAACCAATATAGGTTTATTACTAACTCACACTTTCTTTTGGGGGAACATGATTAGAGTATGGCATGGACTGCAAATTCCAAGGAAGATCCAGTAGCCGTTGCATCCGCCACAGGTATTGTATCCTCGGTAGCAAATTTCGGTGCCTTGATCTGTACATTTGCACTTTACTCTGGTTGGGCGTCGGATGCACCTCGTTATATTGGCTCCAATATGATTAACGGTGGAGCTATGTTAATTGCTGCCATTTGTGCTTTTGGCTTAAGAATTCACCTGTCAAAATTAAACAAGATCATTGAACGAGATGGTTACGTAGGCGACCGAACCTATCCTTATATTCTTTAATTAATTCATAAATAAAATAAAAATAAATAGTACATCTATTTTGTAATCTGTCCAACGGCACTATATAGCAACTTTTAGTTCACTTCCTTTTAGATAATATATAAGGGGAGAGATGGTTACTTACAGATTAAAGGGTAAAATCTCCCATTTTTCCCACACCTTGGCTTTGTAATAAGGATCACTCAAAATGATCTTTTCGACGTCCTCCTTTGATTCTGCAGAATACACTAAAACACTGCCTTTCATTTTGCGCGACTTTTAATTTTTTTAAAAAGGACAATGATGATTAGTCTTTTGTGTTTATAGAGAAAAGAGGTCTATATACATCATGATCATCTAAAATAGCGCCACCGAGGTTCAAGATGCCGTTATCTTGAGCTTCTAAGGCAAACTTTAAGTGAGTATTACGGATATCTAATCGACGTTGAAGGGCCCCAGGATCTGTATAGTCTTGAATAATAGCTACGAACTGTTTGGGGGCTTTTTCTATGTCATTAACAAGAGCATTCGTCAGTGTAAAGAAGAAAAGAATTACCTTGCATAAATCTGAAAGTGAAGAATGCTCTAGAGTTTGGTAAGCGATTGAATATGGATTTATTTAACGGAAAGCAGCGTGTGGTAAAACGTTGTAGAAACTCCTCTTGAATATTTTTGTATGTGTGTGTGTGTGGAATGGAATAATGACTCATTATGTATCTGTATATGTTTAGCCACATTATTTACTTTTCTCGGTCAAGCGGGGTATAATTGGCATGCATTTTGAGAACGTTCCAGAACAAAAGGCCTCAGTCCATGATTACATTATAAGCATACATATACTTTGACTATGATGAATATTTACATCAAAACAAAAAAAAATTAGTTCGTGGCTAATCCTTTTTGAAAGAGGGCGATTTCTGAATTAAGTAAGCAATTACCTCTTTCTGACATAAGCCTGTTCTTGTTCCTCATTTTTACTACAAATAAGACCTTCTCACACATTCTTTTTTTTTCTCCCTTCTTTTTACATAATCAAGCAAGTTTTGTGAAAAGGTTAGTGCTTTTTATCTATTAGTAAATGCTAAAGTATTTTAAAGATCTATGAAAGGGACATCCTTTTATACATAAAAGATTGCGCTCTTGGTCACGCATGAACAGGCTGATATTGCAGCTAATCACTACTATACGGTGGCAGGTTCAAGGAGATCTCTTATTTTGAAGTGTTTTGTTATCCTGACCCGTACGTGTATCAAATACACGGGCGGGTTGGAAGCATCGTCTTCAAAACTTCGGAAGATAAAAAAATATAGTCTTGTACCATAAAGTCATAAACGCTGATGCACAGATATTTGTTTTTAAATTAACCAAGACATAACCACCTTAAAAAAACCAGCTTCAATACGCAAAGAAAATGACTTGAGAGAACTGACATCCATAATCAAGACTACGTCTTTTATAGGATATTAGACTTATTGTCAGCAAGACTGATGACAACTATTGACAAGGAATATTCTGGGTGATGATTTTTTAAAGTGGAAAAAGGGTCTGATCGAAAAGGCAATGTGCATTGGTGAAGACCCAAATATGATCCATGGCTTCACAAGACATATTTAACGAGCTTCAAGTGCAGAAGAAGTAAAAACACACTTGATAGAAATGAAGCAGACTTCCGGCAGTTAAAAAAAAATGTTTGGAGATTCTGAAGATTCAAAAAAAAAGATATAAGAAAAAGCTGTTATTCCAGCAAAGTACTTACCTCTCTATTTGTCACACAAAAAAGATCTCTGGCAATAGTACAAGTGGGGCGGGGAGAGGGATGAGTCAAAGCTAGTTGCCTCAATAGGAGAAGAAAACTTGGTCCCAGGCTCATCGATTGATGGCATTGTTGTTACCAAGGAACTTGGTTTAGGCTTAATGTTGTTAGAAGCTTCAGTGGCCATGGAAAAAGAGAGTCACATTCATTTCCTAAAGGATCGACTCGAAATTGCAAAAACTTGAAATACCCTTTTAAATTTATTTAAGTTAAATAGTTGTATCCGATGCTACAGATTTGAAGCTATACGGTATATAAGTAAACGGAAATACGGTCCATGTTTATATCTTGTCAATACCAATTATGGGCATGTATTGCTATGTCGAAGTTTTAAAGTTCAACATAACGAACAACCCAACTAGGATTATATGGGGTATCTCCCGACCGACACACGAAAACCCTTTTCACACCTCTGGGCTTTATTTCCTATAGTCAGGTTACGTTGAAGCAATACATGACATAACCTGATAATTATGAGTCTGATGATAGCTATTCTGACAGAGATGGCTGTTCTTTTACCCCCAAAGCGATTAATCATAATTAATACCTTTTTCCGTACATGTGTTCATCCATGTCCGTTAAAAGCTGCATGTGAGCCACCGAGAAAACTTTTACGTTGATTTACATATTAATAGGTATACATATGTAGGAGCCAGGTTTATTATAAGACATTCTGGGGGTGGAAATCTAGAATATTAGACTTTAAGACCCTGTTAGCCGTTGTAATTGCACTAAAACCCTGGTTGTGCTTTAAATACAACTTGTTATATTGAATCTGCTATGATCAACGGAGGATCCACTCTGAGTGCTTTCCCGTTGAAAACTCGCCTGTCAAAATTATACAAGAACATTGAGCGAGGCGACCGAGTCTTATCCCTTATATTCTTTTTTAATCATAAACAAATAAAAAAAATCATGATAGTGCATCTATTTTGTGATCTTTCCAATAGCACTGCACAAGAATTATTAGTCCTAGTTCAAATAGATTGTAAAATCGAGAGACTTACAGGTTGACAGGCAAAATCTCCCATTTCTCCCACACTTTGGCGTCATAGTAAGGATCGTTTAAAATCATCTTTTCAATGTCCTCCTTTGAATCTGCAGAAATCACTAGAACACTGCCTTTCATTTTACGTGACTGATAACATGATGTATCAGTTTTTGCATGTTTAATAAAGGAGGGTTATACATTACATCGTGATTATCCAAGATAGCACCACCTAGGTTTAAAATGCTCTTGTCTTGAGCCTCGAGAGCATCTTTTAAATGTCTGTCACGGGTGTCTAAGCGACGTTGAAGGGCTCCGGGATCTGTATAGTCTCGAAGGATCACCACGAATTGTTTGGGAGCTTTTTTGTTGTTGTTGTTAGCCAGCGTGTTTACGGGAGAGGGAAAGGGAAATACCTTGAACGGCTCTAAAGGTGGAGAATGCTCTTGATTTCGAAACGAGATTAAACATTGTATGGAAAAGAATAGAATAATAATTATTAAAAAAAGAGTCGTGAGAAAGTTTCTCTGTGCAGAACTCCCCTTGAATTTTTTTTTTTTTTTGTGTACCTGATTCTACAAATGTCCTTTTGTTTGGGTAAAGTGCTCATGTATGTGTGTGCAAAAATGACTCAATTGACCGATGTACAGACGATTTTTTCTAGATATGCATAGTAAGGCATGGTGTTCATATAAGTATATATCAGTGTCACGCATCCAGGTAGCTAACTTGCTAATTGTGTCACAAGATCCAACGGGTAATTGGCATGATTTCTTTTAGGGCGTTCCAGAACAGCTAGACGCGCTAGTCTTAGGATGAAGGGACTGCTTATTTGAAAAAAGATGTTTTTTTGCTTTTTTTTTTGGGGGACGCGCTTTTGCTGTATTTATCGGTTTTCATAGAAAGAATACAAAGCAGCCATGACCACACACTCTCAACCCGCCGCTTCCTTGAAGCAAATTCTCGAACGCTCAAAATTAACCAATAGTAAAATTCTGCAACAGGAGTTACCTGCGATTGAACGAGGATTAGATCAGATTGATTCACAGTCAAAGAAACTCTCATCAAAGGCAACGAGTAATGACGAAGGAAGCGATATTAGAGCGTAACGTACACCCCCCCTTTTTTTTTCTTTGTAAGAGACATGGGACTGATGTGAGACTGTAGTCATTATTTCTTAGCACAGGGAGGAGTAAACACACAAGTCTTGATTAAGGATTTGGGGACGATTCATTTGGGAGGACTTGAAGAACACCGACAACCGATTCAGGATATGGATGTAGAAGGATACCTTGAACAACAGCGAGGGGAGACAGTGATGAAGATTATTGAGGATGGTAGACAAGAGGTATGTCAATGCATATTGATATTTAGAGTGGAGGATAGAGAATAACTAAAAATTAATGATATATAGATTCTCAAATATTCAAATGACAGTTTCGATAACGACGTTGATGAATACTGGACGAAATTGACAACGGAGGAAATTAAAGTGAACGAGGTGCAGACGACGGGCCTTAATTTATCTAAAGCTAAATTCGATACAAGTCGTCTTGTCGGCGCTGGTATTTTGTAAATTTGGGGGGAGTAATGAATCGTCATTTTTTTCATATGAACCTTGACAAATAAAAAATGCCCATTTGAGTTTCAATCCTATTTTCACTCTAATCGCGATTTGGTATATACAAAAAAAAAAAAAACTTTTCCCATTTGTTTGAATAAGGAATAGTCTACCTAGTCATTGGTTTTGAGAAAAAGATTACCCATCTTTCTCTTTTTCTTTTTTTGTGCATTACGATGGGGAAAAAGTGTACACAAGAAATATAACAGCAAAAAAAGATTCCAGCTGTGCTTAAATCGGTTATCGTACGGTGTTGCGGGAAATTACCCAGCTCGGGGGGAAACAAGATTGATTAGGGGGGAGGGGTAGAAACACATAATTTTTTTTTTTTTCGATTGTTCCACAGGCCTTTGCCTTTTATTTCACATTTTTTTATTTATTATTTTTCTCTTTTCTTCTTTTGATTTCTCAAGAATAATAATCGAAAAAAAAAAAACTCTTTTTTTTTCTTTTTTTACACGTTCTGGACCTTTCTTTCTTACATTTGCTCCCTCGACCAACGCAACTCTTAAAGAAAAAAAGAAACTAGTCATGTCGAACTCGGGATCGACGGGATCGTTTACAGATTCAACTGGGTATGGTGTATTGGGAGAAACACTACAAATTCCCAATTATCACTTTAAAGCTGCTCCCATACCTAGTCTAGCCCATGGCGAAAATGTCGATATAGTCTTTGGCTACAGGTATACCTCCCCCCCCCCACTTTATATATGTAAAGCATCCAACTGACACAATCATTGAATAGAATCTCGAATAAAAAACCAGTCGTTGCCAAAGTTTCACCTAATTCTTTGCGCCTAGAAAGAGAATATTATATCATGAAGCGACTATTTCAATTGAGCGATGGATCTTCGTTTCTAGGTAACCCAAAAAATTGCAATTTCGGAGTTCTTCTGTGCTAATCCATAACTTAACCCAAAAAAAAAAAAAATAGTTAGACCATTGGAATATGTTCATTTACCCTCTGGCTTAACAGTGGTCATTTACGCCGACGAAGGTCAAAACTATTTAGAATCGAGACGCCAATCGGACGAATCGTCCTCCTTATCAAAATATAACACAGCCTATTCCGAAAAGAGTTCAAACGGTACATCGTTGGGCAGTGACAAGGACGATAAAAGCAAGCGATTCCACCATCGCTATGACAACCATATCATGAACAACAATAATACGTACAACGTGGATTATTATTCACAATCTATCCCTTCGACCTCTGGTTTACCGACAGCCGGTCCGGTTTATGATCTCGGTACCTTTCTTCGATTTGCCATCAAGTGCACGGATTGTTTAGAGTTTATTCACAAGAACAATGTGGTACACGGTGAGGTCAGATTATCTGCCTTTCAATGGTCGGGCGAAGATTCAGCCAGAGTCAAGATGTGGAATTTCGGATCGGGCACAAAGACATTAGAGACCTATCTGACCAGCGAAGGATGGCGAAAGACGGCTAATAACAAGGAATCCATGGTCATGTTGCAGAACTTACTGGTTTACATGAGTCCAGAGCAAACCGGAAGAACCACCTACGTACCTGATCATCGTTCCGACATTTACTCTTTGGGCATTGTCTTTTTTGTGTTACTGACAGGAAGAAACCCATTTGACGGTGGCCCGCTGGATATCTTGAATGGCATCCTCAGTCGCAAAATACCCTTGATTCACGAAATACAGTTGGAAGTACCGGAAGTGGTAGCACGCATCGTAGAAAAAATGACGAATAAAGTAACACCAAATTATTTTTTCTGGAAAGGTCAAAATCACCCTAATATTTTTCTTCTCTTTTTTCCTGAATCTTTTCTTTCTTTCTTTTTCTTTCTTTTATTTATTTATTCTCTGTCTCTCTCTCTCTCGATCTCTTGATTGCTCTCTTTAGTCGCCGGATGATAGATATAGCAGTGCATATGGTATCAGAGCAGATTTAAAGGAATGTTTAAAACGTCTCAAATTCGCCTCTGAATCTGCACAAGAGGTAACGGAAGGTAAACAAATAAATCCACACACACATCAACTCACTTCTTCAAAAAAAAATAGGTCATCGAATCCTTTCCTTTAGCTGAACGCGATGTAGCCTCCGTCTTCACCTTGCCTAAAACTATTTATGGCCGTCAAGCAACTATTGGCGAAATGACCTACATCATTCAACGTGTAGCGGGTGTATACAAATCCATCCGTAGCCGACGCGAAAAGTCACATTCGACCGGATCGACGTTACAGACCATTACCAGCGATCATTATAATGGGGGAACCGCTAGTGTCAGTGACAGCGGCATGAGCGACCATTGCTCTGTGCCTGACTCCAGTAGCTGTCCCGGTGTCGGCCCCGTCTTAAGCGCTGTCAAATCCAACGCTTCGCCTAGTTACTGCAGTGGATTTGAAGGAAGCGATATCTCCAGTGGCAATGGTCGTATTGCCTCCGGTCATCATCGTCAAGGTGTGGAGATTGTGGCTCTTGCGGGTCCCGGTGGGGTTGGCAAATCCACTGTGTTTGGTGCTGTTCAAAACGTGGCAAGACAACACGGGTAAAAAAAAATTCTTTTTTTGTTAAAAAAAAAAAAAAAAAAGTGATTTTGGTCATGATTTTAATTTTATCGTTAGATATGTGGCATCATGCAAACTAGACTCGAGACACAAGATTCCATACAGTTGTATTTTAAAATCCTTGTCTCAAATTCTGCAGCAAATTCTGTCCGAATCGGAAGAGGAGATTCATGCATTTTACCTTCATATCAAGAACCATTTGGGGGCACAGTTTTGCAAGATCGAATTATTGGCAGACCTCGTGCCTGAATTAAAACCCTTATTGGATCCCGTTGACAGTGAAGACTCGGAAGATCCCATCAATGTCGTGCATTTGGATAATGTCGAGACACGCATACGTTTTCATAACCTCTTTGTTGAAGTCTTTCGTGCCCTCACACAATGGCGCATGGTCACCTTGGTAAGTCATTTAAAGAGAAGTAGAAAAAAAAAAACTCACTTCGTTTGTATTTGCTAGTTTCTCGATGATTTACATTTAGCAGACGACCCTTCACTTGAATTAATTGAAAGCATGGCAGCCTCACGTTTAAAGATACTGATCTTTGTAGCTTACCGCGACGGAGAAACCACGCCAGCGTTAGAAAAATTGCTGAGCAACGACTATGCCACCTTTCATCATATCAAGGTGGACGCTCTTGATTTTGACTCGTTAGTTGATTACATCGGCGACGCTCTCCACCGTCCACTGGAAGTGGACCGTGATTCCATCTTACCCCTCGCTGATATTGTCTATAAAAAGACACGCGGAAACGCCTTTTACACTTCACAGCTGCTGGCCACGCTGGAGAAGAAAAAGATGATCTTTTTTAACTGGGAAGAGAACGAATGGGATTATAACTTACAGGACATTCAGCAAGCCGTGATGACCAATGAAGGTGCAGACCGTGATGCCGAATTAGATATTAGCTTTTTGGTAAACCGTCTCAAGGAACTACCCCTGGACGGTCAAAGGCTTCTCAAATGGGCTTCATTTGTAGGCGACACTTTTTCATGGAACACCGTTAAACATTTGATGATTCATTCGGATCCCGAATCCGAGTTCTCGGATACAGACACGATCATGTCCGATTCTACCAATCGTAGTCTGGCAGACAACGAAGACGAGGATGTCAGTATGGTCGTTGAGTCCTTACACCCCTTGATCAAGTTCTCGCATAACACAGGCAGTACAGGCGGTAGCAACAGTAGTCACAGTGGGAAACGTACCTCATATCACGAAGGAGAATCCGAATCCTCTTCGCGTAAAAAGAAGGCTCGTGATCCCATCAACGGTTTACAGGCGGCACTACAAGAAGGGTATATTTTGCCCTTGGAACAGGACGAATTTAAATGGTCACATGATCGTTATTCTCAAGCGGCCATGGAGCTCGCTAACCCCAAAAGTCGAGCCAAGATCCATTTACGTATCGCGCGATATCTTTTACAAGAAGACAACGTGGATAGTTTCCTGGTATGTGATCATTTATTGAAATGTCTGAGTCTGGTACAAGAGTTGGAGGAAAGAGCGTGTTTCAAGGATATCTTTTATGAGGCGGGTAACCGTGCGCGTGCGTCAGGTGCGCACAAGATGGCGTTTGACTATTACAAGGCGGCTATCTTGCTACTGGGATCGGATACATGGGAAAAGGAATACACTACCACGCACTATCTGTATTCAAACGCAGTGGCTCTGAGTTGGGTGGTGGGTGAATATGATACGACGGAGGAGTATTTGGACGCCATCTTTCAACATACCACCGACCCCATGGATCGTGTTACAGCGTATCGAATTCAACACAAGTACTTTTTCGCACGCCAAATGCATGAAGAAGGAGCGGAAGCCCTACGACAATGTCTGATGGAACTGGATATGGAGGATTTCATGTACAACAATACACGCGAGGAACTGGATAGTGAGTATGCTACGGTGGTCAAGATCATTGACCGACTGACGGTGGATGACATGGTCAAGATGGGGGCCTGTGATGACGCTAAACTGAAATCAATCATGAGTATCCTGGAAGAAATGTGTACAGCGGCGTATTGGCTCGGTAACCAAACGGAGATGTTTTACTTGGCTTGTAAGATGGTACATCTTTCCCTGGCCAAGGGTATGACGTCGGTGTCTGGTATTGCACTTGTATTTATGGGTATGTGTTCAGTGGAGGTGTATCATGAGTATGTGTATGGCGAGGAGCTAGGATCGGCGGGTGTAGCCATCAGCGAGAAATACGGTGGTAACAATGAGAAGGGTCGTGCCGGTTTTTTGTACGGTAATTTTTTACTCATGTGGAAACATCACTATCGCGAAGTCGTACCTCTATTTCGGTCCACTTTACGACTTTCCCTGTCAGCGGGAGACCGTATCTATGCCTCCTTCTCACATCTGCACATAGCCACCAGTCTTTATTATCTGGGCGATAATTTGGCCAATACCTTGGTAGAAGCCGAGACATGTTATGATGATATTCATGCTTGGTCTTCCTCCGTCGACACCAATATTTTAATCATGGCGGTGATTCGTACCATCAAGGCTCTCCAGGGTCATACCTACAATACATCTCCCTTTGAAATATTTGATGGCGATGATGGGTTTAACGATATTCACTTCATCTCGGAAAGCTGTAAACAAAGTTCCAACTTAAACGTGCCCTTGAACTGGTACGATTCTTTCCGTCTGGTCCCTCTCGTGCTCTACGGTCATTATGAGCATGCTATTGCAGTAGGTTATATGTGTATTCGCGGTATCCATAACCATCCTTGTCATCGGCACACGCGTATGATGCTTACCTATCATTCCTTGGCCATCATTGAGAAACTCCGCTGTGAGGAGGATCTGGACAGCGAAGAACGCGATGTGTATATGAAGCGTGTTGAGGCTAATCAAGTACGTATGGAAGAATGGGTCAAGTATTCCAAAGTGAATTTTAGCATGTGGTATACCCTTATTGAAGCTGAAATATCATCCCTGTCCAACGACATGGCTAAAACCATCCAGTTGTATGAGAAGGCCATTGATCAATGCCGTGAGGGAGATTGGTACATTGATTTATGTGTGTGTCATGAATATGCTGGTGGATACTATGCACGTATGGGATTGAAAAACGCTGCGTATGGATTATTGAAAAAGGCGCAAAATCTATATGTGAATCATGGGTCATATGGTAAAGCCAATCATTTGGCCTTGAAATACAGTGCCTTGTTAAGTGAATATGAAGACGATCGCATTGATTCTCATGATACGGGAATACAAACGGATCCTTTCCCCTTTTTGGGTCCCCAGGGAAGTTGGAGTACGTCCTCTATGGGTCAAGTAAACACGATCAATGAACCCTTTGTCTCTGAAACCATCCCGCCCGTGACCACCGAACAAACTCTCCTGACATTGGATATCCTGGATATGGCCTCTATTCTCAAGAGTTCACAGGTGATTTCGTCTGAAGTGAAATTTGATAGTTTATTAAAATCGGTGATGGCTATTATCTTGGAGAACTCGGGTGCGGATTGTGGTGCTATTATTGTCAAGGAAGAGAAATACGGCATGTGTGCTTATGGAAGTCAATCGGATGGATCCATGACGTTTGACCCCCCACGACCTTTAGCGGATGATGATGGATTGGTCTCCAGTCGTATTGTGCACCATACGATCAATACGGGTGAAAGCATCTTTATTCATAACGTCGATCAAGATCCACGGTTTGCAGTGGGACCCTGGTATGAACGTGTAGGAAGTAAATCGGTGATCTGTATGCCGATTATCCATAAGAGTGCATTGGTGGGTTGTTTATTTATCGAAGGATCCTCTGGTATTTTCACACAACGTCATATCACGGTGTTGAGCCTACTCTGTCAACAAATGGGCATTTCCATCACCAACGCCTTTTTGTTCAAATCTGTGCAACGTGTGACGATGGCCAACATGCGCATGATCGAGATGCAAAAACAAGCGTTGGAGGAAGCGCGACGAAGTAAAGAAGCAGCGGTACGCGCCACAAGATTACGCGAGATCTTCCTCGCTAACATGAGTCATGAGATTCGAACCCCCTTTTCCGGTTTCTACGGCATGATTTCCTTGCTGGCTGAAACATCCTTGGATAACGAACAACGTGATCTGGTCAAGACGGCTAAAGAATCGTGTGAAATCCTGTTACAGATCATTGATGATTTGCTCAACTTTTCCAAGTTACAAGCGGGTAAAGTCACACTGGATATCTCGCCCATTGTGGTGGAGGATATCATTGCCGATGTGGTGGAGATGCTGATTGCCATGGCCATTCAAAAGGGCATTAATATCTCCTATATCGTGGAAGAAAATGTACCACCCGTGGTGATGGCAGATGGGAATAGGATACGTCAGGTGATTATCAATCTGTTGGGGAACGCCATTAAATTCACACACGAGGGAGAGATCCGTATCAAATGCTCCTTGGATACCACCACGGTGATCAATAACAGTAAAGGAGATCAAGTCAACCTGTTGTTTGAGGTGATTGATACGGGTATTGGCATCAGTCAAGAACAACGCAAAGTGCTGTTTGAACCGTTCTCACAAGTGGATGGCAGTACGACACGTAAATACGGTGGTACAGGACTTGGATTATCCATCTGCCTACAATTGGTACAATTAATGTCCGGAACGATTAACGTCTCAAGTGTGCCTGGGAAAGGTTCTGATTTTTACTTCAGTATCCAAGTTTCTAAACTCCGTACACAGCAAATCAAGGGTTTACAGACGGAGTCTTACCGCGATGATCGTAAACAACTTTTGCAGTGTATTCAGGGTATTCGTGTGTTGGTGATATCCAAGTACGCGGCAACGATTGACATGGTACGAAGTATTTTACCGGGTATCCACGTGGATGGCGTACTTCAGATTGAAGAATTTAATGGATTAGTCAGGCAACACAAGTACGATGTGATTATTGTTGGACTGTTTACCAATCAAGACATGTCGGCCAACGCTTCGTCCACCTGGTTAGAGGATGCTAGCAAATTGAATCGGGATGGATTGATCATCATTATGAATTATCCTGCGGGGGGTATTTTAAATACCGTCAATGAACCTGTGTCTAATGAAAAGATGCACTGTAAATCGATACGTATGGCAGTTCCTTTGCGTCGCATAAAGCTCTTGGGTACCATTGCCGAAATGTTGAAAAGGGTGACGCCTGTTAACAAGGAAAGTACACGAACTAGAGCTGTTCAACTGATCACGGAAGAAGAAAGAAAGTTATTTAGTACAATGAACATTTTAATTGCTGAAGGTAAACCTTATAAAATCGGATCTTGAATATATGAACTAAACCCTTTCGTTCATTGTTAGACAATCCTGTTGCACAGAAACTACTGCTAAAACAACTTACCCGACTGGGCTTCCAAGTGGAGTGCGCCAACAATGGTCTAGAAGCGGTGAATGCATGGAGTAACCATCCCATTGGATTTTTTGTCATGGCCTTTTTTGATCATCACATGCCCAAGGTAAAGCACTTTTTCCTATTATATTTAACAAGTATATATAACTGACATATATAAATTTATTTTTGTTTAAAAAGTGCGATGGTGTGGCAGCGACGAAACGAATCCGAGAAATTGAAAGGGAAGAAGAACGCAGTGTTAGATTTCCGATTGTTGCATTGACAGCAGATGTACAAGAGAGTGCAAAGAAGGTGTGTATGGCTGCAGGTATGGATGGGTATCTGACAAAGCCACTGAACCAAAAGATTTTGGCTGAAGCCTTGAGAAAGTATTGTCAACGTACGCCCATGATTGAATCATTGGCTATTACAGATAAATGATGTCAACCCTCTTTTATTATTATTTAATTATTGTCTCATAACCACAACAACCATCCTATTTATATTACCCCCCCCTCCCTTTTTTAAAACACACACTCTTTTTCAAAAAAAAAAAATCTTTTTTGTACAGAATTAATAATTAAAGTATTTACACATAGAATAAAAAGAGAGGCTATTTTCGTGCTTCTTTGTGATTTTATTGCATTTTAATTTGAACAAAACTTGTTCCGACCCGAAAAGCCAAGAACCATGAGGTCACAAGCACGAGCTGTGACCCAACAACAAACTCCCCTTTTTTATTTTTATTATAATCTCCCTCTTTTTTTTTTCCTCTCTTCTATCTTTTTTTTTTTTTCTATTACTCATGCAATTCATTTTAGAGATAAATTCATGGTCTCTTTCAATTTCTTGGTTGCTTATTTAATAGGTGGAATCACATTATTTCCACTCACCGTCGTTTTCATAGCGTTACTCTATATTCTTTACCGTCGAGTGATATTACCACTACAGTCTATCTTTCTCGTCAAGTCTCCTCATGAGCCATGCGGAACGAATTACAACACCTCATTACCCACCAAAGAACCCAACGAAGATACCACTGTCCCCAGTAATAGTAGTCCGCTGTATAAAGTAGGCTGGTTACGAGTTTCACGAGACGAAGAACAAGCGCTACCGGATGCCTCGATTGGGGATATGGTGAAATCGTATATCTCCGGTAAAGTCAGTAAACGAGAATCAGCCAATGTTTATTTCGCCGTCTTGAAATATAGCACACTCTATCTCTATGACTCTGAAAAGCAATTGGACAGTAAAGGTGTCATCATGTTAAATACCTACACGGTCAAGACGCATCCACCGGGTCTACAGGATTTCGAGCTGTTCTCTAAACCTCATTTAATTAAATTAAGTCATGCACAAGACGACGATTTGTCATATTATATCAACTGCAACCGATGCATTGACAAGGAGGATTGGTTTTTCGCCTTGATACGTGGCAGTAAATTACCTTCCAACAACAACCAACAACAACAACAACATCAACAGGTTGACAAGACTCGGTTTGACCAGACCGCCATGAATCATTTGATCACCATGGTTCACAGTGACGAACATCAATTTCAAACCCAATGGTTGAACGCTATCTTGGGTCGCATCTTCTTTGGTGTGTACCGTACGGATGATGTAAAGGAAGCCCTTTACAAGAAAGTCATGTCGAAACTCGACAAGATTAACTCAAAGCGACCTCCCTTTTTAGGAGAGATCACCGTACGCTCTGTTGATCCAGGCCATGCTTTACCCCGTTTTACGCAACCCAAGCTCCTCGGACTCAGTCCCACAGGTGAACTATCTGCTGAAGCTCACTTGCATTATGACGGTGGTTTCCGTATCGAGATTGAGACCGAACTCAAGTGGAAATACTCTGACCTGATGAGACCCTTAACCATGGATATTGTGTTGGGAATCACCTTAAAGGAGATCCAAGGTAAATTTCTTATGAAAATTAAAGAGCCTCCTACCAATCGTTTTTGGTATGGCTTCTATGAATGTCCCAAAATGGAATGGAAGGTGGAACCTGTGGTATGGGAAAAACGTGTGGGTTACTCTGTCGTCATGAAGGCCATCGAGACAAAGATCCAAGAATTCATCATGGAAACCATGGTACTGCCAAACTTTGACGATATCACTTTTTTCCCCACTCATGGTGTCGGTGGGATCTTTGAGACCAAACCAACATCAGCCGATGAGCCAAATATACCCGAAATAGCCTCAAAGAGAGATAAGGTAGAGAGACACAAGCATGATGATGATGTAGCCTTGTTGACCAGTGCAAAATCATTACCTGAATTATTCTCATCCGTTTCCTCCTCCACCACCAGCACCACACAAAACACATCCAAACTACGAGATGAATGTATACCCCATGCTAGCTTACCGGATCCGGTTATAGCAACACCCATCACCTCACCTATGCTGATACCATCGGATGATGCACTACCAAGGGGACAGATGGCCATGTCCGCCAGCCCTCATGGCACAGACGTATTCGCTTCCTCCTTGCTATCTTCTTCACCGGACTCGATGAGTTCCTCACCTTCTTCTTGCACCATGGATGATTCCCTTCGTACATTAACCCAGGTGTCTACAGACGATACAAACATGATTGTATCACCTTCCACATCCACCACTACATTATTAGCATGTGATCCCAGCATCCAAATCACTTATTCACAAGATTATACCACAGGGAATGACACCCACGTTGTGATGGAAACGCCGCATGTGAGATTAAGAAAATCTTCGTCGTTGGCCCTTCTTCGTCCCAAGACAGGTGCTTCTACTGCCATCAATGTCTCGCCTGCTATGGCCCATAAAAAGGATATGGATTCCATCTCTAATGTCGTTTCTCTTTAAATATCATTTACCCTTTTTTGTACCTATAACATTTTCAAATAAATATACATATTAAAAAAAAAAAAATTATCGTTTGATGTGATGGGAGGGGTTTATTGTTGTAAATAAAATCTAAACTAGACGGCAACATAACCACCACTTCCGGGACGACGTGACATGACAGAGTCAACAACGTGAGCGAAAAGATCCTACAAGAAAAGAAAAAAGATGAGTAACAAAGAAAAGAAGAAGGAAGGAAGGTAGACTTTACTCTGATGAGGTAAGGAAGATCAAGCCAAAATTCTACAACAAATAAAAAAAAAACAATGAGTATTTTTATTATCTCTAAAAAAAATAAAACTTACCGAGATGAGGAATGAGATCGCGACCTCTGGCATTATAGACTTTAAAGTTATAAAATGCACCTCCAATGAAATAAACCGCAGCCAAGACAAGAACAATGGTAAAGAAAATACCCATACCTGACATACCCTTTGATTCTTCTTCCTTCTTTTTGTCATCTCCGTTCTTATCATCCTTGTGATCAGGTACCTTTTCTCCAGCCTTGATACTATCCTTATTTTCGTCAGTCCTCCTCTCTCTCTTTTTTTCCCTAAATTTTCACTTACGCGCATGCAAACACTGTCTTCCATTGGAGGTTTAAAACATTGTTATTGTAAGACACAACAACAGGGTTTTTAGCCTTATCCTATTTGTATGTACGTCATAAAAAGTTCAGTTCTCCGATCCCCTCCTCTTTTTTATATATATATTTGGGTGTTATAAAAAAACTTACACTACGGGATTGAGATTCATCACATTCTAAAGTAATCGAAGCGGATTGATCATGTTTGTTAAAAGTTCCTCCGTTTAACGTCAAGACGTACTGATACCCACCTACAGACCATGTTAGTCCCCCTTTTTCCTCCTCTTTCTCTTGTCAGAATACTTACTCTTGGTGGCATCGGCTTCAGCATCAATAGGTTTAAATTCGGGTTTTAACTTGCTATACATGATGTTAGTTCTCTTTTGTCCCCCTTTTCAACTCTTGTATATTATTTACTCTTCCACATCCACGGCGATATTTTGTACAATGGCGACGAATTCCGTTTCTTTATCATCTTTGAGCTTTTTAGCATACACGGTTTTTCTACAAATGAGCTTTTTTTTTCGGGATGAGTTTTTTAGCATGTCACATTAAAAAGAAATAAAACTTACTGCTCCTTTTGTACAAATGTCTGTATTGTCCTTTTCATCAGGAATAGGAAGTGCCTCACATAAATTTAATTGAGTGACAATGGAAAGGGTTGTGGGTGGTGTGGATTCGTTCTGGTATACAACAAACTCTCTACATTGAATGGTTCAGCTTTAAAGGATGACGCTTTCTTCGGTGTTTTTTTTTTACCTGTTGAGTGGGGTTAAATCCAATTGTAAGTCTTTGTTCTCAATAGGTTTATAACCCGCTTGACAATAACTTTGCAATGCTAAAGCCCCTGTCGAACAAAATAGAACTGCTAAAAATGAAGCCTTCATTTTATTTATTTATAAAAGATGTAATAAAAAGAGAAAGAAAAAGAGAGAGGGGAATAATTTAAACCTCCCCCTAGTAAAGAGATTCTAAAAAAAATGTGTGTGTAATGCTTGTGTGTGTGACTTAGTCTTTATGAAGATGCGTACGAGAATTACTGGGTAATCCTCCACCGGGTTGATTCCAAGACAAGTAAGATTCATCACCCAATTTTCTTGGTTTAATCAAATGACGTAAAGTAAAGAGGATACCCAAGACAATGCATAATGCACCAATGGACATAAAGGCGATCCCCAAGTAAGGATTACGACCTCCCAATGCTGTGGTGGTTGACAACACGAGCCATTTTGTACCACCGTACTGAAGCGTGTCAAAATCTATATAGGTTTTTTGTCAGTTCGTGTGGTCCCTCCCTCTCCTTTCAAAAAAAAAACTCACTCATGTCAATGGAGACGCGCCATCGACCTGCTGGTAAATCTTGGTCATCATTACGAGCCCATATTTTACGAAAGTCAGGTAATGCTGCCACGTGCATCCATACCATGAAACGGTCTTGGGTGGATAAATCAGGCGGAGGAAATTCTTCCGTGTATTGACCATTAGGGTACCGCAGAGCCCAATTGGGTGGTGGCACAATTTCAGAAATTTGATACTTTGTAGGTCCATATTTCTGTTTATCCGTTGGCCAAGCAATTCCCTTTGTCGTCATTTCGTACGTACCCGTCGCATCCACCGACGTTAAATTCGAGGCAGTGTCTATTTCATTTTTTAGTTATTTTTTAGTCCCAATTGAATCCCTCTACCCAGAAAAAGAAGAAAAAAAAAACGAACCGTTAAACATGGAGTTGGCAATGAGTCCACACGGGTAAATGACTTTACCATCACTAGAATAAGCCAAAGGATCACAATTGGTACGTAAAGTAGCAGACCCCACACGGTCTCCTAAAAACTGATCAAAGTCAAAGTTCTTGATATACTGTCGATGATTTTGATAAAAGTTGGTTAAACGATAATACATAAAGACGGGACCCTTCATGGTGGTAGGGACAGTAAAGTCAATAGTGCAACGAGGGATCTGTAAACGGTTGGGGTTTTTCCATTCGGGGTCAAGAAATTCAGTTGCGTTACTGTAGCTGTAAACGGGTGCCTGCATGCTGGAGAAATCATAGGATGCGTCTGCGATTTGGTAATCGTACAGTTTGGGCTCGAGGTAGACGGGACTGGTGTATTGTTGACAGTAGGAATAATTAATCATGATTTGGTCCACTTTGTTGCTGTTCCACCAGAGTAGACCGCCCGTAGGGCAGAAGAGAATGCCGATAAGGAATAAAGTAGGTAGGACGCTACGTGGTGTCATGACGGGTTGCCAGGCAGGTAACCGTTGTTGTCGAAATGCGCCATCTTTTTTATTTTGTAATTAGTCTTTAGGTTGCTAGGTAACTGTCTCTCTTTCTCTTTTTTTTTTATTATTTTACCAACGGGTTTTTTGCTTTTTTGTACAAGTTCGGAATCTTGTTCTTTTGCCATAATGTACAACAATAAGAAAAAAAAAAAAAAAAAGAATAAATATATATTTTTTTTTTCTGCTTTTTTTTAAAAAAAAGTAGAATGATAAGCCGGTAAATCATTCACCAAGATCAGTCACGATACAAAAAGCAAGATCGGCATTGTTGTTCTGCTAAATATTAAACCCGGAAACCTATTGTCAACTCCTTATAGTGTTTATTTTTCCCACAAAATAAAGGAGACGTTTTATCTTGAAAAGCGTGAGAGAAAAAGAGAGAGAGAGAGGTAAAAGGAATATTTAAACAAGAACTAACTTTTTTTTTCCCTCTCTCTCTCTCTCTCTTTCTTTTCCCTTTTAACAATCAATCAATCAAACTAACAAAAAAAAATGAGAATTATATCCAGTCAATTATCAGAAGCCATCAAGGTAACAGAGGCATGGGAAGGTTTTATTCAAACAAAATACGGTACGAACAAATCCGACAAAGAGACAAGCGCCTTTCGTGATTACACAGTGGCAGATGAGGAACAACCCTTAGTCTCTGCTTTCTACCGAGAAAACCATCAGAAGCAAACTTTAGCTCATGTCCTTCACCAAAAGAAGCTCTATGGCAGCCTAGATCATGCCGTCATGGGTATCTGGGAAGCCCTCGAACTCCTCGATACCTTGATCGATGAATCTGACCCAGACACACACATGACTCAAATCGTGCATTCCTTGCAATCCGCAGAAGCCGCCAGAAGAGACGGTCAACCACGTTGGATGATCTTGACCGCATTAATTCATGACCTTGGCAAGTACCTCTTCTTTCTGGGTGAACCTCAATGGACTGTCGTGGGGGATACTTTCCCCGTAGGGTGTGCCTTTTCTCCCAAGATCGTCTATCATCGTTACCTGCAGGAAAATCCAGACCATGACCATCCCGTGTATTCCACGCGCTATGGTATCTACTCCCCTCATTGTGGTCTGGACAACGTTCATCTCTCCTACGGTCATGACGAATATTTTTATCAAGTGTGTAAGAACCACGGTTTACCAGCAGAGGCGTTGTATATTCTTCGCTATCATTCGTTTTATGCCTGTCATACAGAGGGAGAATATGCGTGGTTACTCAATGAGAAGGATACCGATATGATGCCATGGGTCAAGACTTTTAATCAATATGATCTTTATTCTAAAGCAGAAGCAGTACCGGATGTAGAAGCGTTAAAACCTTTTTATTTGGATCTTATTCATGAGTTTTTTCCTCAACAAATAAAATGGTAGTGATAGTCATTATATATTTTTTAAATATTTTTTTTTATTATATAAGAGAAACTATGGTACAATGATTAAGAAAAAGAGAAAAAGGGAGTAGGGTAAAGACAAGAGTATGTAAAAAAAGTAGTAGTAGTAAATGTGTGTTGAAAATATGTAAGAGAGAAGAAGAAAAAAAAAAGTGGAATATAGGGTGTGTGTGTTTTTTTTTATGTCTCGAAAGACTTGACAATGGCTTCAATAGATCTGTTCTTTGTTTCAGGGACTCTGAAGAAAGTAAAGACAAAGGCCATAGCGGCAATAGCAGCAAAGATGGCAAAGGAGTAACCTTGGATCTTGGCAAAGATAACAGGGAAACATTGACCAATCAAGAAATTCATGGCCCAGTTGACAGCAGTAGCAACAGATCCGACAGCAGAGGAAGCATAGACAGGAGACATTTCAGAGGTCATCATCCAGGGAATGGGACCTACACCTACAGCAAAGGAGAGAACATAACCAAAGACAGCAACGACTAAAAGAGCACCAATGTTGTAGACATAACCAATGATCAAGAGTACAGAAAAGATACAGGCACCTGCTTCGGCAATTAAGAGCAAAGGACGACGACCCATACGATCCACCAAGATCAAGGAGACGATGGTAGAGACAAAGTTGACAACAGTAGTGACGATAGCCATGTACTTGGACATATCAGCATCGAAGGACATCTTGAAGATGGTAGTGGAGTAGTACATGACAGCATTCATACCGATCAATTGTTGGATGACATGGAGAAGAATGACAGTAACAGCAATCTTGCGGATAATAGGGTCTTGGAAGATTTGGATCATATTTAAAGTAGGATGAACAAAGTCATCATCACCTTGAGGCTTGGCTTCCATAGTAGCAGCAGCACCGTCTTCAAGGTTGGTCTTATCAAAGGAATCCTTTTCGATGGACTTGACAGCTTCGATTTCGTTGATGTTGGTGACAGCCTTGGCAGCAAAAGTACCGAGAATACCTTCGACTTGTTCAAAGAATTCACGCTCGATGTTGGCATTGGGACGAAGTCTTTGAAGGTTAGCACGGGCTTCTTCAAGACGGTTTTGTGTGATGAGGTAGCGAGGAGATTCAACACATCCGGCCATCAAAAAGAATTGGGCGATAGCAGGGATAGCGACGATAGCATAATTGATTCTCCAAAGGGGAACATAGGCAAGAGGAAGACCGACGACGGAAGCAAGTAAGATACCAATGACAATAGCAAATTGGTTACAAGTACCCATGGTACCACGACCCTTGACAGTAGAGATTTCACCAACGTAAGTAGGAGTAGTAAGAGAACCAAGACCACAAGAGAGACCACACAAGATACGACCAATGATAAACATGGCAGGGGAGACGGAAGCACCGATTAAGACAGCACCAATGATCCAGCCAATGTTGTTGAAGATGATGGTCTTTTTACGACCGAATTTTGTTTGAATAGTACCACCAGAGATACCACCAATTAAACCACCTACACAGAAAGAAGAAACAGCGAAACCCCAAAGGGCATCGTTCATGGGGAGACAATCGGGGAAAGCACTGTTAGCGATATGAGACATGCCGTTTTCACAAGCATGAGTGACTTCTCCGGGAACGTTGGCAGAACCAATAACCCAACCGTTACTGAAGGAGCCAAGACAGGCAATGATGACACAGTATACCATGTATCCTGGTAATTTTAAATCGAGAGAATCCATTAAAATATTTTTATAAAAGAGATGAAATATAGAATGAAGAAAATATAATAATAAAAAAAAAAAAATAGGAAAACGGGATCAAAAACGTGTTACTTATATACTTTTTTTCTTTTCTTTCGGGATCAGTGTAATTTCTTTAAAACTTCCCCGCGTACTTAATTTGGAAATTATTACTTTGGTACGACCCTTACTGAGAAAGAAAAAGTTATTTTTGTCACGCCACCTGTACGACACTTCCATGATTCATCATTCTCCATTGGTCCTCTTTTTTTTTTTTTTTAGCTTGGGTGGGTATAAAGATATCTTATAGGTTTCGTTGTTAGATAGCCTTGTGCAAAATAGGTATTTTAGAAAAAAAAAAAGCATCCAATGTTTATGTCTCTAAATAAAAAACAATTAGTTCAGGGACGTCTGGCCCTTTTTTTTTTTTTTTGGATATGGTACGGAGACAGCGGAAAGGCAAACACAGGCGATGTTTCATTTCAGCTGGAAATTGTCCCGGGAGATCCCCTTTTATTTTATTTTTCTTTTTTAAACAAGGTTTCTTTTTATTATTATTATTGAATGTAGTACTCATAAAATATAAAAGTATAACTTTTTAGCACTGCATGCATACACACGCACACGCACACACGCACACAAATAAAAAGAAGGGAACCTTTTTTTTTTTTTTTTTTTTACCCAATTGTTCCCTTTAGATATTTCCCCGCCTTTACCAGTTAAATTGAATGTGCGTCGATCGAAAATGGAAAGTCGAGTGGGGCATTTTACTGGGGGTGCCTCTCTGTCTTTGATCACCGACGTCTCTCTCTCATTTTAATATGGATTTGACCCTGTTTTCCCTTTTTCGGAAAACAGCCCTTTTGTCTATTGGTAATATGAATTCTGCTTTTGCATAGATGATGTATAATCACTATTTTCTCCCCCTCCCCCTTCTCTTTTCCCTCTCATTTTGTATGGAATCTCTATCACCTTGGTGATGCCAAGGAAACTTGAATAAAGCCAAATGATTGCAGCAACGGGACTTGAAAAGCTTGTTTTTAAATTGATTATGTAAAATATCCGTGGAAAAATTTATTCACAAGTCCCCGGAATAACTATTATTTATTAAAAGGGGTGTATCCAATCAATGAGTATATGACCCGAATGTTTAAAAAAAAATTGTCATGAGCACAAAAGTCATCCTAAATGCTTTTCTTATTATTTAACTTTTACCCATTTATTTATTACCACTCTTTAAATGGGAAAGCAGACAGCTCTAATTAAATTAAAAAAAGGACGGGTAAAGGGAAGGGACCTTTGGAAGAATTACAAGTTGTGTAGGTCTGTTCTTTTTTTTCAGTCATTTACCGTCTTCTTACCCCATTGGCCCAGTAAAAAGGTGGTATGTTTGAGTGATGTACCCTAGCCTAGTAAAAAAAAGTTCCCGTAATTACCCCCACCCCCCTGAACACAACCGAATGGGATAGACGTCAAAATTACCTGTAAAAGTGGGAAGATGTGGGATAATTTTTTTTATTTGGGAAAACAGTAGAGAGATCTTGGACATCTCTCTCGTCACCTTTTTTTTTTTACAAAGACTCCGATTTTATTCACACACACGTTGGTCTTTGCTTATCATCCATCTTTCCCCCAAAAATAAACTTTCTTCTTCGCGGATAGATCGGCCGAAATAATAAGCCTTATTTCTTATTATCGGGCATGACACAGGTATATATCTCTGCATTATGCATGTATATTTTTCCTTCCGTCAGTACATGTATATCTACTAAAATACTATTTATTAGCATACGTCCGTTCAATGGGACTTTTTTTTTGTTTTTATCTGTCTCTATCGCTATTGGATGAAAGAATTGGTTATCTCAAATTGGGAAACACGCAACCCTGTCAAAGAATAATCATGATGTAATCCATGTTCCCACTCCATTATTGGCAGTACAATCTCCTCTCCCGTTTTTTTTTTGGGGGTGGGCCTGTAACCACTGGCTATTTACAATGGCTATTTACAGTCTATAGCGTATACAATGATGATGGCAGGACAGATTCTCAGAGTGGTGCGTTTGTATACCATGTCATTGGTAGCATATAAAATGAGGATATCACATGTTAAAACAGACTCGTCTAGAATTCACACCTGAAAGAAAATGACAGGCCACTCGCACAGCACCGTACCCTCTAAAGACGTACAAGAAATAAACGATAAGATCCCTAAAGGTTTAAAAATAAATGGTAATCTATCTCAATCATTATTAATAAATGGCTCACTTTTGTTCCCGTTCTAATGTATGGTACATACCCAATGAAATGAAACATGCCATAATTTAAAAGTGGGAGCGGGGAGCCTCAGGGCGAAAAATAAAATAAAAAAAGAATGTATCACCTCATGACCCTTTTGCCATGACGACATGAGAGGATTTCTTAGATATTAGCAAATGTATCTGTCCCAATAGAACGTAGAGAAGAATGGATTTTCATGTTCTTTTTCAGTGACGGCATCATGATATAGTTAAATCTTTTTTTTTTGACATTTGCTTTTTAAAAATGACATGCCGTGTGAGAAAGTCAATCAGAATAAAGTGAACACACGCACACACACAGACACCTGATAAACAGTTACTGGTCTGAATGTGGTGATTCATAGAGAGTGTACAATAAATTATCATCGTGCCCTCTTTTATTACGACAAGGGTGTATATTATTTAGATAGTTAGTAAAAGTGATATAAGTCGACTCAAAGATTTCTAAATCATTCCACAAGTCACTGTAGCTAAAGATCACACTACACTCATCGGCTAATATATTTCATTTGTTTATGTGTTTCCAACGAGTTAATGGGATCTTATATGTGGAGATTATTATTTTACTTGATTCCCAATGATTAACACTCCTACACTTACAGTGAAGTAGTATATATATATATGTATATTCTTCTCTCTTACCACTCTTGTAAAATAAATAGGTTTACTTTTTATGATCACACATCCTATTATTTTATTTGCTTACAAAATGTTGCTGCAATTAAATTTATTTACCCCCTATTTTAGTGTACTTTTTTTTTTTGTTTATCTACCAAGAGCATGAAAAAGCCTTTTTGTAATGCAGATGGTCAATGTATCCCTTCAATATAACTTGAAGGGCTGTCATAAGTCATCTTTATCTACCGAGTAGTAATTTTCAAAAAAGAGAGCATTACTTTTACATGTCAGGATTTTTTTACGTGCTCCACATTTTTTGCATAATAATTTTCAAGGTAGTACAAACCTCCCTTTAATTTTGGGTTAGCTAATAATCCATATAACATAATCAAACTGAAACCTCCATGGAAGTGATAGCCACAAACTCTCACACAGTCTCTCTTTATAAGTAGGAAGAGGCACCTCTCTTTTTTTTCGCTGCTCTTTCTTTTTCTATTCATGAAAAGTAATAATGTTGAACAAAAGGCATTGCAGCAACGCTCATCTCGGTCTCCTCTCCAAATAACAATGGTGCGTCTACTGGGTCGTAATGTCAAACAATGGTCTCATTAAGATTATAAAAAGTCTTATAGAGAAAGAAGTACGCGTTGTATGGTGTACGTGTATGCCCGTCTTTCACACCTCCTGGACCTGTATCGCCAATGTCAAAGCATGTTGGTGTCCTTGTAGCTATATTTTAAAAATTAATATAGGTTATTGGCTCTCTCTCTCTCTCTCTCTCTCATAAAAGTCCAATAAGGATAAAACCAAAATAATGGCTCCACAACAAGTGGCCTGTTGACTGAATACTACTACTAGGATCTGACAAGTATACGCGTAATGCACTAATGAGAAAAAAAAATCGGTGTCGATAACCTTCGTTGACACCACTCTTAATACTCTATTTGGCCTTTCAAGTCTTGTTTGCTCCGTCAATAATACATCTACTTCACGTCTTGCAACGCTGATAAAAATTACTTGTGTCCGATTTTTTAACTTCATGATAATCTCACTACTTATACCCAAACCTGTTGCACTATAGGCATAAAACATACCCCACACGCACACACACACACACACACACATCCCTTATACCCAAGTAGAATGCTTTAGAATATGCTCTTGATACCCATGGCCTGGTGTTGTAGAAATAGAATTATCCCGGTGTCATAGATATAGAATATACCCTCAATACTCAAGCCTGGTGCTATTCATTATAATCATCACCTATACCCACAAGCCTGCTGCGGATACCCAAACCCAGTGCTTTATGATAGAGTAAGTACACTTGATGCTTATATCCGGTGCTGGGAAAGAAGATACCCATTTTATCTATACAGCCTGATGCCATACCCAATTATAGTTTTTTAGAGAGGATGTAGAACTAGAATAATACACACGCCTATACCCAAGCCTGATGCTAATTCAAATCATTTATCTGAATTCAGCGCTATAAACATAGAAGATACCCTCAATATACCCCTCCCCCCCCACCCTTCCCTAGGCTGACGCCTTAGATATAGAGTATACCCGAGCCTAGTACCATGCATGTAGAATACATCCAATTTACTATATATGCCTGATCGTGGTGTTGTAGAAATTAAAAAAGAAGACGCAGAACTTATATCAACATACCCAAGCCTGGCCATCAATTGTCATTTTTGATATTTGAAGCTGGTGATATCAAAATATAATCACCTTCTATCCCTCCAGAGACTGATGCTGTAAACATAAAAAAACACTCTCAACACCCAAGGTCCTCCTATCTGTTGCTATAGAAAATAGAAGATGCCCACCTATACCCAAACCTAGCGCTTTAGAAGAATAAAGCAATCCCTAATTATTCAAGCCCAATGCTATTCAAAACCAACAAGCACCCTATATACCTCCCACGCCTGACGATTTAAACATAAAATATTTAGCTTTCAATGCAAAATAGCAAGCCTGGTGCTTTAAAAATCCAATAAGACCTTTATACCCTCAAGTCTTTTAGCCAGAAACAAAGAATACCCAAAGTACCGAGCATGATGCATTTATCCCAATCCTGGTGTTTCATAAATTAAAAAAACAAAGATTATTATCAAATACATACCCATATACCCATATACCCATATACTTATATACCCATATACCCATATACCCATATACCCATATACCCATATACCCATATACCCATATACCCATATACCCATATACCCATATACCCATATACCCATATACCCATATACCCATATACCCATATACCCATATACCCTTATACCCATATACCCATATACCCAGACTTGATTGCACCATTCTAAACAATCATATCTTATTTATACCCAACCTTGGACAAGATTAGATGAAAGATCGAAACAGCTCCAAAGAAAAGCATGATGGAACAAGCGGTGAAACAAGATTTTTTTTTAAGGTAGGGTAGGGAAAACTTGATTCGAACAGAGGAGTATAAATCAAGGCAAGTGTTGGATATTCCATTTTTTTTTTTATTCATGCAAAAGTTGTCTTCTTTGGTAAAAAGGAGGTAGATAGGCTTTGTACTTAAACCTAGGTTTATTCGTTGTGCACGATGGTACACTCCCCCCCCCCCCTCTCCTAGCCAAAGTAAAAATGAATCAGCAACGGCAACGGGCAAAGGATATGAAGGATGCCAATTTCAAAGAGAATAATATCACTTTACCCAGGATTCGTCATTATGCAGCTAATAAGTCCTTCCTCATTGATTTATTTTAGAAGGGACAGGTCGCGTGGGATAAGCTTTTTCGGTAACCAGGTGAAAACGTCGGTAAATCAAAAAAAAGAGAGAGACAACCACAAATGTTATTTTTTTTTTCGTTGAAAGGAGGGTTTTATATTCCAGCATGTCAAACTCTTTTCCGTTACCAGCAAAATACAGCCATGACAGTCCAGAAGAATACCTGGAAAGACTCATGTCGTTTTACAAGGAATACCATTGGTTAATTCATGTACTTGCCTTTAACTTCGTAACACTTTCTGAATGGGAGAATTTTCCTCTCGAATGGCGAGAAGCGCTTACCGATCGCATGCAAGGTGACAATTGGGCCATGGACATGTTGGAATTGACCTCCGAAACCAGTGATCATGTAAATGGATGAAATATGATAGGATAGAAAGAGAGAGAGAAAAAAAAAAACTAAACAAAAAATTAAGTCGATTTGGCCGGAATCGCTTCAACGGTATTTAGATGCAACTCGCGACCTAGCTTTACCTCGTGTAGTGAATAAAAAAGAAGAAGATCAAGGCATCAGTAAACACATTACGTGTGGTATGAGCGATAAAAAGATTCATGAAGTAGAATTGATGAGCCACTTGATTAAAAGTGTGGCTGATGAACGAGGTATTCACTCAGTCATTGACCTTGGCTCGGGTCAAGGGTATCTCTCACGAGCACTGGCGTTTGATCAAGGGCTTGAAGTATTAGCAGTGGACATGTGTGAGATTCAAACCACTGGCGCTAAAAAGTACGATCAAAAAGCCCTCAAGTGGTTAAAAGAACAAGACAACCATCCCAATCTAAAGCATGTGACGGAAAAAATCACTCCAGAGAACCTAGCACAAGTCTTGGCTCGCTGGAGTCCTGATTCTCCCGAAGAGAAACGTTGGTTGGTTACAGGCTTACATACCTGTGGAGATTTGTCGCCCATGATCTTTAATTTGTTTGCACAAAGTGAACAAGTGGCGTGTGTGGTGAATGTAGGATGTTGTTATAATGCATTGACAAAGGAAGGGTTTCCCATGAGCACCTATTTAAAGGAAAAAGAAGATCTGATTAAAGTGGGATCAACGGCCAAAGTGTTGTCCTGTCATACGCCATCACGATGGTTGGAAGAAGGAGAGCAATGCATCAAGGCCTTTGACAATTATTACTTTCGAGCCTTACTTCAGGTATACACTAGATATATGTGTGAGTGGCTGTGGTAATACTAAGATTATATTACTAGGAAATGTTGGTGGAGAGAGGATTGTCTGATATCAATGATCCTCCTCGTTTGGGTAGAATCAAGCAAAATAAGGAATTTGTACCGTTTGTGAAAGCGTCCCTAAGACGATTGAAATTAGGAGAGGATACGATTACAGCCGAAGAAGCCGAGATGCATTATGAAAAGAGTCGAGCAAAGGGAGTGGATCGACAGTTTGTGACGCTTTGGATATTGCGTGGGTTGTTGGCACCTATTGTAGAGAGTATTATCTTGGTGGATCGATGGATATATTTACGTGATTGCATTGAAAAGAGTCAAGATGAATACAAGGGCGCATGGATGTATCCATTATTTGACTTGGATGCTTCACCACGAAATGTAGTATACATTGGATCAAAGTAATATAAATGAAAAACAAACATCTAGGTTTTTATTGATATATATACATTTATTTTTTGTTAAAAAAATCATCTTTTTTACTTCTTCTTTCCTTCCTTCTTCTTGATGGTTTCGTCATTGATAAAGATACCCTTTTGGTTATAAGGTTCAGGCATTCTCCAACGTTGAATCTTTGCAGCAAACTCTGTGACGTGTTGAAGGTTAGCACCTTGCAAGATGATACGGTTAGGAGCAGGTACAGTACAAGTGACACCTTGGGGTAACTCCATTTGGATAGGATGAGAATAACCTAATTTGAGAGATAAAATTCTGTTATCACCTTCCAAAAGACCTCTGTAACCAACACCAACAAGACGTAAATAGACTTTGTAGCCGTCAGAGACACCAATAATGGCATTGTTGATCAATGCACGAGTAGTACCCCACATGCAACGTTGTTGCTTTTCCTGATCGTTTTCGATGGAGACCTGTAATAAATTCTCAGCGTTGGGGTCGTCTTTGGCGGCAGGAGTAAGACCAATATGAACAAAAGGTTTGATGGGTAACGATAACTTTCCTAATGGGCCTGTAACTGTCAAGAGCGTGTTGTGTAATTCAGAAGGAATACGAGGTTCAGTAATAGGTGTCATGTCATGTTCCACTTTGATTTCTTGAGCATAGGCGATAGGTTTACGTCCAATATGAGACAATACAGGTGAGGCAGCATGAAATTGTCTGCTTCCTAAGCCATTCAAGCCCTTGAATCCTACACTTAATCTTGTGAAGCTCATTCTAGCTAATTAAAAAAAAAATTAAAAAAGTGAGGGGGTCCGCACTAGCTAGGGGCCCACCCAACTGGGTCTTTTTTCTTTTTCTTTTTTTTTTTTTTTCCTTCTTGTCTGTAGAAAGATAGTCACATCGGACTTTCTTTTTTTGGCCCTGATTTTTTTTTTTTTTTTTTTTTTGGAACTTATCAGTTGTGGTCAGCTGTCGAATGAGGGAGATGATTGATGATGCATGAATATATGTTTGAAGCATAACGGAGAGAGTTAAATAAGTTATACAAAGAGAAATAAAAGAGAAAGGGAATTTCGATCTTGTGCAACGAAAACTAAAACACCGAATGTCAAATAAAAGGGGGGTGGGGGGCGTTATATCTTTATAAAGTTTCATAATTCTTTTTGATTAATTAAAACAAAATACTTGCTAATGAACAATTACACCCATAAATAACATGTTATTTCTAATTCAACTCCTAATAACCTTCTTTTTGACAACAATTGGGATACCTAAATTATTTTTGAACATGAAAAAAAAAATCATGTGACGTCACCTTTTGTTACAAAATGCATTGACTCTCATTTTGACTTTTTTTTTTTTTCTCTCTTAGTTCTCTCTTTTCCTCTTTTTTAACTCTTTTTTTTTTTTTTTTTACAGAAAAAAAAACCTTTTTTTTTTTTTTTTCATAAAAGAACAAAGGGTAAAAACAAAAGAACATTTAAACAATAATCAACTTTTATTAATCCGCACACTAGTTTTTTATATATATATATATTCTTATTCTTTGCAAAGAAAAAAAAAAGAAATAGATAATCCTTTTATTGGTAAAAAAAAAAAGAAAAAAATAACAAATAGAAAGAGATTGTTTAACCCTTTTTTAAATGTTTAAAATAGATTGTATGATATAACACTTTTTTTTTTTCTTTATATATAATTATATATACATTACATTTTCCCTTTTTTTTTTCTTTTACAAAAAAAAAATTTTTTTTTTCTATACACTCTTACTTTTATATATACATACACACACCACACACACATACATAACAACAACAACAATAACAACAACGCCCTTGTAAACAGTAAGAATGACACATGATAAAAAGCCTCGAGGAAGAACATCATGTCAAGACCCCAACAAGACGGATAAAGCAGGACGCACCAAAATATTTTCTTCCACCAGTTCAGGCAGTCTTCAGAAAGTCAAGGAATTAATTGAGCGTGGTGCAGATGTAAATCACAGAGATAATGCAGGCTGGGCTCCACTTCATGAAGCCGCTCTCAAAGGTCAATACGCCATTGCCCAACATCTCATCCAATGCGGTGCCATTGTTAACGTACGTGGATTTGAAGACGACACCCCTTTACATGACGCCTGTTCATATGGTTATGCCGATTGTGTGAAATTATTGGTCGACTCGGGCGCAGACGTTTATGCCCTCAACACCGATAAAAAGAGACCCATCGATCTCTGTGAGGACAAGACCTGCATCAGTCTTGTCAAGGCCAAAATGAAGGAATTAGATCGTTTGGCTTCTAGAGACACGCAGGGTAAAACTTCGCTTCATCGCGCCTGTATCGATGGCAACCTCACAAAAGTACAGCACTTATTAATGACCGGTGCCAATACAAATGCAACTGATACCTTAGAATGGACTCCGTTACATTGTGCTGCCCGCTATGGTCATTTGGAAATCACCAAATTATTAATTGACCACGGTGCTGATATCAATAGCTTGGGTCAGGGTGCCTCCACCGTATTACACATTGCTTGTCAGTACGGTCATGAAGCTATTGTACAATACCTTGTTCAAATGGGTGCAGATGTGCATGCCACAGATGCTCAAGATCAGACACCCTATGCTGTCTCTCATTCAGTGACGGTGCGACAAATCATTACTGCTCACATTGACGAAGAACGCCGATTAAGAGCAACCACGGAAGCCATTGATGAAATCACTTTTGTATCCAATACCAAACAGAAACGTAAAAATAACAACGAAGATGCTTTACTATCACGTGAGGAGCGTAAGATTCAAGCCATCATGAAGGCTTTTGAAAAAGCAGAAAAGAAACAACAAGCCAAAAGAGAACGACAGGAAGAAACCATTGTAAATAATAATAATAATCATAATCATACGCATAATAATATAAAGAAGAGAAAATCGTCATCCAAAAGAGACTGTTCCTCTGAGCCACCACCACCACCACCTACAACAACAACAACGCCCATAACGCCAAAAAAACCGATGGTTGTAGATACAAGTAAATTCGATCCTTATAAAAAGGATACCAGTGGACGTACGCATCTTCATCGATGGTCCATTCGTGGTAACGTACAAGCGGTAGAAACCTTATTAAAAGCTGGCGCAAATCCATGTGAACGAGATCATGCCGGCTATACACCATTACATGAAGCCGCTTTACGTGGAAAAACTGACGTGGTTCGATTACTCCTCGAATCAAACGCAAATGTCAATTGTCAAGGTGCTGATTTCGATACTCCCCTTCATGATGCAACCGAGAATGGATACCCGGATGTAGTGCTCTTACTACTCGAATACGGTGCTGATGTGAATGCTAAAAATTCGAAAGGCCTGACACCGCTGGAAATCGCCATCGATCAAGATAATAAAGAAATCGAGGCTCTGCTAAAGCAGTACAAAGGTATGATGTGTCTCTGCATTTCGTATGCTCGTCTGATGTACTAACAATATATGCATATAAAAAAAAAAGATATCAAGCCGAAAAAACGAAAACTGGTATTGGCAGCAGATATGCCACCGTGTAAACAACCTGAATCTCCCACGTCGCCCATCGGCAATCATAGTGGTGGTGTATTTGGTGATATGAAGACCGCCAAAGCGCATGCGCGACAACTTTCGGGCCAGCATTTGCCTAAAAAGAGCTTAAAAGCACATTTGGTGAAAACCGAAGTTACCCTAGCAACGACCCCGACCACGACTGTTGACGAAGGACCGCATACACCTATACCTACGCCACCTCCCGAACGATGGCAACAAAAAGTCGTTTTAAAAGAAGAAGACCTATACCCTTCCATTCATTGTGCATCCCGCTATCTTCCACTTTATACAATTCAATTATGTGATCACTTTTTTGTGGTGGATCTCCAAGTGAGTCTACTGTTGGGGATTAGTACACAGGATTTAATGAGTCAGTATCCTCATCTGGACAGACGACCGGTTCAGAGCAAAGAAAAGGAAAGACTTTGGTCTCCACTATCCACCATGTTGACACAAGATCAATCACGTCAAGGGGAGAAACAGAAATTTTTGGAAACGGACATCTATTTTGTTCGTTTGGATCAAGTGATTTCAGTGATCAAGGATGATTATAGTCATCTAAGTAAGAGTATCATTACCATCACATTGGATATCGGTTATACCTCTCCTCCTCCGGTAAAATTACCACCTAAATTTGCCATGAAGATGAGAAAATGTGGTATGCTTAAATTTGATCAGAAAACTTGAATTTATTAAAAATAAATAATAATGATATTAATAAAGAAAAAAAAAATTTGTTATATGACTTTAAAACTTAAAGACGTTCTTTTGTTCATAACCTAATTCCTTCAAGACACCTTCGAGTTCGCCTTGACTCTTCATGGTACGAACACCAGCTAAAGATTTAACCATGGGAGGAGGACCGCAGACAAAGATGATGGTGTCATCTTGTTCGGGGCTAGGTAAGTTAGCCTTGACAACCTCAGCGGTAACATAACCTGTCACACCGTTCCAACCTTCAGGAGCCTTATCCAATGCATAGGTGACCTTGAAACGATCAGGGTGTTCCTTAGCAATCTTGTCTAATTCGTCCTTCAACAAGATATCTTGTTCGGTTTGGTTAGCAAAGATCAAGGAGATCTTGGTCTTCTTATCGGTGGATTTCTCATCAAAGACTCTGCGGATGATTTGAAGCATGGGGGTAATACCAGTACCGCCAGCAATCATACCAACATTGGCCTTTTGATCTTTCTCCCAGTCGTATTTAGGAATGGGGCCCTTAAAATCAAGAGTGTCTCCAGGCTTCATGTTGTGAATCACGGGAGTCAATTTACCGTCATTGTACTTTTTAATGATGAAATCGACATGTCCTTCAGCCTAAAGATAGATTTTGTTTTAGTGTTCTTGTTATTTACATCTTACCACATGGAAAACTCACCTCGGATTCAGAAACGGGGGTATAGGGACGGATGATGGGTTTGCCGCCTTCAACAGCGTGCTTGACAACCACGCAAGAGGCGATAGGAAGACCAGCGACATGACCCTTGGGAAGTTCGAAACTGAAAAGGCTGGTATCATGTGTAATAGGCTTAATCTCGGCCAACTAAAAAATGATGAACGCGTTTTTTTTTTAGTTTGGTTTAGAAAAACGGTTGAATTATCCTTCCGTGTGCCGTGTACAACAACAAACCTTGAGAGACACAAATCCGTCATTTTTGAAAGCAGCGATTTTCTCTTGAATCTTTTCCTCAATCACGGGTAAAATCTTGGTTTGAGATGAATTATAAGTGATACCGCCCAAGATACCAGCACCGACTAAAGCAGCGACTAAAATCTTGCTGCCGGATTTCTTGGGTGCTTGACCACCGGTTGTATAAGCACGAGCAAATGTTTGGTTCTGTTTATTCTTCCGTTAGTTGGTTGTAACGTGAGTTTATGAAAAAGAAGTGCTTACTTGGTTAACCATACGGGCTTGAGCAACACTGCGAAGTGCGCTAGTCATGCTAGGAGAAGTAAAACGCATATTGATAATTAAAAAAAGAAAATTTTGTTTGCAAAAAAAAAAGAAGAAAAAATGTTTTTTCGTTCCATCCAAGATGCTATTTTATAATACAATGACGTGACATCATCATCACCAAATTTTTTTATCAGATTTTAAAAAAAAAAATTAGGTCATTTTGGTGTGGAGATGAATAGTTACAAAAAAGGAAAAAAGTCATAGTTCATATAAACTCTATGCTAATAATTTTTTAGTTTCCCTTTCTATTTTTAGTAAATCATGACGAGATTCATCAATTAAATCCACACGCAAAGTACCTTGAGATGCCTCTTTTGTACTATGGAAACAATAATCATTACTGTCTCTAATTTTATTTAGACTCGTAGTTTAGAATTATGTCTAGTATGACAGTAACTGAGCGAAAAAGGACCTTTTGCATCCCGCTGCTTTTTGTAAAATTACCATAGTTGAGGAAGAAAAAAAAAAGGCTCAGCTACTCTACATTCCAAGCGAGGTAATCAATTGTAGCATTTGCAAATTGTTCAATAAAAATAAATACGTTCTGTAACATATATTCATACATGTAGGAAAACTTGGACATATCCATATAGAAAAAAAAAAATTCATGCAGTAGGTCCTAAATGTCACTTTTATATGCGAATTGCCTTTATAGTAGGGTTTTACATGTAGTACATGTTCATGCTTGGAATAGAGTGTTTTAGGGAGTTTGTTAAGATAACTAATCCTAATAATAGAAGAATGAATGTCTATTTAAAGCAAACAAAGAAAACTAGAGAGCACCACGGACATTTTTTTATATAAGGCATGAGCAAAAAAAAAACATTCAAACGCCATCCTTCTCCTTTATTTTTTTCGGTGATGGTATGAAGACGCCCAAAAAGAATCAAGGGTTAGACGCTGTTGGTGTCACTTTGGGTGTATTTCAAACAAGAAGTAGAAATAGCTTTGATTGAGAACCTTTTTTCGGTAATGATTTAGAACCTTTAAGGTTAGTGGTGTCTTTTTTACTGTATTCAAGCATATATGATTTAGCTTCTAAATTCTTAAACTTTTATTAAAGCATATTCAGATGTATAAAAAACCAAGGAGTTTACATAGAGCCAATAAAATTAACTCATCGAGAAGACATATTTAAGGTACATTAACGGTTGTGAACTCTGCTAATATCATATTACCTTTTATTAGAGGACAGAGATTTAGATTGAAATGCAATTAAAAAATAAAAAGGGAATACTTTGCTGGGATAATTTACTTATTCTATCAGAAAAAGTTTTTTTTTTTTTTTGTAGAGAGGGCGGGCTTAACCCTATTAAAAGCCTAATTTAGATAACCGGATGTAAATCATTTATATGAAAAAAGGAACAAACGAAAGAATCATAAGGGAAGATACCTAGAATATTCTTTTTTTATAAAAAGAAAGAGATTTTAAACTGCACTTCCATCATGCTGATACATAAAAAATGTTCTCCTTACAGAACAAATTGGGCTTGTCAAGACGTCATAATTCTGATGGCGATCGATGTCGTTAAGGTTTCCCAACAAGGGAGATATATTAAAGTATAATAACCTCACAGCAAGCAAGCAGCCAAAAAAAAAAAAAAAAAAAAAAAAAAAAAAAGTATTAATTAATATTAATAACCACACAAGTAAGATTAAACGCAACCGGGGAGTATTTTCCCATTTGAGGAGCATAATGAAATGCAAACCCATATATTCAAATACTTTCATTCTTTCCTTTTCCTTTTCTTCTTTTCTTCTTCCTTTGTAACCCTATGACTTTATTATGAATCCATTACCTTATTCTTTGATCGTACGACAGCAGCCACTAAAGGCAAGATTATGTAGCTTTCGTGACAAAGGTAAATACATTTACAAAAGAAGAAGAAAAGGAATTAACTTTCTTGCAGTGGATCGTCGTCCATTAGATCCACCGCCTATAGTTCAACTTTATCAAAGCAACATTATGACCTTCAAGTAAAGAATGAATATCAAAGGGGGAAATCTAACAGAATATATTTTAAATTATCTTGAGTAGTGATTATCACAATAGCGCCAATTTCTTTCTACATGCAACATTGGTAAATGCATTAGACAATAGTGATTTGCATTGTGCAAATAATAATCGAACTACCGCAGGGTCTGTTGTACAATCCTTACACAAATTAAAAGATACAAACAATGCAGAAGGTGCATTCTTTATATTTGCTGATATCAGTATCCGAATCGAAGGCATATTTAAGCTTAAGTTTACCCTGTTTCAAATCAAAGGGTGCGCGCGCGCTTTTAAAAGAAAAATGAAAAACCTGTGTATTTAATCTAATTTATGATTTAGGTTAGACGTAGAAAGACTCTCGAGTATCTATTCACAGCCCTTTCAAGTGTATTCACCCAAAGGTAAGTTACATACCGTCTATTTTTTTTTTCTTATTTCAGAACACATGGGACTCTCTGACGTTTTCATTCATCATTCAATAAATAATGAATAGCCTTCCCTGGTATGTCGGGTAAGCCTTATATTTGATCCCCTTTAAACAATTCATTTTAAATAAATCGCGTGTGCTCCGTTTTTTATTCTTTCTTTGATTTTTACCCCTTCCCTTTTGGGACATCTTTTATTCTATAGAGTCGACTGATCTCACTCGTTCTTTTTCGGATCAAGGAGTTCGGATTAGGATTCGTAAAGAAGCAAGGGCAGGGACAACTCCAACGTAAGGGGGACAGAAGATAGATTCATTTAGACATTGGGACTGACTTTATATATCTTTAGGAAGCGTAGACGTGGAATGATGGATGAACAAGAATCTACTTCTTCTTCTTCTACTATCAATGTCATGTCGATGGAAAATCTATTGATATCTGATCCTGCTACTGCCCATGATAAGTATTACCATGGGAACCAATTTTAACTCGCTCTCTCTCCTCTTTTTTATAAGCTTTTTTTTTAAAAAAAAAAAAATCACGGGAAAACTATAATTTATACTTTAAGCCTTTTATGCCTATGCTCCTTGTGTATGTTCCAATCTATGATTTACTGGTGGTGTGGCGTTTTATGTGTATGTTTGTCGAGGTTTTAAAAAACCCAAGAAAGAAATACGTCATATTTTAAATGAACCAATCAAATTGTCAAGACCCCTATCCACGCTATCCCTCTTTTACAACCCCCTTCCCTTTTTTTTTTTTTTTTTTTTTTTTTAACCCACTGAATTTGGCAACTCCCTTTCTTTTTTCATATCTAAATTGGAAATAAAATAAAAAAAAAAAAAATTACCATAATAAAATAAAATATAAAAAAAATGAACCCAGACTTGACTGAAAGACAACAAGACAAAGTCAAACTCTATGAGCAACAACAGGATCCCATGGATTCAGCAGGTGAGGATTCCGAGACGGAAAAGCCCGCCAGACGCTCTGGTAGAAGAAAGATCAAGATTGAATACATTGAAGATAAAAATAGAAGACACATTACCTTTTCTAAAAGAAAAGCCGGTATCATGAAGAAGGCCTATGAACTCAGTACATTGACAGGTACTCAAGTCTTGTTGCTCGTCGTATCAGAAACCGGTTTGGTCTATACTTTTACTACCGTCAAGTTACAGCCCATCGTCACTAAACCCGAAGGAAAAAACCTTATTCAGGCTTGTTTAAATGCCCCTGATCCCATGTCCGCTGAACCATCTGTAAGTTTTACTACTCTCATCTCTTTTTCTCACAACCAAAAAAAAAAAAAAAAAAAAAAAAAAAAATACCCAAAAAAAAAAAAAATACACACACATGTATAAACACATATTAATATATATATGTTCAACCTATAGGCTGGTGACGCGTCTTACACGGACTCGCCTCGAGTGGAAGAAAAAAAACCTGAAAAGGTGGATCCACCTGTGATTCCAGCTCCTCAACCTGCACCTCCTCCGCCACAACAACAACAGCAGCAACAACAACAGCAACAACAACAGCCTTATAACACTGGATATGGTAATCAAAATTATCCTCCTCCTACCAGCAATAATTATCCCAATTATAATATGGCTCCCACTGCCAATAGCGGTAATGGTAATAATAATGCTCCAGGTGGACAGGCACCACAAGCCTATGGCCAATCGCCCCAACAGCAACCACAACAGCCCTATGGTCAGATGGCTCCTCAACCTGGTTTCTATGGTAACGGACAACCACATTATATGCCTCATCCCCAACAACAACAGCAACAGCAACCAGGTGGTTATTGGCAACAAGGTGGTGCACCGAGACAGGAACCAATGATCAAAGATGAAGGAAGGAGAAATGCTAAATAACGCCCCTTTTTTTTATTATTACTATTATTTTTATTAAAAAAAAAGCATATCTATTGGAATTTTTTATTTTAAGATGAAGCGAAAGAATAAAAACCAACTGATGATGACCAGTACGACATAAATACCACCATAAATATAATTGACCTTTAACTTTTTGTTCAATAATTGTCTTTTAGCCCCCACACCATTAGCGACGGATTTCCCCGCATCTAATAGATTATCATAGATGGCGCCGTCCAGCACGAATAACGTGACACCGGCCAAAATGGACAAGAGGGCGATCAGGATAAAGAAATGAATGACACCCGTATATCCCTTTTTGGCATCCATGTCTTGCAAGAGACCAGTCAGAATATCGAATAAGGAGGCACCGACATTGGTGCAGGATTTGACCAGTCCCATACCCGTGCCCACAAGAGAAAGTGGGAGGATCACAGGGATGGAGGATACCAAAGCGACAGGACCCAGAGCCAGACTTGCACTAAAACTGACCATGCCCAGTAAGGGGTTCAAAGAGGTGTATTCCAATAAGAGGAGAGAAGCCAAGAAGGTAAAGCCACTGCCCATCACTAGAAGCAAAAACACAATTTTTAATATCCCAGTATGAGTTTATACACACAGCTACTTACTCATCCAAGTACGCTTGCCATATCGATCTACAAAAAGGCCTAAAAAGGGCATTAAAAAGATGGGCAAGATTTGAGCGACGGAAGCGACGGCAGCCGCTTTACTGTCTTCATAACCGAAACGGAACTTTACAAATTCACTATTGATGTGAAGGAAGCAACCCCAGGCACCACCCAAGAGGAATTCCATGGCGGCGATAAGCCAATAGGAATGCGGTAAGAACATGAGCTTGGACCAGCTGAATGACTTTTTACGCTTGATCACATTACGTTGTACTTGACAATTCTTTTGGTCGGTCAAAGTAGAAATGTTTTTCAATAGCACAATGTAGACCAAATTGATCAAGAGAGAAAATACACATAAAAGTGCAGAAAACTAAAAATGATTCAGAAAAAAGAAAGAAAATTAATATGGATATATTGGGAAAGATATTCTCTCATTCCTTTCTTACCCAGAATCCATATCCGTACCAACCTGACCAATTTGCGATTGGTACTACGATGGCTTGTGCAGCAAATGAAGACTAAAAATGGGAGCGTTAGATGATATCAGATGATGATATAAGATGTTGAGCTTTACTAGTCGGCTGACGGTCATCATGAGGGCAATTACAGCAGCCAGACTCCGACCTTGGAACCATTGACTAAGGATGGTTTCTTGTACAATGACCACGGTACCACTTCCGATACCGTACAAGATACGACCGACAATCATCATGGAGAGGTTGGCTGTGGAAGTAGAAGCGGCGACCAGGATATTACCGGACGCAATTAAGACGGTGGTCAAGATGGAGCCTGGGATGGTGCCAAATGCATCAATGAAAATTCCACCAATCAATGGTAAGACAGTATTGACGATCGATACACTGGATTGTAGAACACCATATTGAGAGTTTGTGATTCCATATTCCTAATTATTGTTTGTTTTTAAGCCAAAAACAACAACAAAAAAAACATTGGAGGTATGACAAAAGGGGTGGGGTGGGGTGGGGATTGTGCATTTTTTTTTTTTTTAGTTTACTTTACTTTTTTAATTGTAGATTTCATTGCACCTAACGTATGAGCTGCAAAATGACTTCCGACTATACGACTTTTGTTTAACATATATTTGCAAATAATGTAGAATTTTTAGACCGCTTACCCGCTAGAAACATAGCGCATAGTAAAGCAACTATTTTGTATTTCCAAGGTTGATTTGACAATTGACATGTGGGATCATTGTCTTCCGTAATGTAAAGTGATGTATTTGTTGGTATCACTGGTTTTTTGTTGTCTTTATTGTAACGACAACAGCCTTCTTGGGCGGAACAACAATCGTCTTGCAATAATGGTGTGCTCTCCTGATGCATTTATAGCAATTTTTTTATATAAAGAAAAAAAAAAAAAATGGAAAAGGAAAGTGTAAAATAATTATTTTTTTTTCGTTGCTTCATCTTTTATAGATAAGAACATCACCCCTTCCCCCTTGTGGAAAAAGATCTGATAAAGTTATGCCTATTTTAATCAAAAATGACTAAAATCAGATAATTAAAGGTTCACGTGTGTACCACTGCCTTTCTTCCTTTTTTTTTAGATTTTTTTTTTTATAGATGGAAAGTCAAAAGAGAGAGAGAGGGATCTGTTATAAAAAAAAAGATACGTATTGTTTATTATAATTAAAAATGCAAGATGAATTCCAAGTGTCTTCTATTTGTCCTCTATGTTTATATTATGGGGCTCTTGTGCGACCAACTGCTCGTGTTCTTCAAACAACTCCTCCTTCTTCTTCTTTTTGATCTTGTTTGGATTCGAGTGTTTGTTCTTCTTTTTGGGCGATTGGATAAGCTCACCTTTATCACATAATAACTCTAAACCTTGGTTTTGTGTCCACATGGGGTAAACAGTTTTTTCTAACATGTCTAATTCTTTGGTTGTAAATTTACCCAGCACAAAATTGGCCACGACCCCATACGACCGATCATCAATTTCGGCTGCAGGCCGTCCTACACCAATACGCACACGTTTAAATTCATTGGTCCGTAAATTATCAATGACGGATTTGATGCCATTGTGTCCGTTGGCAGATCCATTGCCTTTTAAATTCACTTTGCCAATATCCCGTTGCATATCGTCATGAAATACGTACAAGTTCTTTAAAGGAATCGAAAGATCTTTGACTATTACAATATTACCATCCCATTTAATTCTTTTCTCCTTTATCACTTTTATTTTTTTTACCTGCTTGAGCTACACAGGATCCACTGATATTCATGAGCTTTCTTGGCTTTAAAAATGTCACTTGGTACTCCTTGACAGTATCCGCAGAAGGGACCCGAAGCGTTGTCTCGGTAATGTCGGATTTCCAGGTAGCCTTTTGAGTCCAATTCAGATTCAGGGCTTTGGCAATGGAATCCAGTGCCATCATGCCTACATTGTGTCGAGTGTTTGGTAATGTGGTATTACCAAGTCCAACGAGCTAGGCATGGCGTTATTTTTTATACTTTTCCTCTCATGGTCATGATCGATGCTTACCAAGATTCGAGTGTTATTCATCAAATGGGGGACAGGTAATAAAAAAAAAAGGTAAAATATTTATTTTTTTGTATGGCAGCTGACAGCGCGGATTAAACTTCCCTACAATAAATCAAGCATTCGTTGTCAGGACAGCAATGATTATTGCTCATTGAATATGAGCACTATGCAAACTCGGGGTTGCTATGCAATCTGTCATTTAAATGTATGCTTATAAAATAACAACTGTCTAGTTCTGCAAGACACATGGGACATAGTGACAGTCATACTTGATTAATTGTATATAAATGTCAAGAGCTTCCAGAAAATACTCTAGTAATGAACTAAGAATGGTTCTGCTGCATGACAGCTTCTAACAGTTCGGTTTTGGAAAGTGTAAGTGAGGGGGGAGGCGAAAAAAGAAAAAAAGCTGAGTTTTGATGAAAGCTCCGCCAAAACATAGAACGTCAAAGAAAGAAACACGCGCTCTCAAAAAAATTTTCCTTTTCCTTTATTTTTTTCATCAAGCTAATTAATAAACAAGATGCAATCTCAAGTACTTGTCATGAGTAAATAAAACAAACCCCAATAAGAAAGAAAGAAAAAAGTGTGAAAGGATGACCCATCGGTCGTCTTTTGTCGCGGGAAAGAAAAGAAAATTAGAATAACCAACGATTGTTTTATTCTTAGATACCAATATGGAACGTGAGTCAGGGCGTAAAGCTCAGCTCTCCAACATTACTGCTGCCAAGGTAAAAAGAAAAAGATGATGATGATGCTGCAGCACGACTTAATGCTTTATATTTTTAGACTGTCGCCGATGTCATCCGTACCTGTCTTGGTCCCCGATCCATGCTTAAAATGTTGCTTGATCCCATGGGTGGTATTTTATTAACAAACGATGGTAATGCCATCCTTCGTGAAATCGAGGTTGATCATCCTGCTGCCAAGAGTATGATTGAACTTTCAAGAACACAAGATGAAGAAGTTGGTGATGGTACCACCAGTGTCATCATCCTTGGTAAGTTTTGTTTTTTACGATGGGGAAAAGAAGGAGGCATCTGTATATTAAAAAAACCTTGAACACAATAGCTGGTGAAGTACTTGCTAGTGCCTTACCCCACATTCAAAACAATATCCATCCCATTGTTATTATTAGTGCCTTCAAGAAGGCACTTGAGGATGCTTTACAAATTGTCGAGGAAATTTCCACTCCTGTCGATGTCAACAACACCGAAGAGATGATGGCATTGATTAAATCTTCTATCGGTACAAAGTTTGTGAGTACATGGAGTGATTTAATGTGTAAGCTCGCTTTGGATGCTGTCCGTTGTGTTGCTGTTGAAGAAGATGGAACTGGTAAGACCGAGGTTGATATCAAGCGTTATGCTCGTGTTGAAAAGGTTTGTATATTCTTACGAAGCGCGTTTTATTCTTGTTTATTGACTTATAACCTAGATTCCCGGAGGTGAAATTGAACAATCCCAAGTTTTAGATGGTGTCATCTTAAACAAGGATGTAACTCATCCCAAAATGCGTCGTCGTATTGAAAACCCTCGTGTTATTTTATTGGATTGTCCTCTTGAATATAAGAAGGGTGAATCTCAAACCAACATTGAAATCTCCAAGGAAGCCGATTGGAACCGTATTCTCCAGATTGAAGAAGAACAAGTGAAAGCCATGTGTGATAAGATTATCTCCTTAAAGCCTGATTTGGTCTTCACCGAAAAGGGTGTTTCTGATCTTGCACAACATTACTTTGTCAAGGCCAACATCACAGCCATTCGTCGTGTCCGTAAAACCGATAACAACCGTATTGCTCGTGCTGTCGGTGCCACCATCGTGAACCGTGTAGATGATCTTCGTGACGCTGATGTCGGTACCAAGTGTGGTCTCTTCAACATTGATAAGATTGGTGATGAATACTTCACTTTCTTGACCAAGTGTGAAGACCCCAAGGCTTGTTCTATCATCTTGCGTGGTCCCAGTAAAGATATCATCAACGAAGTGGAACGTAACCTTCAAGATGCTATGTGCGTTGCTCGTAACGTCTTCTTCAGTGCTAAGCTCGCTCCTGGTGGAGGTGCCACTGAAATGGCTGTCTCTGTCAAACTTGAAGAGAAGGCCAAGTTGATTGAAGGTGTTGAGCAATGGCCTTATAGATCCGTTGCTGAAGCCATGGAGGTCATTCCTCGTACTCTTGTCCAAAACTGTGGTGGTAACGCCATTAAGACTTTAACACAATTGAGAGCCAAGCATGCTGCTGGTGAGCATACATTCGGTATCGATGGTGAGGCTGGTAAGGTTGTTGATATGAAGGATTATGGTATTTGGGAACCTAGTGCTGTTAAGGTTCAAACCATCAAGACTGCTATTGAGGTATGTTTTAAGTTTAAAGTGGTGTGAAAGTATTGGAAAAACTAACTCTTCTATAGTCTGCATGTTTGTTATTGCGTGTTGATGATATCGTTTCAGGTCTTTCAAAGAACAGAGCTCCTCAACAACAACAACAAGGTGGTCAAGAAATGGATCAACAATAAATAAACAATTATATAAAGGAAAGATAAAAGATAAAAATAAGCATAATAAACCATGTATACACGCACAACACACGCTCTTGTTTTTTTTGTAATAAAATAAATTACCCCTCACCCCACAATTATTGTAGACATTAACGCGTATTGTATTTCATTTTCGATTGATGCTTGGTGATCTAACATAAGCATGATGACACATTTTAAATGTTTTAGATCGCTGCTCCAAGTCATTCATGTTGCTGATCCCCCAAATGACTTAAATAATGGTATTACGATGTCACGTTTTCTAGTATTATGGTGTTGTTTCTGATGTATATGCATATATACATGATCTGGCGATTTAAACTTAAGAATTTCGAGATAGACTTTATCTTCTACTTTATGCAAATAAATCCATCGTTCACCATTATATGAATCAAGAGAAGAGACTATCTATGAAAAAGAAAGACAAATATGCATTTAATTAGAAAAATTAATCAAATGACTTAGTCTGGCTTTCGAACTAGTCATACCCATTTTATTTTTAAAGACGTGTTTATTATTATAATTTTAACTTTTTTTTTCTAACTTTTTCAAAAACATAGGCTTTTTGTTTGGTCTTTTAAGTTCGAGTTAGAGCTAAATATGACTCATCTTCAAAACTAATTTGTATGATATAAGAATGGGTTTGTAAATAAATACGGAATTGATGGTCTGGCTTTGGGTATTGTTATACGTTACCTTTGGTAGCTTAAATTTTTAAGCTTGATAAACCTTCAATGATAAGAAACTGACATTTGGGCCACTGATAATGTCGTATTTTAAACATGCTTATTCCTTCACTTATTTAGTCCTCGTACGATTACTAGTTTATTAACTAGGATTTCCTTTTTACAAAATTAGAAGTATTTGCTAAATGACTATATGTAAACTCTTGGCACCCATTTTGATCACGTTTTTGTTATATCCGTGTCTTATCTCGTTATAAGCCAAATGCTTGGTTAAAATTATCGTCCTACAATTTGGCCAGATTAGACTTTTGTTGTCAACAAAATGTTGCTTTTGCTTTTGATGGTTTGCTCTCTCTCTCTAGATGGCTGTTAAATTGGTTCAATTATTTAAGGTTGCGTCCACACTGTGCACTGCTCCTTTAATGTTTATGTGTGTAGTCGCCGATTTTGTTTCTAAGGATCATTTACTTCCACGATACAAGTTATGTCTACACCTTTGAATGTATATCTGTAAATAAGAAAAAAAAACAAGATCACCTCTAAACAGAAAAGCTTGAAAGGTGTTGGTATTAGTGAGCTGATCCCACGAGAGGGTTGTAGCCTCACTGAAAAGTTCACTGAATATTTTATTTTAAGAAAACCTCTATCAGTAATCAAGAACTTTAACGTATGTAGTGGTATACCAATAGTAATAAAAGCGTTCGTTGGACTTGCTGAAGACAAACTATCGAAATGCCTACTTTTATAAATCTTCCAGTGTTCCGCTAATAAATAAAAGTTTTAAAAGAATTTTAAGATCCATCAGAATCACGCCTAAAATTACTTGAATGTTTGCAAGGAAGAAGTTGCTCAGACTTTAAGCCTCTTACATAAGAACATATATCCGGCTTTCTAAATATGCCGTCATAACTCATTGTTTGAGTTACTCGTTCATTTATAGAATGCCCGGACTTCTATTTATAAAAAATTCCTTGCGAGTATTTCTAAATATTGAATAATGAGGTTTGTTTTAGGCGCTCTGCGTGTATATTAGTTTAGCTTAACTTTTTAATGAAGAGGAATTCACAGTCGTAATATTATTCGTGAAAAGAAGAATATATTCGTTTAGAAGTAAGAAAATCATTAATTATTACATTTAAATAAATACTTACCAATTGTTTTCTAATGATACACTTAAGGCTTATGTTTTCAATCAAGCTCTTACTGACTGCTAGTCAGATACCAAACTTAATTCGACAAGAGATTTTTTAAAGAATTTTAAGGCCAAGTTTTAAAATGATAGTTAAATCGGTCTGATTTTACTAGATCACCTATACACCGGTAGCGTAAAATCATATTGACTGGTATGAGCTATCTCGCTTCTAGCTTAGAAGTACATGCCAGAAAACATGTGGTTTGTGAATGATATATAAATGCAAAAAGGGACAGATATGTAATATGATTTCAAAGGTAATTTGCTGCCAGATGTTTATTAAGAAAAAAAATCATACTCTTCGGAATCTGCTTATCAGTTTGAATAGTACAGATTATGGTTTATATAAGTGTAATGACCCCCACCCAAAGAGAAAGATGTTACAAACAGAGTACAAGATTAAGATTTGGCAGCTGCGTTAAACTTTAAACAAATTCCGTTAGAACTGCTTGGAGATCATAAACGATCCGAACAATTTATAGCAAAAAAACACATTTGTCTTTTTCTGAATCAGAAAGGAACAGGGTTGATGTTGGTAGAAATTCGGAGAGACAAGTAACTCATTGTATCCGGTATGTAGTGGTGTGTATCAAGCTTTTGGTCAATTTTTAGAACTGACTGTCAAAAAAAAAAAAAAATCACTGATGTCTTAGTCTAAAATGAGACCGTTTAAAAAATTTTCATTTATGAATTGTAGTACAAGGTATGTAACAAAAAACATTGATGCGCTTTGATGGTATCTTGTTTACAAGTATCAAAAGTGCTATTTAAATGATCGATACTGTATCCATGCACGAAAATAACCTTTTTTTAATACAGATAATTACAAAAATAAAATAAAAAAAAACTTTTGGTCCTTGTGAAGAGCACTGACAGCATTGTAAAGTATTTAATTTAAGGGAAACAAATGAATTAAATATCTAGAAACAAATGGAATGCAAAGTAAGAAGGCAAAGGATGTATTATAATAAAAGAAGATTCTTTCAACAATATTAAGTCACCACAACTTGGTACTTAAAACAAATTTGTTGATATTGATTTTCCGCAGCGGCAATCCATTAGATCTTTACCTACTTAGAAACTATAATTTACATTTGGACTTACCAGTGGATATTTAGTCAATAAATATTAGACAAAATGACCAATGTCACATTAAAGATGTACAGTGTGTAACGGAAATGGATTCTTTATGAAATTTCCCCCGACTGGTACAAGAAATTTTTTTATTGTAAACAAAAAACGAAAAATATACATTCAAATCGACTTCGGAAACTTCTACACGAATAGAAACGAAAAGTAGTACACAGAGCTATGTGTGGCATTACTGCAGGATGCTACTTATCCCTGCTTGGAAGGGAAGATTGACGTCGAGTTTTAAATGTTTTCGCAAGGAGAAACCGAGGAAATGGTTTCACCCTTATATTCTTGCCCGGGGTTAAGAAACGTCTTTTATTTTTCTACTAAATTACACGGTGTTATCATGATCAAATTTTGGTCGTGTAGCCATTGCGAAGCCGCTCGTGGCGCAAACAACCTTTTTTTTTCAATGTTTGTTATTTTCTACATGTTATTACTAATAACAAATTGTATTAGCCATGTTTTCACAAGCAAGCACCCTTCTATTTGGATCGGGTAATACATCTGATGATGGAAATACCTTGAGACTCGGGAGCGATCATCATATATTGTAAGCCTGAATGGTTTGAATCGCCGATATAGACACAAAGGCGTCATCTCTATTTTTTTTTCTATAAAAATAACCTCGTTAAAATACATTTTACCTTTTAGAAGTGAAATACAAAATTATGAGCAGTAATATTATTCAGAAATTCGATTTAACAATTTTCGGTGCCACTGGTTTAACCGGTAAACAGATAGTCAGTCACGTCTATGAATTATCTATAGATTTGCCTTCCTTTTTCAAGCCGGGATTCCGTTGGGCCATTGCTGGTCGAAATGAAGAAAGGTTGCAAGAGATCATTCAGGAATTAACAGACCGTTTTCCTAAAGCTACCATTGAACAGCCATCCGTTTTGATAGCCAGCGTGACCCAAAGAGAACAGTTAGATGCTATGACGAGCAAGACAAAAGTCTTAATTAACGCCGTAGGACCCTTCCGTTTTATGGGTGAATATGTTGTACGCTCATGTGTCGATAATAGTTGCAACTATGTAGATGTCACAGGTAAAGTTAAAAATCTCTATTATTGCTTGTACTAAATATTTAATATATCCCGCCACATGTAGGTGAACCTGAATTCGTCGAGCGTATGCAACGTACATATCACGATAAAGCTGTCGCCAATAAAGTCACGATTGTTCATTCTTGCGGTTTCGATAGTGTAAGTACAATGTATGGAGGCAAGAAAGTATAACCCGAAGCTAAATGGAATGTCTAATTATAGGTTCCCACAGATATGGGCGTTCTTTATACCAAAAATCTTTATACACAGCATGGTTGGGTGCCTACCCAGATTGAGATGTTTTTACGAATTCATACCGGACCTTCCGGCTTGCGTGGGGGTTATGCAACTTTTGAATCAGCAGGTAAATTGTATTCATTTAAAGAAATATTGGGGTATGTGGTTACTAAAAGGTAATTTGTAGTTCATGGATTTGGTTCAGCTGAGCTTCTCCGAGAAATTCGTCAAGCATCAACATTGAAGAGGCTTCCACGACTCGAAGCACCAAAGCTCCCTTTCCATAAAAGAGTAACACGCGATAAAGAGTTGGGATATCATGTCCCTTTTGTGTTTGCCGACCCTTCTGTTGTGAGACTTTCGCAACAGATATTCTTAACTGGACTTGCTACAACAGAAAAGAAAAAGCCTAATGTTACCTTGCCTCCCACTGTCCAATTCGCGGCTTATTTATTATTGCCATCTCTTTGGGCTGTGATTCTCTATACTATCTATGGATTCATCTTCTCAGTATTGGCTGGAAGTCCTTGGGGCCGTAACCTTTTATTAGGACATCCCGAATTGTTTTCTGCTGGCCTTTTCTCAAAAGAACATCCTACCAAAGAACAATTGAATCAATCTTCCTTCGAGATTGTCCTTCGTTCCAAAGGCTATGATCATGCTTTAACTCCTGGTTCCAATGACCCTCCTAATAAAGAAATCAAGGTGGTCGTGCGTGGGCCCGAAGCTGGTTATGTTGCTACTCCCCGTATCGTGGTGCAGTGCGCATTAGCCATTTTGAACAACAAGCATGAAGGATATGTCCCAAGTGGTGTACTTACTCCCAGTACAGCATTTTGGGAAACCGACTTAATTGACCGTCTTAGATTTGTTGGTATCACCTATGATATTTCTACCTAAAGTTATTTATGTCGGCGTGCATCATATCATAAGACATGTGTCGAACTAGTAATGATTGCCAATAAACAATACATAGTTCAATAGAAAAGGGGGAATGTAAAAAAAAAAAGAAGGGGGTTGCAATTTCGTCAAGTGATTTGAGGTAAAAAACCCGGTACAAAGCCCAATTCAGTAATATTATCATGTTCTGTTCCTGATATTTCTTAAGTGAAGAAGCCCAGGCTCAGGGTCCAAAATAATTCTAATACTTCAAAACTTAATCTTACTATCACCACCACAGGTTTAAACTATGATTAGGAAACGAACTATAAAAAAATTAGAATTATTATAAATACCAGCAAAGATATGTAGGTCTTTTTCATTATTGTTATCATTTTCACGTTCCTCCTTTCAAACCCTTTATTTCTAATCTGCCAACGCAAATAAAAATGACTAAACCTGTTTTCTGTCGGTCGGCTTCTGATAATATTCTTCCAGGAAGTATTTTGGTTAACACAACAAAGAAAGAAATTCGTCGTCGTGTCACCTTTTCTCGTGTAGTTATTCTGAACGATCCGACCACATTTATTCTTGCTAGAGAAGAATGCAGCCTTGTAAGAAGATTAAGCGATAGCTCTTTGAAATAACTGTCGAGGAATTTTTACAACTAAAACAATGACAACAACAAAAAACAGATGTATACCATATTTCGGAGAAGTTTTTTTTAAAAAAAAAATTCTAGCGCAGGACACTATTTTTCTTTCTTCGTATTGGATAACTATCTTTCTTATGTACACACACAATAAAATGACACTATTACCCTTTTAACACTTTATATTCCTATAATTTGTCTTTTTCTCGTAAATTCAAGAAAAAAAAAAAAAAAAAAAAAAAAAAAAAAAAAAAAAAAAAAAAAAAAAAAAAAAAAAAAACTGGTGAATATTAAAAATCTGCATAATGCATAATCCTATTGTGGGTGATTTTGTGCAGCACATTAATTGCACAAATAGCCGAAAATTGGCCTATTCTATGCATTAAAGCAAACTTAATTCTAGTTTTCGAAAAAAAAGGAATTTCAATGTGTTCACAATAGATACCCATTAGTTTATTTAAATATAAAAACATAAAATTATTGTGAGACGTTACCATAGCATTAACTAGGAATACAGTGTTCTATTCTTTGTTTTTTGTTGTTTTGGCGAAAAAAGAAATTTTATATATGGGATAGGTTTAAGTAAAATATTGCACTTTTTTTCAAAACTAAGCGGCACAGCAGCGCAACAGAGCTTGTACTCTAAAGTAATGAGGTGATGGGGAAGTTTAAGTGTTATTATTCCCCTTATGAAAGGCACAATTTTTTGTGTAAGTTATATTGGTGGAAAAAATTAAAAATCAAGTTTGAGTAACTCTTTCCCAATAGAGGGATTTATTTTCTTTTGCGCCCAAGTAAATGTAACTGATACAACAGTTGTATATCAACGAGCCAGCCAAATATCATATTAAGTCAAAGAACGTTTTTTTTTGCCGCGTCACTTTGACGTATGATATAAAATGCTACTCACTCATCACTTTCTTTTTGTCCTATTTACTAAAGCTCCACAATGGCGAGATAATGTTTTTCGATAGTAGGCAACGTAACTTTGTGCTCTTCACAAGGAGAGTAACACCGGAAAGACCCACAATTATTTACCACTTCAGAGTATTGACTCTGTTGCGTTGTTTCATTGTTAAGTATTTTTGTTTTGCATACTATGAAGCTGATAAAGTTTACATCTAGTGCTTGACACTACTTTTAAGTTTGCAGATTGCAATCTTTTACGCAGAATACAGACAGGAAGTATTTGGAGAGTGTATCCATGTAATGCTTCCATAATGGATACACCAGTGGACCCAAACTATATTTAACCCTGGAATAGCACATTATTCCTTTCTATTTTAGTTTTGATGTAACGAATCACAACGGCAGGTAACACATTTACCAAAGTGCCGAAACAATGTTACATGTTAAAATATGAGATGATACATGTAAAAAAAAAACTGAGTATAGACTCGTTGTTATTAAGTTTATTATATGTAAAGAGATTAAGTAAAAAGTACTATGTTATTTAGTATAACAAAATAAGGAGTGAAAGTAGAGAAAAAAATGTTTATGGGCATTCACCAATTTCTCCATAAGGACAAGAGGCAAAGAATACAGGACCTTCTACCTTAGTCAATTTGAAAATAGCTGTCAAAATAGCTGAGATACCTTGACCGGCAACCATACCACCAGCAGCACTGTACATGTAGTTATCAAATGCGACAGGATTGACACGCTTCCAAATTTTACCACCGACCCAGCCCATAAACATGGACATAGGAATTTCAGGAGAAGAGTTAATCATGGAAATACCAATAGCAGAGATAGAGGGGAAGAAACGATGGAATCTTCTGGGGACAACAAACTCACGGAAGAAAGGAGCAACGAGACCAAATACACCACAAATAATAGTGACATTAATACCGGCCTTAGTAAGGGGATCACTATCACCAGTTAACAACTTTGTAACATTGTACCATGCCTTTACGGAAATCAAATCAAATTCACACTTTGCGTTAATATCAGGAGAGATAACACAAGGGTATGCTGTAGCGAAAAGGATGAAAAGACCAGTGGAAACACCAATGGCAAAGAATGAAGCAATGAATTGAGCAGCGAATTGGGATCTGGGAGAAGCACCAACCAATTGACCAGTCTTAAGATCACCAACCATGTCGACAGATTGACCAGAAGCAGCAGCGGAAATGACACCAGCCATTAAATTGTTTCTTTGAAGTTGAATGATATCATCTGCCTTGAAACCAGTAAAGACCAATTGAGACATCTTACCGATAGCACCAGTAGGGTTAATATCAGTCTCACCAGAAGCTTGAACACCAACGAAGGCGAAGATAAAACCAAGAAGAACAGCGACAATAGATTGATAAACAGGCATGTGGAAGAATTCTCCCATAATAACACAAGTAAAAATAATTGAAACAAAGACACCACAAGCCCACCACCATGTAGGGACTAATTCATCATCCTCGAAAATTTCATCTTCATCGCGCTCAGGGTGCAACACCTTATGCTCCTTATCAGATAAAGGCTTCTTCATAATATGTGTCTTGAAGTAAATAATAGCAGTGTAAGCACCTTCATAAATACCAATACCAGCACCCTTAACACCACGCCAAAGAGATTTGTAACGAACAAAGAGTTCAGCGAAAGAAGTCAAGACCATGAGGGCGATACCGGGCCATAAGAAGAAAGACTGGGTAGTAGGGCCAAGATCAGTGTAACCCTTAGCTTTAACGAAATAACCGTTAACCACTAAACAAGGACCAATGATACCATAAATAACAAGAGATGACAAGAAAAATGAAACACATGTAGAACCGGGAGTCATTAAACCAGCACCGAAGAAGGGGAAATCCCAACGGTAGAACCAGGACCAAGTTAAATCAGCAGTAATGAGAGGACTGTAATTGGCAGCATGACCGATCCAGAAAAGAACATGAATGGTATCAAAGAAAGGAACCCAATAGGCAATTAAGTTAAAGAAAAAGGCCACGGCAAACCAGATAGCCATCCACTTGGCTTTTTTCATAGCCTCTCTTTCACCTTCAACACTGTCATGAAGAGCAATAATAGTGATAGCGGAAGCACGAGGAGTGGGGAAAGTTAAATCTTGCTTAACGACAAAATGGCTACGAAGAGGTACAGCGAAGAAAAGACCGTAGAAAGCGGCAGAGATAGCGAACAAAAATAATGCAGCAGCATCTTCCTTGGGAGTATTGAGAAGACCTAACTTATACATGGCAGGGATACCAGAAGTAAAACCTGCAGAAAGTCCACCTGCGGTTGTGGCAGCAGTTTGTGCTGTACAATTTTCTTTAGGACCGTAGTATCCACCACCCCAGCGAGGAGGTAATACACGGGAAAGGGGTTTAATGATAGCAAATGAGAAAATGGCACCGAAAAGAGATGCACCAAAAGTCCATCCAATTTTTAAACCGAGATACATATTAGATGCAGCTAATAATTATAATTTCTTTGTTAAATCGAGCTTCTTTTTTTTTTTTTTTTTTTTTTTTCATCTGCGTGTCTAAAATATTACCAATCAAACAACCCAAAAGGGCACCGATAATAGTTGCACGCCATGTAAATTGGGTTTCTTCAATAGCGGTTTTGTTGTGGACTGAGGGTGTGTCATCGACAATAACATGTTCATCTAAATCATACTCGTGTTTCTCATCCCTGTATACGGATTGCTTTTCGGCCTCCATATTATATTATATATATATAAAAAATGAAAGTAAGAAAGATAGATAGAGAAAAAAAAAGACAAAAAAAAAAATAGGAGTTGTATTTATATGTTGTACTGGCAATTGGTATTTGAGACGTACGAAATCTCTGAATAGAAAAGCACTTAATTGCACCAATTGCGACACAAAAGGTTGGAACACACAGATGATAAGACTGACCAATACAATTTTTCGCACAGTCTTTTTTCTCATTTTCGCACGATACAAAACCTTTTTTGAATAAACTTTTTAGGTAATTCAGTCCATTTTGGGCTATTTCAACGTTCAGTCCCTTGGATCAGGTTTTATATTTGAACTTTAATTTAAAATGTAGAATTTGACATGTTTAATTTTTTTTTTCTCCTGTCGAAATTGATTTTTTTTTAAAAAAAAAAGATATGAAGGATATGAAACGATTTTTTGAAAAGTCGCGCTTTTTTCAAAAAGACACTGCCCACATGACTCATTATAAATGATTGTCTAAAAGTATCACATTAATTCGATCTCCGTGTAATTTGATTCGATATCGGAGACACCAATTGACAACTTTTAAGTCGTTCCTAAAAATTAATCATCAAAATAACAATTCCTTTTTCTTTGTGCAGGTAACTTATTCGGTCCAGTTCAAATAGAAAACGGCGCAGCCAAATAACTACTGCGCTGCTTATAGATTTCTTTATGACACGAGCACAAATCAATGAAACTTTACATTGTACACATATTCTTTTAAGCACACATTCCATGTTTATTGTGGATCAAGGTAGTACGGTGTCGCTCTTGGATGCCAACAGAACGCTTTTTTTATCTATCTGTATCGTACAATAAATTTTTTGAGTTACACATAAAATACTTGAATTGTTGAAATATTCTTTATATGTCTATTTTAAAAAAAAAGAACGCTTTGTCGCTTCCACAGGCGCTTGTTTATTATAATGGAATAGTTACCATGTGGTCTTGTTTTTCAAAGAACCAAGGTAACTAAAAAAGACCTAATATCCTGTTTTGTTTGTGATCAAACTATCGCACAAACCCTCAATAATTTTAAAGTTGATATTATCCAATAACATTGGTACAATGTAAATCTGAATAAATTTAGAGCAAAAAACCAAGCTGAAAAGACATTTGCCGCTAAAAAAGACGTTTAAAATGTTTTTAACGACATTTTCAGTGAAGTATGATGTGTTTTATTAATTTAGTTGAATCCGTATATTTTAAATTTGAGATGATTTCTCCCCCATGAATAGCTCAGAGCTATTTATCTGGTTTCCATGTAACGTTAAACAGAGGGGCCGGAGTTTTCCAAATTCACTGCCCATTTTATAAAAGGAATGGCTCCATACTATGTAACCCAAGAAACGTTCGGTTTCTGCTTTGTTGGAGTCTGAACATAATTGACTGCACGAGAAACGAATGGTACTGTTGATTAAGTTAAAGATATGAACATGATAAAAAAACTTTCTATGTGGCCATTTAAAAGGGCCATGAAGACCCGTACCAAAAGAAATTATGCCTGCTTATTATCTTATGGACGACGTACATGGTCAGATATATATTTTTGTGATGTATAGAAACTGTTTTAAAAAACCTAACCGATGTGTTATTGCTTGTACAGATTACGCTCACCAAGCTGACTTTATATTATAGCAAGGCCCTCGATGGGATCAGATTATTTCGGGATTGAAGCTTTTTGAGGGAACCATGCAATTGATACAAAACAAATGCGGTGATACTTATACAGCGCACAAACTATAGCACATCTGAAATTGGCGTAATACTGTCATATGAAAATAGACTATGCCCTGATTTTATTTAACAGTAGCAGTTCTAATAAATCAGGATTATTGCTTAACTTTTACACTTGGGAATGGCATTGCGTTAGCCCGAACAAGAGTAAGAAGTTTCGAAAAAAGTTCAGTCTATAATGCTGAAAGTTCGGTCCCAGAAGGTTTACAGTGCTCACAGCATTTGTTCGCACAACTTGACTTTGCGTGTGTTAAATTGACCAATTCGCGGTTTCCCTAAGCATAAGGCTTTTTCTTATTCTCATTGTGAAAAAGTCCTTAAAGTCATACCTTCGACCTCATGAAGCATTCATATTACGTATTTAAAAACTATTATAACTAGCTTCCCGTTCAGATATTTTAAATCTTTGATAACATTAACGTGAATCGGATGAGGAATCACCAGTCGATTTTATTCTTGCGCGATTAAATTTAGTGTTAAAGCAAATTACCCAATTAGATCTAAGTATATCGCTTTTAAATCACGCGAATTGGTGCCTTGAACATCGAAATCAATAATGCATCCCTATCAATTACACAAAATGTGATACAAGATGTAACCTTAATGTTAGAATAATAAATAAGGTAAAATTTTGGATGTCAGAGTGATACAGCGCAGGGATCAATAAAATATTTATTGCACGATTGATAATGCGTTTAACGTAAAAAGGAAGTTTAAAAAATTGATGTCCTGACGAGGTGATCAGTAGGTCTAGTTTTACACCTGTCCCATAAGTCCTGGATGTTTTTTCTTTTTTTTTTGATCCCAGAAAATGATAGTAACAATTTACCCAAATAGAATAGGGATTGGTAACCTTACGTCTGTCATAACTTTTATAGTTTTTTTTTTGTATCAGCAATTACATGTTTCGAATAAAAAAACAACAACAAATGATGTTATTTAAGTGAAACATACACGTTAACTTGGTTTCCGAAAAAGCCGAGAACAATGATATATAAATTGGCAGTTGACATGCTTTGTTGCTCATAGTTTCTGCATGAGGCAACTGTCTGAGTTATGGAAAGAGTTGTTAGAATATATTACTAATTTGACGAAAGCAATTGGTAGTTGCGATTTACCTCATCCTCCTCGGTTTATTCAAAATTACTATATGCTCACCATCAAGTGGTTACTCAAAGGTTCATTAAATAATCTTACATCCCATGAACTTGGGTATAAATTTACATTACTTCGGTAGTATAATCAATCTTAAATTTTGATATCCTTCCACTAACCTCAGAATGTCTTCCTTTTAAAGGCCAACTGTTTGTAACTTTTTTTTAACTCATCTTGTAATCTTTCAGACCACCCTTAAAAGGTTCGAATATGGTATGGGTTGTTCAAATTTGCGTAACCATTATCAATGGGATTTAAGAGTACATCTTTTGCATTAACATTACCTTTCGGGATAACATTTTGAAAATCTCTGGTCTGAAATTTTAACAGGTAGTTGTTGTGTTAAAGTAAACCATGTATTCTTAGTGTCTACTACATGGTTATATATGTGTTCTTAACTCACTACTATTATTTAAATCCCTGTTAATATTTCGTAGAATATTGAATTGAAAGTCATGATAAAATATAGATATTAGACTGTAACAGCTTATAATTTAATCGGGCCTCTTAGGGACAGCCAGAGTGCATGTAGTTGTAATGTTGGATTATGACACTCTTACAGACACCAAGAGGTCAATATAACTTAGCAACTTGAACTAGATACAAATTTTTTACGACCAACATAGTGTAAACCATTATATGTGTGTTAATATAGCTTGCTTTCAGCTTCTCGTTTGAACTATATCTCAATATTTCTGCGTAAGATTAAGATCAAACGAGCCTAAAGGCGAAAGAGTGATGATATAATTGTCAAAACAAATATAATTTATCTATTATACAGTTATTAGTTATTAGCACGTCGCTCTTAATTATATATTCTTGTTGCCAGGTCTAAAGGACGGACAAATCATATATCTTACGTTGTGACTACGTGCACCTTGGTTGTCCCTAATAAAAGCGGATGACAATCCGGGCTGTTTTTTGTATTTTTGCGCAGCCAAGCGAAGCGCTGGTCGCAGCAACATACATGTATGCGTATAATAAACACTGAGTGAACTGGAAAGGGCTATAAGTCCCAACCAACATAATGTCATTATGCATTTTTAATAAGCACTATTTTTATCCCATTAGTATAATATTTAATGGCGTTTGTGGGCGCGAAGTTGTCCCTAGCTGGAACGTAAGTTATTTATATTGTAGGGAAGCGAAGGTTAAAAATTCCTGAATAGGGCTGGAGCCACAATTTAGTAACCATAATGATTGAAGTTCTGTTTTATTGGGAGCGTATCATGTACATACAAGGGAGTGTTTACGTGTCCATGAAGTATGCTGTTTTGTGTGTTTTATACATATTTTCCAAACAAAATATAATACAAAAAAAAAGGGGGGGGGCTTTTCTGATTGTTCAGTAGATAGATATACAATACAAGATTTGTGAAATCAGAATATTTAGTTTACTTCAGTGTCATAAAATGTTTTTATAAGCATGGTAAAAAATAATAAATAACTGCATATGATAGGGTATTGATTTTTAATCTGTGATAGGCTCATGTCTTTAGCAGTATGCTTTGAAGGTTTTATTACATCATCGTATCATATTTGGGATCACTTGCATATTTAACTGAATTAAAGTGTAATCGTTAAACCCTGTCGAAAAAGTCGGTTTATGTTACACGAGATTGCTATTATGACATTAAAAAGCGATGAATCTCGCAGCCCAATCTATCTTAAGTTTGTATACTTCACTTTTATCACCTTTAGAAAATAAGTCACTTCATGCTTTCTTTGATCATTGTTTGTGTTATCATTTATGTATATTAAAATATAATAATTAATTTGACTTCATCCCAATGAAAGGATGACAAATACTTGTAGTCAGTCATGGATTTACCAAAGCCAATTATGTAATTATTTTTTTCCTGAACAAGAATGAATGCCAGACATTGAATAAAAGCTTTTAGATCAATAATATCTATCGTTGATGTCCTGATTCGATTACAATCATACATACCCTATCAAGCTTTTAGGTAAATAAGCTATTTATAAGTCTTAAAGTGAAAAATCATTACAAAAGCAAAATCATCTACTACAGTGCCTCATAAAAAGACATTGGGTACCTGGGTATTACCTGCTACTCCTAAAGACTCTTGATAATTTATTGACAAAAAAACTCTTC